TTTTGTGAAAACCGGCTCAGACGCTGTGCTGGTCAGGCTCTGGCAGAATTACCAGAATGGGTTAGTTCAAAACACTAAATTCGCGCTAAAGAACCTTAGCAGCACGCGTCTGAGGGGATGAGGTAAGGAGGGCGTAACTAGTGGCCATTCTGCTGGTGGAGAGTCATAAAACGGTAACACGGACCGGTAATAGCTAACTAATATACTCTCTTGTAATGTCATTGCTGTGGATATGCTTGAGCTTTTTGATTGATGATCCTTTGATAATGCTACCAAAGCAACAGGGCAATATCCAGTTCTAGATACCCTCAAGACAGCATACTCCTGAGAGGGGTCTAGTGTACACCGTATTCAGGCTGTTTTATGATGGCGACACAGACAAGGGGGCGGTCTAGCCGGCGTCGTACCACAATACGCAGGTATACCGATGATGCTTTTGAAGAGGCTGACTTGGACCCAGAAAAATCTGCATCAGAGAGAGAACTTGACAGGGAAAATGCATCGGATGAGGACTTCTTAGAAGAAGAGAATGGGCGGTGCACAGCGGAGGATGAAGCAGTTGATGGTACGGATCCCGTTGGACATGTTAGGCGGGAGACTGATGGATATAGATTTCGATGAAGCTGGCTCAGTGGCAGGATCGAATGTTAATATCCAAAAAGGAATGCGGCGGAAGGACCACCCACGGGAGAGCCGGAATGCGGTGCATTCTCGAGGCCTGATTAAGCCAGCCGAACACACTTCAAAGCCCACACATATCAAATTAACCTTTGGGTCTGGTGCTGAGGATATTCTTCCAGCCGTATATGTACGAGACCACTGGGCATCTGGAAGAGATTCTACCTTTCCCAGTGCCAAAAGTCTTCGTGCAGCGCATGATGACTCTTTGTATGGAATTGGCGCCTCATTTTGCCATGATAGTGCGAAAATACTAATAGAGTCAACAAAGGCCTGGGATTGGTACTATGAAAATACAGTTGGGGGTAGTCTGCTACAACGGCAAAAGGTCCAGGTTCTAGATGGCAGTGAAGGGCTAAAATATGTCCCCAAAGAAAAACACACGAAGCATACGGTTCTGACGGGTCCGTTTGGGAAGCAAAAAGCATTCCACCTAGGTAACAATGAATCATTTGATTTCGGATTAGCCTGGGAAAAGTTGGAATTAAAAGATGGTAAACGAGGGCGGCCGAAAAAACATGCTAAAGTATCCACTCATTCCGCCATCCCGGAAGAAAGTCGCAATGGCGGCTCTTCTATGGCCGAGGAAGGTGGGCGGATTCGCGAGGGCTGGATCATCAACTTGGGGAACAAGATACAATGCATTGCATGGGCGCCTAATCATCCAGGAACAACCCAATATCTTGCAGTTGCAGTTCCTCTCCTGGAATCCCAAAAGACCGCAGCGGGCGATGAAAAGGTTACCGGGGCGCCTGCGTTCACACCCTCCCCACCATATCCTGCAGCAATCCAGATATGGTCCTTTGAGGCAAAAAAGGAGACTGCAATCCCTCAAACCCTGGATATGAGTGTTAAGCCAAAATTGCGCTTAGTTATATGCTCGGACTTCGGTGACGTGAGACGCCTTGAATGGTGCCCTATGCCACGGAAATTTCGTCCAGCGGATACCTCTGAGGAGGAAGTCAACATCGGCCTCCTAGCAGGAATTTGGGGTGACGGAAGTGTCAAAGTTTTAGACGTCCGTCTCCGAAAACCCCCCCCCGAAACCCAATGGAGTACGTCTCTTGTCTATCTGGACTAGAAAAAAACACTAACCTTATACATAGTTAAAATCAACGCTCCTATGTTTCAAGCAAAGCCTCCGTCCTCAATGTGCACTTGTCTTACCTGGTTATCCCCAAGTGATCTGGCAATTGGATGCTCCGATGGATTTGTTGGAGTTTGGAGTCTCATTATGGCCAGCAAAGACTTTCAACGGTATTCGGCGCCCTATATATTTGCACCAATTCATACTTCCTACGTTCTGCAAATCGTCGCGGCCTACCCAGCTCACCCGCATTTACTTGGCTGTAGTTGCATTGATGGTCAGATGAAAATGTTTTCTCTTCTCGATCCTCTGGTTGATATTGTTGAGGGGGTTAGAATGCGAATGGGCACGGCAAACCTGTCGTACTCACCGATGTTTCAAGCATTTGTGACAACAGATGAGGCCGACTTTGTTCGTCTGCTGCCAGCTCGTCGTTTCTTTTCAACAATATCAGCGCTTCGTTCTACTTCCAGCACTACTACATTGGCACCCTGCAGCCCTTGCCACCCCTCTATCCTTGTTGGCAACGCGGGAGGTGTGGTTATGGCGACCAACCCACTAAGGAGGCTGCTGAATTCAAAGAACAAACATTTTCAGCAGACCTGGTTCTCTCATGAATGGGTGCATGCTAAAGATGATCCACACGATGAAAGGCTCGGGGCCAGCAGATTCTATGATGGCTACAAAGCGGAGAGCGTAAATTTGTTGAGGAGCGCAACTCAAGGAGGCCTAGCAAACAACGTCATTATTGTATACGAAAACGAGACTGCCGTTACTGCCATTGCCTGCAATCCCAACGAACAGTGTGCCGGATGGGCATGCGCAGGAACAGGGTGTGGGTTGCTTCGAGTGGAAGATCTGGCTCTTCGGCCACTGGCCTAGAACGTTGTTCGACTTGAAAACAATAAAGTTTTGGAAGATTAAGCGGCTCAATATTTCTCCGCTTACAAGTGACGCCAAGACCATATAATTATATAATCACGGCTCGCAGTTACCATTTATCCGGTGTTTTTATGATTCTTCTTATCTCGATGTCTCTTTGTGCTTTGCTACGCTGTGCTGCGTGAATACATACGCGGCATGTGGATTCGAAGATCCCAAGTTGCCACAAGAAAGGCAAATCTTTTGTTTTTGAACAAATTTGAAGATGAGCTGGTAATTGCCAGTTTACGCGGCCCATCTGGCCTATTAAAATGTGAGGGGCTGGGGCTGGGGCATCCCAACCACCCACATAACCAGCCAGAAGACGGGAGATTACGCGACCTCAAAACCACGGCTTAAGTATCTTCAATGCGATGTTCAAGCCCGTATTTCTTTTTTCCCTTGAGGCTCCTTTTGGTTTCCGCTTTTGCTGCAGCTCTATTGCTTCAATTCCCACAGCAGATTGAAACAGAAGCCATTTATTTATCCCCATTATTGGCTTGTCGCTAGCAACTGTTTTAACTCATCATGAAGTTTCACTGTTTGATGGCTTCAGGCCTTGTTCTAAATTTCCTCGCGAACGCACTGCCACTCTCACAAATAGATTCAACTCACTTGCCTTATGAGCCGAGACGCCTATCATATTCGGTTGTGCAAGTTGATGGAGGACCTAGCGCTGTCGAAACTGATGATACCCCAAATGTCGTTACTGTTCCCGTGCCAGCGCCCCCTACGACCAGAACCGTCCTTTCGACTGTGACTTTGCATCCGACACCTTCAATCAGCCCCCCAGAAACTCCCAGTAGCTCCGAGGCGCCCACCGCAGCAAAACCAACTCCAACGATGCACACAACTGTAACGACCGGAATGACAACGCATAGCGAACCGAACTCCCCATTTCCCACGCCGATTTTGTCCTCCTCGTGCACTCTCTCGGAGGTCTACTCTACTCCAACAGCTTTACCACCTGTCTCAACCGATCTGTTACCTTTGCCCTCGGAGGTCCACTCTACTCCAACAGCTTTACCACCTGTCTCAACCGATCTGTTACCTTTGCCCTCGGAGGCCTACTCTACTACCACAGCTTTGCCACCTATTTCAACCGATCTATTACCTTTGCCTTCGGCAGCTTCCATGGGCATATCCATAGAGCATACGCCCTCGCACACAAATAGCTCTCGCCTGGTTTTCCACCCACCCAAGCTAACACCTCTTCCTTTAATATGAACAGTACACAGGACTTGGTGTGTTCCTTTTTCAAGCAGCCAAAACTATTATTTTCGGTACATTTGCATGACTTGTATTATTATTGCTATTTTTGGGGCAGCGATCAAGGTGTTTGATGGGAGTCTGGGCATTGGGGGATCATGTCTCGGAAATTGGATTGAAATTAGCATCGCATCTGGTGGCCTAGAACAGTGGGCTGGATTTTGTTTCATGTGCTTAACGTCAGATAGATTACTCTTTAGATAATGTACTCAATTGACCCTATGAAGGAGCCCATGAAGTTTAATATTTATTTAGCTGCCTAAACTCTTGACCTGGCAGGTGGATGGTGTATCCGCAAATCTCAGCGCTCAGCTGCTGCTCAGCCGAAGGAGACTGTTAAAATGAACTATTCTCTTGTGGTATTGTCGTCGCCTTTGTAGCGAGCGAGTTGCGCGGGCCAGCCGAACTACATATGTCACTGGTTGGCATTGTTTGTAGCACATCCGACTACACAGCCGATCACGCATTCCAGCCCACGCCAAAGCACTGCCATCAATTGCCAATCGCACACACCGACCTCTGACCATTCAAACCCACCTTCTCTCGCTCAAACAGAGTCTCCTCGCATTTCGTATTCTATTGCCTGAGCACCTCCCCACCAGACACCATGGCCAGCGGGCCACACGCCGCCGAAGACCAGGGCCACCTGCTCGAGGATGCTCTCGGCGTTGTCCGGCAGCAGTCGCTGATGATGCGACGATGTCTGGAAACTCCTGGGAAGCTGATGGATGCTCTGAAATGCGCGTATGTATTCCCCTTGTTTGCTTCGGGCTCCTACTTTGAATCGACCTGCTGACGACTCCCAGCTCTACGTTGATTTCGGAGCTTCGCACGCCCAGCTTACCCCCAAAACAATACTATGAGCTATATATGGCCGTATTCGATGCGCTTCGTCACTTGTCCGACTATCTTCGTGACAGCCACCCGGTGAACCACCTAGCCGACTTGTACGAACTCGTGCAATATGCTGGCAACATCATTCCCCGCCTCTACCTCATGATCACGGTTGGCACCGTATATATGGCGATTCCGGATGCGCCGGTCAAGGAAATTATGAAAGATATGATGGAAATGAGCCGAGGCGTGCAACATCCAGTGCGCGGCCTCTTTTTGAGATACTACCTGTCTGGCCAGGCTCGGGATCATTTGCCAAGTGGCACTGGAGATGGCCCTCAGGGAAACGTTCAAGATTCAATCAATTTTATTTTGACCAATTTCGTTGAAATGAACAAGTTGTGGGTTCGATTTCAGCATCAAGGACACTCGCGGGAGCGGGAGCAGAGAACTCAGGAGAGACGGGAACTTGAAGTATTAGTTGGCAGTAATTTGGTTCGCCTGAGCCAATTAGTGGATTTAGAAACCTATAAATCTGTGATATTGCAGCCACTTTTGGAGCAAGTCGTTCAATGTCGAGATGTGCTGGCTCAAGAGTATCTACTAGAAGGTGAGTCTATTCGTCAAACAGCAGCTCGAGCTAATATTAACGTTTTCTTTTTTGGATAGTGATAACAAAAGCCTTCCCCGACGAATACCACCTTCATACCCTTGATACTTTACTCACTGCTATTTCGAGACTAAACCCACATGTCGATATGAAAAAAATCGTCATTGGTTTAATGGATAGGTTGTCGTCATATGCGAGCCGTGAACCTGAGAGTAATAACACTCCTGAAGCTAAAAGAGAAGCTGAAGAAGAAGCCACGCGAAGATTACTGGAACGTGTCAAGATATCCAAGGAGAATGAGCGGATCGAGAGTACTGACGCCAAACCGGGTGATTCAGTCCAGCCAGAAGGCGTCGATAAGGAAGACGGCAACCAGGAATCCAAGTTAGAGAAGGAGCCCGAGGCAACAGTACCAACGAAAGAGGAGACGACTGATGATACCGATGCGCCCAAGCCAATGTTACCTGGAGATATCAAGCTCTATGAAATATTTTATGAGCAGGTGATAAACTTGGTAAAAACTAGATCATTACCCATCCAGGATACCATTGCCCTCTTAGGCTCTCTTATAAACCTCGCACTGTAAGTTACTGGTTAAAACTTTCAGATCTAAGCTAACCTCGAATTATTAGAAATATATATCCGAATAGACTAGGTTGCGCTACCCAGTATTGCTGAGCTTGGTATAGAACTAACTGGCCGTGTAGAATATGTTGATCAAGTTCTTGACTTTGCGACCAAAAAAACGCTAGAATATGCTGACAGCGCTGACCTACACTCGGCCCCGGCACAGTCTAGCCTTCTTAACCTGCTCCTAGCTCCTGTTAACTCGTATACCTCGATATTTACGCCATTGTCGCTCCCGAACTATATTCCCCTATACGCTGCGCAATCCTACCCAACTCGAAGAGCTGTTGCTGGAGACATTGCTCGCAAAATTTTGAACAATAACATCTGGATCAGGACAATGGAGAACCTTAATAATGTCCTTCAAATCCTGAAAGTTCTGATCAAAGAAGGAATGCAGCAGCCACTGGGTTATCCTGGAGTTTCGTCACAACGGCGTGGAGAAACGGATGAGACGATTGAGGAACAAGGATGGCTTGCACGGATTGTGCACTTTATTCAGGCTCCTGACAATGAGACTCAGTTCAAGGTTAGATCTTTTCTAACTTAAGACTTCTTTGTTTTGCTAATGTTATTCAGCTCCTTCAAAAAACAAAAACAGCATATACGGACGGAAACGAGAGGATCCGATATACCACCCCCCCTCTTATCACCGCGTCGCTGAAATTAGCTAGAAATCTTAAAAAACGAGAGCATTTCGAAGATAACTTCCAATCACAGTCTACGGCACTGTTCAGATTCATGCATCAGTGCGTGAGCACTCTATATCAACGTGTTAATTCAGGATGCGCGGATCTTTCATTACGTCTCTTCGTTTTCTGCGGGCAAGTTGCTGATGAGGTTGGATTTGAGGAATTTAGCTATGAATTCTTTGCACAGGCATTCACAGTATATGAGGATTCGATTAGTGATTCAAGAGCGCAGTTTCAAGCTGTCTGCATTCTTATCAGTGCACTATACGGAACACGACACTTTACAAGAGAAAATTATGACACCCTAATTACTAAGGCTGCCTTGCATGGAAGCAAGTTACTGAAGAAGCCGGACCAATGTCGCGCAGTTTATCTTGCTAGTCATCTTTGGTGGGTTATGGATGGCCCTCAGAAAGAAGGAGAGGAGCCAAAAGTGGTATGTAATTCCAATGTTCCTTCTATCTCTGCCGGAGCTTCATTCTGAAGTGATACTGTTTCTAATACCCGTTTTTTTCTGTTTTACAGGTATATCGCGACGGAAAACGAGTTTTAGAATGTCTTCAACGTGCTCTCCGCGTGGCCGATGCCTGCATGGACACTGCTGTCTCTGTTGAACTCTTCATTGAAATCCTCAATCGCTACGTCTACTACTTTGACCAGCAAAACGAGAGCGTCACTACGAAATATCTCAATGGGCTCATCGAGCTTATTCACTCCAATCTCCAGACCAACCAAGTCGACGGAAACGTTAACTCAAGCCTAGACAACCCCAAACGGCATTTCCAGCGTACCTTGGATTATATAAAATCGAGAGGATATGAAGGCGTCGTCACAGAGGCAGCCATGTGAAAACAGCTTTTTCATTTGGTAGCTACATTGATTGCGTTACCCATGAATCTATTAGAGATGTATGCAAACATGCGCTGGACACCGCCAGCCTTTGTATAACAGTCTGCCCTTCTCTGCGGTGGTCGTTTTTCGTTGCTTTTTAGCCGAATTGTATATTTATTTCTCGCAGTACAGAAGGACACACTTAAAAAGATTGTTTAAAAATTTGGCAGTCGAACAAAGTTCAATTTCATTTCTCCACGCCTCATGCATGGGATACGTGAAAATATGATATCCCTTGACAGCTAGCCTGCTGTCGGTTGCCTGCCAGAATGCCTGCCTTCCTTGCGTAGTACAGTACATGAAAGTTCATACCCCAAGTAGCGGCTTGAAAATGAAAGAAAAAAAAAAACATAAAAGAAGAGAAGAAGTTGAAAGAATTCGTAACAACCAGCTTAAAATGCAGAGCAACAAAGGCGGCCAAACACGGGCAGCATGGTGGGTCGAAAGGAATAAAGAACGCCAGTAATCTTAGTAGAAAAATCGAAAGGCATGGTGTATGAGAGAGGGGTAGAGTTGTTGAAGTTTATGCTAGCATTGCCGGAGCATTAAGTGAAGACATAAGGATAGAATCATTAGCAGAGGAGGAACGACGTGATGAAGCGGGTGACTTTTTCATTGGCTCTTTAGAAACCAAATGACCTAGAAACCCGATGTGGGGGAGGTATTTGACGGAGCAAAGTGCCTTGAACCGCTTCCAGGAGCAGCGAGTACGCTATTGGCGGGCACGGGGCTGCCAATGTCCCCAGGTACCATACTTCCACGGCTGCTCGATGTTATGCTGTTATTATCCGGTTCGAACTTAACAAATGTACCTGCAGAGCCTTCATCTTTGATGACAAAGGAACCACCTCCATTATGTGAGTCGCCTTCCGTGTCGCATATCTCTAACATCTCCTCAAGTACAACTGGAGCATCTCTTGGAGAATTTGAGAGTTCAACTAAGCGTAGAAGTTCTCTAACATTGTGGTATGCGGATGCGTCCGTACCGCTAGCGGCATTTAATTGCTTGCAAGCTTGGATTATCGATAATCGAATTGCAACAGGCCGAGATGTGTGTACACGATGCGATCTAGAAAGACTACCGAAAGGACTAGTTGACCAACAAGGGCCTATTTCAACAAGTCAGCAATCTAACTTATCATATGACTAGTAACATTTAATTTACCTGCACTGGGCCCCCATGAAGGTGCGGATGTGAATCCCGGAGGCCCAAACACATTATGTGGTGCCCAGCCAGCTGCAGAGCCAGGTGCCCCCAAGGGAAAATGAGGTTTAGAGCCTATAGTGCAATTGTTACAGATGAGTTCGTCTCGGTTAGCTGGGGCAGACTTACTGCCAATAGGATCGCCAAGGAGACTGGAGCTTCCCAAAGGACGTCTTGACGATAGCGGTAGGCCTGGTGGGATTACTCTGGACAAATTTTGGGGCGGAGTTGATGTGAGAGGGATGTCGCTATCATCGAGCAAGGCACTACTTCCAAGTTGAGCACTGAGCTCGTCGATCTCTTGGTGGTTCGTCTTCGATTCACTGTTCTTATGTTGATCGTGGGGCACCGTGCTGGCGGGTCGCTGAATAGGGGCAGGGCGCGAAATAGGCTGGTTTTCAAGTGGGCTTTTGTCGAAAGAGAGCGAAGGTTGCCGAACGTGTGCGAAAGATGTTGCTGGAGTCTGCACAGCCGGGGACTGCTGCGCAGGTGCAGATCCAGTACCTCCAGATGGGTGGAATGGGAGAGATCCATGGACACCGTCTATGGGAAACCCACGCCCTTGGCCAAAAGGTCTAGGAGCAGCTATTCCGGGGGGAAGTGGGATGCTCTCTGGAGCAACAAAGCCTCGAAATTGGTCTCCAACCGGGCGATTTTGATTTGGATATCCAGACACGTCAGACCCCATGGAGATGCGAGGACCTAGTAATGGAAGGCCTTCGAGACCGGGAGGCATCTCATATAGCCCTTGCATAGGGTTAATGAAGCTCATCTTGCGGGGACTACGATTGGCGCCTATCGGAGAGAGCGGTGCTGCAGGCTGTGGGTGATGCAAGGACGGAGGCTGTGAGGTTCCTTTTCCCATCATTAGGCTGGTAGAGGTCGAGTGAGTGCCCGTTGGCCCAGGAGAAACGTGTAGAATGTCGGTGTTTGCTACCTGTGATCTTGGTGACGAAGCGTGAGAGTCCTGCTGGGAAGATTGTCGCTGACGCATGGGCGTTGGGGCTTTGGGAACGACGGGCGTGGCAACTTGGAAATGGGGGGACTGGGTGTTGGCTGGGCCCTGAGTATGATGCAATCCCGGAGGCAGATGGGCTGGCCCGGATTGCGATGCTCGTTTGGCTGCCTGGACAGCCGCCGCCTGAGCCGCAACCTGCTGAGCCGCCTGTTCTTCCAGTCGGGCGCGTTCCTTGGCTTCACGATCTGCCTTGGCTGCCGCCTCCTTTTCTCGCCTGGTTTTTTCTTCTCGTGCCTTTCGCTCACGCTCCTCTTTGGCTTTCTTTTCACGCGCTTCCTTTTCTTTAGCTTCCTTCTCTTCCCGTTCTTTTCGTTTTGCCTCGTCGCGCTTCTTCTTCTCCCGCTCTTTCTGCTCCCGTTGCTTTCTTTCGGCTTCGGCTTGCCGCTCGCGCTCTTCTTTTAAGCGCTTCTGGCGCTCGGTTTCTTTTCGCAAGCGCTCCTCCTCTTGAGCTTTCTTTTCAGCTTCACGCTTTTTGCGCTGCTCCTCCTTCTTCCGCCGTTGCTCCTCGAGTTTCTTCTCCTCGAGAGCTTTCTGGGCGGCTTCTTCAGCAGCTCGTTCTGCCTCCCGCTTTGCTTTCTCTTCCTCCTTAGCTTGTTTCTGAATGCGCTTTTTGTCCTTTCTCTTTTGAGCTTCGCGGGCTTTCTTTGCTTCACGTTCTTCGTCGAGTCGATTTTCTTCTTCCAACTCTTCGATAAGGCGCTGCTGCCGTTCGTGAGCAATTTTTTCGCGATAAGCAGTTAATACCCGCTGTTCAAACATTCGTGCTGCAAATATTTGAAACATCCTTCTTCCTTCTTCCATGCGTTGCTCTTCGGTCATCGCGTCCTAATATCATCCGTCAGCAGGGAATAGTGATAAATAGTATGTGCGAAAAACGCACCATTTCATCCTCCTCGTATTCTTCTTCCTCCTGACTATCGTAATCTTCCTCCTCTTCGTCATCGTAATCTTCGTCATCTAAAAGCGGACCGTGGTTATGCCCGCCATGGATTGACTGATGTGCCGCAGAAGCAGCAGCGTACTGCGTGTCTTCTTCACGCTGCATTCGTCGCTCAGCTAATTGTTCCATCATATCGATGAAGTGCTTCCCGTCATTCTTCAGCAGATCGTCAGCTACCGTAAGAATTCCGTCTATTGTAAGAAGAGTCAATATTGTTTAAAGGAGTAATAAAAAAGGGGTGCGCTGACCTTTCACGGTTAAGCTATTCCCAAAAGCAAAAAAGTCGGCACGACTTGAGTTGGCAACTTCCTCTAGTTCGTCCTCGCTGTATGGTTCATCGTCCTCCTCGTCCTCGTCGTAATCCTCGTCGGGCTCTTCGTCGTCATCCTGAAGCTCTTGTACTCTACCTCTAGACGGATGATGTGCGCTGGGATGAGAAGGATGTCGATCGAGTGTCCGAATTGGAGTTTGGTACAGCCGTGGAGGTCCACCAAGGGGTAAACCCCCATTTTCGAAAGCTCCTTGCTTGTGGTTTGCATACTGCTCGAGTTCCTCGTAGTATGCGTCATACAAGACTTCTAGTTCTTCCTCAATGGCAGTTCGTTTTCTTCCGCAGACCGTACAACTACACGAGTGCTTTTGTTGCTCCTTCATCTTTCGGAGGACTGCTTCTTTTTCGACCTTGACTAAAGATCGGCGCTCCTCCTCTCCTAGCTGAAGCCAAAATTCTTTTATCCTCTCCCGTTCCTCATGCGTCGATGTGTTCCAAATGCGATCTTTGGTAACCTTGTGGGCAGACCGGTATGCGGAACTTGATAATGGTTGAAGACCGACGGGTCGTGGAAGAGAAGCCGATGGCGTTGACATAGAAGTAGCGCTTCCCTCAGCTTGGTGCGAATGAGACCGGCTTTTCCTATTTTTCTTCTTCTTACCTTTTCGCTTCGTGGAGTCTTGGGATTGAAGCACCATCCCATTTTTATCATATTGGGTAGCAGTGTGTGCGTGTATGAGATACTGAGCTTCATCCTCAGTGTAGTCCGAATCTCCCAGCTCAAAGCTCATATGTTGTCCCTGCGTTGCAGCGCCGCCTGGATCCCCACCATTGTGACTAATGTCGCCATTTTGCGAGGTAGAACCGGCCGAATGATTTAATTGACGCTCGGCAGCCTGACGAGCAGCCAGCTTCTGCCGTCGCTTTTGCTTCTTTCGGTTCACACCCGTCGTTGGCGTCCCGGAGGGTTCCTGGCTGTTTGGGGAGTCTGTACGTGGGTCCGGCGTCGCAGTGGCATTGGGCTTTGCGGGGGCGGCCGAGGTAAATGGCAAGGAAGGCGACAAAGACTTCTTCGTTATGCTGGCGGCAGTAACTTGCTTTGCTGCACCGGCGGGCGGAGCCATTGATCGTTTGGAGTGGGATGGCATGTCGTGATATCACTGGGGGGCGGCTGGGTCGACTCGACGGCCGCGGACGACGGGGGAAAAGAGAGACAGAGCACAGCACACAGCAGCCAGAGGCGGTCCTGCAGGCGGATCGCACGTCAACGAGCGCGAGGGGCGGGAACGGCGGAAAGAGGAAGGCGAGGGCCGGGGCTGGAGGGATGCAGTTTTTAGGTTTGGTTGGCTGGTGCAAAACGCAAAGGAGGCGGATTGGCACGGCGACAGGGCGAGCAGCGGGCGGCAGACAGCGCGTCAGGGGCCGTCGGCAAGCAGGAGAGCCGTCTGGAGACGAGCAGCGGGCGGCGGGCGGGCGTCAGAGGCAGCGGCAGCGATTCACCTTGCGCGGTGGTGGGTGTGGGAATGCGTGCACGCCAGGCAGCGGCTCGCCATTGGCTGAAACGGCAGAAATGCCGCCGGCCGTCCCAAAGCGGTAGGAGCTAGCCGCGCTAAGCGACCGCGCCGCGCCTTGCCCGATCGGGCCTCACCGCCTTGTACTGTACCATTCTGCCGCCGCGCCGACAAAACAGCGCCCGCGGTTGCCGGCGAGGTTCCCCGCCATATAGATTTGGCGGAGGGGCGACTTGCCGTGCCAAATGACGGGCCGCCCTGGCGCGATGTTTCACTCCGCCGTCACATAGCGCCGCCCTTGAAGGCTCTCCTGCGAGACATGGGCCGATTTGCATTGCCGCGGCTCAGCGCCGCCGGCCGCGCAACCCGCGCAATTTACGTGGAAGGACGGTGAAGGGTGCTAATAATAATCACGGCAGCAATAGCCAGCTAAACTAACCGCTAACTATACTCCAGCGTCCAAGCGCCTATCAAGGTTCACTTCCTGCCAAACCTTCATTCCCAATATGGCGGCGATGCAAACACCTATCCATTTCCAGCTGCAACCTAAGCGAGGGAAAACGGGCCATGAAGGGACAAGGTTGAACTTGGCCTGGGCTGCGACAGCAGCGCCTGGGGAAGGGCCGCCGGGCAAGTCAGCCGCCAGCAGACGACCGTTTCCCGCTGGCGCCTCAGGGCTGAGTCCAGCAAGCGAGCATATATGCGCGTGTATGTCAGTCCATCCGTAGGCCCGCCGCCGCGCAACCGCGCGATTGGGCAGCATAAGTGAGTGTGCTGCCCGGAGCCTCGACAGCGGATGGAGTGCCTGGGGGGCTGAGGCCGGCCGTGGCGCGGCGCGCTCCGGAGCTGGTCACGTGCGGCCACCGCCCAACGCAGCCTAGCGCGCCGCCGCGGCCCAGCGGCGGGCAGACACGTACCCCGCTAAACACGGCGGGCGCTAACCGCCGGCGCTGAGTCATGCGGCGCCGCCGCTGTGCCGGCTGAAAGTCTGCAGCGACTCCCCCGTCTTGTTTATTTTCAGCAACGCACCCCGAGCCGGAAGATTTAACCGCTTCGTCGTCCTCGTTGCACGCCGGTCGCTCTCTCGCCTTCCTCGCCGCTCTCTTTCACATAGGCCTTCACGTTGCTAGACTCCGTCCACAGCGTCGTCGGAAGTAGTCTCGCCGCCCCATGCTTCGTATTGGCAATTGACGGCCTTGCCGACGTGATCATCCGCAGACTAACGGCGGCCATTCTGACCCCAAGCCATTTCCTTCGAGGCCGCCAGACCAATAATAAGCCTGATCCCATTCTCAGCCGTCACCCACTCCACAAACGTACGCTCCTTATTTTGCACGTCCCTCAGCCTCGGCCGCTGTTCAGGTATTTACTGCCTAGGGACCCCAACTCCTAGCTGTGAAAATACTCGTCTGGCTGGCCCGTGGTGATTTGGTGTCTCTAGGCGGCGTACTGATAGGTCACAGTTTTGCGAGTCCAGCTCTAGACACTTCATCAGCCTTATCACTTCCTCTTGCTCTCACCCTCCTCAACCTCGTCCTGCGACCCTCTCTCCGCACAACGAACGATTGGACAGTCTAGCCTGGCCAGAAGATTTTGCTAAAACTGCTTGGTATACACTGTGAAAGGCTCAAGCCTTGTTTGAAAGAATGGCCCATCAGCAGGCAGAAAACGTTCTTCGAAGGTAGGCTAGTCAAGAGGCCCTGCACGTGATGTCGCCCTGTATCCTGATACTATCCCCAATCAACATATATTGATAGTTGCTTTCACCTGCAATTACTTAAACACTTGCCTTCTTTCTCCCTGGTGGCCACTCGTTCTCTTCCTGGCGTTGTTACTAAATCTTTCGCGGGAATAGGAAACTCGTTATTATTGGAGATGGAGCTTGCGGCAAAACCAGTCTCCTAAGTGTTTTTACATTAGGTTATTTTCCAACAGTGAGTATTATATCTGGTACTCTACTCATATGTTAACTAACAATTTTTATAGCACTATGTAAGCGCTTTTTACAATCGATTCGCCTCACTATTTCTGCTAACATTGGTGTGTCCATTTTAGGTGCCTACTGTATTTGAAAACTATGTCACAGATTGTCGAGTAGATGGCAGATCGGTGCAGCTGGCATTATGGGACACAGCTGGCCAAGAAGATTATGAGAGACTACGGCCTCTTGCATACTCCAAAGCTCATGTTTTATTAATTGCATTCTCTGTCGATACGCCTGATTCTTTGGAAAACGTGAAACACAAGGTTAGACCATTTGTTTCTTTTTTAACCGTATTTTATGCTAGGAGTTACTAATTCCATATCATAGTGGATTGGAGAAGCGAAGGAGCGCTGTCCAAACGTTCCAATCATACTCGTTGGCCTGAAGAAAGATCTCCGTGAAGATCCTCTCGCTGTTGAAGAAATGAGAAAAAAGTCTCTTCGATTCGTATCGCCAAGGGACGGTAGCGACACAGCCGCCCAAATCGGAGCTAGGAAATATCTCGAGTGTTCGTCTTTAACCGGGGAAGGGGTAGACGACGTTTTCGAGGCCGCCACCCGTGCTGCTTTGGTAACATTTGACGAAGATAACAGGGGGTCTTGTTGTGTCATTTTATAAATCGGATTCGTGTTCGGTCCTTATTCTCCGGCACACCGAAGACCATAAATATTGTCTTACCCACCAATGGATCCAGCCCATCGCCAGGCGCAATAGTCTCTGGTCTTCCTTGCGCCATTTTCCCTGTTTCCATTCGCCCAAAATATCGATTTATATGCAAATAGGGCGAACAAACAAAGAAACAAAAACATGAATCAGGGCTTTCAAAAGTCGGCTGGGATGCGTTGTCTTGAACTCTACCAGGCCATGTCATGCATCAGCGGAGTTGTGGTGTCATTTGTTACGGTTCCTTTTTTCTCGTTTCTCCTTGTGCTATTATATTATTGTTTTCCTACGCTCCCTTCTTGTGTTTTCAATGCAACAGGTTTTTCTTGCGTTGTACAAAGCGGCATGGCTTCCTTGGGCCCTTCTCCCCTTTAATGCCATTTTCATCCGATTCACCCTACATTACATTCTAATCCTTTCTATCGTGTTGCTACCTCTCAGACTTGATCTTCTGCTTGAATCTGTTAATTAAGTATAATTATTGAATATACTACAAGACTCTAGCAATATAACTTACACATTTGGTTGTTTTAATGGGCTCGTGTCGCTGCCTAGGGTTAGTCGAAAAAGAGAATATTATCTTGTACCGGAGATTAGCAGTCTAATATCTTTATTTACCTTATCCAGAGCAATCTAGTCATAACCAGAATCCGAAATACAGCGTGTACTCCGTAGTAATATACATAATTGCAAAATCATATCTTTGATAGAGGAACAGAAGCAACCAAGCATAATGTTCTTCGGTAAACAATAAGAAAACCCATCTATATTAACAGCCCACTGTAAATATCGCAATGAAAGCCAATGGACTTGCTTTAATATCACACTTCGCAATACATGTTCACCTTTTCCAGTCATAATTCCATCCCTCCCGACTTGGGGTCTCCGTCTGCAATCGGCCATACTCGATCGGAATTCCGTCTGTGAAAACGCCTTTCTTATTCATGGAGACTCGAAATAAACGACCCCCGTCGCCCACACCCGTGCGTAGTTCCTCGCATGCATCACGCATGCTGGCGTACATGCGCTCTAGTTCTAAATCCCGAGCTGCCCGGCGCTTGGCCTGGTAGAGGTTCCAGGCACGGTGGATAGTCCAATGGCGGAGAAAGCGGTTTCGAGAGAAGCGAAGTGGGCGAGGGGTGAGAGGGTGGTAGAGGAAGTAGCGGATTAGGGCTGGAGAAGAAGTGATTAGTCGAATCAACTTTTGAAGAGGAAAAAGAGCAAATGATGCTGCTTTCCGGGGGGCGCGGGCAAAACTTACTAACTCTCTGGTCGAGCTTCGCCTTTTCTTTCTTTTCTCGCGGTGTACTGCTCGAGAACGCCTTGCTCGCTTGAATAATTGTCGAACAAGAGGAATCCTTTGTTGATACTTCGGCACAAGTTGGTCGGATGGACGGTCGGATAGGGATTCTGAAAACATTCGCCAGCGAGGCAAGCGTCGGCGATAGATATTGCTTCATAGCGAGAAGGTATTTTAATCCTCAATGGACCGTGAGTTGAGAACCGACTCCCTGGGGGATTGGAGGTCGAGACTTTTGATTTTGGAAGCATGACGCGCCAAGTAAATAGACGCAAGATTAGCTCATCAAATATAGTTAGTTCATACGGCTATTGGCTCATTTAGCCGCGGTATATCTAGCGTGTACTCCGTACTGTGACAAAACATGTGTATATAGAGAACAATCTCAATAGAAGTCGTCGTATCATTTAGATAGCCTTCGTTGAATAGTAATTACACCAGCCAAATCAAAAGTTCCATAACAACCGCCAAAAAAGAAAACCAAAAATGCCAATGCCCTCAAAAGAAATGACACTGGTTCGTGATAGGCCTAGGCAGAGGAAAGCGCTCGATGGAAGTAATAAGAAAAGCCAGGTATATCTTCTATAAATTAAAAAAAGCCGTATGTTCAATGTAGTCACGAGTTAACGACGCGTTTCTGAACCCGGTCATAATTCAATACCCGTCGTTTGCGATGTGCCTGTGCCAGCTTCCATCTGCAATAGAGTACCAATGCATCTTTTAGTAAAACAAATAGGCAGCCTCCAAGAACGCTTCTTCCCCATCTGGTCTGGAGAAAGGTTGCCCGACTTTTATCAAACGATGCTGGCAGTGTTGTCCATGATCTTGGTAGAGTAAATTTTAATAATCCACCCATACCGGCAGAGAGCGCGGGAAAGAACAATGCGCCGAGCACTGTGTCAGCAATACTGCTAGTATCATGGATTAGCTCGTTTTGACGCCGTCCAAGGAACTGATTTTGTGCTTCGCCTGGTGGATTGTCTGCTTGCGCTGCATCCTCTCCTCCTTGAGCAATAGCTTGTATGGCAAAGGGTGGATCTTCGCCTTCTCCAATACCCAATTCCAATTCGAGGCCAATTTCCATCAAAAGCTCATCGCCATTTTCAGGAGCAGGCCTAGGATGTTGGTTACCGTTGTTGTTTTGATTCTGTGCTTCTTGTGTACTTTCCTCGTTCTCCCCCGCCCGAGGTTGAACTTCGGCTATCCATTTCCGTTCTAATTTGCCAAATAGTCTCTCGTATAGTATGCTATAGAATGACTTTGCATATGGAAGTGCCGCGAACGTTACGGACGCACTTGGAGGCCATAAATCCAGATCTACCACAGGCGTATCCCCAGCACGCTGCGTGGCGAAGAATAGTACAGGAATGGCAGGCAGCAAGCTTTCTGCATATCTCGTCCGCGAGAAGATAAGTGTTAAAGGAATAACGGGCAGTCCTAGGTTCACTCTGGGATTCCACCGCCTAGGCCCGCTGTCTAATATTTGTCTTGCCTCCTCTGTTCCAAAAATGAGGTACATTGAATACACCCCATGCGCACAACAGCCAGCCCAGACAGTGCCGGCTAGAGTAAATAGTACCCCTGGTAAAACTAGTCGTCCAGCTAGTTGTTCAATTTTCCGCATCATCTCCACCACAATATTCTTCGGTCTAGCGATGACAATCTCCGATTTGCACTGGGGGCAATTCATTTTTGCCGATCGACCACCGTACCGTCGTGACTTTGGATTCTCTAAGTCTGCTAGCCAATCTAGAAGGCACGCTTCGTGGGCATATAGTGCGCACGGGCAAGGCGATCGCCATTCTGAGTTCAGCGGCGAGTCCTCCGTTTCATCAGTATAACAAATCCAACACTTTTTAGGCTCGTTTTCATTAATTGGAATGGGTGTGGAGGCTGATATATTGCTAGTTTGTGTTTCGGTAGGGCTATCTGCATCACTGGTCTGATCTTCTTGTGAGGAAGATTCGGTAGCTTGCCTGGCCTCTGAATTGGCCAAGTAGGATGAGCTAGGTGGGCAAACTGGGGCAGGTGTAGATTCTTGATCATCGCTAAAGGAGTCCGATGTACTCATATACGAATCAGTTTCGTGGTCAAATGAGCTGTGTTCGCTTTGAGGTTGCTCGGAACTCGGCTGCCGTCGTCGGCCAGTGGAAGTGGACTGAGGCGGAAGTGAAGCCATGGCGTCTCCTGAAGCTTAGCTTGAATTGTCAAAAATATAGTGAGCACAGAAGAGAGTTCCCTGGAAGCTTTCTGTCATCTTCTAAAAGTAATCATAGTATTTAGAACCAGAGCGGAAAGCACAACGCTCACTGCCAGATCTTGCGATCTTCAGCTTACGGAGTACAATTAATCCAAAGCAAACAAACGTCAGAGGCAAATTATCCACGTGACAATTTCCTGCTTATATAAGAAGTTTAATTCCATATACGGAGATGAGATATCACGAAATCCTGTAATCCGTAACGTTTCAGGCACAAGGTAGAATGTCTGAGTACCTATGTACAGAATCAACGTAGTAATAAAGGTAAAATATTCCCCCACTATACTCCATAAGCGCGAAAAGGACAAGTCAAAATAGTTGTTCACATCCCAATTTTTAGCCCCAAGATTAGAAAGCGCGTCCAGCCATAATAAACAGAGATTTTGAAAATGCAAGATCAACACCATGGATATCAGAAATCAGAATACAAAAGGTATCAAGGAGGCACATAAATCCTGGTAAGACTGAAGCTTCAGAAACTGGCAGGACGAAATTTTAGTGTCCAGATCGTTTTTTCCTTAAAGCTTTTCTTTCCTTCTCTTTGGCTACAAACATAAGTTAGCTTGAAACTCCGACTTTAGAGATAGCATACATAGCCTTACCTTCATCGTATACCAAAAATTCATGCAAAGCCTTGCCGGCCGGCACCATAGGCAGGACAGGGACTTTTTTATCCGTAAATACTTCCAGTAGAGCAGGTCCATCACTCTCAAGGAGCCATTTGAGACTTGACTCAACGTCTTCTGGTTTTGAACACCGTCTCGCTTGTACTCCCATAGCCTCTGACAATTTAACAAAGTCGGGGTTCTTTTGATGGGTGTGGGCAAAGCGGTCTTCGTAGAACAGGCTTTGCCATTGAGTAACCATACCCTGTTCTTCATTATTCAAGACGAGCGCCTTAATTCCGATATTGAATTGAGCAGCAGTTGACAATTCAGTAAGGGTCATATTAAACGACGCGTCGCCATCAATGTCAACGACCAAACAATCTGGGCGGGCAACCTTTGCGCCTATAGCTGATGGCAATCCGTAACCCATTGTACCAAGGCCACCAGAAGTGATCATTGTGCGAGGGTGCCTCCACCTGAAATGCTGAGCTGCCCACATTTGATGCTGGCCTACGCCAGTTGTGATGATGGTACGATCTTTCATATGAGATGTGAGGTCGCTAAGTTTTTCAATGACGTATTGTGGTTTAATCAGACCTTCAGGGGTTTGTTTCTCATACAAGGACAAGGGGAATCGAGTTTTCCAGTCGTTGATCTGAGCAAACCATTCAATTCGTTCTGAAACTGGTTTAACCTGAGGAATAAGAAGGGCAAGATTTTCAGCGCAGTCGCCCTCAACTGCTTCTGTAGCCTCAACAACTTTGTTAATGTTCTTCGGCATAACTTCAAAATGTACAATGCCACCACGGCCTTCTTGAGCAGCAGCTTTAGCCTGTGGAGCAAACTTTGCGATATTACCGGTAACACGATCATCAAATCGTGCACCCAGGGCAATGATCAAATCCGCCTCTTGCATTGCCATGTTAGCATACGCTGATCCGTGCATACCAAGCATGTGCAGCGATTTCGAATCAAGCTCGTCAAAACCACCAAGGCCTTGTAATGTAGTCGTTACAGGGATACAGGCCTTATCAGCTAATTCTTTGAGAAGGGCTGGACCGTCAGGGCGAGCAAGAAGACCCTGGCCAACGTAGAGGACAGGCTTCTTGGCGCCGTTTACCAAGTCGGCCACACGTTTGACGGTGGCTTCCATATGTTTTTGGCTCAACTCACGCGCAGCGATGGTTGCGGCACTGGGGTGTAAAGGCAGAGAAGAGGTCATTGGAATCGGCTTTCGCAGAATTCCGGCGGTTACATCCTTGGGTAAATCAACGAGAACAGGTCCAGGTCGACCACTAGTTGCAATTTCAAAGGCCTCCTTGATGCGTCTTGGGAGTTCGGCTACATTCTTCACCATAACGTTCCATTTAGTACAGGCCCTGGAGATCCCGATCACATCTGCTTCTTGAAAGGCATCGGTGCCAATCGCGGTTGTGGGCACCTGACCGCAGAAAACTACCATTGGTGTGCCATCCGAAAGAGCATCTTGCAGTGGCGTCACCACATTCGTCGCTCCGGGTCCGGAAGTGACGAGAACGACGCCGGGCTTTCCTGATGCCCTTGCATAGCCCTGTGCCATATGACCAGCGCCTTGTTCATGTCGTGGGAGTACAAAATCTAAGTGTCTCGAGTTATAGATCGCATCAAAAACAGGTAAGATAGCCCCTCCGGGGTAGCCAACTGCTCTCTATTAGGTGTCGTGTCCGTATTCAATGTAGGCAGCGAATAACTTACAGATATGCTTGACATCCAGTCTTAACATCATTTCATGGAAGATTTCACCGCCGCTTAGTCCAACAAAGCTGCAGAACAATGTTGTCAGTAACCAATTGGGCGGTTAGGCGACATCAGCTGAGGCAACATACGAATCGTCCAATGCAGGGTGTTGTCTGTTTTGAAGTGGTGATACATCTTGACGAGAGTCTTGGTTAAAAGCAGGGCTTGGAATTGGCCTTCCTTCTCTACATCGAAGACGCCGGCCTGTTAGCAATTGAATTGGCCCCAGCATGAGTCACGAGATAAGAGGATCGTACGTTGCAGGAGCACTTGCTGTACTCTGCCCACGTTTTGAGGCTTCTGCAGCTGCGGATTTCTGTGTTGACCGGCGATGAGGGGACAGAGCAGCTAGAATTGGTGTGGAAGAAAATTGCCTCGAGGTGATCTGTGATGGCTTTAAGTGAATGGCGCGCAGGGCGCTCCTCGATGGTCTAATAGACAGCATCTTGATTAAGCGCTTCGAAACAATGAAAAGAACGAGACAAGAAACGAAATACCAAAAGAAGGCAGCAGAGAGAGGACGAGCAGTGGAAGGGTGGAGAGTCGAGGAGCGGGTGAGAGCGCGGGTATGACTCTTTTCACAAGCAATCCTTTTTAAGCCAAATCTTCAGCGGAGCTCGCCCAAGCGAACATCGGCGGATTCTCCGATTTTCGGGCAATCCAGGCGTGGTGATTGGCTGGCCTGGCGTCGGCCCAGCCGGTTTTGATCGGGCCCGACAATGGCGGGGCATGTTGTTTGTCCTGTTTGCCCGGTTTCCGGAATATCAATATTCCGTACAAAGTATGATTTGTCTTCTTGTTTTCGAGACAAACAGTTGTGAAACAAAGCTTCGTTTGTTCTTGGACAAAATTGATTTGTCTGCATAGCGGTTCCTCCTAGACAAAGGCGAGAGAGCTAGGGTACTGCGGTGGAGAGCCTGCTGGCAACTATCTAGTTAGTGAAAGTAAATGTGCGGAGTAGAGGATCTATAGATGGAGCACGCCGTAGCATTCTGAGGCGCTCTGCTCTGCTCTGCTGTTGTTTGGGCATATCTGTGTGGTGTTAGACGCACAGCATAGGAGATCTCGGTTTCAAAAAATCGACGTCCTGAAGAAAATCGTAAGCTGTTGCCGGGGTGCCAGGATATTTATATTCTTTTATGTCGCGGGTCAGCTCGGCGGGTCGCTTGGAGTCGGCTGCTGCGGGTCGGGAAGTGGGGCTTACTGCTGACTAACGCTCTTGCATCATCGTGCAGGTACCTTGTCCCGCAGCTGATCACGCCAGCAACCACCGTCCACGAGTCTGACGAGCCAGCAATTGGCGTTTTATATCCCCTTCATCTTTACGCCGCTTTTTAGCAGTCATGAATGAGTTTGTGCCCCGCACACAGTCGATTGCCGATGTTTACCCCGCCGAAACAACCAGCGACTCCGGCCTCGATATAGATCAGGTTGCCAGATGGACTGTCTTTCTCAAACGGTTTAAGGAGATCTATGACGACATCCCTGAAATTGTTGCCAGGAGCCCAGGCCGTGTGAACATTATTGGAGAGCATATCGATTATTCGCTCTATGATGTTCTTCCCGCCGCATTGCGTGTTGACGTCTTGATTGGTGTTCGGGCCTACAGAATACCCGGCCCAGATGGCATTGTGAAGCTGGCAAACTTCAACGCTACCAAATTTCCGGGCCAGGATTTCTCTGTTCCTGGCGGATGTGATGTTGAATTTGACATCAACAAGCATGAGTGGGCTAATTATTTTAAAGCAGGTATGCGGATAGCTCTCCATTTTCTCCGCGCAAAGTCTAGCGGGAACCCTTCTCCACCACTGCGCATGAAGGTACTAGTAGATGGCAACGTTCCCCCCGGAGGTGGAGTTTCCAGTAGCGCAGCATTGATTTGTGCCAGTGCGCTGGCTACAGTTAAGACGCACGGATATAACCTTTCGAAGCAAGAGCTCCTGGATTTATCCTTAGTATCTGAGCGCAGCGTAGGGGTGTATTCTGGAGGGTATGTATTGCTATATGCTCTTTTCTGCAGATAATAGGTATTTTACTTACCACTTGGCAGCATGGACCAATCCGCATCTGTCTTCTGTCGCAGTGGATATCTTCTTTATACCCAATTTTACCCAACATACTGCATTGCCAATCTGCCAATTCCGAAGTCCAAGCCGGAGATAACATTTTTGGTGGCGCAAAGCTTTGTTATCTCTAACAAGGCCGACACCGCTCCCACCCGCTATAATCTGAGGGTTGCTGAATGCACTCTGGCAGCACTGGTTTTAGCAAAACTGCACAAGGTTACTTTATCACCAGATACAAGCCCCCTAAATTACTGTCTTCGCTCCTTTCACCAGGAGTTGATGCAACAGGAAGGGCGCTTAAACGATCCCCTCGAATACCAATTGGATTCTATTATCTCTGGTGCAACAAAATTACTCAAACAGGACAAAGGCTATACCCGGGAAGAAATTGCCAAAATTCTCGAGATTTCCGTTCCCGATTTGGAGTCAACCCATTTATCTGCCTTTCCGGTCAAGGCAGACCGTTTCTATCTGCGCCAGCGCGCTCTCCATTGTTTTAAAGAAGCACGGCGTGTTATCGACTTTACTGCCTGTCTAACAAAATCAGACCATATAGATAACCACAGGCTCAAGTACCTTGGCCAACTTATGAACGAGTCACAGGAATCTTGTCGTACCCTATATGACTGCTCGTGTCCTGAAATCAATGAGATGTGCAAAATTGCCCGTGATGCCGGCGCCCTTGGAAGTCGTCTAACTGGTGCTGGCTGGGGTGGATGTACTGTGAACATGATTCCTCAGACAAAGGTTGAAAGTGTAATATCAGCTCTGAAGAAGAAATATTATGAAAAGCGATCAGAGCTGACTGAGGAACAAATGAAAGTGGCAATGGTCATTAGTAAGCCTTCAACCGGAGCATTTGTGTATGTGATGTCCTCCAATATATCCTACCAGTCTTAGCGCCGCTATTAATACGCTTCTAGGATTCACGGCTCTGCCATCACCGATATACTTTCTCCTTAAGGAAGGTTGGCTTATGGAGTAATATAGTACTAATCTAGTGAGAATAATATATTGAATAAAAGTATAAGTTGGAAGTACCATGTAATAGTTATTCTACCTGCTTAGCAGCATGGATAAAGGTTTGGGTTCAGCCACTCCGGCCGTCCCAAAGGCAAAAGTCACATCCAACTCCTTATAATCGTGGTTCGTGGACGACAAATAGTTGTAAACCCGTCAATATGCAGTCGGGTACGTAGTCGGGTTTTTTCGAGTACTTTGGCGTTTTGACCGCGTAGTGTAGCAGCCAGAGGTGGCTCCCAAATCAGTATAGGACTTCAATCTCATATTCATGTGTATTGAATACTCAAAGCGGTACGGAGTAAAATTACGCGGCTATGGATAGCTTCCGATATTTCTGTGATAGTGACTGAAGCTTAATTGACCTGACCACCCGTGCCGTTGAGCAAAAAGGTCGCAAATCGTATACGGAGTATATGGAGAGATATATTTGTGATATTTAGCCTAAGGTTCAGGTTTTCTTTCCAAAAAAAGAACTTAATTTCTTCATCCCGGACGTATTGACCTTCTTAAGGTCCTTAATTCCTCGTGACTGGTTTGCTTTCTTCTTCTTTTCTTCTTCTTCCTGTTTTCTTTTTTTCTCGGATGCTGCTTCAACCTGCTCATCATCAAGCATTCGCTTCCGGCTCACGTTGTCATACAATGTACGCGAGGCTACAACCTCTGCCCGAAGTTTGGCGACGTATTCTAGATGCTGGTCTAGACTAGTAAAGTCTGTCGGGCTCGCTGGAGAGGCGACTATTTCACTGATCTTGGCAGATAGTTGTGGTGGAAGGTAGGAGGACTGGATATATTGAAGGGCAGTGCGGACACGCAGTAGTTGAATAATCTCGGTATTTGTGGACGGCGTGGAACTAGAAACAGATGATTGGCTTAAGTCTGTGGCAGGTGTGCTGGATATTGAAGACGGTGTGTGATCGATAGTCGTGGTTCCTGAAGACTGTGATTCACAGTCATTTCGAATCATATTTCCATTGCTCCCTGAAAGTATGTCAGATGGAGACTGTGAGTCATCCTTACTGCTAATACTCAGAACTGGGAGCTGTAAGGCTCGTTGAACAAATCGCTCTTCCATACTAGGGGGTAGGCCGTTGGTCGCCATGTTTTCGGACTTTGATAATAATTCTTTAACTAGCTTATTTTCATTTAGCCGAAACATCGTTTCCCCCGCTTCAACTGTGTCGCATACAGCAGTCATTCGGCCCTCAATTTTGGGCCGGAACTCTTTATCAAGCAAGATGTTTCGAAGGTGTGTTGACAGGTCTTCTCGCGTATCAAGAATATCATCCAATGGCTGAAATAAACGGCGGGATGATGGTTTCGATGGTGTACTGAGAATTGGTAAAAGAAAGAAGAGCAGATCTATTGGAGTAGCAATAAAAAGCTCGGCTGCCTTAGACGTAAATCCCTCTTTTTGCAAATTCCCGTTCCCGTGCAGACTGTCGGTATCATTGGCGGTGTCATCTTGTCCAAATTGCTCTCTCACAAATAGAACGCTGCGCGGTGAAGAAGCTGGAAGCGTCAGCGATGTGAATTCAAAGACTCCCAATTTTGGACAAAAATAGTAGCGACTTCTGCTGCCAGTCCTCGGATTTTCAAGGAGCACGAATCGAGAGTCTCCAGAGGCGCCGGCTGGAAGAATTAGAAGTTTGGTCTGTTTTTGCGGCAGAGTTGGGTCTGTTTCTGCTGCGCCATGAGATGCCTTGCTAGTGGGGGCAGCAGAACGGGTTCTCATATTCTTCAAAAAAGGGATATGCTAAGAAAGAAAGAAAGAAAGAAAGAAAAAGGGAAAGGGACTCGCTGCTAATCACGGCACGGCATAGTCAACCCTAATGATAAGCTCGCGGTCTTCATGTCATGACACCGTCCAGACTTGGCGACGCGACAGAGACGCGTCTTGTCGCGTGTGGCATTTCTTCATTTAACGATCACGGGCGTTTCATCGAAAACCGGCAACCGATCTATCAAAACGACTTTTCGAGACCTGCGGTGTGAGATATAGCTACATACGGAGTAAACGAGAATTATAACCATCTGGGCGCGCCGTTGCTTCTTCCGTGTTTTGGGGTGTTGTGGGCCACAACATTGCTGCTCGGCAACCGCACTGCGATCGTGACTGCGATGGGTTAACTATCCAGCTACGTGCGATGCTTGTTACTACAACATAGACGACCCCCCGCCTGCTTATCGTATAAGTATGTCTTTTCTACTAGCCTTCACTTTGCGCAGCTGACGGAGACTAGTGGCTGAAATACCATGGCCTCCCAAATCCCCGCACGACGCTCTGATGAGCTCGCCTGGCGGTCGCCGGAAATTCCAAGAGATGCAGCAGCGGAGGCTTACGACTCGCACGAATCTGAGTCCGAGCAAGAGCAGGGCCAGCCAGTTGTTGGACAACACGGATTATGGTGCCGATGAGGACGATGACGAGGAGACGTTGCAACTGAAACTTGCAGCTATCGAGGCCCGCTTGAAGCTGAAGAAATTACAGCACCAGAACGAATTAAGATCGAAACCTCCAAGCTCTGGGACAGACAGTAGTCACGTTCGGGGAGAATCGAGAGACTCCAACACCAGCATACATTCTTTGGTTAAGTCAGGAGTCAGCGGCAATCAAGATGGTGTTCAGGTGCCATTGTCGCCTCTACGGAAAGCGGCGACTCCCAGGGATCCAATATCTCCAAGGCGGGTCGCCTGGGGTATCGACAAGGGCCTAAAAGGGGACCAAGTCTCCCTCAAACGGCCTCCACTATCCAGAGAGTCCTCGCGACCCGGAAGCTCCTCTAGTTTTACAAGACAGCATACGCGAGGAACGAATCACTCTGCGCTGGTGTCGCAGAGTTTCCCAACCTTTGAAACCCCCAAAATCAAAAGCTTTAGTGAAAGGCTTCGTGAAAGCAAGGCAATAACAAAAGCCAAATGGGACAGAGTTCAAAATGTAGCGCGAAATCGACGAGCCGGGTTTGACGTGAACAAGAAAGAGCTAGAACATTTCAAGGTGGCTGCAGAGAAACAGAATCCAGCCAACACCAGTCTTGCAGTTGGGAAACCTCCTGTCCCAGAGTTCAGCCGTGCTGACATTATGCAGTCGTATGATAGGCCGCGCTCGCCCCTGCGTCGGAATAATACTGTGTCTGTAGTCACAGATTCAAGACCCTCATCAAGAGACACGACGTCTCTGGAGCGCAGTAACTCTACCTCACGAAGCAACCGTACCGAAAATGATGTTCATAGACATGGGATAAAAGCTCCTGATCCTTCGAAGTTTGAGCCATTTTCCGGTCTTCACCTCTCAAGTCGAATCTTACCACACTCATACATTACACGCAAAACAGAATCAATGAAAAGGCTGTGCATACCTGACTTGCTCAAAACAGTGAAAGCTCCTGACTTTGACCTCCCTGATACTGATGGCGATTATGTTGTATTTGGTGTCATTGCGTCAAAATCAACGCCCAGGGAGCATAAAGAGAAGAAGCCGGGGCTTGAAAACAAGAAGGACCCCTACGATGATGGCCTTAACAATCAAAGTAAATACATGGTCCTCACCTTAACTGACCTCAAATGGAGTCTTGATCTCTTCTTATTTTCTACTGCATTTCCGAAATACTACAAAATGTCACCGGGAACACTGATTGCCATTTTGAATCCTTGCATCATGCCCCCGCCACCTGATAAAATCAATACAAACCGCTTCAGTCTTACTATATCATCTTCCGATGATACAATTCTAGAGATTGGAACTGCTCAGGACATTGGTTTTTGCAAGGCAGTAAAGAAAGATGGCAAAACCTGTGATGCCTGGGTTGACGGCCGCAAAACCGAATTTTGCGACTTTCATGTCGACATTCAGCTGCAAAAAACAACTTCAAAAAGAATGGAAGTTAACAGTGGCCCGGGGTTCGGTCGAGACCCTCGGCGGGGGAGGTTTGGTAGCCGTGTGGGCCGAGGTCATGAAAGATCAGAAAAAGGCCTTAAGAGCGAAGGTGCTGTCTATGATCGGACCTCTGGATCAATGTACTACGTTGCACCTCCAGTTCCAGGACATGCGGGATCGAGTGCTTTAGGTCTGCGCTCTGCTGCAAGTCTGATAGATGCCGATAACCCTTTTGTTAATGGCGGAGATTCCTTTCATCGCCGTGGGGAAAGTGAGAGTGATAGGTTTCGAAAACGACTTGCAGATCGAGAAAAAGAACGCAATATTGCTAAAAGACTCGGCGAGTTCAAAAGCGTCGGCTCCGAGTACATGCGTGCTCAGCAATCTGAACAGTCGTGCAGTGACTCACAGCCGGCATCTTCTGGAACTTCATCACAATATCGCACAGGTGACGACCTACTGTCAGCAAGGGCAGCATTAGGCTTAGACAAAAACCCCAAAAGTGCAAGCAACGTTAAGCTGGGAAGAATAAAGAAACGGGATTTTGCGAGCAGCAATGGTGTAACAAGTACCAATGTGCGGCTGTCTCCAGTGAAGAAGACGAGATTTATAACCGCAAAAGGGATTCGTGAAGCCGGTAGAGACAGCTTGGAAACAAGCCAAGACGCATATTCGGACGATGATCTGGATATTGTACAGTAACAAGAGTGATTTTCTTGCTTGTATTAGTATCAATGGGCTACCAAAACGGCTGATAGCATTAGAAGTGTACATAGAATGCCTTGGTGCATACGTTGGATAGAAGTTGCCTGTTTAATGATGGTTATGATAATGATATTCATGGCAAGACATGGGAGGAATTGAGAATTAGTACTTCGGTTTGCTACTGCAGTTTGATTAATGCAAATTTACGTTGTTGGCTTGGCCTTAACTAATGTACCTCGTCCTAATAAAAAGCCCAATCGCCAAATTGAGTCCGTGGTGCGACAGGCAAAACAAAAAGGAAAACAAATTCCACTCGTTCCACTCCTCTTTCCATCAAATACCATAGTTCACCAATTCCAGATTTGCCAATATTGGCGAGCAAGGAGACAAGGGAAGTCTTTGGCTCAAAAAAAAGGGGGGGAGGGGGGGGGAAGAATAAGATTGCCAACTAACACAGAAATGCACAAAACAGAAAGTTGATTGGTTGATTTCCATAAAAGAATAAAGACAAAAAAAAAGGGTAAGCAGCTGGAATAAAGAGAAAGAGAAAAGAAGTCATAGGCATCATAAGAGCTTAGAAGGAGAGGAGTATTGTAGGTTGATGAAATTGAAATAGTTGATACCTTGAGTCCAACAACTGAAAAAACATTTCGGAAATGTTACTGTTGAACGTGGTCCAAATACTCACCCCGATTGATGAACCTTTTTGGATTGAGACTGAGTGCTACGTCCAAGGGTGCTGGAGGTCCTTTTCTTTCCTCTCTCGCTGGTAGAAGACTTCGCTTTGGTACGCGTCCAGCGATCGAAAGGACTAGAACGATTTCCACTTGGCGTAATATGATTGTTTGGAGTAATCTCAGGCTCGGTTTTCTTGACATGGGAGCGAAGAGAGCGGCCTGAAGCAAGAGGGGTTGAGGGCGTCTCCAGGCACGTCATTTTTGTTGGTGGGGTAACTGGCAGCTCAGCTGTCTCAAAAGTCGCTTTTTGTCTAGGGGTAACAGGTCCAACTTCAGGTGTGTCATTCTCTTCTTCTTTTTCTTCTTCTTCTTCATCATCATCAGTCTGTGTATTATGTAGGACTTGTTTCATAGCATCTGCCTTTGACGCACGAGTGCGGAATTGCTCGGTGGATGGGAAAAGGACGCGGGGTTTAATGGATGAACGAGTCATAGGGCGAGTTCTGCCGGTGGGGATGTCATCTAGAGAATCCATAAGACCGGATTCACTACTGCCATCGGATTCTTCGGGATCATCTGGTGTGAATTTGCGAAACACCTTCCTTCCACGGCTATATAATTATAATTAGAAACGACTTAGCACAAAAGGGCCTGGGTAGATAGAACTTACAAAACATAGAGTATACCGTCATCGCGTTTTACCATTTCATCCACGGCAGGGTCGCGCTTTTCTTTATCTTTGCTCAGTCTTCTTCTTTTCGATTGCCCGTCGCAGTTATCGCCCTTGGGTGTGTCAAACTGTGTTCCAGTAATAAAAGGATTGTCTTCTGCAGGATTGACAGAAGGAATGCGATCCCTAATATCCGTATAAATTTCAATGGAGCTGGAGCTTGTCGGCTGAGGGTCGCCATGGAAGCTTTCTAGAGAAAATCCACTGTATTTTTTGCCTTTCGAACGATTCTGAGAGTCCATATTGTGCGGGGATTTGGCGAATAGAGTTCGCGCGACAGGCTCAGGGTTCGCAATCTGCTTCTTACGAGGCGTTTTTGCTGGCGTTGGAAGCATCCCTGCTGTCATTGAAATTTGCTTGTGTGAATTTTCCATGGTGTTGTGAGAAGGCTGAAGTGAGGTGAAAGTGTTCTTGGGGTTATGGCCAGTGTGTGTTTTAGCGAATAATGAATGAGGAGTGTGTTGTCGCTTAGAGTTGGTTCTGATTTCTTCTGCTTCACGTGAAGCAATGGGTGACTTATCAGGTGAGCGGGGGATAAACGGTGATTCGTCTGAATCAAAACTGAGATGATGGGAGTTGCCGTCCAATCCTAGTGCATCGTCAGAATATTGGCTTGAAAACCAATGAGGCGATTGCACATCAGAGCATTCTGACTCACCAGCCTGTATAGGATCATTGGAACCAGTGCATTTTTGGCTTTGAATTAAGCAGTATTCAGATGTATCACGAGTTGCAATACGCTTTGACCGTCTTGGTGAACAGGAATATGGGGAATAATTGTCATATCCAGCACCACAAAGAGGAGCAGGGGGGGTTCGCAGCCTTCCTCGAGGGGGAGGAGTAGTCGCCATTTGAAAGATTCTTGGTCCCCAAAATTGTCCCTTTAAATCTCGGTATTGCAATAGGATATACTGAAGGATAACCTGGTCAGTGTTTACAAGTTTATTCTCGCGATGGTCAGAGTAGTTTGAAATGCTTACTGAAATCGGCGGCACAACCAAAAAAAAGGGTAAGATCCGACTCCCAGAGCAACCTTATCGGGATAGTATGAAGATAATCCAAGCGACTGAACAAGCGGCTGGTAAGCGCGAGCGCCAGTAAGAAATCGAGATCATCCGCAGTTGATAAACGCGTCTCAGACAGAGTCGGGGCCGGGTCTCCCAGCAATCAGACTTATAGCTTTAGCAGAATGCAGCTATATTTTCGGAGTATCTAGACACGAGTAGTGAAGAGATCGTAGTCAAGCAGCAAGTGTTCGTGTACATCCGCAGTCCCGCGAGGTCGCGTCCAGGCAGGAGTCGCAACAACAAAATTTCCGACAAGCTATCGCAAGCGAGCCACGATTCCCGATATACTTCCAAGACCTAAAGATCGAGTAACGGTAGCTGTGGAATATTGTAAAGGAGACCAAAGGTTGAGGTATATGAGGAGAGGAGATCAAGTCGGCTTCATGATGTTGAAGTGCATTCAGGTGGTATACCAGCCACAACCTAATGCCTGAAGTGGTTAGCCGCCCAGTGCCTCTTCCATTAGGCCAATCAACGCCGGCCATGACTTGCAACATAAAAGATTCAAACCCGCGAAGCCGCTTCATTGTTCGGGCTATCTGGTGCCTTATCTGTATGGTAACGACTTAATATCCCCCGGATGTTTACGTCTATGATCCAGCACAAATTGCTTGGAGAGGGAGCAACGAATCATGGCCCACCTTACCAATGAGATGGCAGATTTACATCTGCAACAGAACTCCGAAGAGGATACTTGGAACTCGGACACGAAGCACCAACCAAACCAAAGTTCTAGCAATACTGAAGAGTTGCCGTCAGTGGAAGAAAGGGAACGGGCTCTGAGAACAGAATTGCAAACAGTACGGGACATTAATAGCGTGATTGAAGGCGTGGTTGAAAGTTTAGAGCGCGCAAAGGGCAACATGGAGGTAAAGCAGAGTTCAATGTGCTTATTTCTACTTATTACTTACAGGTAGTACAATAGAATGTTTCTCGTACGGTTAGCTCAGCCTCTACCCTTCTCGATACGTGGACACGGATTCTTTCTCAGACGGAACATAACCAGAGGCTCATTTTAAACCCATCCTGGCAAGGCGCAACCCAGGATATGGCAGACATTGAAAATGAGGCCTTATTGAAACAACAGGCTGCTGAACGAAGAGAATTAGAAGAGCAACAACGGAGGGAGGCGTTGGCTCAGAAAGCGGCCGAAGAGGAACGTAAAAGAGCTGCGACCACTGTAGCCACGAACAAGAATGTACGGACAATCTCATCAAGAGGGAGAACCAGGACAGTGGGGCGAAATCCTTCATCTACTTCAAGTACATCACAGACTAGCGGAAGCGGGACACGCGGTGTGTCGAGGGGCGCGACGGGCAGAGGGACAGCCGGTCTTAGGAGACCACCATCCACTACCACAAGAGGGACAGTTGGTACAAACAACCGAGGGCGGCTTCGTGGCAATTGAAGTAATTGGTTGTATAAGGCCGTTTTTGCATTCATCGTCTCTATGATACCCCAATCACAAATATTCAATACATACATCCGTGAATTCCTATAGTTAAATATGTGTTCGCGTTGATGCATCTAACATCTTATCATATCTATGAATATTCAGCCACCTAATGAGTAAATCCGACATTCATGTTGACGAATTTGGCCCTATATACACCTTTTTGTACTCCGTACGGAGTACTGAGTATTTAGATGTTGTAACTATGTAACTTCCCCCACGCACTGCCAAGGGCGAAGCTTGAGCTTGAACTTACGCGTGATTTCGAAACAGTCAATTTCCAAGCTGGGATACACTCAAACTCATCAATGGATAGCTTGCGGATCTAAGGAAGACGAACGAACCATGAATTTCGCGCCGTACCAAGATGAGTCTCCTGATGCCGAACGCGCGCTCTCCCCTTCTATCACAGACGCCAACCGTACAAAGTCACCAAGGTCGTCCCCGCCAGCGCAAGGCACCTCCCCAAACCACCTACCTTCTCCAAGTGTTTTTGCTGGCCAGGGAAGAAACAGTTTAGAGAACAATGGAAATTCGGGATTTGGAAGAGAGAGATATGTCGAGGCTGGGCGGCTGGATGTGAGCGCGTTCGAAACGAGTCTGCCGATACCTCTCCATATCGAGGCCATGTTGGCGTATGTGCTACTGCCACCAGCAGGAGGCGTATTTCTTTTGCTACTGGAGCATAAGAGTGACTATGTGCGGTATGTACTAGATGAAAATAGCCGTGGTTTAATCACATAAATGCGTTTAGATTTGCAATGTCTGACTGGTCTATCCTCCTAGATTTCATGCCTGGCAATCTAGCATGGTATTTACGGCACTCTTTGTACGTCGATTCGGGCTTACTTCTAACGTGAAGAATAGCTGACTTTTTTATGCAGATAATCCACATGTTATTTGCATGGACGAGCTTCATCTCGTGGCTCCTTTTCGTCATTGATATCGGTTTAATCGCATTCCTTGCCTCACATGCATATCGGGATGGTAAGACTGTAATACCAAGCTACGTAATATCTAATAGCTGACAGCGGCAGTTGACACGCTCGAACACTACGAAGTGCCTTTCTTCGGTCGCCTAGCCAACTCCTTCGTTGACGACGAATAGCTTCTTCATACTTTTGGTTTTCAAGGGAAGCTACTTCAATCGTCTATAATTTTCAGCCGTGTATAACTATCATTCTTTTTTGATTGGTTCCGGCGTTTGAGCTGGAGTTTATCACTGTATTGTACGCCATGTCTACCAAACGCTTTATCAGTTTCCATATATGCATACTGCAGGGCAGCCATAAGTTGTTTTCAAACCGATCTATTTTATTTGGTAGGACTTTGTTTTTGAATTATACTCCGGATTATAGTACAATGCAATCAGGCTGTGTCCCCAAAAATCTGTTTATGAGCAAGTTGAGTTCTTCTCCGTTCCACCCAAACGGTTTGGTTAGATTGTGGTACCATGTAGTATATACTTGTTTGCCTCCCCAAGAAAGATTCTTATGTTTTCTTACGTTAGACTGCATCCCAGGTTAAACCAAAAGTATGGACACGGTATACCATTCTCATTAAACGTATCACATAAATCAAACCCAATTTTACGTGAGAGCTAGAAAACAATAGCAAATTGCAGACAGCTATCGGAAGTATACGGCACAATATGCACAGGTCGTATCGGGAATGTCAAATAAGAAGGAGATGGTCAACATCATGATCATAGGCGGGATATCGTATTCAGGTTAAAAAGGGGGGGCCAAGCAAGCAGGGAAAATTATGAAGGAGTGAGAGATCAAAGAAATTAGCCAAAGTCGACTCAAGCTGCGAACAAAAAAGGTCAGTCTGTAACAAAAGAAATCCGTTATGAGACTTGATCAGTAAATGCGTCATGTCACTCATTTAGCAAAACATCCACAAGAAAAACCATTTGCGCAAATACAAACGAACCTTGGTAGCCAAAATCTAGCACTGTTGCAAGTAGTTACTTGGTACGAGACCAGGAGCAGTAGGATTGCCGGTAACTTCAGCTTCCCACCAGCCGTCATCTTGATGGCGGAGAACTGCAAGAATGTCACCTTTCATAAAACCCAGCTCTTCTGGTATTGCAGCTGTATAGCTGTACATTGCTCGAGCTAGATGAAAGGAAGTATTAGAAAGAGAAAAGGCACATGAGGCAGATGGTGAAAAAGGCTTACCAAAATGTAGAATTGGGCGTCCATCTCTGCTCAAAGGCCGCGAGTCTGGTGTTGCTATACTTCTACTTCTGCTCCGGTATGGCTGCACGCTGGAACCAACGTCGGATGCGGAGCCATAATACATACTCATCGGACGTTTGGTATTGTCTACATTGCTGTAAGACCTGGAATGGCCGGTATATTCTCCAGCTCCTCCCCCATGCATATCCATCTGGTTTGCGGACAATTGGAGCTCCATACCATTCGAGCTTGCAGGCCGTTCCGCGCGCATAAATTGCGGCTGAGGGGAAACAGAGCGGTGCGCCATACTGGGAGAGGCACGGGATGCAACGCTTGGGGAGGCTCGAGGTGCGGGACTAGGGGACGCACGCTGAGTATATTGGGGTGAGTAAGAACGCTCCATAGTAGGTTTAGTCGGGGTAGTGGTAGTAGAGGCACCTGGCGATTGTCGATATCTACTACCCATACTGCTAGATTGATATGCACTAGGACTCGGTTTGTTTGTGCTGTACTGCGGTTGATGACGCTCCGCTTGCGCTGGTGGCTGTGGACTTGTGCTTCTTCTCGGGGCAGGGGAGGCAGCACGGCTAATAGGCCTGGCTTGCTGGATATTTTGGGCTGGTGGTGTGTTTCGCTGCGCTCTAGTAGGGGTATTGAACAAGCTCTGTGTTTGTCCTACATATTTTTGAGTGGTCTTTTGCATCTGAGCAGAAGTGAATGCTGGTCGGGGTGCATCCAGTCGCTTCACAGGTGGTGTATCGCTATATGATGGCGGAGGTGTAACTCGTTTCACTCTCTGTTTGTTGTCTTGTGGTTGAGGTTGAGATTGCTGTGCAGGGGCTGCAGGCCCCATTGGGGTTGAGAGTCCATGGTATCTGTCCGCCGAAACTCGTACAGACGACTGCTTTCCAACAACCTTAAGATCAGCAAGGGCTTGGGCAATGGGGTCCGCATCAGGGTCTTTCTTTGTTTGAGGTCCTCGCTGTGCTGTTGCTTCAGGTGAGGCAACATCAAAAACATTATTCCCGATGTTCAGTTGAAAATTTGCTCTGGGGTCAACAGGTTCGGGGCTTCCACTTCCATTTTCAGCTTCAAGGGCAGGCTGGCGATTATATATGCGACTTGGGGTTTTCGTCTGCTTTGGGCCTGCCCATGTATTACGATTCGTCTGGGGAGGAGTAGCTTGCTGGGCCTGACGTTCTTTCTCATGCTTACTCTTCCTACGGAATGGGCTGTTGCTAAAAAATGCACTGCGTTTCTTTTGGACTTGTGGTTTGGCATCAGTCATACCGGGCATGGGAACGCCATTGATAGGCTTTGTGGGGGATTGCTTTCCGCTTGGCGGTTCGATGCTGGAGAAAGATGTAGGATTCGACACCTCACTGTAGGAATGAGATTCTCGACTGGAAGGGCGATTGGCACTCAAAGTTGAACTTTTGTCCGAAGGAGGGCCTGTTCGACAAAACATAGTCATGCCATCCGTTGGATACTCATTATGAGGAACTGCTGGGATATCTCCGTGCTGGCTAGGTTCGTAATTCGGCGGTAAAGCATTCCCACGCCTCGGATCCATCTGCATCTGCTGTGCCGGTGGCATGGACCGTATCTGTTGGGCTTGATGCGTTGCTTGCGCGGTCTGGATTGGTTGCATCACCTGTGATGGTGGTACATGATGAGTTTGCTGTGGCGGTTGAATAGGCTGGATCGCTTGCATAGGTTGCATATGTTGTTGTATTGGCTGCAATATTTGATCTGAATCTGGTTGCAGAGATGGCCTGTTGGCTTGTGAAAGTTGGGCGTGCTGTGCTGATTTCTGGGGGGTGACAGTCGCCTCCCTGCTCGACGGCGCGTCCATATCGCAATGGTTCATTCTTCTTGCAAGTTCAGAGTCAGGGTCATGGTGAGATTCGTAGGTTGATGGCTGCGGAGAAGAACTTCGAAATGCAGGATTAATTGTTCGCTGAAACTGAGCGACCGAATAGCCTTCCTCCTCTGATACTTCGGAGCTTGCGTCGTTTACATCTCCTCGGCAAAAATTAATATATTTTGGAGGAGCTGGTATTTCTTGCCCTGTGCCCCTGTCCCGAATAAATAGGCTGATATCCTTCTCAACTTCACAGTTTTCTAATGATACCCTAATTTTCTCGCAAGACTAGATATACATAATTCAGTAAATATCCAAAAATCATTCAGACTGGGGAGCATCATACCGCGTCATCGCTAACACAGGCCGTAGATGCAACATTTGCATAAGTCCAAAGACTGCTTTTGGTAAAGTCCAAACGCTCTTCTTCTAGATCTTGGAATTTCTGCAGCCATAATCAGCAGGGTATCGCAAAAGTCATCGTAAGGCAATTACATCACAAGCAGCTTTCCATTCTTTATTCCACCGGCCAGTCGTTTCTTCGAGAATTTTTACTGCGGATTCGTACTCATTGCTGTTAGAAGCTAGTTGAATTTGCGTTTTCTCGAGCTTCGCTTTGTTTTTCCGTTCTTCTTGTCCCATTACCATGTGTCCTTGAGCAAGATATCCTTTAATTCGAAGGCAGTCTTGTTCATATCGATCTCGTGACTATACGTTGATGAGCGCCATTGAGTTACAGGCGGGCTGGCCTCTTCTTACCTTGTTGACTGCATGAAGCTGATGTATTTTAGTTTTAAGGAGCTTCTCGATTCCAAATTGGACAATTTTTCTTCGTTCCTTCATGCCCCCCGCGAAAGCAGCAAGAGGCTCCTCTAGTTCTCCCTTCATCTGTGACGCAATGGCAGAATGTGTTTTCCCGATGGCTTCTGTTTCCCCTCTCATTGTATCTAGCGAGGCACGAAGGGTACCCGCCTCACAAGAACCCAGGGGTTTCCGGCATAGGGCCAACAGCTTTCTAGCATACTCATCTTCAATTGCAGCACGGGCTTTCGTTCTGTCAGAGACCGTGCGTGTCAACCAGAGGGAGAAGAAAATACGCACTGCTATAAAAGGTCTTCAACTCATCGCATGTAACTTTCGCATTGTGCATGCGCTCCAGCATAGGACCAACGCCAGCATCATCCTTTCCCCAAAAATTATTCGCGACTTGAGAATTGTAGACGATTAGCCGCTTAGAAGTAGTCATCCTCAAGAAAGTATCAACACTTACAGGACAACGATACTGTTGGAGCTGCCGCCACAGTTCCGGGCATTGTGATATGTTAAACGCGTAGACGCCGAGTATTACTTGATCATAAAGAAAGATAATTAATTGTTCTTCCGAGGCCGCCCTTACCGGACGTTGCTTAGATGAAAAAATGAAAGCAAAGCAAGCGTACGTGTCGAGAAAAGACAACTCCAAATACACAAAAAGGTCACGAACGTCAATCGACCCCAACCTTAACAAGCCCAGGCCCTCTCCTGTCCGTGAGAATCGCCCGCCATTCAAACGGGCGGGCATTGTTTACGCCCGTTTCACGGGGCAACCGAGAGCGAGGCGCGGCCGAAAGGGCTTGGCGCCTCTTTTGCGGAACTCGCGTCTTCAGCCCTACACTGCTGAAGGAACCTGGCGCACTCGCCGCGGAGTAGAGTGATTATGTGCTCCGTATGGGCTGTCATAGCTGCTGTTTGGTGGCTCTCGGGAATCTGCATTGGATTCGTGTGGTATCATTTGTCTGCTGTCACCAGTGCCATGTGGCACTCACTGTTCATTATTCCGTACATAGCCAATGTGTTTGAAGAAAGGTACTACAGAATAGAATTACCGGTAATGAAGGGGCCTTCGCCTGGTTGTCTTACTCCGGGCGGCTGCGTCGTGCTCTTTTGGATAGTAGGCTTCGGCTAGACAGCTCTCGCACACCACTGGAAGCTGCTGGGGCCAGTATGGAAAGGGGCGCCAGCAAGGACCACGGTTCTTAACTTTGCGCTGGGGAAGGCAACAACTGTTTAGGTACTGCTATGCGACCCTAAACGCACGCTTGGGGGGATAGAATAATTTTTGTGGAGAGAGACAAAACACCACATCCTATCCCTGTTACTTGTCAGTAGGCGCACATCACATCGCGCTGTGGCACCCTGTGAAGGGGTCTGTGAGCCAATCGCAGTCCAGGGGTCACCAATAGGGATACCACAGCTATAAATCGCAGCTGATTCTATTCCTATCCGTCACCGAGCATAAGATACAAATTTTGAAGTGGGAGCAGTGGGGAAACGACGAAAGAGAATCCATATGGCGCTCAGCTGTAGCAAGGTGTCTTCAGGGCGCCGATGAGCGGGCACCCCTGCCTCTGAGTGCTCCCTCTGTAGCGGTCTGAGGCGATCGTCTCTCTGGGCGCGCAAGCCACACCTGCAAAACAGCTGCAGCACGTGACAAACGCATCTACGGCAGGCTAGAAAGCCGAATGCGCTTCAAGTGCGGGAGCTCACCATCCAGCAAGCGGCAGCCAGGGCCCCGCGCGGTGATGCATGTAGTGGTAGCTTTCGTCTCATCTAAGTTGTTGGTATGCTCCAGGTCATAACCTGTGCGACACTGCTCTATCATGAACACATGATTTCCGTCCCATCAGGCTGAAGGTGCTTTGTGGCCCAAGCTGCACTGCTGAGCTGGCCTTTTGCGCCCGCTGTAGCAGCCAAATCGACTGAACCACAGAAAACCTCCAACTTCACCACCTCCCATCGTCCTTCCTGCAGCCCAACCAGCCAACGTTTACGCTTTTGCTTGCTTCCCCCCCATCGAGTAAAGAAGTGCCTTAGAAACAATTGGAATTGCCCACTCTGCTGCCATCTTTTTTGATCTACCTTTGCATCTCGACCACCAGTAGTCTTGCCACAGGCCTTCTCTCATCCTCAACACAATTCTCTTCTTCAAGGCTGGATCAGATGATCGCGTCTCCTAGATGACCTTCCCTTCTCCTTCGCATTCGGCCAAATCTTCGATTGCTTCTGGCACCGAAAGACCATCTTCCCGACCCGCAAGGTCTCAGCAGTCTCCCTGGGGCACTACTGCGTCCCAAAACAGCATCCGTCGTGGGCTTACGCCGCTTGCGACGAATATCCCTTCCCCCTCCACCGGTGGATCTCCTTCTCGCCGTCCTACCCAATCCCAAAGTCCTGGCCCGAGTGCCTCCGCTACGTCCCCGCTAACATCGTCCTTCTCCGCCATATTAAGCTCCACGGGTCGCTTTCCAGCTGCCCGCAGTAACCCCTCGCCAGCTTCAACACCAGCTTCATTCGCTGCTCTTCAAACTGGCGCCCAGCACCAGCAACACCCTAGCCAGTCGCTCACATCCCCCAAATCTCGAGCCCTTACTCCGTCGTCGGCATCGCACCTGGCTACCTCGGCGGCAGCGACCGGAGGCGGCGGGGGAGGCGGCGGCGGTGGTGGTGGTGGAGGAGGAGGTAATTCAAACGTATCAAGGGGTGCCACCTTTTCTCCGCTCCTGACAGGTGTCAATTCCCCAGTTGGGTTCTCAGATAAGCAAAACTCTGCGGGTACATCTATCGCCGGAATCGGTGCTGGTCAATCATCGTTATCCAAGATATCAGTAGCCCAAATTTTTCTTCTTTTGGATTCTATAAACGAAAAAGAAGGGAAGGAAAAGTGGGAAACCAAAGCTGCTCAAATTCATAAGGTATCGCTCTCTGATTTCTCATGTGACCTAAAATCACCGGTGAGCACGCTAACCGAAGTGTTGTAGCTGGTTGACTCGAACGGCATGGAAGTTTTTTCGAAATATTTTAGGCGACTTCTTTCTGGGAATGCTCCCCAGATTTTCCCTGGCACTAACAAGGCGGTCGAGAATGCCGGAAATTACCCTTTGCTAGTTCAAGAGATGCAAAAGGTTTCTCAAGACGCCGATCAAGCCCGAAAGATTGCAGAAACAATCGACGCTTCAGAAGGTGACATATTTCGCGACTTCGATTTGTCCACTTTTGTAGACCACTTCAAGTTGGACCCTATTGCCAAAGTTGCACTAATTCTGGCCTTCAAAATTGTGAACAGGGCAGATTTGCGAACTAAGGGTTTGTGCCCCACATCTAGCCTCACCGATTGGGCTCTGACTGTTTATAGCCGATGCCATTCTCTCTACCTCTATGCCTCAATTTCTACGAAGCCTTTCTGCTGTTTCTGAATCGAACAGTGACCTCACTTCATCCTTTATCGCACTCACTATTGAGCGATTCGTCTTCAATCCACCTCGCAATCTTAATGATGAGCTGAAGCGGAAGCTCATATATGCTGCCAAAATGCGATATCAATCCTCAGAGTCCGATGTCCCACCTGAAATTGACGCCTCGCTGCAAACCTTCGCTTTCTCAGATCCTAGATATTCCCTCGTTCGTCAAATACAAGCTCGCGGGCCGAAGTTACTCAACACCCAAGATGCATTCCTTGATGCTATTGCGGCTTCTGGCCCTGATGCTTACAACGAGGAACAAATCGCGGTTACCCTCCTTTTTATGATATATTCCCAAATCTGGCAAAAACCCTCTCTAGATTTGTTTGTCGCTACTATCCAGCACAATCAAGCAACACACCCCGTTAGCTGGCAAAAAGTAATTCGATTTTTTGACAAGGAAAGCTTAGAGATCGATACAGCCCAGTTTTCTCAGCTCTTCAGCCTGCTTCTTCCTCTTGCTCATGGTGACCCAGATTTTGATATACAGCTTCTTTGGGGCGGTGAATGGGAAAACAAGGATGCCCAGTTTTCTTTCGTAGCTGCCTTCCTTTCTTCCAACATCGATACCTCGACTATTCCAAATTTTCGATCTACATTTCCAATTGAAATATTTGATGATGCGTCCGAAATGGTTCGCCAACAGGCAGAATCTATTCGCAATAATTCTCTCCGCTCTCTTGACGCGGTGAAAGCCATATTTGACTTGATCCTTCTCACCCCAGTGACCTGGGCTGCCCCAGAGAGTCAAGCGTTTGTTAAGACTATCTTACAATACGACTTGCCCACATTTCTTTGCTCTGCTTTCGCCATTCCTCAACCGTGGACGAATGTGCAAGTCAATTTCGTTATTAGGTCTTTTATGATATTCGTGTCAAAACGCCAAGAAGGCTACCAATTCGCTCTTCATGGTGTGTGGAAACTTGATCGTCAATGGGTCGGCGACCAGTTGTTTCATGCTTTCACCCAAGATCCCTCATGTACTGGATTAATTTATGACCATGCAGTCGATCATGGCTGGCTTGAATATCTACTTGGATTTACCAATGGCTTGGCTATGGACCTCGCCTCTTTGGCTCACAAAAAAGGTTCTTATGATTTAGAGCAATGGGTCAAAGATGCAGCGCGAAAGACACCTGTTGATATGGGTGGCTTTCTTTCTAAATTTTTAAGAATCAAAGCCGAAGATGAGTTACGTGTGCAAAGAAAAGAGCAAGCTTCCCACCAAATGGTCAGCTTAGCTGTCAAAACAGTATACGCACTACTTCTAGTATTAGAAGACTATATTACCGACCACGAGCATCTGACTCCTATTCAACGTATTTGTTTGCAGACCTATCCTCGACTTATAAATTATGGTGAGGGATTTGATGAAATTATTGAAGCAAATGGGGTAAACAGTAATGCTATCCCAGACGGCGTTGAGAAGCAAATGCAGGATCTCTTTGGAAAAATGTACCATGAGGAATTGTCTCTGCGGGAAATTCTAGAATTGATGCGGCGTTATAAAGCTTCCCCTGATCCTATTGAGCAAGACCTTTTCACATGCATGGTCCACGGCCTTATTGATGAATATCATTGCTACAATGAATACCCACTGGAGGCCCTATCAAAAACGGCCGTCATGTTTGGCGGTATTATCAATTTTAAACTGATATCTGGGATTCCTTTAAAGGTGGGACTCGGCCTGATCCTTGATGCAGTCAGAGACCATGAACCACATGATTCCATGTACAAATTTGGCGTTGAGGCCATAGAACAACTTATCAACCGCCTTTCGGAATGGCCTGGATTCTGCGGCCTCCTTCTGCAGGTCCAAAGCCTCCAAGGGAGCGCAATATATCGAAAGGCAGAGGAAGTTCTTCGTGAACAAGGCCACCGTGTCAACGACTCCGATAGAGATGCCAATGGATTAGTTGACGGGTTAGCACTTGCAAATGGTGCTGTCGATGACCTTGTGGGCAATGATGCTACTCCTCGCAAATTCCGCTCGCTCTATGTCGATCCTCCGCTCCGCCCTGATTTTTCCCGTGAGCCGACCGAGGATGTCCATGACAAAATTCTCTTCATCTTAAACAACGTCTCTGAACAAAATATAGACGCCAAGTTAAAGGATCTGCGCGATGTTCTTCAAGAAGAGCATCACCAATGGTTCGCTTCATACATCGTCGAGCAACGGGCAAAAGTACAGCCAAACTTTCAGCAGCTTTACCTTGACCTTCTGGGTTTGATTGACAGCAAGATTCTTTGGGCTGAAGTTTTAAGAGAAACATATGTCAGCGCTATTCGCCTCTTGAATGCTGAGTCTACACTAAACTCTACCACTGATCGTGCTCACCTTAAAAACATTGGAGGCTGGCTTGGATCTTTGACTATTGCAAAAGATAGGCCAATAAAGCATAAAAACATTTATTTTAAAGACCTTCTCATCGAGGCCTTTGACACCCAACGTCTTACTGTCGTCATTCCTTTTACTTGTAAAGTATTAGGTCAGGCGATGAAGTCCACGATTTTCAAGCCTCCCAACCCATGGCTCATGGATATCATCGCATTGCTAATGGAAATATATCATTTTGCCGAGATTAAAATGATCCTGAAATTTGAAATCGAGGTATTGTGTGGGGATTTGCACCTTGACCATAAGAGTATTGAGCCATCCACCTGTATCAGGGAACGGCCGCCGCAGCTAGAGGATGGTTTGACAGCCGCAAGCATTGCTGAAGGTTTAGAAGGCTTTGATGAAATGTCACTTGCTGGTTTGAACCGGGCCAGTCGCAATGAACGCGTATCACCGGCTGCCCTAATCTCGAGCATATCTAATCTTGACCAGATTTTAGTTTATCCTCCATCCGCAAATTCGGTCATCGATCCTAGTGTACTCCGGCAGATTGTTCATAACGCTGTTGAGCGTGCAATTGGGGAGATAATTTCCCCTGTTGTGGAACGTTCTATCACAATTGCATCGATTTCGACGGCCCAGCTAATCGTAAAAGATTTCGCTATGGAGCCGGATGACGAGAAAGTTCGCCAGGCAGCATGTGCCATGGTTCGAGCACTAGCTGGAAGTTTGGCTGTAGTGACATGCAAGGAACCTCTCAAAATCAATATGACAAACTACATTCGCATGATCCAGCAAGACTATTCAGATCAAGCAATGCCTGAAGGATTGATTCTCATGTGTGTTAATGATAACCTCGATGCAGCATGCGGTATTGTTGAAAAGGCCGCCGAAGAAAGGTCGCTTCCGGAAATCGAGAAAGTTATGGAAACTCAATTGGAAGCACGCCGTGAACATAGGATCTCTCGTCCAAATGAGCCATATATCGATCCAAACATGAGTCGCTGGGGGTTCTTTATTCCCGAGCCATATAGGCAGGTTCCAGGTGGCCTAAACAAAGAACAATTGGCAATTTATGAAGAATTTGCCAGCCAGCCTCGCGGAGTGGTGCAAAGTCATATTCAAAACGTGTCAGCCGACCCAACAAAGCAGCTTCCCGATGTTCTTCAAGAAGCCTTCCCTGCTATTCCTAACTTATCTACTCCAGCTGAACAGCCAGCTCTACCGCATCAAATGTCTCAGGCACAGCAAGATACCGGCATTCAGCAACAAATGCTTACTAGTTCCCAACCTCAACTGAATGGCTTCCATGATTCGGTGAATCCTCGCGAGAAGATCGAAAAATTAGTTGTAGATCTTCAGCAAACGGCTCGCGATGCCCCAGAGGAACATATTAAGGACCTTTGGAGAGACAGCCCTATTCTTCAAGAATATAACCAAATTCTCCGTGCCATCTTATCATCACCAAATGGCGAAGAATTTGCGAGGTTGACCGCGGTTAAAATTTGCAGCGCACTTTACACTCAAGCCGAAAATACTCTGGAAATCGAAGTGCTTGTTCATCTACTCTCTAAAATTTGTGAGCTATCGTCCCTAGTGGCGCGATATACTTGGGCCATTCTTGCCGAAGTCGAGGATGGTCAGATGTTCAACGTTCCTGTGACTGTGGCATTAATAGATGCCGGCCTGATGGACCTCCATCGTGTTGACATGATTCTCGCTAAACTTATTAAAGAAAAGAACGTCGCAGCATTGGATTTACTGTCCTCCCTCATGGCTCGGGTCCTTTTTAGTGACGAACCTTCTGCGCTGAGATCAGATTTTTCAGGGAGCTTGACAGCTTTGAATTTGTGGTTGGTTGAAGACCCAAATCTACCTGTTGGCAACGAGGTCATTACAAAACTTCGTGAATCTGGCATCCCTGAATCTGTGCACACGCTCCTTAGCGACCAGGCTCGCTCCAAGAGGGATCAAATGGAGTATATTTTTAGTGAGTGGATTGGAGTTTACAAGTTTTCTGGTGCAAATGATAGATTATACAGCACTTTCCTAAAAGACGTTCACCAACGGCAGGTTATGAATAACCAAGAGGATTCAGCTTTGTTTTTCAGGCTAAGCATTGACATTTCCGTTGCAATGTTTGAGCATGAGTCTCAAAGCTTGAATGGGAACCTGGACGAAGCCTTCCTCTATATCGATGCCCTGGCAAAATTGGTTATCCTGCTAGTGAAATTCCAAGGAGAAACTGACGGTGCCGTCCAGAAGAATAAGGCTGCCTATCTCAACTCAATCCTCTCCCTCTTGGTGCTAGTATTAAACCATCATCAAGTTATGAGGGGCGATAATTTTAATCAGCGGATCTTCTTCAGGCTATTTTCAGGTATCCTCTGTGAATATACAATGAATGATCTCCATCAGACAGAAAACCATGAAATGATGCTTGTCTTTTCCGATATCTTTTTGTCGCTGCAGCCGAACAACTGCCCGAGCTTTGTTTACGGTTGGCTATCACTAATATCGCACCGTGTCTTTATGGCGGGAATGCTTACGACGGAGGACGAGCAGGTAGGTGCCTCTTTGCTGCTATCGAAGATTTATACTGACTAGAGAATTAGGGGTGGGAATCGTACTGTAAGATTGTACAGGCTATGTTGTCGTACATTGGCGAGCAACTTAAACCTGGAAACACTTCTTTCGTGGCAAAAGATTTATACAAAGGAGTCCTACGAATTCTGCTCATATTGCACCACGACTTTCCCGAGTTTGTGGCCGAGAACCATTTCCGATTCTGTACCGTCATTCCAGCACACTGCAGCCAACTCCGAAACTTGGTTCTAAGTGCTTACCCTTCTTCATTTCAGAAGCTGCCCGATCCATTTCGGGACGGGCTAAGAGTGGATCGACTGGATGAGATTAGGCAAGCGCCTAAAATTGCAGGTGACATTGTGGCCCCCCTCCAGGATGCAGATCTCATAACCGTTATTGACAACGCCTTAAAAAACACCTCTTCCACCGATTCTGCTGTCCGACAAATTTGCGATGCCGTTTATGATCCACCTACAAAATCCACTGGCCTTTTTTTCGTCCCCGTCAATGTCGATGTAACTTTACTGGAGAGCCTTGTCATTTATATAGGCCAGAGTGCTGTTTCCTCTATAACCCAGAAGAACGGAGCTTCGTCCTTCAGCAACTCGCCACAGTCAACATTATTGGAGAAGCTAGTTGAAGCATTCAACCCAGAAGCCCGGTATTCGTTCCTTAGTTCAATCGCGAATCAACTCAGGTACCCGAACAGTCACACGCATTACTTCAGTCATGTAATTCTCCAGCTCTTCGGATCCAATCAATCAGATCAACAGGGAACCGACATTCGTGAGCAAATCATCCGCGTTTTACTTGAACGATTGATTGTTCATCGACCACATCCTTGGGGATTGATTATTACACTACAGGAGCTTTTACAAAACGGCAGCTATACCTTTTTCCGCTTGCCGTTTATTCAAGCAGCTCCAGAGGTATGCAAGAAATGTCCCATCTCAGCCTCCCATTAAGCACGTCGCTAACCCGTGGTTATAGATCGGCCGCCTATTTGAGGCACTACTTCAGCATATCCAGCAACAAAGCCCTGGAGCAACTCCCTAGGTATACTGGGGGCGTTTGACTCTTGCACATGGATTATGATCTTTAGGGGTCCGATCTTCCACCTATAGTTGACCATTTTTACTAGATGTTGCATTTTTAAGACAGTCGTTTGAATGGAATGTGACCTATGACGATTATGAGACTACCGCGCGACGGGGGGGGGACCTGTATTATTTGTATCCGACCCTGGTTTTTGTCTTTTCCATATTGATTTCTCGGTGTTGGTGGGATGGTCCGGGGGTTTCTTCAACTTTTGCTTCTTGGACGGACATGCATTATCAGGGGTTTGTTGCCATTGTCAACGTGAATTAAAATAATACATCAATACTTAATCCCCTTACCTATGTATGTACATGTATATGCGCCCGTGGTTTATAGATCTTTATTCCCCATTGTTCTCTGTTTGCAGCATCAGGCTAGCTTGATATTCTGAACACATGTAACTAACACCGGTGTGGTTGGATGGTAGTCAGTGAACTCAATAATTGTATTCATATACGGAGCATCTAACTGCCTATGAAACCTAGTTTGGACTCCTTATCAAGTCAATATTTCGCGAACCACTCCTCCGTAGTTAGTTACTTAGCTATTTAACTGGGTATGACGTGTGCCACTCGTTACTCCCACAATATGAACTTTCCTAACTCATTACTCCGTATAGCCCTCCATCAAGCTCTATCAGCGCGATTCTACCCTCTCTACAACATGATGAGATGGCTCGGCTAGAATTCAGAGATGGCATGGGCTCGGGAGATGCATTGGTGAGGTTCGACCCAAATCCACGTTTCCAGTCACATGTAAACTGATATTGCCAGTCTACAATCACTGTTCCATTCCGAACACTCGCGTCGAAGTCCGCTCGACGTGCCTATGTTGGAACATTGTTCTTTGTAGCTGCTGTTGGTTTCTTATTCTGCGTATCGATCGCGTCCTACTGCGCGTTTTACTACAATTTCGTGCCTCAAATCAGCGTTGAAAGGCCAGTGCATTTGCAATTTGGGTAAGCAATACTTCGAGAGCGCCCCAGTGATTTATATTTTAGCTATTCGTGAGTGACTGAGTGATACTTTGAGCTTTCAGGTTTGGAAATCCAATTGGTACAGTCGCGATCGGGCCAGGATTAGCCCATTCTCAGGCCTACGATGTGTCGGTCATCCTCTACCTCCCGCGTACTCCCTCGAATCTTGCAGCAGGAAATTTTATGGTCGATCTCACTCTGTTAGAAGCACACCATTCTGTTGATAGCAACTCTTCAACAATAAGACGGTCTCGCAGGCCGGCAATTTTACCGTACGCCTCACCACTGGTGGATACAGCCAGAAGGCTTTCAAGAATGCCCCTTTTCATTCTTAATTGGAAACGTGAAGCGGAGGTATTAAATGTTGTTATGATGGAACGGATGGAATTTTTGAAGGGAAAGAAATCCTTGCCAAGAACTGTGAGGCTGGAGATTCATAGTGAGGAGCGGATGCAATTTTACACGGCTTCTGTGAGATTTGATGCGAGGTTTACTGGATTAAGGTATATCAGTCTCATGTTACTCACTAATACTTCCAGCAATGTGACATTGAGTGGACTTAGGCTAACAATTAATTAGGTGGCTTATGTATAAGTGGAGGGTTCTCTCCTTTGTGATATTTAGCTCGACGTTCTGGCTCACATCGGTTGCAGCAATGTCCTCTGTTTGGATGGCAATAAATTCCGCACAGGGACCCAAGAAATCAGAGCTCAAGACTGAGAGTTCGGACACTGACGACAGTGATATCTCAATAAAGGACGAAAGTGACGGAGAGGATAGCTCTCAAATCCTGGGGTTCTCGACAAAAGATAGATCAAAAAATGAAGACCCACTGGTTAAAGAAGAAGACGGAACTGCGGGCTCTACAACAATTGAATCGCTGACAGGGTTTGAAGACATCTCCGCTATAGGAGAGAGTGCCGCCATACAATCAATACCGCAATCTGATGTAGGCTCTCAGAAACAGGGCATCTCGAAACGAAGAATAGGCCATGTTGCGCCTGTCGCCGAAGAAGATTGAATATCTTCATCTATTTCATATTATTTCATACCAGTAGTTTCTAATAGGAAGTCTTGATCATATACTATGCCCTTACCTGAGGGTTGTTTTATGGACTCAATAGACTCTTTTTTCAATTACAATTAATTAATAAAAAGTAATATATGTTAAGTAGTTCTATGTCTCGGGCAAAGTCAAACTTCCACTTGGCGCTCTTTTGACATTTTTTGGCTTGCAACCTTCATGTTTGACTGAAACTCTCCGGAAAACTGCGGAGCAAAGATGACCAGATAAAATCTTGCGGAACGTTCACTCATATTAGAGGCATCTAGTGCGATATTTTCTACCTGAAGGGGATATATTGAGCAAATAAAACTAGAGACCGAGACTTTTGGCATTTCAGAATGCATATTCTTGTAAGTGTGCTTGTTACTGAGTTGGAGGGGCTGTGGGTTCCAGGCAATACATATGGAGGGTGGGTTGATGAAATACCCTGCTGACTGCCTTTGTTTCAGATCATTAATGACGATGGACCTCCTTCAAATCAATCATCCCCTTACGTTCATTCTCTCGTTAACACACTTCAGAATGCTGGCCACACTGTCTCTGTTGTTCTCCCTCACAGGCAAAGGTCATGGATCGGCAAAGCCCATCTTGTTGGTGTCACCGTGAAACCCTTGTATTTCCGCCCAGGTACTCTCCATAAAGACGATGGAACAATTCACCATCTACCGCAAGGGTTCGATGGCGAACCTGATTGTGGGGTCGACGAATGGATGCTCGTCGACTCAACTCCCGCGAGCTGCGCCCAAATTGGGTTATTCCATTATAATCAAGACAGAGGTCCAGTAGATATAGTGGTATCCGGTCCAAATTATGGGAGAAATACGACGGCGGTTTTTTCTTTGTCGAGTGGGACGATTGGTGGTGCAATGGAGGCTGCGATGTGTGGAGTGAAGGCTATCGCACTTTCTTACGCTTTCAGTTCCAGACATCATGACCCGGTAATCATTGCCGAGGCATGCAGACTCTCAATTCGTTTAATCGAGCATCTCTACAAGAATTGGGGAGAAGATGTGGATCTATACAGCATCAATGTTCCCTTGGAGCCTGGCGTGGAGCACGGAAAGATACTATACACGCCGATATTGGACAACCGATGGAAGTCAGGAAGCTGTTTCGAAGAAATTGATGCCGGGTCCAGTGGTGAAGGGCCCGATCTACAAGAGCAGCAACTGCGTGAGGGCGAGGTGACGCAGAAAGACGGTGACAACTCATCTGCACCTCGATATCGCCACAGGCATTTCAAATGGGCGCCAAAATTTACCGATGTCTACCGTAGTGTTGACGAAAGCGAGCCCGGGAATGATGGATGGGCGGTAAAAATGGGACATACTAGGTACGAAGCATCCGGCAGCAAGACGGGAACCCCCATCTTCATACTTCATTGGCTGCGGGTATTATTGACCATTCTCTTCCTACACAGTGTAACGCCGCTCAAAGCCAATTTTATGCATCTCCAAAGCTATAGTGGCGAGATAAAGTTGTGAGTCCCGGTTCCTGTTTGCATAGATTCGATGGCATTCAAAGAAATTTGGAAGGTAGATTTGCTCTCCGAGAAATCATAGACATGCATGCTTGTGTTTTTGTTTTCATATTCCACCGCCTTACTGCATATCCGGACAAGTAAGAATAAAAAAAAGAAATAATCTAACTCGGCGTCGGGTTTATCGTTTCACAGGGAAGCAAGTAATGCGACCAAGTTATACACGATCGTGGATTGTGACGACAAATATGTCCAGCCACTTGTCCTTGAATCTCTTCAGAAAAAGCTCAGTGGTATTCCCTATCAATTGATTCCTTCGCTATCCCAACTTCCAAGCCCATCGTCACCGGTCTTACAGTATTGTGTCTACGAGAAATCCGATTTTGACCATGTGTTTGAACATCCGTCGACTTCACTAGTAAATTCCTATGTGATTCGCAAAGCTCTTATTCGCAAACACTACCTGTCGAACACGATTTCAAGTTGGATTACAAAATACCCCAATAGCATTCTCAAGAAGCACTTCAAACCCGCTGTCGATTTTGAATTGGACTTCGCAGAGTTTTTAGATGAGGCTCTTTTCGAGGCGTATGAGCTGCGTGACAGTCTTGAGCAGAACGAAGGAAAGGCGGAACGAGACAAAGAATGGTGGATCCTGAAGCCAGGGATGAGTGATCGCGGACAAGGAATCCGACTCTTTAATAGCGAATCAGCGTTGCAGTCCATTTTTGAGGAATGGGACGAAGACGAAGGCGACGACGAAGACGAAGCAGAACATAGTGATGAGTCAGCAGATGCGGCTCTGTCTTTCAACGAACAGCACGTCCCTGATAACGCGGTTGTAACATCTCGACTTCGCCATTTCATTGCGCAGCCTTACATCCACCCACCGCTTTTGTTGCCTTCATCAGGCCACCGAAAATTCCATATTCGCGTATACGCACTTGCAATAGGCTCCCTAAAGGTCTATGTACACAGGGAGATGCTGGCGTTATTTGCGGAAAAGCCTTATGCTCCACCGTGGGAAAAAGGAGGGGTCGAGGAGCTTACCCGGCACCTTACAAACACATGCTTGCAAGTGGGCACTGCGGGCACAGCCGCGACAGGGAGTGTCCGTCGTTTCTGGGCGCTAGATGATAAGCCCGATACGCTACCATCGAACTGGAAAGAGCAGGTTTACGAGCAGATCTGCGCTGTGGCCGGAGAAGTATTCGAGGCTGCGGCTCGTGGGATGATGGTACATTTCCAGACTCTTCCGAATGCCTTCGAGCTATTTGGTATCGACTTTTTAGTCGACGAGAAAGGGATCGTCTGGCTCTTGGAATTGAACGCCTTCCCCGATTTTCGACAGACGGGAGAGGAATTGAGAGACAGAGTTGTCAGAACACTGTTCGAGGAAGTGATGAGCGTTGCAGTAAAGCCATTTTTTGGAATTGACAGCGGCGATGATCTTGCCAACTCAAAGAAGGCTGCCAATGAGGACGCAACGTCGCTTCGCCTTGTGGCCAGTCTAGACCTGGGGCTCAACCGGTGACCATGGCGTCTTGAGAAGTGGATAGCCGCGAAACTGTGTTTTGTTGAAAGCTTGGCATAACAAACAGAAGTTGATTTTTATTTTCCGTACGGAGTACGGAGTACTTACGATTAGTGTCACAAGACTACGTTTTCATACCCTAAACTATTATTGACTTGACTATACATATTTGTGGAGTATACTCCGTACTTACTGTCTTTCTACTTCGGCTTAGCGCAACATTGTATGTGTTGTGAAATGTCGCAGTGCTAACCGATCAGTCAGGAGGAGATATTGAATTGAGTCTTAATCTCTATTCGAAGTTCCGCACGTGTGGCATTGTGGTTTTCGCCGGCTAACCTGAAATTCAAAGATATGGGGTTGAAAAATCTTTCAATACAACAAGTGGAGTCCTGTTCGAGCAGATTTCGACTGCAATTTCATGGCAATTCCATGGTGCAGCATATCGTTTCTAAATTCGGAGGCTCAAAATTGAATAGTCTTGGGGGGTATTTTTCGTTGGTGGATAGAGTGCACATTGCCATGCGTTTTCCGGGTTTTGATGCCCACGTTTGGTACGAGCTGTGCTTGGACTTCTGGCCTGGTGGTTCACCTATCAGATTTCTGCCAGGTGTCGCCAAAATCGCCCCATGCATGCACCAGGCAATCCTTGCAAGTGCGGAATGGTAAAAACCGCTCTGAGTGGATTAGTGAAGTTAAAATTGTTAGATTAATCTGGTCAGTATGGCGGAGTAGGTGCTCCGTACTGTAACACTAAAAAATCCTATACTGCGATATTTTGAAGCAAAAATATCGTCCCCGGGAAGGCTCGAACTTCCAACCTCCTGATTAACAGTCAGACGCGCTAACCAATTGCGCCACGGAGACTCAACTATGGTATCACGTGCGCCTGAAATTCTCATTTGTACGGAGTACGGAACAGAATACTTTTCTTTGAAGGGCGATCGTACTTCAACCTTCTTAATTCGGTAGTGCAAGTGGTGCATAATTACTGTGGAAGCAGATGCTACTATTATTGAGCTTTGTTCTATACTTGTAAAAAGACTGCGTACATATGTCCACAGCTGTGTACACATATCTCGCAGTTGACCCCGGAATTTTCCTAGCCTCCGAGGCGCCTCCTAAACCAACAACGTTTTTAGGCATATATATTGATTTCCAATCCTCTGTACACCAGTATCATTGAAATGTTTTGAGAGTATTTCTATCCTGTTCCATACTATGTTAATTGAGAGCATACGTTTTAATCTCTATGCTTATTCGGTGATCTTTGGTTGAAGCCTCCCGAATACTGTCTAGCAACAGCAGAGAGGTACATCTTAATCAGGTTAAAATGCCAGATGTTGAAGAGAGACAGCCTTAATCCTTTATCAATCGATTTACGACTCAAGTAGCGTCGAGGCTACCTCTACAAGAATGTATTACTAAGTAGTCAAAAAAACTCCTATGGCTAAGAGACTTTCAGAATTATAATAAGAGAGTCATGAAATAGAATTTTTAGAAAGAAAAAAAGAATATTGATCACATTGTTTTCTTTTCAAGCAACAAAAGTGTTAGTTATTGTTTCTAATACACACAATACCCGTAAGTATAAAACAGCAAGTCTCCGTGGCGCAATTGGTTAGCGCGTCTGACTGTTAATCAGGAGGTTGGAAGTTCGAGCCTTCCCGGGGACGGTTAGTTTTTGGTTTTTTTAATTTTCAGTTATTCCACAGGATCCATCGCGGCCATGTACTCCGTACAGCGCGTTGTTTCAAAGTTTGCCTGGAGCACTGTATCCGCACAGGCTCGATATAGTGATCGAATCTAAAAGTTTCTTGACATTTTTTTGTATCCGCGTGTACGTATGTGAACCGTAACGATGTATGCATGTAGGACAGACACATTTTGTACTCCGTACAGGCCAGATGCTTGACGTTTCCAGGTGTGAAGCGACGAGTGCAGGTGCTAGACAAGGGTCAAAATCGCCCGCGCCCCAGTGGGTAATAATGGCCATCGCGAAGCGGCCCTCTGGCTGCATGGCAGGGTTATTGATTCGATTAGATGTCGCGGACTCGCGGCTCGAAGCATGTTAAGCCCAAACAATTGGCCCCTGTCCGAATCAGACTTTGTTCGCGTTCTGGGGCTGCAACCTTCCTTGCTAGTTATGCTTTTTCTCGGCCTTTGACCTGGAGATGGAATAATAGAGCCGTTCGTAGAACTTCCATAACATCTCGTTCTCGATTATTGCTCCATCGCCACTCCCGACAATTCTTCCTGTTAGCCTGGAAGGTTTGGCTAGAGGTCGGTATGGGTCCTGGTTGCTAGCCTGTCGCTACTTAGCTTGTAACTGGACACCTATGGACTCTGAATGGCTAATTTTTCTTCCAGTTTGTCCCCCTGCTCCTGTGTGACAGGGCCCAACCAACCGCTCAAGGACGGTGGCCGCAGAACCACCGCGGCGAAGCAACAATGCTGTTGTAACAATCTTGCCGTCCACAGAGGCCTCACCGGGGGGGGCGCAAGTGCGTCGTCCTGCATCAAGGCCAATCAGCCGCGCCATCCTTTTGATCCTCCAGCTATGCCGGCGCTGGCGTGAATGCCTGTCCTCTCTTTCTGTCACCTCTGCGTGGATATTCACCCATCCGCGTATATATACCAGTCTATCCGCCGGCACTGCTGCTGCCTCGCGTTCCTACCCTTCCGGGCGCGACCTTCAGCTGTGGTTGGGCCTGCTGCCTGACCCCTTCTCTTTCCGGCCAGCACCTTCCGCATGCGTGCGTGCGCCTGCTTCCTTCTCTTTCAGCCTGCCGCTGCTTTTTGCTTCTCCCTCATCCGCTGCTGCTCAGCTTCAACGTCACCTCTACCGCTTCTCTTCTCTGCTCCACAGCCAGCGCTGTATCGGCGATGTTCTTTTGCTAGGCTTACTGCGACAACTAGGCTGTTAACAAACCTTGCACTAACTAACTAGTCACTAAAGAGCCGCGAGCTGGCCCGTGTACACCGGCCATTCCTGCGCACGGTGGCCCTGAGTGTCGTGCCCGGTGCTTCATTCTCCCTCTTTAATCAGGCGGCAGCATGGCTGATCTTCCAGAAGGAAACAACCAAGCCACTATCAAGCTTCTATACTCCATAGTGCCGCTGTTTTGTGCATCTTTCTTTTTAATTGCTACCTGCGCTCGAACTGTGTCATTCTGTCGGGACGAGACGAAGTCGCCCTTACCATGGCGTTGGCGACTTGTCATACGCTGCCTTATGGCCGCAATACTCTTGAGCCATGTGAGACACCAACTTCAGATACAGAGGGCTGTGCACTGATGTATCCTTTGTAACCCTAGGTAGCAGATGCTCTACTTCGAACCCTTTCTTCGGCTCCTGAAACTGGATCTGCAATGGTACAGAGTAGAATCGTGAGTGTTTGCACTATCTTGCGCACACTTGTGGTCACTAACAGCTGTCTGTACAGTTCTCTTCCTGGGTGTCATCCCTTTTCTGGTTCATACAGTTACTCTGGCATTCAGAGCAAATGGCACCAACATACCCATTCTATGGCACATGGGCAATTTGTTTAATTGCAGAAGGCATACTTCTTTGCGTTTCCTTAAAAACACCCATTCTACATGCTAGCTCTGAATTCTTCATTCTAGCTTTCCGGTCATCTGCCCTGGTTGCGCTCTTGCTATCTACTGTTGGTTTGCATTTCCTCCGAACTAAAAAGAAAGTTCTCGATGAAGAAATTAGACCACTTTTAGCGACCCAGGATAGTATCAACGGCGAAGCATACGGCTCCTGCAACTCACAGATGAACCAGCAACCCCAGCCTGACGCGGGCGAAACATCCAAAATAAGCAACCAGGAAGAAAGCGGTAGTAATAATAAATCTACTCCTATAAGTGATCCAAAAAGTCTCTGGGCAATTCTAGCCTTCTTGAAAGTACGTTGCTTCTCCATGGATGATTGAATACGATGTCTAAATCAAAGTATAGACTCTTTTTCCGTTCTTTTGGCCTTCAGGGAAGCCCGGTTACCAGCTACTTTACGCTGGAATTGGACTCTGTTTACTCGTGGAACGTGTCATGAACATAATGATTCCATTGCAGCTTGGATTAATCACAAACCTCCTATCAAAGTCGAATGGTAAGAAAAATATTTATTTTCTATTGTTAAACTATCATCATGCCTAAGGTTATTCTCAATCCCCCTAACTATGAAATAGGAGTTGTTCCTTGGAAGGAAATAGTAATATTCGTTTTCCTTCGTTTGCTCAACTCCAGCGGTGGCTTATCAGCACTGAGGACTCTCATGTGGATGCCACTTGAAGATCTCTCCTATGAGAAAGTGAGCACAACGGCATTCAATCATACCATGTCCCTTTCATGTGATTTCCATGATGGCAAAAGCTCTGGGGCTGTGTGGCAGACCATCGCTCGTGGCCAGTATATCAAAGATGTCGTCAATCACATCTGTTTTTTTGTGATTCCTACCATTGTTGATTTAGCATTGGCTGTCAGTATCCTCTACTACCTATTTGATGCCTATATGGCTTTAGTTACAGCGGCCGTCACGGTAATGTTTTTATGGACATCTGGCCAGGTTGTTGACCGACAGAAGCGAAAGCGAAAGTCTTATGTTGAAACACGATCGAAGGAATTTACTATACTTTGTGAATCAACCGACAATTGGAAAACAGTTTCGTATTTCAATCGAATACCTTATGAAAACTCTCGATATCGTTCAGCTGTCAGCAACCATTTGAAATCACGAGTGGCTTATAGATTCTGGGATAGTATGGAGAACACGGTTCAGTCATTGGTTCTTCTATTAGGACTGATGGCCGCCTGCTTTATTGCTGCGTATGAAGTAGCTTCCGGGGCTCAACCAATTGGGAGCTTCGTAATGTTGCTCAGCTACTGGGCTCAATTATCTGCCCCACTTCAGTCACTTGCGAATGGATTTGGTGTTATTGTAAGAGACATGGTCGATGCTGAGGAACTACTTGGGCTATTACGTCAAAAGCCCACCATTGTTGATATACCCAATGCCAAGCCTTTGGTTTTTGAACAGGGTTGTGTTGAGTTTAAACAAGTCGGGTTTTCTTATGATGGAAAAAGAAAAATCCTAGGAGGTGTGAGTTTTCGTGCCCCTTCTGGTCAAACTACTGCAATCGTTGGAAAAACCGGAGGGGGAAAATCCACAATACTAAAGCTACTTTGTCGGCTCTATGATCCAACTACAGGCACTATCCATATCGACGGACAAAATATCTCCAGGGTTACTACCAGTAGCTTGCGCGATACCCTAGGTGTTGTTCCACAGGACCCTGTATTGTTCCGTGATACAATCATGGCAAATATTCGCTATGCAAAGTTGGATGCTACCGATGAAGAAATCATAAATGCATGTAAGGCAGTTGCCCTTGATGATAAAATCAAGAGCTTCCCTGACGGCTATGATACTTTGGTTGGAGAGCGAGGTGTGAAACTTTCTGGCGGCGAATTGCAACGGGTTGCTATTGCCAGGGCCATGATCAAGAATCCGAAGATTGTTCTTCTAGACGAGGCAACCAGCAGTGTGGATAGTGAGACAGAAATTCATGTTCAAAGAAGTTTGAAATTGCTATGTGCTGGGAGAACAACAATAGTGATTGCGTATGTTCTTGTCCTTGCGATAATTACTCTGTGGCTGACTCCTTTTCATTAGGCATCGCCTTTCCACAATTATGAATGCTGATCAAATATTGGTTGTAAATGATGGTGCAATAGTTGAAAGTGGGACCCATTCCGCCCTTCTTAAGCGCAAAGGCTACTACCATCGTTTGTGTAGCTGGCAAGGCTTTATTGTCGACGCAACCATGCCGACTCTTCTTAATGATGTTACTCCTCCTCAAATGTTAGCAGATACCGCTCTGGGAATGGATCCTCGAGATCTTATCGAAATAACTCCCTCGAATCTGCAATGTGCTGAATCACTGCCTGATGGACACCGTACTTCGAAACCAAGTAAGATATCCCCGCAGATGTCAGTTAACCAGCCCGAAGTGTGCGAGCATTGCGGTTGTGAATTCGGCGAAACCGTATCGGTGATTGACGATTCCAGGAGTGTAAATCGCCCCGGCAGAAGTTTAAAACCCGAGGCCCCAGAATTCATTCCCCGCGCATTACAGAACTATGGCTTGGGTACCTCGCGCCAATATTACTTACAGGAAAATAGGAACCCAAGTGTTGTAAATCAGCGATACACAAGCGACCAGCCACCTAGTGGCTATGCAAGTGATACCGGAGAGAGCGTGGAGATTCGCACTGGCCGCGAAAAAAGCACAGAGACAAAAGCCGACTATCATGATATACATGGACCTACTTGTGCTTTCCACCCAAATTCGTTGGTAACAACTGCCAATGCCAACAAGACATCTTCCTTCCCACATTGTCTAGCAAGAAACCAAGAGGGCGTTAGCTTTCATGATGATGACGATGATGATGACGATGGAGAAACGCCTTTGACTGTGGAAAATAACTTAAAGAATCGCCTTATTCGTCGAACACAGTCGAAAAGTGAGCCACCAGGTCTCATGATCAGGATGAATGGGGATACAAATTCTTTTCAAGGGGATGGTGAGCCCACCGGATCAGCGATAGGTCAAAATTCGGTTTTTCGAACGGATGAGAATTCTTTAACACAACACCGTCGACGACGCCGCCGAACTAATTGGAAGAGGAGAAGGGAAATGAGAACGAGTACTTTGAGTTCCCGATCAACGGCAAATGGGCTTCGGTATTCATGAAGGTGATTAGCGGATTGATTGTTATCTCCATGTGTTTTTTCTATTTTGTTGTTTTTATGGAGCGGCTGTCATGGCTTTCGTGCTCTTAACGGAGTCTTCTTTACCCCCTCTCAGCCTGGGCCTTGTTCTAAGTTAATACAAGGTGTTGAAACAATTTGGGATCTACTACCTCAGGAAGTTGCTTCTGTTGAAAGACTTTTTAACACCTTTGACGAAATGACGAATGATGTTCTCATAAGCATTGATTTTAGAGATGTATTTATATAGCGAAAATCCATGTATCTTTTTGTTGGTATATTTAGAGTGCTTTGTACGGAGCAGCTTGCACTGCCCCCAAAAAAAAGGAAGGCATGTTTTGAATAGATCTGCATACATAACCATGTAATGTCGTTTCACTGGAATTGACACGGGAAACAAGGGCGGTAGAGTAGTATATATATATACTCCATACTCGATGCTATTTATCCAAATTTCTCTTTAGCAAGAGCTCTAAGATAGGTCATTGTCTCCTCTTCTTTCTTCCGATAAGTCTTCAATCGCTCTTCACGCTCTGCCGCTCGTGCGCGGAGCACCTCTTCTTTCCGGATCTCACGTTCGTTCTTCTTCCGCATCTCCTTCTCACGTTGGCGTTTCAAAGAGTCGAGATCGCCCTCTTCGCCCATCATCTCCGCATCGGGGGCTTCACCAGGGGATGCCCCTCGACGAGATTCCGCAAAGGTGCGGTTTGAAGCTGCGGCCTCGCGGCGCTTCTCAAGGCGGCGCTCGCGGGTTCCTGGCTCGGCGCGAGGAGCGATTTCCTCTTCGAATTGACGTAGTTCGGATTTGTGGGATGAAATGGAGTGTTTCTGAGAGAGCCTCTGGGCTTCTTGGGCTTCTTGCGCGGACAAAAGCGCGGTTTCTGTGGGTGGGGAGCTGATTAGAGAAATGATATCTAGTAAGGAATGGTATTGTAAATACCTCGCTGAAGTTGTAAATCCTGCATCGTAGGGATCTTAGGGCCGGGTCTTTCTATCGGCTCGGGACGGTCTAGAACGAGAGACGAATTGTCGATAGGTAACTGAGGGCCGTAAGATTCTTCATCTTCATTATCCAAACTCTCGGTTACCTCAAAGCCTCGTTCTCGAACGTCGGTGGTTTCCATATCGATGCGAGATTTCGGCCGTCCTGTGTTGGGCGTCGCTGAGCGACGTCTCCAAGGAGATAGATCATAGGACCTTGGCTGCTGCGAGCTCCGAGCTTCGGGACGCTCGCTAGCAAATGTGCTATCTCGAGCTTTTTCAAATGTCTGTGGATCATACCATCCTTCTGCGAGCTCTCCACGGTTCCTCAAGTACGTCAGTACATGGCTTTTACAAGTAGCTAAAGCTAGCATATATATCGTTAAAGGAAAAACTCAAAGGGTGGGCTTCAATACCATTTTCTCATGAAGCTCTTCCATCTCCCTTTTACCTCCCGCTCACTTAATTCTGTAATATCGAGGCCCTTTTGAATATCCAGATAGGTCCCAAACATAGGCTGATAACGGGATATGTCGCGCTTCGATAGTGGTATTGCGCCGAACGGCAACGATGGCGGGATCGTACTGCTGGCATCGGGGCTTCGTAGGCGGGCATGCCGGTGGCTGTTTCTGCGTGGTGAACGGGAGCGTGATCTTGAAAAATTATGGGAAGGCTTGGATCTTTTGGAACGATACACTCTGTGCTCTTCGCGTTCGTAGTCAGCCATGTTTGATTATTTGGTTACTGATGATTATCTGTGCTTCCAGCACCCTTCATAAATATGGCCCGAAGCCGCAATATACTCCGTACGGAGTACGGAGTACTATATAACTAGTTTCCTTATCGCGGTGAATCTTCTTTGCAGACTAGTTAAGAGGCTTGGCAATGTCACGGGTAACGTTACTTAACTAATCCCAGCCTCACTTGAGCGGAACATATGAGCAACAGAGGCAAAGCCTTGCATGGAGATTGTGTAACTAACCACTAACCACTACTTAAGAGTAGCTATCTACTCCATAACTAACTAGCAATCAGTGTGAAGTAACTTACTCTTTCGAATGAAACTACCTGATACTATCAATACTCCACTCCATATACGGAGTACCCTTCATCAGTTACTCTGTGCCGACTTCTAGCTTACAATGAAAGGGTTCTATTATTTTGCCTGCCCACTATGCCAGCAAGATGTTAAAATAACACAGCTAGGTCGGTTCTATATTCTTCCTACTATGAATTCCATTTCTGCCCGTCTTTCCACTCCAGATGATTGGCAACTTGAGGAATTTTCCGTGATAATGATACAAGATCTTCGATTGAGCTGTACCCAAATTTATCCCGCACTTCCATACAAGCTCAGGTCGTTTCTTTTGCACTAGAGATGTTATCAACTTTTCAAAGGTCTTTCACCCTCTCAAATATATTCTTTAATTAATGTTGTTGAGCCAACCTTTCTCTCACGTACACTCCCACCTCCAAGCATAGATGGTGCTTTCTTCCCCCCTCCTCTTCATCTTTCTTCACAGGCAAGCCTCTCTGTCAATCTCAATTCTCCAGATTTGGAAATTTTGAATTCTGAAGCGGAGGAAGGGCCTAAAAAACTAGAGTTGAGACAACTGATCCACACACTGCCATCGGAGATCTGGGACCAAATCCTCAAATACGACATCGGGCGCCTAATATATGTCATGAGAACTGCAAGACAACTACGCAATAGAAGCCTCCCACCCCTTATCTGAACATAGATTTTTGGAAACAATATTCATTACGCAGGGCAACACACTCCGAATCCATCTGGTCATTGTCGGTGGTAGGACTTATGTCAGGGATATTACAGCCCCGCAACTTCGGGAAGATGGCGGTTATGGCGTTTATTATATGATCCCCGGGCTTGTGTTTGCTCTGCTACTGGACTTGATACTCTACATGGCTGTACGGCGATGGAAGCTTGGACACCTTTCACTTCTGACTATAGTTGTCTTTGGGTTTACACGGATCTATCGAATGGATTAGAGGAGTCAAATGAATATCGAGCCATGATTCACGACGTTAAACTCCAGGCAGGGGGATATCTTGTTATCAAAAGTGATGAAATGGGTGTGATTGACATTGCATTTGAAAAGGACTTGGCTGGACCAAAATGGGTTTTAAAAAACCACTCCCACCCTTTCCAAAGCAAAATTTCCATGATTCGATGCGCAGACACCCGTAGACTGCGAATTATTCAAGATGTAATCATGCCTTCTTCTTTATATATCTTGCAATTGCTGATCACATAATAGCCTCTGAAATGCCGAGCAATTATTCCTCTTAATAGGACTGGAGCAGAGCCATATTTCTGCAGCCAGCACACTCCTTCACTAGACAGCTGGGTTGACTCTGGGTTTTCTGTGAAGTCTACTCTCACAGAGTCTTGTGATCCACTTGCATACTTCACACATGCAGTTTACATTCCTTTTTCAACACTTAAAAACATAAGCTACACTGTTAAGCCTCTACAGACAGGTATTGTCAATATTGAAGTCAATATTTCAAATCTGAGAAACAGATATTACTCTGTTTGTTTCTCTCATCCTCCTCAGTCTTTAAGATACATACTTTGTGGAACAAAAGTTACTTGGCACACATTTCAATACCCATACCTGCAGGCATGTCATTAACTCTAATAATCTTTGGAGTCTACTAATATTGATCTAGTTTCAAATCAATGGTGAGTGGAGACCCCCATTGCCTCCCCGTGGCATTCAGCTTGATGAACCCATTCCAATCAACAATGTTCTTGGAATTTGGTGGGGTAAAACGTTTCAATTTATGCCACTTAACATAGGCGTGGTTGTTTCTGAAAAAGCAAATCTTAAAAACACTATCAGTGTCTGGGAACATTAGAAGGCTCTTCAATTCAGCCACAGGCAACTATGGCAGAAATAACGAAAAAGGCAATTAGGTTCAACTGAGCCTAATCATTCAACAAGAAATATGGCGAGAAGAGGTGAGGGGAAACGGAATAAGTATGGGAAAAAGGTGTATCTAGCTGAAAGTGATTTGTCGCCATGTTATACGGCCACCATACTCCGTAAACGAAAGAGAAGCAAGGGTGTATGAGAAAATCTGAGAATCTAGTCAATGGAGAGCTCCTAAAAACCCCAAAACATCTTGCAAGCAATCGGCTTCGTTTTTCTTTTCTTTTTTTTTCTTTCGAAGTTCCATGGTGTCCGAGAATCTGGCCAGAGGTATTCGGATTACTTAGTTAAATGGCAGCTATGGTTAACTTGCCCAGTTTTCATAGGTACAGCTATATAGCTAACTAGTTAAACTAACAAATTGTTATGAATATCAGGTGCATCTTGCTAAGCCTTCGTCTTTAACCTGTTCTATTTAGCTGCTCATGGCAGCTGGTTGCTCCCTAACTACTCTGTAGTTGCATATTAGGGAGCGGAGTTAACTACATAGTTAATTAACTACTTAGCTATTTAACTAGTTAACTAGTTAGTTAGTTACCTAGTTAATTAATTAGTGTTGGCCCAGGATCAAATTTGATCACCTTTTCAGCAAAACTCTCCGTACTCCATCGTTATGGAGTACTTGCGGCAATCAACAACCTCAATAATCATTGTCTTGTGCTAAGTAGATATGTCAGGGTTGGCAATACATGAAGAAAAAACCGTCCCAGGAACAATATTGCTTGACTATGGGTGTTCGGAGTGGAGAGCAAGCAGCCAGCGCGTAGCAGACTTTTACAATGACGGAGTCAAGCTGTGGAAAAAGGAGGACTTCACAGATATCGAGCAACAACTCGCACAAACTCTTACTATAGAGAAGTTCGCAGTCCGCCGTATCGATGGCAGCATTGTTTACATCAAGAATCCGATGTTCGGTGTTCAGAAACCCATCTGGTGGGGTGATCCTTCAGACTCGATAAATGAGCGGATCCTATGCTAAATATCCAGCTACTTATCTGCAGGACGCCCGTTGTTATGTTTCAAGAGTACTGGCGCCTCGTGTTTAGCCAACCTAACGGCCCCCCAGAGGCATACACTTGCACATACCTCATAGACTGGAAAAATACCACGATTCGTGACTTCGATGGGCCATTCGATCGTATTCAAACCTTGTTTGAAAACTTCCAAGCCAAATGGAGGTCGAGCACAGTCTGCGATGCCTTCACATCGCAGTTTTGTAAATTTCTGGACGGAAATGGAAATCCTAAGAAAATAACAAAAATTATATGTTTTGGCCTAGGGGACCTGCACGTCAAACCCTGGCATTGGTGGAGCGAGGAGAATAATAGAAAGCCAGAAAATGAACGGCGAGCGGAAACAATTTTCATTGAAGGCGCCTTGGTTCACCATGCCATGGCGTTGACGATTGCCAATGTCGCCAGGTCGTACGCAGAAAATGAAAACATTGGAATAAAGCTCCTTACTCAAGACCCGGCTTATACGAACGAGTCGAAGATTTTTTTACGGGATATTGGCTTTGAGTTAGTAGGCGAGTATGGAGCCGGAGGCTTTGCAGAGTTGGACGACAAATCTATTGTGTTCTCAGCTTTTGCCTCCGCGCCAATTCAGCAAATTATTGCGGATCTCGCTCGACCAGTCATGGTAATCTGCTCTAAATCTATAAAAGCAACGTTAAACAGGCTTGAGTAGGTGTGTATAATCTGGCATTCTATTACTCTAACTAATACAATACCTTTCCAGAAAACCATTCTCAGACCCCGAGTCTCCAAGGACCACACAAATGTGGAAAGAATATGAATCTTGGAAGTTTCCTGCTCCACTCGAGGATGAATTGTTATCTGAAGGCTCATTGCATCAGTTTGTGATGAGTTCTAGACTTTTGAGCCAAATTACTAGAGACGATAGCTTGGTACACATGGAGCTAAATTCGGCCCGGTCGTCACTTAGTGATGTATAGAAAAAGAGAGAAAGTTAACTTGTTACAGTCTACCGTTCTACAACGATTTAAAACCTGCCTAGGTAAATAATAAGAGAATGCTGACTATTAATTGTATGCGGAACTGGGAGGGATTCGCATGGCATTTGCGACACCCCAAATGGTGAACTTCAAGACCACGCTACTATCAAATGCAAGCCGACTCTGGCCGTAGAAGCCTCTCTTATATGTCTGTTTCGGGACAACCTCTCTGGGATCACAAGAAGAATGCTGCCCCTTGATTCTCTGAGGCTTAAAACAAGCATATGATCGAATACGTACATGATATCTTCTAGCACTCAAAAAATTTACTACAACTAGCCTGCTTCTTTAGCCAAAATTTAGCAAGCATGGTGTTCGAGAAACGGTTATTTAGGTACGGATAAGACGGCGTTATTCAACACAGTCAAAACCATTCAGTATGGATTTCTGGGCTCTTCCAGTATATTGAAACATATTTACAACCCCTATTAGAAGAATCAAGTATCAAGCAAAGAAACAGATCGCCCGGTTTTTCTCTTTTTGAAGGGGATAAAGAGCCTGGTTCCGTAGTCCTCTACAGCATTGACTAACATTATTTCTCAACATGATGAGCCACATAACGGAAAGAAAGTTCACACAGCCACACCTGATGATCGTCTGAGGATCCCCAATCCCACGAGGTTCATGCCAAGATGACTGTGCCTTCGGTTCGTTAACTAGTTACGGAGTACGGGCCGCCAAAGCGCCATTCCTTCCTAACCTTCTGCTAGCTGAAATTTCCCTCATCTACTCCGTACTCGGTACGGTCTACTCCGTACCCCATATTCAATACTAATTATATCCCCGATTTCATGCACGCAACCTACGGAGTATCACAAGGGCAGTACGGAGTACTATAAAAGGGAAACAGATCCACAATGCTGTGGAAACTACCTAGCCCCTATAGTTAGCCTCCGACTCATCCGCGGCTATTTATCGTTTCGGATCTTAGGCAGTAAGTAGTAACTATGTATCATTGATCATGGTTCCATAACTCACCGTCTAACTAACTCACTAGTTCCTGAGGGATCGAGTATGTTCAGCATTGTAATTGATCAGTAGTTGCTTAGGTCTTTCTCACTGCTATTCCTTTCGACCCCTCCCTGCTCTAATATTAGCATGAAAAGCTGACGAAAAAGGAGCGTCCCGCATGCGTACGTCAATACTTCGAATCCACTACATAGAAATTTGGAGGATCAAACATTATGGATAATGGATGGTTCTAAACCAAATACTCTGTATTTGCACGCCCAATTACCGCCCCATGGACAAACACCTGGTGTCAGACAATGCCTAGTATGTAAGCAGAGCATGATCTAGATTTCGCAATAGACGCATGTTCAATCCACATAAATATAGAATTTTGTTTCCCTCTTTTTCCATGATTGTTTTTCACTGTGATCGTCATTCCTATTATAAAACCACATCCAGTTTCTTTTACCAGAACACATCTGATTATACCATTTCTAACCATGAAGTTTGCATTGGCAGCAGCAACCCTAGGGTTTCTTGGTAAGTTAATAAGCTGCTCTTCTTCTGACCATAACCAACAACTAACTAGATGTGTGGTGCTGTAGGGACTGTATCCGCTTCTGCCATTCCCAATGAACCAAATGCCAGGGTTCCGGCTGTTGATAAGATCAATGTCAATGGCGACAGCCGGATACAAGTGCGAACGGCTAGTCTCAATGGACAAACATATTGTATGTCACACTTAAATGACTTCCTGTTGATAATACTAATTCTGGTCACCCTGTAGCATATTGGGATGCCTCTAGTGTAGGCCCTAGCAAAGGGACCATTTTTATGGTCTGCCTGCCCAAAAAACAACCTGTTGTATATCTCCTCATTGACAATATCTGTTGTAGCTTCATGGATTTCCGGGCCTTGCTGCGTCGTGGAGGTATCAGGTCCCAGCATTAATTCAACTAGGATTTCGTGTTATCGTGCCCGATTTAATGGGCTATGGGAAAACTGTAAGTATATCTATCTGTGAGAAGCTTCATGGTACCTTTGCTTTGCTTCTAAGCCTAATCTTTTGCTCTAGAACGCACCGGAATTTTCCGCTCCCCTCTACAGTTACAAGAGGGCGTCGGATGATATGGCCAGCCTCGTTCGTCAGTTGGGGCTATCGAAAGTTATTGTTGTCGGTCATGATTTGTATGTTCCGTCCCTTCTATTCCGTTGAAAGACTACCATTGATGGATCTCAGAGGTGGCGTTGCCGCGTATCGAGTCGCGCAGTATCATACAAACCTAATTTCACATATTGCTGTGGTTGGAACTCCTTTCACAGCTGCCTCTCCTACCTATGCGACGCTGGAACAGCTTGTCCAGAAACTTTCATTTTTTGGCTATCAGATCTCATTTAGAGATCTTGTCCCAGCGAAGCACATCAAGACCAAGGATGATATGAGGAGATTTTTAGATGCCGTATATGGCGGGAAAACTCCGGATGGAAAGACCGCACTTGATCCGACAAAGGGTGTGCTCTACGAACTATTACCTCAGATCCAAAAATCACCCTTATTCACTCCAGAGGTATTTTACCTACCTTTAATAGAGATTTTATTCTAGGAAGCAGAGGACAGGCTAACAATATTTTCCTACTTAGGAACTGGAATTCTTTGTCAACGAATACATGCGCCACGGGATTACTCCTCCACGTAAGTTGTATCCATATTTCTCTCCAATTGAGTAAATACTGACGACTGCAACTATATTAGTGGGTTGGTATCGAACCCGCCGACAAAACTACGAGGATGAACTCTCCCTTGTTGGCAAGGGTATCAGTCAGCCAACTCTTTTTATTGCTGCTAACCAGGACCCTGTCCTGAAGCCGATCCTTTCCCGAGGTATGGAACGATCTATCCCGAAATTGACTCGCAGGGCGGTGGATACCGAACATTTTGCCATGGAACAGAAACCAAATGAGGTCAATGCCATTCTTAGGGAATGGCTTCAAGGAGTGGTTCTTGGGGGCAAGGACAAGTTGTAATCTATACAGAGTACACACCAGGAGCCTACATGACACTTATGAAGAGAGAAGTTTATTTGCTGAGAGATGTATGTACGGCAGTTGAAAAATGAAAGTAGACAATGGATTACGATAAAGTTTTCTCCTGGAATTGATTTCCCGGTGCAGACTTCGTGTGTCGTAGCCCTAACTATCTAATAGGAGAATATAGTGAAACGATGTGTAAGGGATCATGGCCCCTCTTGGATATGCTACAGTTTGAGACTTAAATAGAATAGAGTGACGGGAGTTCAGATATCAAGGAAAACACATGCTGTAACTAAACCTGGGCTAGAGAGAGTGACTCTCCATAGTCATAGTCTAACCTGAGGCCAATGAAAGATAATGGGTTACAACAACAGCAGCCCTAGCTACTGAGCTAAAAGGATGATCAGCCTTACGAACTTGTGGCCGAAGGTACGTTTTATATCGTGGTTACCTACATAGCTCATTTGATATGTATTCTCTACGGTGTTGCTGAAGATCAATTTCTAAATCGGATGGGGTAATCTGACCCCACATATTGAGTTCAGCCCAGCATCTGCTTATCCACGATAGAGAGCGATTAGACAGTTCAGCTTTAGCTTGCGTTCGAAGGGCAAAATGGTCAGTATTTGGCCAAGGGGACTCTAATATCAGAGTGAAAGAGAGATTTTAAATCTCAAAGGTCTTTGAGTCTCTGGTATATAAATTGAGAAGCAGTCATAAGTGAAAATAAACCATGATTATAAGAATTTATGATGAACAGAAAAAAGAAATCTGGTACGGAGTACATAACTAGGCTAAGCCCCGCCCAATATTTTTCAACTTGGAGGAGAAGCGCTTTCAGCGTTGTTAGTCGAAGAGGATCCTACAGTATCCTTTGCTTTGCTTGCTGCAGCCATTTGCCATGCAGGTATGCTTGCTGGCTTGCCCAATGCTCCAAATGGACTTTTCGAGGAGGCTTCTCTCTGAGTTGGAGATGCCACTGGCATAGGTGGCTCAGGGGTGGACGACGTTGTATTTGGTGCCTGTGGTAATGTGGGTGATTTCTCTGCTTCCACCTGACTTGATGCGCTCGCCGTTGAGGGCCCTGGAGTTGCGCTGGAGCCTAGACGGCTCCCAAGCAATATTTTCAAACTCTTCAATTCTCCACTTAACTCTCGTAGTCGCTTTTCGTTTCCTTCCCTCGAGCCTTCAATGGCTTTAGGAATTCCATCTTTCAAGCTTCTGATTTCCTCACCCATCCGTCTAGTCTCATCGTCACGACGTCGCGAGGAGCTCTTCAGCTCAGCTACCACATCTTCGACATCCCGGAGAGCTGCATCCAGACGCTCTGTTCGTGCGTTCTCTGTAGCTTTTAATGCAGATGTATCCGAGGACAACTGGTCTAGGAGCTCGAAAGCACGAGAGAATTGCTCATCAATACTGTCTTTGTCTTGCTGAAGTTGTGGAGGTGTTGGAGGGGCAATCAACGGTGTGATATATCTCTGCAAAATGAAAGTGAGCTTCGACCCAAATACATAATAGGAATAAATAAAGTTACCTTTGCTACGACGTATAGTCCATAGCTAACACCGCCGGCAACTGTGGCCATAATGAACCAATCTCGCCAATCTCGCTTTGGAAGCCTTGAGGGATTACCACGTTAGCATGACCAGGAGAAGAATACTACAATAAGATTTTTACATGAAAATCATATCGACTCTCAAATTCAAGGTAAGCCACTAGCCACTTACTCCGGCGGAGGAGCCTGCCATTGACCCGGCCCGTATCCATAGCCCTGAGTCAACGGAAATTGTTGTCTAATTGATGATTGAGGGTATGAGGCGACTTGATTTGAGGCAGGAACCGCAGATTTATCTTCGCCCGCCCTCGCGAAAGCAAGATCAATTTCTTCTTTCGTTAGGTTTTTTGACTGGAGGAAAGCAACCTTCTTCTCTAAGGGCGCCGACGAAACGGACGGATCTTGAAGAACTATAACAGTAGAATTGATGTTAGTTTCCGGGGGATAATCATCGTAGCTCAAAATTATACGCACACGAGACCTAGCAGGATGAAATTAGTATTAGGGGCAACAAGACTATATTCAAGCAGAGGGAATACACACTGCAGAGGATATGAGCTCCTCGCGGGCCATGGTGTAAGTTTTAGGCCGACTTAACGACGGAGCATGTAAGTATGCGGTTCGAACAGGAGGAAAACTTCGGTGTAGAGCACAGGAAATGAGGCAGTGATATGCTGCAGTACTGCCTGCCCGGGAACTGAAGAATCGTGAACCTGGATGCTGCAGCCAAGAGACCGTGATGCCGAGGCTGAAAGCCGGCGGCCCCGTGACACGCTGACATAACCCCAGGCATGACTAAGTGTCATGATTATATAATGAACATCTATTGTTTACGTCGAAACCCAAAATGAGGGATTGCGGCATCGCGAACGATCAACGAGTTTCCAGTTTTGTCCCGTGTATTGGGTGCAACCTTTGGTTCTCGCTCTTGAACTAGAATTCTGAAATCTGTACGAAGTAGCGATCCCTGTATCCCTGCCATACACTTTAGCGCGCAAACTGTCAAGCTGTCAATCATGGCGCAAGACACAGGACTCTTTAGCATACGCCGGCCGCGAGAGGTAAGTTGCATTCGACCGAACTATCTTTACATCCAAAAAAAGTAGATAGCGCTATCGCATGCTGACTGAGATATGTGTTGCAGACTCTGGGCAATGTGCAAAATCTATCTTCCATTCCTCAACCATCTTCCGCTTTGAAACGATCCAGCTCTGTCGCAAACCTCCAGAATCCACAATATACTTCTCAACATACCCGATCTACCTCCATCGCACAATCTGGAGGCCGACTACAGCAACCAGTTTTCCAACGAAACTCATCAAGTGGCAATTTTGGGGCAGATGGCGCATTATCTTCTGTACGACGCTCTGTTTCTAGCAACATTTTCCACAGCGCCAGTGCCCGTAGGCAAAGCTATGCCCCCACATCGATGGCTCCTCCCCCTCCTCCTCCACAACTCCAACGGAGGAGTAGTGTTCTCTCACGGCCTTCAATGGGCCCTACCCCTCACCAGTCCTTTTTCGCGCAAACACCAGTCCCGGCAGGGGTACCTAGGGACCCACGTCCCCTGAGAGACCGAAGCTTCCAAGCGCGGATAAGCCAGGAAATATTGGAATATCTAACACACAACAATTTTGAGCTTGAAATGAAACATTCCTTGACCCAAAATACTCTCAGGTCCCCTACTCAAAAGGATTTCAACTTCATTTTTCAGTGGCTTTATCGAAGGATTGATCCGGGGTATAAATTCCAAAAAAGCATAGATTCTGAGGTACCACCGATATTGAAACAGTTGAGATACCCTTTTGAGAAGAGCATTACAAAATCACAACTTGCTGCTGTTGGAGGACAAAATTGGCCTACCTTTTTGGGTATGCTACATTGGATGATGCAGCTAGCGCAAATGTTGGATAAGTACTACATGGAACAGTACGACTATGCCTGTGCCGAGGCTGGTGTTGATGTTACTGGAGATCGTATCATATTTCGGTTTTTGTCTGGTGCCTATCACGATTGGCTCCAAGGCGGTGAGGATGAAGATGACGAAGTAGCAGAGAAGCGGCTTGTTCCACATATTGAAGCAATGGCTGCGGAGTTTGAACGGGGGAATGAAAGATACCTTCAGGAAATGGAAGCATTGGAGAGTGAAAACCGAGCTCTTCGTGATCAAGTTGAAGAACTTGAGAAGAACGCCCCAGATATTGCAAAACTGGAAAAGCATTTCAAGATTTTGGAAGATGATAAAAGGAAATTCGAGGACTACAACCAGAATGTTCAGGGAAAGATCGATAAATATGATAACCGTATAAAATTACTTGAAGACGAGGTTCAGAAAGTAGATGGCGAGCTTCAAAAGGCGGAAGAAGAGCGGAGTGGGTTGCAGTCGAGTGTTGATAAACAGGGAATTACCATACAGGATATTGACCGCATGAATACAGAGCGCGATCGGCTTCAAAAAAGCGTGGATGACATCCTCATCAAATTAGAAGAGACCCATGCCAGAGTAATGGAAAAAGAAGGGGAAGCCAATCGAAAACTCGAAGAGCTGGAAGAAATTGTTAAAGTGTATAATACGCTCGGTTATCAAAATGGACTGATCCCGTCTACCGCGACAAATGCGAAAGGAACGGATCTCGAGCTACGGCTCGATTTGAACGAAAATAATTTCTCGTCCTCACAACTCGGAAGGTCGCAAACTCGAGGGTCACCGGAAGGGGATCGATTATTGGCAGACACATTCACTGGCTATACTCCAGCTAACTTCATTAATTTGGATCTTCGTGGTGTCGTCCGAAGTAATTTTGTTGCGCTACGAAAAGAAATATACGAAAGGCGTAAGATTGCTCTTGACGACGACATGAATCGCCGGGACTTACTCGATAATATCAAAGAAGCGATGGAAGAAAAACGGAGCGAGGTTGAAGCTTTGGAACACAAACGGCGAGCCGCAGAAGAGGAGTTTGAAAGAACTAAGGAGATCACGACAACCCAAAAGCTTGCATCCGATGCCCAGATAGAAAAGATGGAAAAAGAGCTTGCAAAGATGCGTGGGAGTCTGACAGAAAGTGTTCAACTCATGGAACAAAGAGAGATGAACACGAACATCGAGTATGAGCAACTGGTATTGCGAGCAAATGCTTTGCGGGAGGAGCTTCATACCGGAATTGAAAGTATGCTAAATGATACGATCCGATTCAAAGTTCATATCCAAAAAGGGTTGGAGGACTACGAAAACTTTGTCGTCGATCAGGTGGAACAGGAGCTAGGTGGGGATGATGCTGAAGGTGAAATTAACGATGCTGAAGTTGAATGAACTCACAACGGCCCTGGGACTCTAGCAAAAACACTGATGATTAATGATAGTTTAGGAGCGTGTTATAATTTTGTTTTTTTGGTATTTGTTTGCGGTTCACTCGGATGGCGAAGGCGTTTATTTCATACCAATTCCGAATATAGAAAGAATATTTCATCCTTCTGTAACCACAGGTCCAGTTTGTTTGCAATCTCAAAGATTGAGAGTGACGGCGCGTCGATGCTAGATATTATTGCCCGTGCCGCCAAGATATTCACGTGATTCACCATGACTAAGCTCCTTATCCAACTTTATTTTTTTCTTCGCATCGACGACCTGGGAAGCTCGAATCACAGTTGCGCGTTTCGAGGCACATACGGGGTACAACCAAGTCAATAGCCCACATGACAGAATCTTTTTCTAGTCATGGTTTATGCACGTTCATCGGGTGTTGAATGTTCTTTGGCCTGGCTGGAGCTCCCGTCGTGTCATGCTCATTTGGCTGCGACAAGGCGGTAGAATCCTTCTGAGCCACGAGCTACACTTCCCTATTCAGAGATATCCGACAGCCCTCCATGTCAGCAAATTCGGTACAACGATTTACCCGCATCAGTCTTACGATGGCCATCAGATCAATCGTCCCCCTGATTCTAGGGGCAAACGACTCCGCTGCCCTGTGCCGAGTACGGAGTGCTCCGATATTTCGAAATGGATTCCTTACTTAGACCGATATCTCCCGCCACAACTACGCGCAAGCTCTATAGCTTTACCGGAGGTTGAATCTCAATCAGAGGCCCAGCAATGTCAAGCTATATTGCAACTACTGTTCCAGGCTAGGACACTCATGAATTTCGATCTCCTGACGTATATTGGATTTAAGCAAAAAAGATGGCAGGCCCTTACGGTGATTGTGGATAAGTTGCTGCACAGCGCGGAAAATTTACGATCACACGATTCCCAGAGACCCACTCTTCCCTCAAACATAGATTGGAAAAAGATGGGTAGCTCATTCAATGACATTACAGCGGACAAGTTCTCCCTTCCCCCCACCGTCCCCATGACAAGTGATACGAATTTCAATTCGCTAGTACTTTACGACTACTATTCTGAAGAGCCGATGTTGGACTCTCGAATGGGAGAACAGAGCCTTCGCGTTGGAACCATGGAAGAATTGTGGCAATCCCTGGGGTATTTTATTCTCGAAGTTGCGGATATGTCAACAGAAGAGTCCACAATAGTGATGCGCCACTTTTACTATATTGTTGCACGTTTGCATAATCTCGGCTATATCCCAGAAAACGTGTATAAGGATGTGCCGAAAAGTAACTTTGAGCCACCACTACGCCCACCGATAATGCATCTCTTATCAACACGAATTATAAGCATACTGACTGATACAATATTGGAAGCGAATGTCAAAGAGACACCTGCTAGTAACGGCCATCTATCCGCTATGGATCTGCTAAAGTCTTCGGAAAGACTGCTTGGATTTGGTGTCTGGCTTGAACTTGTTCTTTGGTGTTGTGTTGAAGGCGGTTTTGCGCGAGGTGCTTCTTGGATTCTGCGTAACATGCGGAGACGCTCGAACCAATGGAAAGTGGCGAGTTTCACCCGTATTATCAAGAAAAGTGGACCAATAGATCACAGGAAAATAGATTCCCACGATACTTGGGAAAACTGCGGCCAGCTTTCGATGGCATCGCCATCGAAAAGAACTGACAACACATTCTTGGGAATGGGGGAGAGAACCATCACACAAGAAGTAGTTGTAGCAGTTATGGAGGGACTTACCAATACTGTTCGATCTGGTGTCGGCCTCAGAGGGGATTCTGTTGCCCAAATTTGGGGCTCAGTCGGTTTGCTTCGGGGGCTTTTAAACTCCAATTCGCTATACGTTCACCCAAGGTTCTTCAACTACTTGATTTTTCGAATTCTTGAAGCTGGGGGAATTGTCGTCGATGTGAAACCTCAAGCGCTTGAGGCACTCTTAAATATTTCTCCTTCGATTTCTACCGCCAATGAACTCGATAAATTTTCCGAGGAACTTGTCAAGCTATGGCAGAACGGCTATGAGCCTAATGATTCCGCAATGATGCTGGGTTTATACCACTATATCCTGGATTTGTACACTTCAACATGCCACATATCAGGCGCAATTGAAGTATTGGAGCGCCTTATTGGAACAGTGGATAGCACAAAAGTGCACTTGATTCGAGAGTTGATTATGGATTCCAAATACCTTAATAGGGCACAGAATGTTCTTAAAACTAGCGGGAAATGCGCTCCGGTCGATCAGTCGAGTGCACTCCGCCCTCTTGCCAGTCTTCAGCTTTCGCCATCCTCGCTATACCTGCTTCTCAACAGCTTGACGGACGCCAAGGTTTTTAGCATTGCGTCTTGGATTCTCAATCCCCATGAATCTGCTGGACCGATAATTCCAAAAAATATACAAGAAAATGAAATTTTGTCTCCTGCGGTTATTCGGTTCGCAGCAGCTATTAACGATCCCGCTCTCGTTGCCGATCTTTTAGACTCTATTCCCCGACCATTGTCGAAATCAACTTTGCATGCTATGCTTGACTATACGATAGCAATGTTTCATTGGAAAGACTCACTTGAATTACTCTTATACCTTCGCGACGTCAGGCATATACAATGGGAACCGAGAAACATCGCATCTCTGGCCGCTGCTGTTATAAAATTAGAGCAGCCATATGGAAAATTAACCCAATTTTCATCGCCTGAGGACCAAGCGCACGCTCTATCTCAAGGCAAAAAAATCCTAACGTACGTCCTTGAAGGAAAGTTTAATATCCCTCCGGATTTTTCGAAAAGCCATGATATCATTAGTCAACGAACGCTATTTCAACTTCATCGAATTTTTGAGTCGATACAATCGCCCTCGCTTGCTGAAGTTTGTAAGAATTGTAAGTTGGAGTGGAATAGCAAGGTAAAGCAACATCACTACATACCCGCTGAGACATTTTCCGCTGTTTTAGCTGCGGTGGTCCAAGTCTACGGCAGTTCTTCAGGGCAACGATTATACCTGAAGTGGTGTGCATCTCCAACTACAGCTCGAGCTAGTCGTATCGACTCAGGAGGGAATGACATACTTGCATCCCAACTGAGTCTAGGATTGGAAAAATTAGAACGCTGGCAACATGTTAAGGACGACAAATTAGTCATGCCAGACCTCAACGTCGTTCGTACCATTGCATTGAGCGCACTTGAAGAACAGAATGATTTGACGAGGGGGCATGAGATGCTATCGAATGAGATTACAGCTGAAAGCGTAAATTCTGTACTGGACTGGTGCATGCGAATATTTTTCGACCTTGGTTTAAGAGATAGGGATATCGATAAAGAATTGGACGGTCATTTGACGCGGTCAACGGCTAAATGGCGACAACAATGGGATAAACTAGTCGCTGAGAACGCTGCATAAGCCAGTGTCTCTCACTTCCTGTATTATATTTTACCTTGTTTTGGCCACGTCGACACGGTGGTATCGGCGTGCTTTTGTATTTTATTTAAGGTATATTGTGCTCAATATAGCTCTAGTATCTGTAGTAAGGATGTGCTCCATATATAGTAGGATGCATATAACTCAGAACTGGCTTATGGTGAATATCAATACTGTAAATGTCAACCCAAAAAATATTGGTTGAGAAACATCCAAGATGCCAGTTGTGCAAGTACCTGTGTTATCTTGGACAAAAAAGAATGGATCCTACTTCGTATATAACGAATAGTATTATTGGCATAGTAAGTTCAGAACTCATGTGATCAAATTGGCTTAGATCCGGTAGGTACTACGATCTATATACTCCACGTCACACATAACACTAATCCGGCGATTCCAGAGTTCATGCTAGACTCAAATGCTGCATTGAAGAGCATTTTGCCAGCTGCTCCATAAAGGCAAATGGTCAAGCTGGGTATGCTCGCCCAAGATACTCATGATCAAGCAGGCTGCTTGAGGCCACAAAACTGAAACCACCAAATGGATCATCATAAGACGGCACCGACTCCATTGGCAATGCACCACCAACTGGGCTATCCACGGAAAGCATATCCTCATCTTTTCCCTGTCTCCCACAAAAGTCGCCTTTCGCCACAATGGGGCCTAGAGAGAGACCGGTAAAGTCCACAGAAAAATTCTCAGCTAGGGCTGGATCCGTTACAACAGGCTTAATCGGCGGATCAAGTTCACGCCTCTCAAGAGCCTTCCAATCGATTTTGCGGAAGAATCGGTGGCTCTTGATGGTTTTGATGTCCTTCTGCAAATGATAGCCGAGGCGTTTATGGGGTTCTTTACGAAGCAATCGTATCAGCAAATCCTTCGCATCTGGGCCGATAAAATAGGGGACGACTAGTTTCTGCTTAAGAATCTTCTCTGAAATTTTTGCATTGTTGTTTCCTTTGAACGGCGGAGATCCAGTAAGTAAGTCGAATCCCAATGCACCTAAAGACCACCAATCGCATGCTTTACCATATGGTTTGCCTTGGATAACCTCAGGTGCCATGTATTCAACGGTTCCTAGAGACGAATTGCAACGATCATCGCCATCAACAGCCACTTTGCTGAGCCCGAAATCGGTTAGTAGAAGATGGCCGTCTACATCCAAAAGGCAGTTCTCGGGTTTGAGGTCTCTATAGATAACTCCAATGTTAACGTGGAGGTGCTCCAGTGCAAGAACAAGCTCAGCCATGTAGAAAGCGGCGACATCCTCAGAAAACATGCGCTCAATTGCCAGGTGAGTAAACAGCTCGCCACCTTGAGCATATTCGAGGATGAGGTAAAGTTTCTCATGGTCTTGGAACGCATAATACAAGTTGACAATGAATGGGTAGCGGTTGACGCTCTCCAGAATAGCCCGTTCGGTTTTCGTCTGCTCAACTAGCTTCTTGTGCACAGTAAGGGATGCCTTCTGAAACTGCTTTTGGGCATAAAGAGCGCCCGTTAATTTATGTCGGACCAAGAGGACGGTTCCATAAGTGCCTTTTCCCAGACATGTCAGAGGTTCAAAGTCTTCAGCTGTCATCTTCCTACACAGCAAACTCTGCTTTTCCGGCTGTGTAAAACCATCTTCAGCTACCTTCCCGACATGAGTATCGTAGCTAACAAAATCATGTTCTAGGTGAACTTCATATGTCTCAGTCTGGTCGCTATCTGATGCCACGCTGGCACAACTGGTTTCGGTCTCCGACTCGACAGCACTTGCATTGCTTGATGGTGGTCGGCTTCCTGTTAGGCTGACTGCCTCGAGCTGGGCTCTTAGCGCACTAATTCCCCCATTTGGTGTTGAAGGGCCAGATAAGATATTCATCTTAGTGATCGCAGGCAACTGGTTTGGAGAGCCAACGATATCGCTGTCAGTAAGCAGGTGCTGACGTCCCCGGGAATTCTGGGTACGTTTGTTTCTCAATTTCTTTTTTAGGTTGGATATTCCCGCAGATGCAAATTCGCCGTCCTTTCCCGGGCAGGGACCTGTAGCCCGTGAAGCCTTAGTTGGACTGGCCTCGGTGGTGATAAGAAATCCAGTACTAATATTTCCGCTACCCAAAGACGCAGGCTGGTCTATTTCTCCAGTGGAAGTAAAATCTCGAGAGTCATCCAGATTCTCGATTGTCTGAGGAGCAAAGACATCGGCGACAATAAGATCTTCGCACGGCGCCACGCCTGAGGCCATGCCGTTAGCCAAATCAATAGGCAACATATGATTTCCGTTCTCTGGCTAGCTCAAAACAGAGGAAATCACGCCTCTTGCGCCTGGCAGAACTCGAACAGACCGAAAACCTTGCACACTTTCACATCAAAGGTTTATACGGTGGAAGGATACGGGTGAATTCGAAGTCTCTAAACAATTTCTCTATCCCCTGTCCAAGTCTAAATATCAGCACGACAGCCGGATACAATAAACCAGCTCAAACAGTACCTGAATAACGAGTAGCTTCTGTTACAGGTGCCGTTTTTTGGACGGCGCCTGTACTAGATTACCGTCCGCCCTATTCAGGACGGACTTTGCACCGGTAGCCAAACCACGTTGTCAGCGGCTGATCCTGGCACGCCGTCACCTAGATACACGATCGGAAGTGTCGGAATATCGGAGATGGACGACGGTTTAGAAAACGTAAGAGAGAAGCAAAGCACAGCGGTTGTTGACGGAAGAGAGTTCGGTGCGCGTAAGCCCATAGATAACGTCGTTTAATATACGTATTCTGGTGGCGTGAAGTTGTGATAGTGAAATGATGTAGTTTACCGGAAATATAGCGGTTGTTTGGATGTCGGCGAGATGAAACACCAAAAGGTGAAGTCGAGAAGTTGAAGAGAATCGGAACTTGAGGCCAAACTGCCCAATGGGAAAGCACGCCCTACCATTGGTCATTTGTGCGGCTGGCTAGTCTAGCTAACCATATTAGGAATAGCTGCGGCTAGCAAAGGCTGCTTATATCAGCAGATGGCATCAAAATTCTCGCAACAAAAACCCTTAAAAATTCAGTGGCCTCTTCGTAGTAGTTATCGTTGTCATGCCGTATGCTATACCCTAGGACTAGTACAATATTGACTAGTTTGGGCAGCCCTCCCTTTACCTATAAACTTCCATGCTGACCCCCCACACCGCAAGCTGCAACACGTGATCTAGGCCGGAGCGGGAGGAGCGAAGGGAGGCGATACAGGTCGCATCCAGTGACGTAGGGTAATGGCTTTTTCATCTTGGAGGAGACAGAACGATCTTATTCCTTTTCCTTGTTCATGTCCTCTGTGGTTGGTCAGGGCGGTCTCTAGAAACCTACAGAACGGTGCTAGTTTTAGCCGGTCACGGCCTAGTCAAGGACGACACTGAAAGTGCCCTTTTTCAGCTGTAGTCAAGCAGATGGCAGTGAGCTCTTTTTTATTGGCAAAAATATGGTATGGCGATTCCCGCACATCTGCTCTATTCCCTAACGAGGCGTCGGATACCGCTCTGGACACGGAGAACCCCGCCTTCTGGCCAATGTGACCGTCGAATTCGAGGGCTAGTTCGGTGCAGTAATAGAGCCGATATTGTCCTACGTAGTATTCGTGAACAGTCTTAAGTGTAGCTGGCACTCCTTCATTTTTGACCCAGTATTGGTTCGAAAGAGGAGAATTGACACGTCGTGCATGCTCCAGGTTAAACCCCTAACAATCTTCTCAATATATGCATCTTGTAGAGCCTAAATAGTCCGTATATGGGCTAACTACTCCGTAGTGGATAGTAGTACGGAGTACGGAGTACTAACCCATGAGTGAAGATAGGAAGAGTTTTCTTCGTCCTGCATTATTATGAGCACATTTAATTCTCTAAACGCCGAAATCAATGCTAGACCGTCGTAAAGTGGGCTCCAAGTACTCCAGAACCGAACTTCCAAATCCCTAGAAAGTCATCTTCTTTAGAGGCCAATCATGAGGTTGTCATGGAAAGAAACTGGCTGTTCGCGTAATTTCCACGCCCGAGTATTCCACGAAGGCCAATGCATTTAATTTTTCCACGCTGACTGTCACCTCGCTGAATCCATTCCCTATAATAACGGTTTTGGCAATCATCGTTGCTAGTGCCTCAACGGTCTCGAAGCTCGATACATCGATAGCCTAGATCATGCCCATCAGTGCCCTTCACACCAAGGCAATATAAGATAATTTCTAGGTAGGTTATACCTTCGCAATACTGCTAGTAAGCGGAAGATAATTGAGAGATAGGCTTGTCAACTCTTCGCATTTGGACTCGTCAAACTGGAAGCTGAGCGTTATGTCAACCGCTTGCTTTTCGGTTCTCTCATGGTCGTTAACGCCGATAATGCAGTAGGAGCGTATGCCCACAATTCTAAATTCTTTCCTGCCCCAGCCAGGACCATGGCGGCGTGAGACACATTCCACTCCTCCGGCAGCTCGTAGTGCTGCCTTCGGGAGATGCAGAGTAATTTCAACATTATCAATAGCCTCTTGCACTGAGTCAGAGGAGACTTTTCTCTTTGTAGCCTGTATAGCGTTGATTTGCTCCGACTTCACAAGGTCCTCTATCATTGTCATGAATTCTCCTAGAGTCTGGTTTCCGCTGATAGTACAGGTTGAGCTACCAGTATCGTTACTCGCTTTGCGAATGGTGTTTTCCAAGGCGCGATATAGAGAGCTGTAGTTCAATGTAGTCTCGACATCATCGTTTTCTCCAGCTTCCTGAAGCAACACCCTTGGAAAAGCGACGCGAAGTGATATCACAGCTAGTTGTGGTTTGCTGTGTCGCGACCAAGCATCTTGATGAAGTACGACAGGTAGAGGAAGGCGGATATTCCGCAAGTTGATATAGTCAACGGCGCAGGACGCTTCGGAAGTCATTTTTACGGGAGGGATAGTTTCGTGGAATAAATTTTCAACAAACCATTTTTCTATGTAAGTACGGAGTAACTATGTGACAAACACAGACAGTTAGTCATAGGTGGGGCGCGGTCAAACGAAAAACCAGCGAGACCTAATAAATATTCCAGGACCATCAGGGTGAATTGTAGGACCAGTGTATTTATTGGGCTAATGAATTTTATTCATGACTATGGTAGAAGATGTCCTGGATAAGGACTTTTTAATCCCAACTGACCGGTTCCTCAAATTGCCCGTAGCAAATTCCCCCAAATCATAACTCAATAACATGACAATCAAGAAAGCAGGATACATAAAAACCAGTCATGAAAGCACAAAATCACATACAACAGGTATCTTGTCTGTACTTAAGCAACAGAAGGAAGGTGACATACTTTATTTGTTCAAATGAGATGCTTAAAAAAACCAATAGGTACGGATATCTAATCGTAAGCCATAATCCTCAACCATTATCACCGGAAACCTGCTATGAAAGCAGAAGGGCGAAGCGGAATGGAGAATCTACGAAAGCGTTCGTTCTAAGTTGATGAATATCAGGCTTAGACCCGAGAATTTCTCCGATGCAAAACCGCAAGGAAAAAGAAGGAGAGGCGAGGGGCTTTTTGGAGAGCAAAGTATATGAAGGAGGGATATCTACCAGTAACCACGACGATCATAGCCTCCATAATCGCCTCTGGGCGGAGGGCTCATCGGGCGACGTCCATATCTACCCTGGTTATATGGGTCGTCATAATGGCGAGGTGGAGGGCGGAAATCATACGGGTCATCATAAGGTCGACGGGGTGGCGGATAGTCATCTATCCGAGTGCGGGGAGGGGGAGAACGGCGGCCATAACCTTCACGGTCATAATATTCGCGGCGAATAGGGGGAGGAGAACGCTCGCGGTAGTGTCCTCGAGGGCTGTACCCACGTGGATGCCCACCACGCCTCTCATAATCATCCGGCGGCGGTCCGCGGCGCATGGGAGACCGGGAACGATACGGGTCGCGGGGAGGGCGATCGTCAGCGTTTTGAATCTAGGCAAGGATGAGACTAATGATTAAAACAAAGAGATATGGGAAAATCCTACGTCCTGGGTACAGGTCACACGAGCACCTTTGAATTCACGTCCATCTAGTTTATCGACAGCAGTTTTTAAGTCTGCGCCAGTTTCGAATTCGACAAAGCTGACATCGATCAGCTCAAGGTCATCATATTAGCAGTTAGTAGCAAACTTACCCTCTGCCTTCATGGTCGCGTGATGTTTCCGAGTAGACGACGTCAAGTCCAGATTGTCTCGCAAAATCTTTGAGGTCCTAAGTAACAGATTCATGTGAGTCCAGTTCCAATGGCATTATGGATTCCGGAAATCCGGACGTGCGAGCTGGTGGAACAATTGTTGGACCTTTAAATCCTGGAGGACAGGATGTCCTCTAAGTTGTGCCTGGAGCTCAGCTCTGCAAGGTGGTCGATAAAGGACATTCAACAACAGTCAAGTGAAGAGGACGGGAAAACGCCAGGAGAAAAACCAGATCCACACAGAGGTGCACAGAAGATTGCTGGGGGTAAACTGAAGCTGCAAAGGTTCTTGGTTATGGGTGTGTCGCGAATGCAAAAATGTGCGAATAGTGGAAGTACAGGCTCAGAAAATACGATAGGGCGTCCAACGGATCCAAGAGGAAAACGGAAGTGATCTAACCTGCCAACTGGTCTCTGGAAGTCCAGAAATTTGCATACGATAAATGGTACGACGCGGACGGGGAGCAGTGGAGCGATCTGACGGTCCTGAGAATGTCTCCTTATGTCGTGGGCCACGGGCGAATTGAACGGTGAGTCTTGAACCCTTGAAGTCGGTTCCATCTGCAAAATTTACGCATTAAAATGGGAATCCCCCTGGTCCACAAAGAGGAAGGCTTGTTGAACCACATACGGAAAGCTAAATGAAACATAGAGTCCTTGAGTTAGTGAAAAGGGTCCATCGTTGCGGCACTGTCGAGGAAAGGAGGAAAGCCAGTGCTATTGACGGATAAACGGCCTCACCAGGAACAACATCCCGCGCATCCAAGGCATCTTCATACTCGATGAAACCAAAGCCGTTCATGAGTTTTATATCCGTGATTTTCCCGGAGCCGTGTTGGCCGAAATGTTCTTCGACGTCCTGTTTGGTGACTGGAAAAACAAAGTCCAGGCAAGAAGAGTTGCCCAGGTCTGCGTCAGCCACTCCGCGGCCAAACGAAAGAAATCAAAATCCAAGATTGGTCAAGCCAGAGTCCATGATTGAGTAATTTGTGGAGAAGAGGAATAGAGAAGGGATGGGCGGAATATTCAGTTTTGTTTTTTCGCGCTTTCGCGTTCCAACTTCCTGCACCTTAATTTGCATTTTAATTTATCCATCAGGAAGGGGAGATAGATCCAGATATCCAGTACATGAGAGGTGGTGTATATTGTGGATGTGATAGTGTGGGGTAAGATGGCCAGACTCATTTGTACCAAGACGACACAGGACGAGAAGGAGTAAGAGGATGTAGAGCCAGCATACCATTTCGGGGCAAATTGCCGAGATATAGGCGCGTTGAGGAAACCTCGCTCATAGTGGGCAGGCAGTATTTTCCCTGATCTTGAGAACGTTGCGGCAGGGAGCAGATGGGTTTTTCTCCCAGCAGGCGGAGGTCCGAGAGGTCGTCTCTGTTTTATAGATTACCAGTCCTCTAGAATGAATGAAGCACCGGTGGTATCCTAAACGATGGCGTTGAATCCAGCTTGGGACGGAATGGGGGGGGTGTCTGGTCTGGAGCAACGATGGGTGGAGGTGGTGGTGGTGGGAGGCGGTTGAACGTTGAAAGCCTCAGCCTCACTTTGGCGGAAACCACGTGCCACCACTAAACCGCTTCAAGCATCGCATTTCATTTGCTAGTTTCGCTTCTGGTACTGGGGTTTACTCGATATTTCATTCAAAATGGTCGGGATTCTACATGCAGTTTTAGAATACATATGCCGTTACATGCTAAGTAGTTGCGGCCTAAAGAGGGCGTTTTGGGGCCACCAATAACGGCTTAACGGTGATTAGCTCGTCCTCCAGCTTCGCTGGCGGCTAGTAACGGTTGAGCCGATGGTGTTAGAAGCAGCTGCAGATTGGGCATTTATGTACGTACAAGGCAAAACTGGTCTTCCTACCGTGTATATACGTTTGAGGGTAGATGATTAGGTCATGAAGTATTTTGGGCCTTCGCCTCCCTGAGGCGTTTGCCAGTTGATATCCTGAGTGGGGACTTTGATATCGCAAGTCTTACAATGGATGCAACTATGGAAGAAAAATCATGTTAGAATGGGAAAATGTGGTATAATACCATAACGAGCGATACGAATAGACCTACTTTTGGGAGTTGATCTGGAACCTCACACCGTGAGGTTTCGACGAATCTTCAATATATTCGTAAACACCGGCCGGACAAAACCTGTTCTCCACACCTTGGTATTTTGGCCAAGCTGCATCTGTATGTTTGTCCCAGTCCTTAACCTGTAAATGAACTGGCTGGTCCTCCTCGTGATTTGTGCCGGTGCGGCTCACACTGGTCAAAATATCAAAACTGAGCACGCCATCCGGTTTTGGGTATTCAATCTTTTGAAACTGAGATGCTGGTTTTGTGGCCGCATGATCTGTCGAATGGTGGTTCAGAGTCCACGGGACTCTGCCTTTGAACAAATATGCCTCCAGGCCGGAGTATAAAATGCCACCATACAGACCTAATGAGGTGCCAAAGGAAGGGCGCATGTTACGCACTTCACTTAACTCTTTCCATATTGAAGAGTTTCGCAAAGCGTCCTCATATTCGTAGAGGAATACGCTACCTCTGTCTTCTGTTCCCGACAAAGCCGAAAATGCAGCTTTAGCGGCTAACATTCCGGACAACATAGAGCTATGAGTTCCTTTGACTTTTGGAACATTCATGAACCCGGCACTGTCTCCAATCAGCGCTCCACCTGGAAACGCGCATTTCGGTATCGACTGCAACCCGCCTTCAACAAGAGCACGGCCGGCATAAGACACGCATTTTCCTCCTTCAAGCACTGACTTGAATAAAGGGTGATGTTTGAGTTTCTGGAACTCACCGTACGGAGATAACCACGGATTAGGATAGTCAAGGCCAACTACCAGGCCCAAAGCCACCATGTTGTCTCCAAAATGATACATGAACGATCCGCCATACGTATCGGGGGGTAAAGGCCATCCCATAGTGTGAGTAATTTCACCTTTTCGGAAATTTTCCGGCTTCACCTCCCAAACTTCCTTTATCCCAAGTCCATATGTCTGTGGTTGCGAGTCTCGACGTAAGTCGAATTTCTTGATAACCTGCTTTGTTAAACTTCCATGGCACCCTTCCGCGAGAAGTGTAACGCGAGCATGGAATTCCATGCCTCTCTCAAAAGAATCTTTCGGTTTTCCATCCCGTCCAATTCCAAGATCATTTGTCGCAACACCCTTCACAGAGCCGTCAGGCTTATATAGTACTTCACTTGCGGCAAAGCCAGGGTATATTTCAACCCCTATTTCCTCCGCCCGCTCCCCCAGCCATTTGCAAAGCTGGCTTAGACTGAGGATGTAATTGCCATGGTTGTTCATTTGCGGGGGTTCGGGCAGCCATATTGCAGCGTTTTCAGTAAGGAAGCGCATTCTATCAACCTTCGCAGGCGTAACATGTTCAAATCGCGAAGGATTGTCTTCAGATAGCCAATCGGGAATCAACTCGTTCATAGCCGTGGGCTGAAGGACGTTGCCGGATACGATGTGGTCTCCGATCTCGCCAGCCTTTTCTAGAAGCAAAACGCGAAACTCGTCGTTCCCAGCCTCGTTCGCTAGCTGTTTTAGTTTGATAGCCGCCGCAAGACCGGCGGGACCTATGTTCCATGCGACACTCAGCATGAGGTGATTCGCGGGGGTTTCACCCGTTCGGAAGCAAAAGGCGACGTACCTCCGCCTACTATGCACACATCCACACTATCCGATTCCCTCTCCAGCTGCGACGGATCAAACGTATCCTCGCTAGTTTCCGCATTCTGTCGAGCCGGTGTGCCGGACAAAGTTCGCCGCTGACTTACAATTGCGGTCCGAAGCCAGTTTTCCCTGTGTCTGAGCTTCCTCGAAGGCGCCGGCGACGTCGACAGCGGCTGAAGAGCTTCTGTAGTCCGCGTAGAGTATCGAGCACAGCGCTTCGTCGGTGCGGCCTTGGCCCACGGCCGGCCGGACGTCGGGAGCACCTCCCGTCTCAAAAGCGGCAGAATGGCGGATTTTGAAGCCATTGTGCGACTTGGAATGGGGAGGGAAGCCGGCAAACGCAGTAGATGCCCGCCCAACAAGCCACACAGGGAGAGAGAGGGTGAGAGGCGAGGGGTTTGACGAAGAGAGAGGCCCGGTGGAAAATCCCGAAGTGCTAGATGATGCCGGCGCTGGGCTCCGTCATCAGTGCGCCAAGGCCCAGAAGAAGCTGTCGCCCGAGGCCAACCGACCAGCGGCCGCCGGCCAATCGCGTGCAGCCGATATCAATCAGTGGTCATGTGATGGCCGCTGCTTTTAGTCGAGCGCTGGCAGGTTGGCCGCGACGCTGGGCCGCATCTCTTGGGCTGTTTGTACTCTATATCTGACAGCGTCTGTGTGATGGTGGAACACAGTGGGTGCCTGGATTCCGATAGCCTGCAGCTGGGCTGGGCCGGGCGTAGGTGCCGTGTTGTGCAGAGCAACATTTGGTGCCGCTGCCTACTACGTACAGGTTTTGCCCACCCAAATACCAGGCAGCTTCTTTTCCTGTTCTCCTCCATACAATTACGCACATAGCTCTCTTTGCGTCACAACACGAAGCGGAGTGATCCTGCAGGCCATTATTTGGTGGATGCAAACGTTAAAAAAAAACCGCAATGTTGTGTGCGGAGGGGGGAGCGAACAGCATCGCTGAGAACTAGCCAGCACTCCGTACTTATTATTGCGATGCCGGCTGCAGGATATGTAGTAATAATAATAACAATAATAATCTTGGGGGCTAGAAATACGAACGGGCGAGCTTGGAGGTTCTTTCAACCTCGCAATTTATTGATCTTAAAAATTTTTCGACAGCCGGAAAATAAAAGCCGAGATCGTCGCCTCCTTGCATTATGAAGGTGGAGCTGATCAGCCATGGCGCATGTCGACTTCAGAGTCGCATTCCATCCGCCATCCTCTGGGTCCTTTGTTTGGGGGTGCAGGCTACCGTCTCTGGCCGCGGTGAGGACGGCAGAAGCGGTCGTTCCGCGCGTCGCTGGCGCCGCAGACACGGGCGACGAGACTGGGTGCGACGTCCGCCAGCGGACAGGGCAGGTTAGTGAGACGGCGGGCGCGACGCCAAAGTTCGACGGCACAGCGCCTGTGCGGCTTGGGCAGAGGAATGTGGAAGCCTAAACGACGCGTCGAAAAGTTTCCCATGTGACGCAGGGGCGACGGGCGTGGGGTTACGGGCTTGGTGGCCGCAGCGACGTCGGGCCACGCACGCGGCGGGGCGATTGCGCGAGGGTGGCGACAATCAGGGGGTGCCAAGGGTTCCGGCAGGGGCGGTGTGGCGCGCACGATTGGCTGGGACGGCGCTTGGTGATGTCGCGCAGCCACGGGCGCGGGCGAGCGCGAGCTGGGGTGGAGCCCCCCGGTCCCAGAATGGCGCTGGAGACGGGCCAATCAGCGGACGCCCCGGCAGGCTGCGGCCCAAAGCGGCATGGACGGGGCGTGGCGGCAGTGCGCGTACGGCCGCGCAGCCGGGATGAGTCACGGGTATATAAGGCGGGCGTCGCCCTCGCTCTGTCCTGCACTCGCTCGTTGGCATCTGCTGCTGGTCTTGGCGCCCGCCTGGAACGTCACGCCGTCTGACTAATCAACACCCCGCCTCTCCGCCTGCCCCCCCATCGCGCCCAGCGCACAGAGCAGGACTGGCCGTGCAGGACTTGGTGGCGGTTAGTGTTCCTTGCGTCGAGCTTGCTTAAACCACCCGTATTCTCATTAATTCCCGTTGCCTGCTGCAGAGTCCAACACGGAACTCTCTGCATTGTGCTGTCGCCCCGCTTCATCGCCGCCGGTAGATTTTATATCAAGTGACCTCGCCGTTCGCCGCTTCGGGCCTCTGCGTGATCAACCTCGCTGCTGCCCTACCTTCTGCTTCGGGAATCGCTCGCGATCGTTGTCCTCGCCTGGCCTCGTCGCTCAAGCTTACTGTTTGCTCAGTTGGCTTGCACACTCCATCTCCTCGCTTAAATTCACCCTCACACCTAGCTTGCCTTGAAATTCAGCATTTTCTTCAAGCTCTAGAGTTGCAGTTAACCAGTGGAGGAGACATTCAGTTGTTCATCTTCCATCCAGATGTAAGTTAATCCTCTATTTCCTATATTGTGTTAGTACTGGAGCTCGTTTTGCCCAAGACGAGGCGCTTCCTGAGGCAATCTCCATCTTCTTACTAGCAACATCACGATCCTCTTTCTTCTTAAGGCACACGGCTCTAACAGCGCCATTGATCTGCAGACTGGCCTGAATCTTTGTTGAACTGACAAGATTACTGAAGTGTGCTTTCATCCTCCATACATCTAATAGCAATGATGGATTCCCTTACCACACACCCATCCACCGCGCAACAGGCAAAGGCCTTTACATCCCCAGCATCCCTGTCATTTCCAGGAGGTGCTGCGGCTGCTGAGCTCACGCCGCCTTCTGAGAAAGAGCCCAATGGAATGAACAATGCTCAGGCAAACGGTCAGCAGGGGACCAATAATGGTGCTGCTCTGGCTACGCCTGCTGCAACTCCTGGTGTTGGCCCGGGTGTGAGTGGTATTGTGCCAACATTGCAGTGAGTATTATACTCCTATTTCTCATCTGGTCTGCCAGAATGCTGAAAAGCAAAGAAACATTGTTGCCACGGTCAATCTCGACTGCCGTTTGGACTTGAAAACCATCGCTCTGCACGCGCGAAATGCGGAGTACAACCCAAAGGTAGGCATCCATCACTTACTCTTACCAAGCCCCACACGTACTAAATGTATCTTGTTTTTTCCAATAGCGTTTCGCTGCTGTCATCATGCGCATTCGCGAGCCCAAAACCACGGCCTTGATATTTGCCTCTGGAAAAATGGTTGTCACTGGCGCAAAATCTGAAGATGATTCAAAGCTTGCTTCCAGAAAATATGCGCGTATCATTCAAAAACTTGGATTCAATGCCAAATTTACTGATTTCAAGATTCAAAACATTGTTGGATCCTGCGATATCAAGTTTCCTATTCGTTTGGAGGGCCTGGCAAGTCGCCATCATAACTTCAGCTCCTATGAGCCAGAATTGTTCCCCGGTCTCATCTACCGTATGATGAAGCCAAAAATCGTGCTACTCATCTTTGTCAGTGGAAAAATCGTCCTCACAGGTGCAAAAGTCCGAGAAGAAATTTATCAGGCTTTTGAAATGATCTACCCTGTGCTCACTGGTAAGCTAGCTCTTCCGTATCGGGTATGACTCTAGACTAACTTTTTTTTAAGACTTCCGCAAAGTTTAATTCTTCTAAACAGCAAAGTACTTTTCTTGTACTTCGTCTCTTTGTATTAACACATCTTTGATCCCTTTCTCAGCCCTTTTTTCTGGGCCTTGATATTGTCCCCTTGCCTTTTTATTCTTTTTTTTCTAGTTGCCATATTTGCATTTCATGGTGTTTTAGCGATGGTTCTCCGTTTTCTATTGCTGGACTCAGTTACAAAAAAAGCAGCGTGTTTCTTTTTCCGTCAGGCTCAGTTAGATGAATCGTGGGCTGGGTTGGGATGGATACACCGGCGTTGGCGGGAAATGGTGGAGTGGCCATGCTCTGGCTTATTGACGTGGTTACAGGAAGACTTTTAATTTGCATAAACTGCATAACAGAGACTCATTCCAAGTATCTACTGGGTGGATTCTCTTGCACACTTAACACCATGCATCAAAAATTGTATCATACCTTTTAGGTAGTAATGAAGAGGAAAGGTGTGCAAAAAAAAATATTCAAAGACGGATTGAAATAGAATAGTCGAAGTACTCTACGGGTGTACGGAGTATACAAGTCACAACTTGCTCGTGACCTCTGGCTTCCTTGACATTTCATCCTTCAAAATCATCCCCTTTAAGCCCGAGCGGCTCCCGTCCTCGCAAACCACTGGAGTGCCATTGGTTGCTGAAGAGGGAGAAGCTGGCCATGCCCAGAGTTCCTTGAGGTTGGCATCAAGTTTACCTTCAATCGCGTCTACGACTTTGTCACCGATTACTGGGAAAAACTTGAATGCGTGGCCGCTGCCCCCTGTTGCAAGAAAAAGAGAGCGATAGCCTGGATGGTGGGTGATTAGAAAGTCACCTTTCGGGCTGTAGGATATCAATGGTCAGCATGATACGATGGGAAATTGAGGGATGACCACATACGTATCTGAATACCAACAAATACGGGTCTTGATAAAAGGTCTGTCTGCCAGAGCTGGAAGCATCTCTCGCAGCGCAGCTCTACAAGCCTCTTCTCCTTCTGGTGGGATATGGATGTCATCTTCGGGCAGGCTGGCCTCAATGGTGCCCGTCTCTTGAGATGGGTTGGGGATGGTTTTGGGATTCCGGTAGCCATAAGCATGCCGAGCGATTTTGAGGACATTGTTACGAGGCGGGATGATGAACATGCCCGTGGACAAGTTCAGGATTGTTGGCATATTGCCAAAGCGGGCTTGCTCCTCATCTGTGATACGGATATACGCCAACACCTGGCCTGTGGCATCGGCGCGACAGCGCAGGTCAACGAGGCGTCCAGTGCATGCACCAGCTGCAAGGATGACCAAGTCTGCATGGAGAACGGTTGAGTCAGAGAGCTGCACACCAGTAACAATGGCCGGTGCACCATTCTCTCCTAGAGTAGTGAGAAGCCGGTCCACTGTGCCGGTCTTGAACTGCACTCTGCCTGTCTGATCGACTTTCTGCTTTGCAAACCGCACGGCTGCTTCAGCGTCGCCCCAGCCGGACCCCCAGTTCACGTAGCCGCCGGCCACGCTCTTGCCAGTGCCGTATCCGGGAACGACTCTCTGAACGTCCGCCTTGGTCGGCAAGGACTCTACGTCCTTCCCGTCCTTATCCAGGGCTTTGACATTTTCATAGCTTTGATTCACGTATGCAATCCCATCGGCATCGGACGACACCAGCACAAGGCCATTGCGGGTGTATCTGCCATCCCGACCCCATTCGGTGGCCTGCCACTGCTCAATAGCATCCGTTGCTAGCTCAGCATAGGCACCATTGGCATAGTCGGCACGGATGATGCGAGAGGAGTCGACGGAAGCACCGTGCGGATTCGGAATCGTGGCCGCAGACTCGACCAGTGTGATCTTGCCGGAGTGCCGGCGTGCCAGGGCGAGGGCGGTCGACACTGCATGAGGCGTGTTAGTCCAGCCAGCCGGCGAGAGTGCGGTGTCCGCTCACGTACAGCCAAAGACGCCGCCCCCAACAATGAGGATCGATTCCGGAAGCTGTTTCGTTGCCATGTCCCTTCACCACGGCCGCTGGTCGATGGCTCGCCGTGCTCGCGCGATGTGTGGGCGGCGTCGCTTGCGAGTGTCGTGCGAGAGACTGGCGCCGCGGGTGGGGATGAGGGCTTCCTTCGCCCGTTTGGGACCGCATATCGCCGGAATGCTGCCGACCAGCCAAAAACTGGCTCGCAGGTCCGATATCTCCATTATCGCACCGCCGGCGACGGTAGGCTGGACATGCGTCGTGACTCTGTGACAGGTAGGCTGGGCTGCGCAAGCTTGCGTTGGGTTGGGTTGGGCCGTGCCGGGGCCAGGATGCCTGTTGCTCCGACCACACCACCACGCCCGCTCGGCCTCACGGGCCACTCTGGCGGTCTTCTCGCACCCCTTAAGCCTCCTTATCGTCTACGCGCTGCTCGCGGGCGACTTGGTTAGTTACCTTGCGGTCCCTTGCTTCTGCCCGTTTACTATCAACCGCCGCGGAACCCGCGCCGTTATCCCCGTCCACAGATCCTTCAAAACCCAATCCGGCCGATCTCGCAAGCCTCCGAAATTTGCTCTCAGGCGGTGCCGACAGGCACTAGTCTTTGCTGCACACGATGTCGCCGGCCGCCAAACGGCTGCTGGGCAAGGCTGGCGCGAAACAAAGCGGCCTCACGATGCGACGGAGGCCGCCTGTCGACGCGCTACCCGCCGCTGCGGCTCCCCGGAGGTCAGTGTGAAACCGCGAAAGCTGTCTTTGCTTTGAACGAATACTCTTGGTTGTGTAGGAGGGCGCCGGTACGATCCGACTACTGCGCTTTGTTTCCTCTCTCATTTATGCATTGCCTACATGATTTGCCCAATGAGCTCGACAATTGCGCCGTCTCGATGTGTCCTATAGCTAACAGTCATGCGCCCTCAGAGTTGCGCAAAAGCATACCCCCATTGCCTCTCCCGCATCGCCAACACCCTCGAATCCACCGTCTGTTCGGCCCAAGATGCTCACACTAGCCGCGGTTGCGGTCTTTGCCTTTTCGACTTATGGAACCTACCTGCTCGTGAGCTACAAGAAAGCCGTCGAGGCCTCACGGTCACTCGACGTGCCCCTTAATCTGACCGACCGATATGACCGATCCGCTCGAACATACGACTCTGAAGTGAACACGGCAGAGATGCTTATGAGACTTGGGAAGCGACGGAAAGAGATAATTGAAATGGCTAGAGGGAATGTGCTGGAAGTCAGTTGCGGCACGGGTCGAAATATGGATTACTACCTTCTAGGTGAAAGGCGGGGGATGGATGCAGCTGGAAAAGCAGCGCTTCGCGGCTGTAGATCAGTCACCTTTGTGGACCAGAGTGGGGAGATGGTTCAGGTTGCCAGAGAGAAGTTCGAGGCGAAATACCCAGCGTTTAAACAAGTTGTTTTCCGGACACAGGACGCGATGGACCCTATTCTTCCTCCAACAGGAACAACAATGACAATCCCCATGGGAACGAATGGGCCTAAATTTGATACTGTTGTTCAGACCATGGGGCTTTGTTCCATTGCTGATCCGGTTGCATTCCTGAAACATCTTGCAGACATTACAGAACCTGAAAAGGGTCGCATTGTCTTACTCGAGCATGGCCGCTCATATTATGCATGGGTCAATAGACTCCTAGATGATCTTGCTCCTGCGCATGCAGACCAACATGGATGTTGGTGGAATAAGGATATTGGGGATATTGTTCAGAAAAGCGGGCTTGAAGTGGTAGAGTCTAAGAGATGGCACTTGGGCACGACATGGAGATATGTCCTGCGTCCGAAAAAGGAGGTTGAGCACAAGAACCACGGAAGCTCTGTGGCTGAGGGTAGTTTGTCTCCCTGGGCTCAGAAGTAATCATGTTCCTATTTTCTTTATTGAAATTTGGTTTTGTTTTGTTATAAAAATACCCACTGTATATGCATGTCAGGCGCACATTGGATAAACAGGCTGTTGATTAACATTAAAGTTCATGGTCAATGTGAGAGTAGTTACTCAGGATGTAGGCCTGGGGATTAATGTATGTATATCCACAGTAGACGTCCTTGAAAACGTGGAGGGCCGCATTCTCTAGATCGAGATATCATCCGATCTCCAGCGGGGCCAGAAGCAGACGTCAGACGCCACGTAGACTTATCAAGGTAGTAGATCAAGTTTTTTCTACAAAGTAATCTTCAAAGCGATACCAATATTGAGCTGTGACATAAAGCGGCACTGGATATTGCCACAAGGTGCAATTCTTGGACGGCGCAGAAGGACTCGGTACCCACGAAGCTATGGTGGTGCGAGCAGAGTTCACAAAGATGCATGATCTACAGAGTATTGAGTACTGAGTACTCCGTATATGTGTAAACCGCACGAAGTATTGTGCTCGAGAAAGGCAGAGGCTGGACGCTCTTCGCATGGGGGGATGGATGAATGTCACGAGAGCTGGCCCGAACGGGAAATGCGCACTCTCAACGCCTCAGCCCTGAAGCCCTCAGCGGTTCAACCGCAAGATCCACGAGATAGTGGCCGTTCCAGACCAGCACAGAAGCATTTCACGGCTTTCCAGCAACCGAAGATCACCCGAACCTTCTCCGCACATCATGCGATGTGACAGGTGCGTTTCCGCCTCCTCGACTCTCTGCAAATAGAAACGCCAACAATAAGATTTCGACAAACTCAACCGAAAAACTGGTTCGGGGTACGCACTGAGAACAGACTTCATTATTAGAGGCCGGCGAGGCGGCGGCCGCTTGCTGACAGATCCATTCCACTAGTTACGTATGTACGCCAAAGCCATACCTGGCCACAACAAGAAAAAAATGTGACTCCTGGTGCTTGGGCGGTGATACAGCGGTACCGGTTTTGGGTTGTCCACTGCAGTCGAAACTAAAATATTTTTTCAGTTGGTCGGGGAACGCTGCAATCCCCTGATGATATTTGAACGACCTTCAAACTTTGGGGGGCCCACCGGACTGGGGTTGAGACGCACCCTGGAGCCTCGAGCTCGCACTGCGGGAAAACTGGCCCCAGTTGAAATGACTGATCAGAAGAAGGTTTGGGCGAAAGACTGCGCCGCCTTTTTTTGGGGTCATGTTACAGATGGCACACGACACGATGAAGGAGAGGACTTGCCCAGTGCTCAGTGTGGTACCTACGGGGTACTCCGTACCTCTCCATCTACTCCGTAAGGAGGATTTGGAGCTCTTCCTGCAATTCCCCGTGCTCCGTGCAGGCAACCGTGAATTTTGCCTTCGCATTGGCCAAGTGCCTGCATACGGAGTGCATACATATTATGCAGCCCTCGACGCCATTTTCGCTATCCGGCCAAGCGGGCTTATACTCAGCTCCCAGGCGCCCCTTAGTACGAAGTATGGTGAGGTGAGCATACGTGCTTTCCGAGGGTCCCTGAAATGGTAGGTGCGTTATTGCATCGATATTTCTTGATTTCTCTTCGCATCGTGAGCGGCTGCTTTTCGTCCAACGCGATCACATAAGCACGATCCTATTAACTTCCGCAGCCTTAACTTTCCACATAACGTTCAACGAAAAAAGGCTCGGCCAAAAGGCGAATCAGAAAACTATGTTTCGCGGATTGGTTGCTGTGTCAACCCAGTCTCGTCATCGATGCGCGTTTTTGCCTTCGCTTCTGGCAGGCTGAGTTCGCCGTCTGTACCGATAGAGCCGGGTGGCTGCGCCGGCATTTCTTTGACCGTTTCTGAAAGTGAGAGGCTGTCCTTTTGATCCAGAGACGATGTTTGCTTGCTACTCAGAGCCGGTCTCTCTTGCAAAAACGGTGTGACATTTGCGAGCTCAAACCTCGGCGCTCCTGGTCTTAAGTCCAAGCATTCGCCATGCGAGCTGATTGGGACGGACAGGGTTCTTGTTCTCTCAACCGCCACAACTGGATCCGCCCAAGCACCAGCGACCGCTAAGCTCGACGCCCCCTGCTCACTACTGTTCAGACGGTGGAGAGCTGCTTTTTCTAGTGCGTGCGCTTCGGCTTTTTCCCACGATGCACCCCGATCCACACATCCTCCACGAATATCCAATCACACCAACGTGAAACGGCCCATAATCTCCTGGGTGAAACCCACAAGCAAGCCAAAGCACCGATCCTTTCCTGACTGCTTTTTTTCCTTGATCGCCTTCCTTTGTCCTTGATTCTTTTCAGCCTACCACTCAGCTCTACCCTTCTCCCCTAAAATTGCACTCCAAACATTTCTTCAAACATAACAAATACACCCAGATTTTCCTCTTGTTTTCAATCTCTGTCTAATTACTATCTGCTTGCGCTCATTATTTCAACATGCCTTACAACACCCGTCGAAAATCGCTTTCTCTTCCTTCTCTCGGCATCCAGCTCCCCAACACATCGCGTTCCCATCGCTCGCTCTCCGCGTCCAAAGCGCAAAGTGCCGCTGCTAGCGAAAACCAACCGCCGCCTAAAAAGGTCAAAAGGTCACACGACTCTGAATCGCAATCTGCGGCATCGTCGTCTCTTGAGGAGCAAATACACGTCCGGAAAACCGGCGCGCGTGTCGCTGGAGCCTACGGTCAAACGCCACCGCCTTCGCCAGCAGACCTGGGAATCGTCGCAAAGATCGATACAGAGGGCATAAGCGACGACATTATCATCGCCGTTATCGAGCAACTGGAAAAAACGGGAAACAGGCCCCATCTCATCAAAGAGCTCGCCACTGTTCTGTCGGCGAAAAACGAGACAATCGCAAAGTTCGTGGCTGATTCTTTTTCCCTTCCCCCGACTCCTCCCATATTAAGCTTTACTAATAAACCATACAGCTCAGCGAATGCGGCTGCCTTAATTTCATCCCGCCTAAGCTTGTATCTGAAACGCCCTTGGAGTGCTCTTGCTCCCTGCCCGATCGCCAAAGAGCACATACAAGTGCATCCGCGAAAGGTATTTTTTTACCTTACCAATTCGCCCGCGCAAGGTTTACCGGAAGACTCGAGCGATATTATCTCGACGCTCGCCGGGGTAAAGCACCTTACCCCCAGCCCTTCAAATGCTAGCGTCGACCTTGACGATGAGGACGACTACCCAGAACGATCGCGCATGAGTCCAAGTCCCGAAGTAGACCTTTCTACCCCGGCATTTGAGCAGGATGATCCCGTTTTAATAGAGGACTGTGCGCCTGGGAGACCACCAACCCCCACTGGTAGTTACTCAGTTCGAAATAGAATTGCGCAAAATTACAGCCTATCACACAGCAGCCGCGCGGTCTCACCGCCTTTGGAAGGCGACGAAAAGGAGTTCACCATGACCGCCAGTGCGGTCCGGGAGCGAACGTCGTCGGTAGAAGAAGCGGTGACGAAACAGGCTGGTCATCAGAACTTAGACCCCAGCCAGGAGGGCGGCGACGAGGTGCGAGTGGAAGCAACCATAGAGGATTGTTTTGCATCACATGAAGAGCACTCTCAGGGCCATGATTACGACTATTTTTCGTCCCACATGATCCGAAGCGAGGCCAGCGCTGATGTTGACTCTTCAAACGCTGAGATCTTGGGTACACCGCCCTCGCCGTCCGAATCCTCTGACTTGTGCTTGTCGTCATCCGCATCAAGCACAACTTCAGATGTTGAAATCGATGATTTGGCCATCACCAGTCCTATCGACGGTGCCAGCACATCAACCGGTGTCCCTTGCACCACCATCACTGGCTGCAAGCGGTCACTAGACATGCTCAGCACCGGGTTTGATTTCCATCTCGATGCTGGCCTCGATTCGTGGCTGGACCTCCAAAGTCCCGAGGCGATTGACATCCAGGAGCTGGACGCCATATTTGCCGACGTTTGACCGCGATCGCCCAACCGATCTCCCTTTCCTATTTATCTTCAATCTATCAACGACCTCTTACGACTCTTTATTTTTTTTTTCTCTTTCCCTTTTTTATTTTTCGTTTTTTTTTATTCACTATGCTCGCTGTATTTTTAGGTGTCATTCATCATGGCGTTTTTCAATCTTGCCATGGGCCTTTCGCATGTATTATTAGATGAACTCTAGCGTTGACTGGAAGTACTTCCCTGTCCTATCTGTCTATTTTCTTCGCTTTTTTGACTTAAAATATGACATTTAATGGATTGTTCAAGCGATGTTGTTAAGACCTGCCTCCAACATACTCTCCGCTCTGACTTATGTTCTACCACCAATCCGGTTATATGTTCTTCTTCTCTACTCTTCCTCGGTTATTGTATTCCTACCACACTTTGTCCTGGTTCCTGATACTGGTAATGAAAACCGACCCAAAAGAAATTTTGTCTGACCTGTATCCTGGTGATAATTAGTCGGCTTTTGCCCTTTTCCTTTTTCTACGAAAAATTTACCTTTCGGTTTGGGGTTTGGGATGGAGTTTAGTGTTATTCATGTCATTTTTGCACTGTACTTATAACAATACAAATATCAAGGGCTTTTCCCCTAGCAAACACTATGTTCAAACTCCGCCATCGATAACCAGGGTATTAAAAGAAAGGCCCTTCATTATTTTACGCCTCGTAAACCAACTACTTCAACATGCACAGCATGTCGTATTTTCCTCGCTACCGATGCTTCTAAGCAATAGGAGGCTTAGGAGGAAGATTACTCGGAGGGCGAGGAAGCATCTCGTCTTTATGACGATGGTAGCTAGCAGGAACATGGGATGGCCATGGCTTGTCTGTAGCAGTATGGGTAGTGCTTCTAGCCGGCGAAAAATCCGGCGGCTTTTTTTGCTCAGTGTTGTCCTGTCCATCTAATTGCCTATTTATCCGATGCGGATCACTTGAAGCTGATACTGCTAGCATCGCTTTATGAGACGCGATAGGATTATTGCTCTCAGTCGCAGAAGCTTTAGGGCCGTTGGCAGGAAGAGGGTTGGGTGAAGTGTTTGACAGTGGTAACGGGTGCGTTTGAGATTGAGGATGCCTGCTGGAAGGATTCGGAGGAATGTGACATTCGTCTTCATCCCGCTTCTGGCGTTTCGGAGACCGCCTTTCTTCATTACGATACTTTCCATAAGATGACGGGCTAACGCCAGTCGTAGTGGTTTCTCTAGTGGGAGAAATCTCCCCTTCATCTCTGTCGCGCTTTCGTTCGCTGATTTCCCCGGGCGACAGAGAACCGTTGGAATCATCGGCATCGTGGTCTTCCGAATTCTCGTTTTCCTTACGAGCGGGATGGCGCGTTCTGTCGGTTGATTCTTCTTCGTTTCCAGAAACGGATGGGTAATTCAGCCCCGGTTTTGGTATTGGAGACTTCTCATAGAACTCCGCCATTTTATTGCACGTTCTCTTCAAGTCTTCATGGTTGACATCTAGTTGTTCCCACCACGGACGGCCAGCATCGTCATCAGGAAAAGAAGCATTGCAATGTCTAGCTGCCGCATAAAGAGCGCCGGCAGCGATTTTTCGAGAAGTGAACTGCAAACATAATACTGTATAGATGGAGTCGTTGACAAATGCCCACGCCGAATTTCGTAGCGGTTTATCATTCTGTTTTTTGAAATAACAAAGGAAGTCGTAAAGAAGCCGGTATGGCTGCTCATACTGAAGATCAAAACACAGGGCTTCCAGCAACAGATCTTCGTTATGTAAAATCGTATCCCTCCACTTCCAGAACTCTTTCGACTGCTCGTCCACCACGACATTTGGTTTTTTCAGGGCCACCCTACAGCACGCAATTATCAACTCCCTCATCTTCCGGCAATTCTCCTCCACCTTAGTCGCCAGAAACAGCGACGTAGCCGCGACCGAATACGGATGCATTCCGGACCGCTGTGGCAAATCCACCATACTATATCGCATAAAAAACCGGTGAAGATAGACACTAGCCGTGCAAAGCGTAAGCTGCGGGAGCTTCAGCAGAATCCCAACCTGCATGATGAAATTCACGCCCTTCCCTCGGCTCATATGCTCACTATCAACAGCCATGCCATCGAGAGCCGACGGAGTTCGAAGAAGCTCCGCGTCAGTGAAGAGCCATTGCGATTGTGCGGCCAAGAGGACGGGATTCGAAGGGCCAGGAACCGGAGGAGCAGAGGATCCACTATTGGAAGAGAACGAAGGCATTTTATATGCGTTTAGTAACAGGGCGGATTATAGCTTTCGGGTTTGAGCCTCTCAGATTCCCCTTCCCGGTAAGCCGTAGGGGAAAATCAGGAGTTCTGAGGGCGTTCAACTCCCTATAAGGAGTGGATATTAATTTCCCCCTCTCCTTAGCAGTCAACGGCAGAGAGACATGGAAGGAACTCTGATGTCATAAATGTGAAGCTATGGGAGCGCAATCGGCTTCAGGAAAATTTTGAGATACCGGACAATAAAACGAGAGAAAATTGAATGAAGTACCTCGGTGTAGTCATTGAAAAAAGTGAGAAGCACCCACGGGGTGAGGAGTGAAATTCGGGTTGAGCGTAGGAGATACCGACGAGACGCGCCTTAAGCAGGCTGTCGGAGGAAAGATACTCCGTGCCGATCAATATCAAAAATGGCCCGATGCAAGACATTCACGCCGTACTCCGTAATGGATGGATGGATAAAATGAATGCGAAACAAGTCTGTTATTGTTAAAATATCTGCTCTTGTGGCTATGATACATACATGCAAAATCGGCTCTTGCGTAGTGCCAACTGGGTACTTTGGCATATGCCGTGTCAAGACTCTTCAAAAAAAGTGGTTCTCAAATGCATCTAAAACTCCCGATTTTCAAACTCCCTCCCAAAAAAAAAGTTGAGTCAGCCGCTCAGATTGATGGCCCGTAGGCCCGCAAAATAGATACAAATATCACTCTTCTTCGCTAATTTCGCTTTCCTCGTCACTCACAACATGTAGTCGCTGCTGCTGCTGTTGCTGTAGGAGTAAATTTCTGGCTCTCTCTTCTTCCTCTTCCCTAGCACTCTCCTCGAATGCAGCTTCCATCTCGGCGGCTAGGTCGTCATCGTCAGCCATGTAGTCGTTGGTTTCCGGTTCGACTTCGCCTGCATCTTCATCACTCTCTTCCTCTTCCTCCTCATCATGCCCATCGTACTGTTGCGAAGCGTGGTTCTGCCATACCCGGCTCCCAGCTAATCTTGGCGGCGACGGTGATCGAACGTCCTCCTCTTCATCGCTTCCTGCTTCGTTGGCAGACGTATTGTTCGAAGCAAAATGGCGTGGGTTAAGCTTGAACTTTGGTCTTTCTGGCGGAGGAGAGCCCATGTCGATGATTAAATCGCCATCTACTATTATATTGTTACTCGACGACGTTTCTGGAGGTGTTGGTTTCGGTTCTGGTTCTGGTTCTGATGGTGGTGACTCGACAACAGGCGGCTCGGGCTCAACGATAGGGGCTGGTTTCGGCTTGGACTTGGGTGCACTTGCGTTTTTGGCCATCGCAGCTTTGGTAACTCGTTTTGGCTGAGGCCGGAGAGGGTTAACTTGAGGCTTAGGTTTTGGAGGAGGCTTCGTTTTAGGTGGTAAGGCGTTCAAGGCTGCAGCAGGAGTCAAGTGCGTGGGTGCTTTATTCGGGGGATTATGAGAGTCGTGGCCGTTTTTCGGGGGAGTGTAGTCGGTATTTTTGGCACTGGACGGTTCACTTTTCGGTAGGAAGTGTCTAAAATCGTAGGGGTTGCCTTCATCAGCTGCATCATCATCGTCTTCTCTGCTGCTATCGTCTCTTTCATGGTTTGACAATGTATTAAGTTGCTCATATTGTTCTGCCACTTGTTTGTCAGTCTTTCCGGGTGCAGAGCGCAGGTTGAAGTTTAGCTTTGTCGAGACCGGCTCGAGTATGAAGGCTTTGCGTTTTGGGTCAAAAACAAGTACTAGATTGCTTGATTCCGGCTCCGACACGGAAGATGCAGGATCAACGCTTCCATGGTAAAGGTACGTTAAATTAGTCCGCTCCGCATTGCTGGCTTTATCTTGAATCGTCAGCTGGTAGAGGTCTGGCGTATTGCCCTTTGTAATGGTTGTTTTCTGCTGTGGCGAGGCAGATTTCGCTTTGTAATTGTAGGCGACATTGACGAAGCGGGATTGTCTCGAAGAGGGCTTGCCAGCCAGTTTGTCCCCGAGAAGAATAGGATATTCCGCCTGTTTGGACGGGTCAATCAGCCCACCAGCGAAGGCGGACGTAGTGGAAACAGCGGCCATTCGAGAGGTATGGAGGAAATAGTAACTATGATACAAGAATAATGATAAACAACGACTTTTCAGAGCGGCCGGACAACCCTTAAAGCCATTCACTCAATTTACTTAAATCACGAAATGAGAGAAAGCGATGGGAAATTATCTATGGATGCCCATGAAAGGCAGACAAGGAGAAAGAAGAGCTCACAGGAGCACAAACATAGCCCTGGCAAAGGAAAATGTACCCAATGCCCAAAGCCAGCAGCATAACCGCGGGCAGACCAGGACTCTCAGGCCGCGGACAAGGAAGTCAAGCAAGCGGGATCGCAGCCAAAGGCGCTTCAGGCGGCGGGAGGGGATGAACGGCGGCCGTGGAGCCAATCAGCGCCAAGTATTTAGGCTCCGTGGATGGCTTGGCTACGCTAGTACGGAAACGGTAAGACCCGGAATCCCTTTCCGGGGCGACTAAGACACCGCTAGTCCTAATTAAGTGTTACATTATCTAATCATGACGGCTAGACCCGCGCTCCTATTGGCCTAGATGCCTAGCTCACCGCCTTGGACGTGAGCGAATCCAGGCGTTCTGCCAGCATACGGTGCTGCTTCATCGCTTTCTCCCATTCAGGCACTACATCCGCGTCGACGGGCTCTTCGTCGTCGTCGTCGTCGCCGTCGCCGTCAGAATCGCCATCATCTCCACTGAGGAATGACAAAATCATGCTGAAGTCTCCGCCAAGTCGACCTAAGCTGGCAGCGCAGTAAAGGACCTGCGTGAGCAGGCTCTCGCGTGACCCTTTGTCTTGGACATTGGGGAGGTATGTCGAAAGAGTATCCAGAAGAAGCTGTGACAGGTGCATGGGGAATGTAGCTAGCGCGGAAGGCAGCTGAGATAGCGTGTCGTCCCTTTTGCTAGGTTCCTCTTTGGCTGACTTGTCTCCTTCGGGGCTTCCCCCGTCTGGTATAGTTCCAGATTCCAATGGTGCGGGTGCAAAAATGTTCTTGTATAAGGACACAATAGCAAAGCTCTGTTCTCTAAAAATCTCAATGTATCTCTTGAGAAACCGCTCTGTCTGCTGCCCGCTCGCCCATAGATTTTTAGCTCCATTTTTGGCGTCGCTCTGATTTCCACCCGCTTGTAGCCGTTTCTCTGTCTCCAAGTCAGCAAGCTCGCGTAAGGGCTCCAAGGCGCCCAGCATCTTGAGCAAATTCGCCAATCGACAGACCAGGAACAGGGCCCCAAAGGTCCCTTCGTTGCTTGCGGGGCGCTCTAGCTCTGGCGCCACGCGGCGAAGCCAGCCCACCGTCCTCATGGCCGCGGCCAGTCTTATATTCTGTACCTTGAGGCTGGCGATTAGGCTGCTGGTCATGTCTCTCATCGCATCTTCAGCCTGACGAGATACGTCCCGCATCAATGGCGAGTCGGGATAGAGCGCTTGTAGTCGCTTGATATGGGCGAACAAATCGAGGGCCGACGAGTAATTCGTACTAGCCGCAGCATTGCCTGCAGCAGTAGCATTGATCGAGGAGGACGAGACGGCCGTCGACAGCAGAGCCGGGAGCTCTAAGATGTCCGACAGGCGGTCCGCATTGCGAGCCAGCTGCATGGCCTTCTTCCTGCGGTCCAGAATCGGGTTCTCGCCGGCCCGGCTGTACCTCGACGAGAAGCACACAGCCTCTTCGTCGAGCACGGGGATGGCATCGCGCAGCGTCGCCGTCTCGGCGGCCAGGCGCGGGAGGGAGGAGCGCAGGGACGACAGGTGGTCGGCGGAGGAGATGAAGGCCTTGTGCGAGCGATTGGCGAGGGCCTGGAGCGAGACGAGGTTGGAGTGCGTCGACTGCGCGAGCGACTGTGGCTCGGAGTCGGCCAGCGCGGCGAGCGAGAGCGTCGGCAGGCGGGCCAGGTAGCGGGCGGTGGTGGCATCGCGGGCGGGCGGCGGCGGCGGGCGGCGGTCAAGGGACGGGAGCAGCAGCTCGTATAGCGAGTCGGCCATGGCGCATAGAGCATGCGAGGCGACGCAGAGCGAGCGCAGGATGTGCGTTGTCGTCGTCGTCGGCGGACGAGGATGAGCCTGCGATGGCCGCGCTTGGCCCGTGACCGCAACTGTCGGTCAGCAACGTCGACGCCGTCGCTCACTGGCCGACTAGTTACATACTTATATAACTACTGCGTACCCATATCGAATAAACGGCGTCGTATAAGAACGCTGCATCCCCCCTGCCCGGCATCCTCCCTGCGCCGACCGGATCGCAAGACCTCACCTCCTCCGCCCATCTCTCGCTCTCAGTCGTCGCCGTGGTGGTGATCGCCCGCTCCCCGCCATCATGGGCAAGCCTCGAGTCTGTCTCCAGCACGATATCCCTATATCTCTCCACGCTGGCCTTTTGCTAACCACGCTCTTGTCGCGGCCCAGCTCCTCATCCTCATTCGCCACGCACAGTCCGAAGGCAACAAGAACCGCGAAATCCACCAGACGGTGCCGGACCACCGCGTGAAGCTGACCGCCGAGGGCCACCGGCAGGCGCTGGAGGCCGGGCGGCGGCTGCGCGCGATGCTGCGGCCCGACGACACGCTGCACTTCTTCACGTCGCCGTACCGGCGCACGCGCGAGACCACGGAGGGCATCCTGGCGTCGCTGACGGCCGACGACCCCAGCCCGTCGCCGTTCCCGCGCAACACCATCAAGGTGTACGAGGAGCCGCGGCTGCGCGAGCAGGACTTTGGCAATTTCCAGCCGTGCTCGGCGGCCATGGAGCGCATGTGGCAGGAGCGCGCGGACTACGGGCACTTCTTCTACCGCATCCCCAGCGGCGAGTCGGCGGCCGATGCGTACGACCGCGTCAGCGGCTTCAACGAGTCGCTGTGGCGGCTGTTCGGCGAGGACGACTTCGCCAGCGTGTGCGTGCTGGTGACGCACGGCCTGATGACGCGCATCTTCCTGATGAAGTGGTATCACTTCAGCGTCGAGTACTTCGAGGACCTGCGCAACATCAACCACTGCGAGTTCGTCGTCATGAAGAAGGACGACGACAACGGCAAGTATATCCTGCAGAACAACCTGCGCACCTGGTCCGAGCTGCAGCTGCAGCGCGACCTGGAGAAGCAGAAGGAGAAGGCTGCCCGCGAAGCCGCCTTCGGCACCGACATCGCGTCCGCCAGCTCCGTGGCCTCTGCGTCTCCCGTGCCCACGCGAAGGCGATGGGGCGGCTGCCCAGATGGCTGCAACCACGGCCTACGATCATATAAAAAGAAAACCCCCTTACTACAGAAACAAACCCCCCAGCCAGCATCAACATCAGCAGCCCAAGACACCACCACCCCCTACCCCGAACCCATCAACTTCACCACCACCAAACCCTCCCCTACCACCACCCCCGAAAGCGAACTCACCCGCGGCCTCGCCATCCTACACCTCGGCGGAGGCCGCGACGCCGGCGGCTCGCGCAGCGGCGCCACCAGCCGCGCCTCCTTCACCTCCTCAACCACGACCTCCTCCTCGATCCCGCACCACCACCACCCACACCACCTTGACGATGACGACGACGACGATGATGACCAAAACGCGCCCGTCTCGCCGCCCACCAGCGGCGGCAGCCGCTCGCTGACCAGCAACAGTGATGGCGGGCGGCATCCCGACCAGACACCGCGGCCGCGCAGCATTCTGGCGTTTGGCGGCGGCGGGAAGCTGGGGCATGCGCATGCGCATGCGGATTCGTTGGGTGATACGGATGAGAGTGGTGATGCGGCGGTGGTGTCGGATGATGAGGAGGGAGATGAGCAGAGAGTGGGCGGTGGTGGTGGTGGTGGGGAGTCTGGAAGCGCGGTGTCAGGCTGGAGGAGACGGGAAGTGGAGAAGATGGAGGCGCTGGATGTGATCAAGGCACGGGAACAGAGCTTCGAAGAGGGCGTGTATTGATGGGAAGAAAGGCAAAGGAAAAAGAAAACCGGTCACGCGGGTCGCTCTCTGCTCTAATCTTCCGCTGCTCTTCAAAAAAAGAATGCTCCACACAAAAAGTCTACATACTCCGCACTGGCGAAAAGGATGGGGATACAACAAAAACAAAAGAATAACGGGGTATTGTGTATAGGTCATTATCTATAGATCTATATTTCTCATCTATTATATATAGTAGATAGTAATACAACAAGATATTGGTTTATATGGGGGGAATACAAGTATTTAAGACATATATTCGCAAGACAAGAACTTGCATCGCAGGATCCTGTCACGACCTCACCAGAGGTATAGGATACAACACATCAATGGATGGATACAGAAGAGGCAATTGTAAATGATAAAATAAAATATAAAAAAAAAACAAGGATAACCTCATCTGATCCTCACCAAAAATTTTCTGTATTTTCATCATTTCTCCCACTAGTTTTGTACCTTTGAGCTAAGCTTTCAATATGTAAAAATGCCCGCAGAGGAAAGAAGAAGAAAACAGTCAACGAGGGGACACTCCCACAAAAGGGGAAAAAAAAAACCACCAAACAGAGAAGAGGAGAAATAGGACAAAACAATCTTTAATTCTCACGAATGGCGTGACCTCGTCCTGAAAGACCACATGCAGATCGGTAGTCCTGAAAGAAGAAGACAAGGTAGCTCTCTGATTGAGTATGTAAAAACTGAATAGAAGAAAGCCACACAAGACAGCAATCTGAGAACTCGAGACAAGCAAATGTTACCACCGTGAAACATACCGGGGGAGTATCAAGAAGAAAAAAAGAAGCGAGGGTATCTCTTCCTCTGCCAAATCAAACAAGCCATTTTCGAAAAGTCATAATGAATAAAAAGTTGAAAAAAAAAGGGCGGGAAAAGTCAATCTTGAAGAAACGGCAAATGTACGACAACATTACAAGTACTCAGATGACAAAAAAACCCAGGTTGCAACAAAAACAATGGAGCCCGAGTAATTTTTTTTGGCCAAATTTTTTTGGAATGGAGGCGTGAGAGAAAACCAATCAAAAGCAAAGCGAAGCCGCGATCAAAGAGTAGGGACTAACAATGCGAAACAATGGGAAATAAAGCAATAGTAACAATTTTGTAAAAAGCCAGATGCCCAAGGCATGGTCATCCCAGACAAGTAAATGGGATAGAAAGCAGAGTGAATTAAGCACTCATACATAGGACAAAAAAACTCCAACAAGGGACAAAAGCAATAGCAATTTTTCGCAACGCAGTCAAATATAAAAAAAAGTCAAATACAACGCCATGTAAAATTTAAAACAAATTTTGGTTTAGGGGAAAAAAGGGAATGTTCTATGCCAGGAAAATACGCCACCAGATAAAATGCCCCCAAGGGAATTGCCGGGTCAAAAAACCAAGTGTTAATGAAGAGAAGAAAAGGTTAAGTTTGCGAAAGTAATGAAATCATCAAATCATTCTCAAAGCAGGGCGGAACAAAACAAATACGTAGCCATCCCTAATAAAACGTGAAAAAGTAGCGAGAAAGCAGAGAAAAGGAAAGAGACAAAGAAAGAAAAAAAAATGACTCGAGCGAGTCGAGCCCCTCGTTGATTCCGAGAAAGCCAGCAAAAAGACTTTTTTTTGACACCGAAAGATTTTTGTGGTGGTCATTTTTATCCTCTTGAAATTTTTTCGGAACACAAGCGTGCGTGATTTTGAAATTTTCGCTTGACTGGAACTGATGCATTAAGTCGTCGCGTGAATATTGTGGACGTGATTAAAGAGATGGTTTAAAAAACGGAAATAGAAAGAATCCGAAAGAATAAGATTTTTTTATCCCGCGACCGGCTGCAAACCGAAAGGTACGCCGGAGAGATAGTGGTCGGGACCCTTTGCGCAATAGAGACAGCCACAAGCAATGCCGTGTCCGTGCCAGCCTGCGGCAGAGAATGCCGGGGCGTAGGACGGAGTGGGCTGGTAGGATGGTGGCTGGGACCTAGAGGTAATAAATTGCTGGGGAACAGCCCAGGACCGAGAATACGGCGGCGGATTGTTGAAAGGCCATGGGGCTGCTTGGAAATAATCAGGCGTATTTGGACCAGTAGGGGGCGCAGATGGAGGAGAATAATCAGAGCTCATGGGGGTCAACCATCCACTTCGCTGGTACTGAGGAGGAATTGGTCCTTCTGGCGACAAAAGTGGCTTCTGAATTGAATGATGACGCTGAATGGTGGTATCGATCGGGGCAAGTTTGGTACGAGATTCGTAGACACGAGCGTCCGACTTGGCGCGCCATGTATCCCAATGGGCTTTCCATGTCATGAAGCCATCGTTCTGGTTGTGGATGCGGTTGTGGATTCTCCAATCAAAGGCGAAGAGCCATTCCAACTCCATCGAATTCAAGTCAGCAACTGGGATGTTGCTGACCTCAGACCATGAGCGATTCTGGAAGGTATTGTCGTCAAGGAACTTGCTCCCAAGCAGCAAAGCAACGGTAAGCATGCGGTAGACTTCGCCAGATCCGGCACCATAAACCTCGGCAGTGGACAGCATTCGCATCCGCGAGGCAAGATAATACAAGCCCAAGAGAATAGTCGAACTCGGAAGACGGGTGGACGAGAGAATCTGATAGACATATTTCCTAAACTGGCGGGGGACTGCTGTTCCTGGGTAAACGCTTCGAAGCATGTCAATATCTGAAAGTCTGATCTTGGACGTGTACAAAGCATACATTCCCTGGGCCATTTCTGCCACAAAATCTGTCATTTGATCCATATCGTAGTCCAAATGAGCCGCGACGCCACCGGTGGACTTTTGCTCCTTGGCCTTGTGTTCTTGCTGGCCAGAATGCTCACGACGGCGATACTGGGGGGGAATTGCGTTGTCCATGGGTGGCAGCGAAGTACTGGAGCGCAGCGACGCCGCATGGGCACCGGTCACGATGGAGGAGTACAGGGGCTGCTGCGGGCGCGAGAACAAAGCAGCTTTCATGTCTCGGTTGGACTGTGCGGGATGCAAGTGCGGCAGGTGCGTAGACACGGGCGGGCCATAGGCGGCGGAATAGTGATCGACTGGGTCACAGCCATTGGCGAAGCGTGCCGAGTAGGGCGGTGGGAGGCCGGGCGGGAAGTACGGCTGGTCGACGTCGACGCGGTTGCCCATGTGGACATGAGGCGGCGTTGGGAGGCCGTTGGCGGCCGCAGAGTAGAAGGAGGGCATAGTGAGCCGAAGGGGAGGAGCTTGGTCGTGGATGAGACGTAGACGGCGCGCAAGCTAGAAATACCGGTCAACAAGGGGTCTTGGCGGGGAGGGGAGATGCGGTGTGACTAGGACGTTAGGAACGTACCCTTTTCTACACCTGATCCAAATTCCAAGCTGTGAAGGGGGAGAGGAGGGAGGGAGACGCTTCACGGACGAGCCGCAGCTCCAGCAACGACTGTTGAACAGACAAGCGGCGTCCCTAGCAGAGCGACATCGGATCGTGGAGGTTGGTGATTTGCTTGCACGACGAGTCGACGGGAGGAGGACACGGAGCAGGCGCGCAGTGAGACGGCACAGCGGCGTGGATGGAGTAGATGGCGATGGCAGTGAGTAGCGGGAGGATGAACGGGCAGCCCTGGGGGAGGGAATCAGGAGAAGAAAAAAGAAGAGCGGGTTGGCGGCAAGACCGGGATGGGGATGGGGGATGGGGGGAGGAGGCGGGTTGGCGAAAAGGCGAAGTTCGGAGAACACGGAACGAGACTTAGTGAAAAGCTCGTTTTGAGGAGGAGAGGCGAGGACAACAGCGAGATGAAGAGAAGAGCAGCGTGGAGCGCGAGAGGGAGTGTGGGAGAGAGTGGGAGAGTCGAGGGTGAGAGAGTGAGCGGGCGTTGAAAGGGGGAGAAGAGGAGAAGAGAAGAAGAGAAGAAGAAGAACAGCGCGGCGAGAGGAGGAGCGGTGGTGAGGGCGGCGGGCTAGGCCGCATCGGGCGAGGTCTGGGGGGGCGGCGGGTGGAGCGGGCGTACGGTACGGTACGGTATGGTCACGCAGGCCCCGCCGGCCGGCTGACAGACAGGCTTTTCTGCCGCGTCGCCGCCCACGCATTACTCAGCGGGCGGGCCAGGCGGCGGGCGGCGGCGGTACGGGCAATACCACGCCCCCCACACGGCGTACCGCCAGGCCAATACCGCCATACCGCCATACCGCCATACCGCCATACCGCCCTTTTGTGTGCCTGCGCCACCGCAGTAGCAGCAGCAGCAGCATGGACCGCCCAAACGCCCGGCGAGCCAGCGAGCGAGTGAGAGTGAGGTGCCGGCTAGCGCTGCGGTAATTTCGCAGGTCTGAGGATTGGATTGGATTGCTGGCTGCCTGGCTGACTCACATGCGCCGGCTTCCACAGGACTCACTCCGTATAACTACTCCGTACTCCGTACTCCGTCGCAGCGCTGCACGCCGTAGTTAGGGAGGTGGAGGCCCCAAAGGATTCTTGTTCCCTTTCGTCGCTTCCGGTCGTCTTCCGCGCTGCTGCTGGGCTTGTTGCCGGGAGCAACCGCGCTGCCCTGCCCTGCCCTGCCCTGCCCTGCCCTGCCCGGCTCGTATGGCCCGTCGACACCCACCCACCTCCTGATGCTCTGCTGCTGCTATGTTGCTGGATGCTGCTGCTGACTGGCAGGCTGGCTGGCAGGCCGCCCGGCCACGTTCCCCACCCGGGATTGACGCCATGCTGGGGGCGCGACGCCCGCCCCTTGATTCGTTCCGCGACCGTTTGGCTACCCCCCTCCTCGGCGATGACGGTGCCAGCGTCGCCCGTTGTTCCGGCGCCGTCCGAGGGCGTGCAGGCGTGCGTGCGTGCGTGCGTGTGCGGCTGGCGCGCGGAAATGCGGCGATCGTGATTCGGCCGCCGGACTCTGAATAGTTATATCATCATGCATATACACGGCGCCATCCTCCCATCTACGACTCCGTACGTCGTGATGATGATGATGATGATGATGATGATGATGATGAACCATGCTGCCTGCCCTCTGTTGCCTGCCTGCCTGCCCGGCTCGCCGCCATGACAAATAGCCCAAACCAAACCAACTACTAACTTCGCCAGAACGAACCGCCCGCCAGGCCCTGGCGCGGCGCCCGCACGGCCAAGCAGCGCCGACGTGCAGCGAGCCTGAATCTTCTGTCGCCACTCCGTCCAGCCCTGCCAGCCGGGCCTGCGCACATGACGATGACGAACGCCGCCGCCGCGGGCGGACTGGCGAGACGCACCGTGTGTGTGTGGGTGGTGGTGGTGGGTGTCTCGCCGCAGACCAGCACAGCGCAGCCACCAACCAACCAACCAACTAACTAACAAACTACGCGTGAGTCAACTCACCGCACACCGAGAGGGAGGGGGGGGGCCAAAGCCCATCATCGCCTGCGGATCGTCCCGCAACGCAAGAATAGAACACCACGCAAGACTAATAGCGCTGCGACGACTCCATCCAATATCCAATATTCAATAAATAATAATAAAAAAGGACTCTGTCCGTGCCAGAGCGCAGCAGCAGCAGCCCCCCGTGGATGCGCCTCGCGATTCCGATGCGCGTGGCCGTCTCCAGCTAGCGACATACATAACTAACCATCATTATTATTATTGCATCGCGGGGTCGCAGCGCAACAACGGGTATTCCCAATCTTCCCCCGCTCCCCCTGGCACGCCCAGCCAGACAGGCAGACAGACTCTGGACGTGCAGCCAAACCTTCGGCAGCCCTCTCAAAGCAGCGAAAAAATAAAAAAAAAAACAAGAGAGACAGCACATCCCCCCTCCCCCTCTCTCTTTGTTTTTAGAAGAAGTCGAACGAGACGGGCAGGCTGGTCTGTGCGGCCCCTGGAGCAAGCCGAGGGAAGAGGGAAAAAAAAAAAAAAAAAAAAAGATCGAACGGCGCTGCAAGGCCCTTCTCCGCCCGCCCGCGGCCTCCCTGTCGGACGGACCGCATGTGCATGTCGTGGTCCGCTCACCGTGGACAAGCGTGGGAGAATAATGCGGGCGCATTATTCGAAGGGCTGATTCCGCCGTCCTGGCCTAGTGCTCCGTACTCCGTCGTAGTATGAAGCTGCTGCTGCAGCTGCTGCTGGCGCTCTATCCGCACTATCGAGTTTGTATGCAACATCAGTCCCCGTCCGCTGTAGTTCCTAATAAGACAGAAATACGGAGTAAGTATATTTCGCGTTACATACCGACGGATACACTTCTATTATTGTGTCATTTCATTCTTTTATCATAATAAAACCCCTCTTGGAAAAAAAAAAGGTTTCTAATGACAATTGTTTCACCGCGCGCGGGAACGAAGCCCACCCCTCCCGCGGTGCAGCTGCACTAGTTACGGGGTACACAGCAGCTCTTGAACTCCCACCCACGCATGCGCATACATACATATGCAACTCCTCGGTACGGTGGGTGTTGTGGTTGCTTTTGAGGCCTGCCAGCGATTGTGAAACCCGCGTGTTTAAGAAGAACCCAGCGGCCCCCCTCGACCAAACACCGAACGGCCAATACGCTTGAGATGTGATTTAAAATAATGTCTAACATGAAGGCTCAAAATTTGTCCATGGTCAAACACATTCCAGAGGCAAAAGAAAAAAAAGTCTTTTACTCCTTTATTCTCCCTCATCTCCCTACTTCCCTTCCCTTCCCCCCTTTTTTTTTTCAGCTAGTTGGCGCCATCAACTCCGAAACCGTTTTCGTTTAAAAAGAAGGAAAAAAACACATATTACCCCGATTAAGACGCCATGAAAAACAAATGAAGACCGGGTCTGTTCCGAGAGGGAAAAACGTTCATGATGTAAGAAAAAAGGATAAAAAAACAAATCAAAATCAAGATCCTCCTCTCGCCTGCTCTCTACCCATAGTATAATCAGTCCCACCAAACAAACAAACAAAAATAAGAAATCCTTTCACGCAAGATAGGAGTACCGCAGCGGCGCATGCTCGACGGGGCCGAACTGTCGCTTCCACTCCCACTCGCGCATCGCGGCGTCGACGTACGCCTGGCGGCACTCGGCCGGCAACTCGTGCAGCACCGCGTCGTCCAGGTTGAGCACCGGCTCGCGCGTGTTCGGGTCCACCGTGACCATGCCGCTCGAGCACCACCCGGACCCGTCATTGGCCGCCGTGCACGCCGGCGCCTGGTAGTAGACGTCCTGCACCGCGAAGTGCCGCCGGACCAGCGGCGCCACCGCCGGGAAGATGCTGGCGCTGGTGTCGGTGGTGGTGGTGGTGGGCGCTTCGGCGCTGCTGTCGTCCATGGCGGTGTCCGGGTCCGCGTCGCCGTGGCTGTCGCCGTCGCTGGCCATGATGCCGTTGGTTTTGGGCATGCCGTTTGGCGCTGTTTGCTCGAGACGCTGGAGCTCGCGACTGGCGCTGTCGATCAGGTTGGCGCTGCTGGCCGGGTCGTCGGTAGCCTCAGCCGGGTTGACGCGTTCCACTCGGATATGCGACGGCTGCATGTCCTGGGGGAACAGCATTTGGTTGGTGTGTATGTCGTAGATCCCGCCCAAAGTTTCACGGCGGTAGCTGACGAGCGACGAGTTGAACGTGCTAAAGCAAGGAAATAACTGGGTTAGTATACGAGCCTCGTGCGCCTCAATGTGATAATGCCGATGCGTTCGTGCCCGGTTTAAAACATACCTGGCTGCTCGAGCGTGTTCGATCATCCAGTTATCACCTGTCACAATCACTTTCTTTTTCTTTGCGTCCACCACTTTCCCAGCTGGCAGCGGCACCGACGATACGCCGGAGTGATAGACGCTGCTGGCTCCGTGCCAGGCAACATAGCGGTTTCGGTCGTACGTCTCGCCCGGCCCCGGCAGGATGTCCTCTGGCACGGCCAATTCACCCTCCACATCTCCACGCTCCCGCGCGGCTTTCTCTTCGTAGTCATCAATCACCTTTCGACCCCCAATGATGATCTTCGCTCCAAACTCCCTAAACACCGAGCGTGCCGTAACCACCCCAATCGCCCGCCCCTTGTAGGAATGCGGGATGATATTCCTCTCGATCAGATTCCGCTTCGCCTCATCATCAATGATAATCTTGTAAAGCAGCTTATGCTTCTGAAAAAACAGATACGAGTCGCGAAACCCAATGCAGCGCGCCGGCTCCGTCGACAGCATATACAGCCGATCACCCCGATCGAGGATCGTAAACGTGCGCACGCGGTACTCGCGCCCGCCCAGCAGATTGCCAATCTTATCCACCTTGCCCTCCCCCGCCGCGTCCTCCGGCAAGTCCACCTCGTCGTTCACCACGTCCATCATGTTCCCTTCCTTGTCCACGGGCACCTGCGTGACGTGCGACGGGCCGCCGCGCGCCTTGCTCCAGCGCCCGCCCGCCGACGGACGCCCGCGCCCGCGTTTCCGCGGAGGCCCGCTGTCGGAGCGAGGCTCGTTGGGCTCGCCCGCTGGCTCCCAGTCCGGCGGCCTGTTCTTGGGCGGCCGGCCGGGGCGCCGGCGACGGGGGCCCGTGGGGATCGCCGAGCTTCGTCCCGGGGTTCGCGACGGTGTATCTTGTCGCGACGCCTGTTCGGAGTCGCCTAGGGGCGTGGACGGGCCCGTGGCATCGTCTTCGTCGTCCTCTTCGTCCTCGTCGCCTTCGTGGTCGTCGCGTTCTCGCGCTTGCTCTGCGTCGGGGTCTTCGTCGTCGTGGCCTTCGTCCTCGTCTTCGGCTTGATTTCCTTGCTCGATGGGCTCTTCTGCATCGATCTCGTCTGGATCTTCTGCCTTCTTAATGACTGGTGATTCCGGCACGTCGCCCATTTCTACGTCCGAATCTGCTGGCTGGCTTTTTGATGGAGTTGCCGTAGTACCTTCAGTTTGCGTGGCGGTCAGTGATATTCTGGTAGCTATGGTGGGGGAGGATTGAAGCTCACGCCTGGAAGATGCCCCAGCTCTTGTAGCTGGCTTGCGTCTTGCCGCCATCGTGCTCTATTGTGAGAGCAAATGCCCATACAGGAAACAACAGCGCTGCTTGAAGCTCCACCATGACAGGAAATCATCAGACGGAACGTTTGCTGACAAAGAAACCTAAATGTGGTTAGCTCGGATCAAAATTTTCCCGTGACGGATAATCCCGCCCTCCTGTCCTAATCTGGTAATCTCCACCCACCCAGGCTGGGCCTGGATTCTCTCAGTGCAAAACCAGAGACCAAGTAATGCAATCACCTAAGAATTTTCATATATAGGCCTGGATATGATATCTATCCTACCTACTAATGCTAACCAAAGTCCAACCTCAGTGCTCACATAGCGAGAACTCGAACGCCTCAATTGAGCTAGTGTGATGTGTAACAAACCTGCTTCTTTCTTCCATCAACTTCAGGCGGAGCTGTTTCGCCTCATCCATCGACATCATAAACCCTTCCAGCTCGTCCTCCACCTGATCCTTGAGCTCCTGCGGCAGGCCGACCAGGATATCGTCTATAGAAAGAACCCTCTCCCACCAATCCCGTCGCTGCGCCGGCACGTCTGCGGTGGAACGGACGCGCAGGTTGGGGTCGACCAGGAAGAGCGCGACGATCTTCCGGTGGCCGGGCTTGGTGGCGTCCTGTAGTGAAAACGGCATGACTTTGTGCTGGAAGGTGTTCGGAAAGGTGAGGAGACGCCCTTCCTTGCAGACTACGCTGCCGACCTCCTGAACCATGGGGCCGCCATCTCTCAACCCGAACACTTCCTTTAGCCAGGAGCGGTGTTCTTGCGGGTAGGAGATATTTTGTTCCCATTCTTCGTTGATCTGCCTTCGGAAAGCGAGGCGGGACTCTGTGATGTTCTCCGAGTCATAGTAGTATAGCGCGGTAGCGCATATTCTTTCGTTCTAGCAGTAGTGGTCAGCTTGAGAAGAGTCAACGTCTTGAGGAAAGAGCCCATTACCAGCTGTCCCTCTACATGCCAAGAACCCCCTGGGTACGTTGGGTTGTCTGGGGTCAAGTGGATATTTGCCAGTTTCACGATAACTTGAATGCCAGATTCCTTATAGTCCGCGTATAAGTCAACAATATGCTCTTCCGGCACCATGCTGGGCTTTCCCTTATAGTCTCCTAAAAAGTGATACTTCGAAATGACAGGGCGAGGCGTGAATTCTCCCGGTTCCGGCAAAACCAGCTTCCTGATCTCCTTCTCCCACCTATGCAGCCTGCCCCAGTACTCATTTTCATGCTCGCCCTTCATCCGCGGCGGTTTCATGGAGTTCGGCATCGTATCTGGATCAGGGTCATATGTGACGGTGTCATACTCGATACGCTTTGATCGTATCTCCGCTTTCAGGCCAGACAATGTCAGGTTCCACAGCGGCACAGAGAGAGAGATGAGCTGCTCGATGATGGAATACAAATCGCCATGGTCATCTGGGTGGAGATTATTGATGTAGCTGCTGATCTTACAGCGGACGCCGTTGGGCGCCAAGTCACCGCTCTTCTGGTGGTCTGTGTCTGCTTTTCGTTTGACAGGAACGAAAGCAACGTCGCATGGGAGCCATTGGAACGTCTGGCTAAAAAAAGAAGACTCTGAATCTTCAGGGTAGGGTCCAGCCCACTCGACGATCTCGCCCTCCCCGGCGCGCTTGATCCCGTCTTGGACGGTTAGGCATCCGTCTGCGATAACGCGCGTCTTTCCATACACAAGTGGGAACAGAGAAGGGTGCACAAGGTCAAGCACCTGATTGTTCGTGCCTGGGTGGTAGTCCTTGTCCTCGTCCGGGACATTCTCCAAAGGCGCGACCGCGGCCTTCAATGATGCCTGAAGGGACTTCGGAACCATGGTATCGGATTTAACAATATCGCCATCATAGACGTAGACCATGTCGATCTCATTGTACATATTCGCTTTGAAGCGGAGCTCTTCCATGATCCAGTCCACCATCTTCGTCGTTGGAGGATTTCCCATGGCCGCAAGCTCGGCCCGCCATTTATTCACTATGTTATCGTCGAACACCTACAATTTTAGACGCCAGACTGGATTTAGTCTCGTCGGGCTTAGAGAGATACAAGCCAGTTGTGCAGAGAGAGAGAGAGAGAGTCTCTACCTTCATCTCCCAGCCTGGCTTATCAGTTATAGCCTCCATTATTCTAATCATCTGTAGCTCTCTCGTCGTGATAGCTTCGAACCTAGGCAACAGTCAGCACAAGTTTGAAGCGGGACGGCAGCATAGCGGTAACTAGCTTACCCAGGGTGCCCTTCAATGGCATTTTCGAATAGGCAAGGGTCTTGAGACATTTTGCTGGTCTGTTGATTTGGTTATCTTGATCGCAGACAAGAAACGTAGTCAACTAAGGGAAGATGAGGGGTTCGCTCAACGCGTGGAGATTGAGTCACCCATACCAGCTAGGTGCCCACTAACTACTCCGTATTTGCGAATAAAGACCAGCGCTGCCGGGGCTTCGTCTGCTTAGGCGCCCCGACAAGGCTGCCTAGCGAGCCAAGCCGGTCAGCTCGCTGGCCGAGCAAGAAGCCCCCCATATGCCGTATAGTCTCCTCCTTACGACTATTATTATTCCCTGGAAACATACATCATCAGAGGCCTGAAACGTGATAGATAGGGTTCGCTGTCATCACCGATGCGGGCTCTCGGCTGCAGCGACCCCCGCGCACCCGACGCCCACGCCTGGGGCTGGCCGCCGCTCTCGCTTGCTGCTGCGCGGGGGGGTTGACGTGCCGTCGCGGCCAGGCGCTTGGCTGGCAGCGGGTAAGCTTTATTCTCTGGTCTCGGTATAGTTAAGTATTCTCGCTATCTTGAAGGCCAGGTGCGGCTAGTGAGCGCCGGAGAGTATGCACTGGTCCTTGCCAGTACCGCTTCATAAAACGGTTCCTTTTCGTTAACTAGTTAGTTAGTTAACTGCCACACGGGCCGAGAGGAAGTGTTGGCAGTGCCGCGGCTCGATACCGAACTAGAGCTTGTCGAAACATGGTTCCTCCCACAGCCGCCAGAGTCGAGGTCTCCGGGATATTTTCGAACTGTCTCACAAAGATATGTACTTGCTACTGGAAGTGGGTTGGGTTGGCACAGCAAATTCCAGGATAGCGGATGGGTCGCAGGGTCAGCGTCATCTTGCTGCCCGTGGATTGAATTGCATCAGAACGGGCGCAATTGCTGCCGCAAGCCCCTTCTTTGTTGAAAGGAGGCAACAAACGCAAACAGAAGAAAAAGAATTTTCCAAGACAAAGGCTGTCCGAACCCTGAGCCAGAAATACACACACACGTCGCCGCCACAATGCCATGGGATCAGACGCCGTAGTCATGTAACTATGCATTACTTCCCCGGACTCTTACTCCGCATCCAGCATGAGCCTACATGATGTAGCTTAAGATCTTCGTTATGCTTTCCCAGGCCAAGAGGGCTGCACTACGTTGCTCTGCGCGCGCAGACTTTGTTATTAATAGCAGCTGGGACTGACCCGACACGACATGGCGAGCAGCAGCCGACCAGACCGATGGATGGATGGGTGGATGGATGGACCAGAGGCCGCCAGCCGCTTCTCAGCCTCGCGTTGAGAAAACAGCGAGCGGAGGAACACGGCAGGGAAGATGCGGCCTTGCTTTCAATCAGGGCTGAGACGATGGGATGGGGCCTGCTCGCCCTGACGTAGTTAGTTAGTTGGTGAAGTGATATGTCAGTGGTAGTAGTACGGAGCAGTGCATCCTTACACGGCCGGCCACCGCATGGGCCTGCCATCCCGAGAAAGGAGGCGGGCAGCGAGTCGGAGCGAGGGCGTGTGGGCGGTCTGGCGCCCGTGGCTGGCGCCCGCCGACTCGCGCCTCCACGCCCGACCGGTGGCTGCGTGGGTGTACGTATGTACGGAGTAGTCAGCTCGTTAGTAGCAAAGTGGTATTCTCCGCGGTTTCCAGCCGCTGTGCCATGTGTAACTCATCGGCGGACGAGACGACGCCAGCCAGCAGCAGCAGCAGCAGCATCAGCACGCAACGGGCGTCCATGCAGGCGAGGATGTCTCACTCCGCGCGCCTCGCTGTCAGGAGTGGCGAGGCGAGGAGCCTCTCGTCTTTTCCAATCGAGCAAGAAAAGGCGAAGCAGCCAATAGCCACGGCGCGAAGTGACGACTTGCTGATCGCTGGTCCGCAGCAGGAGACACACGCACACGGGTTGCGTGCGAGCTCTCAGCGGCGCCCGCCCGCCCCCGCGCGCGCCGGTGGTGTCGGCCTTCTAATCGAAAAATGCGGGAAAAAGTTAGCGGGCCCTGCCCACAGCTGAAGCGGAGGTGGCGCAGACTGGGCACTGGCCCATGTTGGGCGCAGAGGTGGATGTTCGCACGCAGCGCGCGCGGCAGTGGCGGGGGAGCTGTGCGGGAGGGGAGAGAGGGGCCAACTAGCTAGAGAGCACTGTAGTTAATTAAGGTAGAGCTATGTGCACGCACAGGGCGCGAGGGAGAAGTCAGCGGGAGTGCGGTCACTGTGCGGCGCATGAAGCCGCCGGGAAGTGAGCCGAAGGGTGGTGGGTGCGCGCTCACCACCAGAGAGTGAGAGTGACGGGCGCGCGGTGGTGGTGGTGACTCACACAGCTGTGAGTTAACTAGCTAGTTAGTTAGTTATTTAACGCACCAGTGTGCGCGCCCGCTCTGCGCGGTGCATGCTCTTGTTCCTCGATGTGCAGCTTGCGCCATTGCCATCGCCCATCATCCTTCGCTCTGAGATCTACTGGCTGGCTCACCGCCCGCTGGGTCAATCCCCGAATCGCCCCGACGCCGACGTCAGGCCCTGCCCGGCCCCCCCGAGCCCGCGGGCGGCCAACCCCCCAACCCTCAACGCTCACGAACCAACTCAACTCGCCCCGAGCCCGCCGCCCTCGCCTCCCCACCGGAATCCTTTCCCAATCGAAGACTGTAATGATAAATAATAGTAATAAAGCAAAACCTCTTTGCCTCGACCACGCGCTCGCGAACCTAATCGTCTTTGACTTTTCTTTCGTGTCCGCCGCGCTGCTTCATCTTCATCCTCTCTCTCTCTCTCCTCCGCTTTCACCACCACCGCCGCCAACCCTCCTCCCCCCCCCTCCACCCCCGTTCTCGCCACGCCTTCGCTCCTTATTGCGCCCTCCGATCACGCTAGACGCCCTGCTGATTACCAACCCGCCTCGTCATAATACTCTTCCAAACGACTCTCTCTGCCTTCAACCCTCCTCCACTTCGACACCGTCTCGCGCAATCCAGTCGACCGATCGATCGTTCGTTCGTGCTGCATGGGATTTCGGCCATGGCTGACAACGGCGGAATGAACCATCGTGCCCATGCTGACCTCCTGCGCCAGGCCATGCTCCAGAAGTGAGTCCCCAGCCTGTCTGCCCCAGCCCTCTCTCTGCGTGTTGTTCAGGCTGTCTTTCGCTCTGATCTTTGCGTGCTGTCCTCCTCCTGCCGTTCTGCTGTTGTGGTGGATGATGTTGTCGTCGTCGTCCTGAAAGCCATGGCACCCACGCTTGGGCCAAAGGGCAGTCCTTTGATGTGCGTGTCTGCTACCAACTTGTGACAATTTGCCGTGTTTCACGCACCTGTCCAGTGCTTGTCGCCAAGTTTTCCTTTGTTGCGCCATGGTGCTTGCCCGTTGCTTCTTCCATCATGCTGCAAAAGCCCTCACTTGTCCCGGGGGGTTGCTTGGTTTGGCCACTGGTACCCTGGGGCTCATAAAAAGTGTGGCAGACGCTGTGCGCTTCTGCCTGCTTCTCCTTCTCATTTCCTACCCTCCCTCTTTTCTGGTGCTGCAAGACGGGAAACCTATGCTCACGACAAATGACTGACACTGCTGGAATCCTCAGTTCTTCACGTCGCGACGATGACGGCCAAGATCTCATTGGCTCAATAAGCACCACCCCGTCAGGCATCGCCACGCCCCAGCCTGATCTGTCTGATAAGCGTTTTCCGGGTATCACGCACAGCTTCTTTGCACAGGTTCGTGCTACTTCCGATTCAGCTGCAGATCTTGAGAACCAGCCAACTTCTTCTACAATTTCTGAAAGACATGGGTCTCAGTCACTTCCTCAATCTGTGCCGGAGGAGGACAAACAAGACTCTGTTTCCTCTTTGTCGGGCTCTGCCGTCATGCTAGACCATGGCCACGGCCCGGCACGGAGCGCAAGTCCTGTTGCTGAGCCAAGATGCGATTCTTTTGAGGAGTTGAGACATGCAGACTTTAATCCTTTGCCTACACCCCCCCATTCAAGTTCATCCTTTTGCTCTGTCATGCAGAAAGATGGGGAAGAAGCAGAAAATGGCAAGCCTGATGGCGGGGTGGTCTCCATATACCAGACCCTGAAGAATTTGATCCTGCCGAAAACAAGTGTGAAAAATAGGCGACATACTTCCCATCCTGTTTCCAGCATCACTCATGATTCCGTCCATGCTTCTCACTTTTCCAACCCATGTCTTCCTGATCCTTCAACTTCTTTGAAATCTCCTAATGATTCTCAAAATACGTTCAAATCTTCTGAAGAACTGATAAAGCTGACTGACACCTCGGCTGCGATTTCGCGTTTAAAGAACACGCCACCACTTACCCCGCGAGCGATGTCGAACGAGCTCCATCCCGCCGATAAGAAGGCCTACTCCACCGCCGGCTCGCCCTCTCGTAGCCACCCCGACCCGCGTATGCGAAACCATGGCGTCGCGACACCGGCCAGCTCGTCGTCGTCAGGAGGAGCCATGCCCGAAACCCAAGGTCCGCCCGTCGCCCCGTTGAAAGGGAAACTGAACGTCAAGATCTCAGACGGCAGAGGTTTACGTCCCAGTTATGACCCGTACGTTGTTTGTGTTTTTGAATGGAATGAATACATCTCCAAGGGCGCGCATGTCGAAGAATCACATCACTCCGAGAGCAGACATAGGAACCACTTCGATACTCTAGGGCCCGTGCCTATACAGCGTTCGAACAGCGATTCTGGACGCGCAATGGCTATCCCGATGAAGAGTCGACAGAGCAGCCAGAATAGTATCATGGATAGTTTCAATTATAGAGCGTCAACCCAGGTCACCGATCCTCATTGGAACCACGAGGCCGTTTTGTAAGTTGAATTTTTTATATTTTTTTGTTCTCGCCCCGGGCGTGCTGATTATTGTACTAGTGATGTTCTTGGTGATGATTCCGAAATCGATGTCTCTGTCTACGATCGTTCTAACCAGGAGCATTTCCTGGGTCATGTTCGCCTACGACTAAATTTGAGAGAAGACAAGAAAGCTGTTGTTGGCTGGTTCCCTCTTGAAGCCCGCGCCCCTGGCGATGGTCATGTCTCCGGCGAAATCCACCTCCAGATGTTTTTCCAGAAGACGGACAAGAAACACTTTGGCCCCAACGACTTCCAGATCCTGAAGCTCATCGGCAAAGGCACCTTTGGGCAGGTGTATCAGGTTCGAAAGAAAGATACCCAGCGGATATACGCGATGAAAGTTCTTTCGAAGAAGGTCATCATCCAGAAGAAAGAGGTTGCGCACACTCTTGGCGAGCGGAACATCCTTGTCCGTACTGCGACGACTGACTCTCCGTTTATCGTTGGCCTGAAATTTTCGTTCCAGACGCCGTCGGATCTATACCTGGTTACAGATTACATGTCGGGTGGCGAGCTGTTCTGGCACCTGCAGAAGGAGGGCCGGTTCCAGGAATACCGGGCTAAGTTTTACATTGCGGAGTTGATCCTAGCGCTCCAGCACCTCCATCAGCACGACATCGTGTACCGCGATCTGAAGCCGGAGAACATCTTGCTGGATGCTAACGGGCACATTGCGCTCTGCGACTTCGGCCTGTCCAAGGCGAATTTGACGAAAAACGACACCACCAACACGTTTTGTGGGACCACGGAATACCTGGCGCCCGAGGTGCTGATGGACGAGCAGGGGTACACGAAGATGGTCGACTTCTGGTCTCTGGGCGTTTTAGTGTTCGAGATGTGCTGCGGGTGGAGCCCGTTCTACGCGGATGATACGCAGCAGATGTACAAGAACATTGCGTTCGGCAAAGTTCGTTTTCCGCGCGACGCCCTCAGCGCGGAAGGCCGGAACTTCGTCAAGGGCCTGCTTAACCGAAACCCGAAGCACCGCCTTGGCGCCCGGGACGACGCGCGCGAGCTGATGGCGCATCCGTTCTTCCACGACGTCGACTGGCACGCCATGTGCCAGAAGAACGTCATCCCGCCGTTCAAGCCCAAGCTCAAGTCCGTGTCCGACACATCGTATTTCGACCCCGAGTTCACCACCGCGCTGGACCACTCGGCGTCGCTGAACGCCCGTGCTGCTGCTCTGGCCGCTGGCGCCGCCACCGAGTCCACGCCGCTGTCGCCCGCCACCCAGGCCAACTTCAAGGGCTTCACCTTCGTCAACGAGAGCACCATGGAGCAGCACCTGGGCGACCGCCACGTGGACTACATGGACGAGGATTTCCGCGAGGACGACTCGTGGGTCAACCGCGCGCGCCCGGGCGATCTGGACTACGAGCACCGCATGAACGCCGCATCGAAGGCCAGCCACGATGAGGGCGGGATTTTTAATGACGACTACCACTTTGAGATGTGACAGAAAAAAGAAAACATGCCCACTACCATGAGATATCCCTTATTGTTGTTTCAGCTTTCCTTTTTTTAGCCTTCTAACGCTATTTTCGCTATGTACATGACGACGGGGGCAGACGATTTGATCTTGATGTTCTTCGTTTTCTTTTGCGAATCTGCTGCGTCACTGCCTTGATTTCTTCTATTTTTTCTTTTATTTTTTTCATTATCTTCGGAGGAGCCCGTGTTTTTTATGGTACTTGAAATCCACCAAAAGTCACGTCGTGTTTCTATCTCTCTGCTGGATGCATGCGTGCGTGCGTTTGCGCCTTTTTTTTTAAACAAAAAAAATCCCAGAAATGGCCAATACCCATCCGCTCTACGATGATATCTTGCCGCCGTCTCTTGACTACCGGTATTTTTTCCCCCACCTACCAGAAAAAAATTGCTGCCTAACTGATGCCCACCCCCTCGCATGCATCCACAATCTAATACCCCCCCTGCCCTGTTTCCCCTCGTGGAGTTTAGGTATCTCTTATCTAATGCCACTCCTTTCAAATATTGCTCCCAATTTGCCAAATGGAGTTTGCTGCTTGCCGTTGTTTTTCTGTGTTTTTCTTCTAATGAATGCAAACCTACCTATGCTGTTTCCTCTGGGGTTCTTTTTCTTTCTCAGTCGTCCCACTTCGGTCTGATCTTCTTAATGTTCTTCCAGCGACAAACATATGCATGAAATGACGAGGTGACAACCCTGCGGCACCCAGTAGCCCAGGCCAATGCTTTTTCTTTTTTTCTTCTTATGAAATCTCTTTCCAGCAGTTGCATTTTCCGATAGCTCTAAAATATTATATCGAAATTAGTTCCCCCAGCAGCAGCACAGGCCTTTCCCCTCCATGATCCTTTCTCCTTGCAGACACTAGCAGTAGTCGTAGTAGGAATGACGCTGGCCTTGGTGGGCGGGGAGGGGAGATGATGGCGAGAATGCAACGGTTACTCTTCTAGAACAACCAGGGTCGCGACCCGCAACACCACGCACGCACCCTGTTGGGGTTCCGGTTGCATCTGCCAGAAACCATTCTTATTATTATTCAGTCAAGGGATTTCCTATACGGCCATCATCCATCATCAAACAGGCTTGTTTCCTTCTCCCCCGCCCGCCTGCCGTACGAGCCGTATACCGGGCGTATCCCGTGCAGCGCTTGTACGGTACTCCGGCGGTTCGCGCTAGGCCGCAAGCAGGCAGGCGCGGGGCGCTAGGGTGGGGGGGGGGGGGCTCGGATGGGCGATTCCCGCCGACAACGGCTTAGCGCGTGCGATCCCGCGGCGTCTCGTTCGCGTTGGCTTGGCGACGCCGGATTGAAGGAGAAGAAAAATTGACTTTTTTCTTTGGCGGTTTTTTCTTCTCTCGCTCTCTCTCTCTTCTCTCCTGTTGGTTTTTGTTTTTTGGGTTTTAAAGGTATGATGATGACATCGTGACGGGCTGCCGTCTCTCCTCGGGTCCGCCCCCTTTTTTCTTGGTCTGGGTCTCCCCCGTTTGGTGAGGAAGAGCGGGTTTGCTCGTGGCGGAGAAAAGTATAACCAGGTTTTTTTTTAGGGGCTCGCCAACCATGGGGTTGCCTGTCTGCCCCGTTGCCCTATCGTCGCCGTTACGGGCCGTTGACTGGCTACGCGGTACGGAGGGACATCGTACAGAGCGCCGCCGCGGTCTGCCTGCCGCTGCGCGCGGCATTGGATTAAGGAGAAGGAGTAATAAATGGCGCCGGCCCAGCAGCTACTCTGTCTCTTCGACGGTTTTTCTCTTACTACTGCGAACTACGGAGTATTGCCGCTGCTGTGAGTTGCCAGTTGAGCGTCTGTAGTTACGCGTTGCTGGGTGGGTAGCTTGGTCTCAGGAGCATGTTTCAGCGTCAGGAGGGCCATAAAGTTGGACCGGACGGGCCCGTGAACCACAGCAGAAACACGGCAAAACAACTGGATTGTGGAAACGTCAAAACGTTATGTCCACCGCTGGTTTCGGGGCTCCAGGAAAGCTTGCTGCCGGAAGAACAATTCTGTCAGGACAAGTTTTGTGACCTGGTTGGGCTATGAGAGAGATGGATCCAAGAAGGACGGGCAGCGCTATGGCTGGCTAGTTGGCCAACTGGATCTTGGGCTGACCCTTGGAAAAGCCTGTGTGAGGAAGAATATAGCCGGTTGGCTTCCCTCTACCACATCTTCGTAGAACGCTAGGCCAGGGCTCGGTTAATGAGAGCTTGCAAGTATGAAGAAGGGCATGCAAGCTCTGGTACCGCGACCGCCCTCGCCCGCCACCTGAGACCAAACAGCCTCTCTGTAGCAGCAGCAGCAGTATCAGTATCAGCCACCCACTACTGTCTCCAGCTGACGTCGTTGCACATGGCCGGAACCCACAGCTGGGGGTGCCGGTCTTGAAGCGGATGCGCTTCCTCCAGGACTGCTTGGCCGCCGGGCGTGCTGTGCGGCGCGCTGGCTGCCATGGATGGCCTATTCTTAGCCATTCACTGCTTGTTATTTGCGCGGCCACACCGCGCGAGCAGCCCAGCGCGGTGATGCCCGCGGCACGCTGTCGACGCCCGGCGAAGACGTGCAGCTCACGAGCGACAAAAAGCAAAGCAGTGCGCGCGCCCCCTTTTTTCGCGGCGGTGGAGCTTAATCGCTGATCGCTCTGTTAGCAGCGCCGCCGGTCCCGGTCAGGAGACGCGCGATCCGAACTTACTTCCATACTTACTCTCCGGCCGTTGGAAGCTCCTTTTTCCTCCCGCCGAGCGGCTGCTGGACCCGATCTCCCACGGGCCATGCGCTGTCTGCTGCTGTTGCTGTTGCTGCTGTGTCGTTGTCGTTGAGCTGCGTTGCCTGATGCCGTCGAAGCATGAGCGTCGTGGCGAGAAGACCCCCCGATTCACCTCGAATGCCTCGCAGCATGCCGTCGCCGTCGCCGTCGCCCACCCATCATGCCCGGCCCATGGTACCGCCACCGTCGCCGCGCTCGTCCTCCCTGGCCTACACGAACCACCACTACTCCAAGAAGACGAACGCGAACGCGAGCATGAGCGCGAGCTCGAGCTCGACCGGCCCGGATATCTACTCGCCCACCGCCGCCCAGTTCCCGGCCCGCCCGGCAAGACAGAGCCCGGTGCTGCCTGAGACCGCGTTGTCGACGCTGCCGAAATGCCTGCCGCCCGAGGTGTACGAGTGTATCCTGGCCCAATTGCAAATCTTGCATCTCGGCGGCCACGGCGAGGGCTGTATAACGTGCCTCATGCGAGATCTCCATTCGTTAAGCCTAACCAATAGAGCGTGGGAGCGAGTGGTCAGGAACAAGCTGTGAGTGAACGGACTGGTTACTAGGAAGATGATAATCTCAAAGCCCGTCAACTAACTGAGACCCCGTTGCAGGTACCAGAAAATCTACATCAATGGCATCGACTCGCCCGCCCAGCTCAAGAAGTATCGATGGAAGCGCGGCAGCCGATTAAAGCTCCTCCGCAGAACCCTGCGCGAGAGGAAACTGCTGGCAAACGTCGTTCTCGAGCTTCGCGTGCCGGAACTCGACCTGTCCATGCCCACCGGAAAGCAAAATGCCAACTCGCAGGAGTACCTTGATTTGGTGGCGTCCGTGGTCATGGTCTGCCCAAACCTCGAGCGTTTGCTGGGAATCATACTGCCGTATGCCCATGACTTCGATAGACTGACGCACGCCCTGTCGACCCGCAAGAAGCTCAAAGAGCACGCCTGGGTGATCGGCGAGCATGCCGCGGTGACGGAGCGCGCAAAGCAGCAGTCGTCTAAATTGCTGGATCAAGGCCAGGTGTACCAGTTTCTGAGCTATCACACCTTTTGGTCCAACCTTGAAACATTGATGTTACACTCCCTGGGTTCGAATGGCATTCTCGAGCATGGGATCGTGCTACGAATGCTCAATTTCCTGCCAGCATTGCGTCACTTGTCTGTATCCTGCTTTCATGCCAATGATTTCACAGATCGGACGCTGTTGTTTTTGCCGCCGCTCATCTCCTTGCGCCTTGAATCCCTACCTGGGGTGACGGAGAACGGCCTGTCGCGCTATATATCGCGGCAAGAAGCAAGAGGACTGCAATCATTGACGCTTATAGAACAGAACTTGACATCTTTATTGGTATTATCTAAGATTTTATCATCCTTGAGGCGCCTGGAACGATTGAGTGTTGTTCAGCAGGAAACAGCCCCGACACTTCCAGAGGGCCGTATGGTGTTCCAGCCTATCCTGGCATCTTCAAGTTTAAAGCATTTGCATTGGGATCTTGCGAGCCCAAACCCGGATGCTCTATGCCTGGCCGACCTTCAGCAGATAAACAGGCCTTTAAATAGCGAAAATACTCCCAATTTCCATCTTTCTCAGAGCATTCTAAATGCTGGTTTCCCTGCCCTAAAAACACTGCGCGCGCCAAATGATATTGATCCTCTTGGGGCTTTACAGTCCGTCTGCCGTCCAACTCGGAACGGCCAGATAATGCTGGTCGCTGATCGATATAGTCTTCCCAGGAGCTCTCATGGAACCATATCCAAACGTCCTGTGGTATTGCCTAGTGGTGACAACCTATCTTCCGCCAGAATACGCGCCCAAACGCTCATTGATTCCGCTGCGAGAGAAGTTGACCGTGGCATCAAAGTTATCGTGACAGACCATTCTGCAAACCAGACACCACCAATGCCAGCCTTCTCCGACTCCAGCTCGGAAGACGACTTCGATGAAATCGACGGCATACTGGACTCCACCAAACAAAAACAGGAGAAGCAACCCCCCTCGAAGCACAAACGACGCATCCCCCCCGCCATCAAAGTCCAAGAATTCACCATCCCCGGCTGCATTGGACGCGTGTACAACTCCGTCTACAGCACCATGGCCCCCACCACGCCGACCTTCACCCTCCGCCCGGACATCCCCTGCTCCGACGCCGACGGCGGCCTGCTGAGCTGGAAACACATCCTCACCGCCAACCAGACCTGGTTCTACTCCACGCCGTCCCCCGTTTCCTTGCCGGTCGTTCGCGCCGGCACCGCCTCGAGCCTGGGCGGCAATGGCAACGACGACGTCCCGTCTCCCTCCCCAACCTCCTCGCGCTTCACCATCTGGAGCAGCAACGGCGGCGCCGGCAGCAATCCCGCCTCGCTGCCGTCGCCGCGCACGCCCACGTCGCCCATGCCTCCCATGTCGCCGTTTGCTCCGGCGCCGACCGAGCAGGCGTCGTGGTCGAGGGAGATGTGCAATGGCTCGTGGAATCAGGGGCATAGGCTGGGTAAAGACTGGTGGATCCATGTTGAGCGAGAGGTCGTTGGGAATGGGAGGCACAGTGGAAGGCTGCTGGAGTTGAGCCATTTATTCTAATATTTAATTTTTCGTTTTCATATACTAAGGAGTTTTCATCTATTTTGATTCCGAGACTGGTTATCTAGTGTGCCTGGTGCCTTTTGTTTACAATTCCTGTCTTTTATTTTCTAGAAATTGGAGATGGGCTCAGGCCATCTTCTTCTATGTATGATACGAATGCTTGATAATGGTTAATTCTGTAATTTTATCATATTCATGTATTCCAGAAAGGTGTACGTATTGTGGCAAGCAGCTTTTTTGAATTTTGAAATCCACTGGGCTGTTCAAATGCATTCTACACCCCATCATTCGTCCTATTGCAAATGGAAAAACAAGAAATAACCATTGAAGTAAGATGCAACAGGATATCAAACATATATGCCAACATTAGTATCCTTCTTCTTTGCCTGTACCTCGGCAATGGCGTCCACATAGTGCTCGTGGCCAACCTTACTCATTCCCTTTCGCAAAGCGATCATACCGGCTTCAACACAGACAGCTTTCAATTGTGCACCACCAAACTCGTCCGTACTCCGTGCCAATTCTGCCCAGTTGACACCCTCGTCCACGGTCATCTTGCGTGAATGGATCTTGAGAATCTGAGCACGAGCTTCCTCATTCGGAAGAGGGAATTCAATCTTCCGATCCAAACGACCGGAGCGCAGCAAGGCTGGATCCAGGACATCAACGCGGTTGGTGGCTGCGAGGACTTTGATTCTGTCATCAGAAGCAAAGCCGTCCAGCTGGTTGAGGAGTTCCAACATGGTGCGTTGGACTTCACGGTCTCCAGACTTTTCAGAATCGAAACGTTTGGTGCCAATGGCGTCGAGTTCGTCGATAAAGATAATGGCAGGGGCTTTCTCTTTGGCCAGGGCAAAGCAGTCTCGGACAAGCTTTGCTCCGTCGCCGATGAACATCTGGACAAGTTGTGGGCCGGCGAGTTTTAAGAAGGTAGCCTCTGTCTGGGCTGCACAAGCTCTGGCAAGAAGTGTCTTACCGGTACCAGGAGGACCGTACATTAATGCACCTAAGAGCAGGCGAGGGTTAGTTGACTGGGTCAAGGTAAGCAAGCATAGACAACTATACCTTTTGGGGCTTTAATTCCGATTTTCTTGAACCTTTCAGCTTCCTTCATCGGCCAGACAATGGCCTCTACGAGCTCTTCGATCTGCTTGTTTAGCCCACCAACATCCGTGTATTGTTCCGTTGGCTTCTCGTCAACCTCCATCGCCTTCACCCTGCTGTCATACTCTGCAGGTAGGGTGTCGAGAACGAGATATGAGTCCTTATTCACGCCAATTAGGTCTCCGGGCTTTAGCTTTTCGTGATCAACGACACCGATAAGGGGTAAGAAAATTGTTTGGCGAGTCGATGTTTTGATGACGGCTGATTTGCCCACCCGGGTGGCGTCCAGGTCTATGTTGGCACCCTCCTCAGCAGCCTCTTTCTCGACATCAAGATCTAAAAGCTCAACGACATTTCCGACTAAGTAGGGTAATTGCCTGTGGGGAAGATCATACTTAACGTTAGCCAAACAGTGGGTAATACTCCTATTGACACTCAGACGTACCGATTGTTTTCGATCTTGTCCAGGTTATCCTTTATTTTCTCCTTCATAGTATTCTGCTCATGTGTCAATCGTTGGAACTCGCTCTTCATAATGCGCATATCGTTTTCTAGCAGTTTCCGTCGGTTTACAATATCCCTCGTGCTAGATAGCAAGATCTCATCATCTAGTAAGTTGTCTTCCTCCTTCTTCTGATCGGCATCATTCATTAGTGCATCTCCATCCTTGTCAGACTTCTTTCCATCACGGTCCCCCCGTCCTCTCTTATCTCTATCCTCACGCTCCAGGTCTTCGAGTTCTTCAAGAGTGGACATGGTGGTGGTCCTGAGTGCTGGGCCTCGCAAAGAGGTAAAAAAGAGCAGATAGTGTACAGTATGCGGGGAATAGAGAGTAGTGCAGTGGTGTTGTAATTAGAAGGTAAGAATGTAAAAGAAAAGAAGAGAGGCGATGTTGATGTATCAACGGGACGAGCAGCTTCAAGCTTCGGAGCTGATGGTCGTTGGCGCCAGCCGTAATTAGCTAGCTACACGTGACTCTTGGCATAGTTATAAGGTTGACTAATCGCTATTTGTCAGCACATTTTTCCTCCACAGACGCGCCATTGTGTGCATGGGATAATCTCAAATCACAGATAGAACTATATCATTTATGTCCTTGGTCATCTAGAAGTATACAAGTATTGCAAAGCAGGCATTCTGACAAGGAATTTTACATAAAAACCTAGGTGGGAACTGAACAATTCAGTATAAGGAGTGACATCTACGGAGTATATAATATAGAATAAGGTGAATATGAATGTCTTGCAGTCCCAGATATCATAGTTAAGACAAAAATATGTACGATCACATCTACTTCCACCACTCAACCCTGCTTTCGCGCAAGGCATTTGTCCCACAGTGAACATCCCCAAAATCGAGAAAAAAATTGCGGTCGTCGATAAATTGAACATTATATCCGCTTTCTTTCATCGATTGTAATAGAACTTCCTGAAGAACATCGGTTCCATTAATACTGGGCCCGAATGGCTGGGGAGCAAGGTACTGTGAACTTGAAACCAAAAGTCCATTCATAAAAGATGGGAAAAATGAGACAGCTTGTACTTCTTTGACTTGTCTTGCTTGAATCTGTGCAGCGCCAGTTCTCCGTTCACTGAGAGAAGGTCGCTTTCGAGCAAGCATTGCTGCATCATTTGGTGTCATGGACATGATATTATGAGCAACTTTCGGACAAAGATCTGAATTGGACTTCTTAGCTCTTACACGAGAACTGGACGTCTTTTCTAGGTCATGGTAAAGGGCATGCACCCCTATTATCTCGGAATCTGTGAGGCCGGTTTCGTTCTTAAGAATATTAATGTTTGCCAGGGTGCGTTTACTGCATTCAGCATTCAAGTCGAGAAACTCCTCGTCTGCCAGGAGATCAGAAATGGCGAAGTTTTTAAACTCTGTATCTTCAGCCGGTCTTGAGAAGAAAGGCGTCCTTCCGTGCCCATCCTTTTCCACCTGTTTTAGGAAGTCCAACCCCTTCTGCACACCTCCATACATCAAGCGCCAGCCTCGGGGAGTATTAGCTGGGATGAATGTAAGAAACTCCTCCACGTGCGCAGCAGCAAGCCATGAAGTGTCGAGTGTCAAAGGCTTTTGTACCTCCTGGGCGTCAAGAAAAGCAAGGATATGGGGCATAGGATCATTGCCTAGACCCATAATAGTCCGCCCGCCCGGATACTTGACATTGTTATGTTCATACGGTGGAATCGTCTCTAAATTTCCCAAAGACTCTGTAGTGTAGCGGCCTGTACTTCCTCCAATATATTGAACTGCACCGGTTCCGTTATTACGAAGCTGTAGATAGGCTAGTCGACCAACCGAGCGGAAGGACTGAGAAGAACGGATCATGATTCTTAAGGTAATTGGCCCGTTTGGAACTGGCATGCTGGTGAATCCGGTCTCCAAAAAGTCCTGTGCCCATCTGTCATCCGTGTTGAGTTTGGTTAGTTTTCCTGCTAGTCCTGCTTCCGCTAATGCAGCCGTCAGTCGATCGAAGAATGCTGAAAACCATGGCCTTTCGCTCAGCGCTTGATTCGGGTCAGATATTAAAATATGCTCAGCTTTTTGCAGATGATGGTGCGTGAGAACCGGAGCCACACGAAGATTAACCTTGCTTTCTTGCTGGACCCCCTTGTCCTCCACACTGAAGGTGACGGTAACGCGACCATTCCATCCAGGGTTTCGAGTCTGTCGAAGAATCAATCCCAAGCTCCAAGCCCGCGACGAGCTCTGCCGAGGAGAAATTTGTTGTACTCCGAATATATTCCCATTTATCACCCTTTTTCAAAAAGAGTCTTATAATCGTATTGATGTCGCGACTGCCTGAAAGGGATAAACGGCCGCTTGCATCTGCACTTAACCCTGGCATCGGAACTGTACGAAGGGGGGCCATATATTGAGGGCTGCGCTGTAACTCCTCCGACGCATCATTGCAAGTGTCAAGAACGTTCTCGGATGATAAACTTCCTTGAAATTGGGGCATTTGCGAGCATCTTTGACCTGTGTCTCCGATATTGGCAAGAAAGATCGCCTCGCGACCATTCTTAGAAACATCGGCATCGCCAGTGATATCAACTTTGCCATCGTAATTCAAATCCCCCCAGATCTCAGCTGCGGGAGACTGGGCTATAAAAGGCATTAGAGGGCACAATTGAGGTAGTTATAGATTACGTTGCTAACTTACCCAACACTGCAGGCAATTGACTCAGAAATACAAACTGAGTGAGAAGTGGCTTTATATTTGGACCAGTTTACTATTCCCAGAGATTAATGAAATGGAGAGCTGCGCAGAAGCGCAGAAAAAAGTGCCTTTCTAATCTTGGGTAGGCTTATAGGAGAAAAAGAAACCAGACACTTTTATAACCATATTCCTTGTATTTATAGACCAACATCGCTCAGTCCCGGGGGTTGCGAGGAGCCATTTCTTACGCAAATATGGATCATCCTATCGGATTTAGCTTTCAGAGGACTTTTAGGTGCTTGAAGAAGGCCAAGGAATCGGCGGATTCCTAGATTGGAATGGATGGGTGTTGAAGAGGCGATCACTTGTTCGTGAGACTATGGATATAAAAAGACGTCATGGTATGTATGGAAGATACTATCCACGAGGATCTGAGGGATCGAAGTCTTCCTGCTCAGGGGTTGATATTTTTGATTGGAATACTGCGAGCATGCACAGAGGCTTCATATAGATACTCTGAAATCCAGAGAAGTACTGTGCACAGATGTCAGTTCTCACAGAGCAAGCATAAAAAACGAACAAAATAGGTAAATTAAAAGGGCATGGCAGTTGTGGTCAAAGTTGAGTTTATTCGCCGACCGGGCTTGAGCTGCAGCTCTGGCAGTAGTCACCACCTACCTAATTAGTAAAGGCCAGGGTTACCTTAAAGGGTTCCAAGTTCCAGACATGCTTTCACAGCGCCCTTGGATATCATTCACAATTGAAATATATTCCGCCGGGCATCAACCTTTATATCAAGCCTCTCAACGTCACATAGAGAAGGATTAATTGTTTTCCAAGATCCTCTCTTTTCCAGCCCAGTGCCATCCTCATTTTCAAGCTCCACTTCCACAATCTACTTTGGCGACGTTAGTGACACTGTTCATTCTCCATGGGAAGACGTTTAGCCCTTCTCACCTGGTTTCAACCGTCTGCCGGTCTCTTGAAATATGCATACTTAGAGATACGCAAGGGGTGTAAACCTGCTGGGATTTGTCTCTCTATGGGTCAGCTTCCATGTAGCAGGGCTCCTTCATCAATATGTACTCCGTAACTATGTGACGCTGGATCAACAATGGAACGCGCAGGAGGGACTACATGTGCCAAGAGCATCCTTCAAATGCAGCAACTCACGACAGAATCCTATAGCACTTTACTATGAGAATAGGGATTGTCAAAAAATGTCAGTAAAATGTTTTTGAAACCCTACCCTAATTTCCATACCCGTTTCCGCATTCTGCTTATTCAGCTCATCCTTAATTACTGGCGCAGGACACAGCTCTGCGCTGTTTTTACTTATAGAATCGTGGATTCGTGGTAGGAGCACTTCGCAGCTACTAGAAAGAGTGAAGCAGCGAACGAAGTGAGCGAGCTGTGCTCGTAGTTACCTAACTAGGTAGTTATCTTCCGTTCCGGCCGTTTTTCGGGCCTACGAAGTTCCGAGATGTAGTAATTAACTACACAGGTGAAAAAGGTTAGGGAAAGCTAATTTCAAGCTTCAATTCATGGTCTGAGAGTCTCAAGTGGAATATCGACAAGAAAATTCCCGTTTTTCTTCTTTGCCGGGCGTGATATGTAGCTAGCTAGCCATAACGGCAGGAGTGTCGGATGACAGGTAGTTAAACCACTCGACTAAAAAGGTGTTCGGAGCTGTGGATGGCTGGCCAAGGGCCTCGGCTCGGCAGATTTCCAGTGTTATACCGAATCCCCGCAAAAGCTCTCCAGTTGTTAGGCGTGTTTAAAAAAGAACCTCCTCATCTTGCCTTTAATTCCTTGAAGATTTTCTTCATCGCTGTCAAACTTGGTGCAATAATCCGTGTATAACTTTTCTCCCAATTTACCCTTTCGACTCAATATGGCCGACCCCGGAGCTGGACACCGGTTTCCCTCCCGGGATGTTAGCTGGCTGAAGAGGGACACCCTTCTCTTTGCTAATAGTATTGGATGCACGGCTGATGAACTCCATTTTTTATATGTTTGTATTGCAGTAATGGAAGGAAGTTTGGCTTGAAAAATTAGCTAATAGAAGCTTTAGGAACTTCACCCTAATTTCACCATGTTTCCGACGTATCCCATTATCCTTCGTACGTCGATCCGGGCTGCAAAATGTTATATTGAACGGTAATACTAAGAGTATATGTATAGCATTCAAGCATACGCAACAGGACGTAGTCGATTTCTATGGAGCGCAGTCCCAGGAAGCGATCCCTGGAGTTCCTAAGTTTGATAACCGCCGCGTTGTCGACGGGCAACGAAAGATGATTTTCCACAAACCCCTCCCCGTTACCAGTGAAGGCCGTAAATTTGAGCTTCGATCGAAAGTCATTGGGGTCTATGATAAAGGCAAAGCTGGATCTGTGGTGGAAACCCAACAGGAGATTGTCGATAAAGAGTCTGGCGAAGTCTACTCAACTGCTGTAGGAAGCGGCTTCTACGTTGGACAAGGCAATTGGGGTGGGCCTAAAGGTCTGAAAATGCTCCAAATTTCTATATATTTGGTAATTTGTGTCTTGTCCTGACAGACTTCTTTGAAATTAGGGCCTGCTACCGTTAACTACCCTCCGCCCAAAGGCCAAAACCCTGACGTCGTGTATGATTACCAAACCACAGCTATTACCCCCTTACTTTACCGGTACGTTTCAATACTCGCAAAGTGCTAGCTTTCTCTAACACCACGTACAGCTTGAACGGCGACTACAACCCCCTCCACGCCGATCCAGAACCCGGAAAAAAGATGGGATTCGGCGGTGTAATCATTCATGGTCTCTTTAGCTGGAACATGGCTGCTCATGCTATCTTGAAAGAGCTAGGCGGCAGCGATCCCCGGAATCTGTGCGAATTCCAAGCTCGCTTTGCATCGCCTGTACGGCCTGGCGATAAGCTCACAACAGAGATGTGGAGAACAGCAAAGAAAGAAGACGGCTTCGAAGAAGTTATCTTCGCAACCAAGAACCAAGAAGGCAAGGTGGTTCTAAGCAATGGTCGTGCCTTAGTGAAAGTTGCTGAATCCAAGAGTAAACTTTAGCTGGAACTATACAAATATATGACGTGGTTTCTTTACTTATCATGTACTTCGTATTTATTCTATATTGTCCTTGCCACAGTTGAAACGTCGTCTAGCAGAAACAGGCAAACAGGAAGATAAGGGGCCATTTTTAACGGGCGTTAGGTATCAGAATGCTCTGTTGTATCCATTCTTCCACCGCAACTTTTGGTGTTGGGACTGTATGGCTCTTTGGTGACTCATTCAGTGGTGCTGATTCATTATCAGATTCATCAAGGTTGAACCACTCGTGGTTGCTTATTGCTCTTTCCCGTGGGGGATATCCATCAATTCGGAGCCAGCCAAAGATATTCCGTGTAGCATTTTCTGATGCTGATTCTTCCTCGAGATTCAAAGCTTCGTATCTGATGGGCGTACTTATTGCCAGGTGTCGTGCCGGTGGATGGGCAAATGTAGTGCTCTCAACGCACATTGGGTGTAACAGTTTACCCTTTCCGCAAGTCCAATGCCAACCCGAATATTGAAGGCTATGGTCAACACATTGTGCATGCAGACGAACCTCGATTTCAGTATCTTCTAGTGTCGTGGTGCCAAAAGGCATCCAGGGAGACACCGGCCACCGACTGTGCCCCTCTGCTTGGGTCAGATAGAGAAGTCGGCATTCATCTGATCGTAAAATATCCCCATTTGCTATTAGAGGTTGGGAGACGGGTGCCTGTAAAAACGACTGTGTGACACCACACCATGATGCAGCATGGAGTTCAACCGGTATTAGACCGAATCGACAATCTTGGAGGATATTTTTGTGAAAACCCACAATTATACTTCCAAGCCAAAGGAAAGAAATTCGCGGGACTCGGTTCATTAGGATATGGGCAAGTAGATGGTCATCTTTCACAGAGTCAAGAATAGCGAACACAGACTGCAGCCATGGGCTTACAGCATTGCAAGGTATCTCAGGTTCATAAAATACACTTGACAAAAGAGAGCGTAGGCCCCATGAGTTGCAACTCAATGTCAAAAGTTTGTCCAGCTCTGGCACTATCTGCGTTAGTATAAAGTCAAATTCCTTCTGCTCACTTGACTCTGATATGGCCGGCTTCAGCCTTTTCCTCTTATGGCAATTGGGTATCGGGAGTGGTATTGGAGTTTCCTTTTTATTCAATGTCGGAAGAAACAATGTCGAGGATAGCGCTGCTAGGGCTTGGTCAACAATTTTGTGGAGATTACAGTATTCTGCGAGAAAACGAACTGCAGTGGTGAATGGAGGTGCGGTAGTTGATACATGGCAGAGAGGTTTGTGGCAGGCAAGTGTAAAGTCCACCCGTGTTTCCAAAGCAGTTGACCAAGGCGATCGGAATCTTCTTTGCTCCCATGTAAGGTAAGCCTGCCACCCCTCATCAGGAGACAAAACAGCAGCCCACCATCTGGCTGCATCATTGTCGACATCTCCTACGTCCACCACAACTTGGGTTTGTCGGTCTCCGTTGCTATTACCATATTCCGCGTGCTTCCCAGTATAAGTCAGCTCTGCTCCGGGTATGAGCTCGACCCAACGTGCCGAGAATATATAGCTCCATGCCAATATTAGCACAGAAAGGTGATTTTCTTCCTGCTGAAACCATTTCTGACAATTCGGTATGCTTTCAGAGAGAGCAAGCCGTGTCGAATGGTTGATAGAAACCGGTAGCTCAAGTCTTTTTTCCACAACAGGTATCTTGCACTGTCCCTGCGAAGTTCCCCAAATCGATGTTCCTGTCGCGTAGAGGCTGTTATGCTTACACTTCAGATCCACATCCTGGACCAAGGGGGGTAATAGTTGAAATGCATCCTGGATCTGGAAACAAGTTTGAGGAAGGCTGGGTTCTTGTTGAGCACATGTGCGAAGCGTAGTCCAGATACGAAATCCTTGTTCAAACACAGTTCGGCTCGTTTCAGTACCTGGGCGTACAATATCTTCAGGCGCCATGGCGGATGTTAAGTGGTGAGCTGCGTCCTTTTTGCTTATAGAATTGTGGGAGTCATACACGAGCAGAGCTTGCTCATTTTGTTGCTCCACTCTTGCTACATAGTAGCTGCTAATAAGTGCTCCTGCCACAATTCTCTAAGCAAACTGTAAGCAAAAAGGGTACAGAGCTGCGCCCTGCGCCTGTTTGAGTCTTTGAGGTCAGCAATAAAGTTGTTAGCTGATTAAAGGGAATCTCTATTATGTCATCAATGGCTAGTAAAATTGAATTTGGATTTAGAGCAATCGCAGTACGAGGATTTTGATGGGATGATGTATTGGGAATTTAGGGTTTAGGGCCTTATGTGCCTATTCTCATAGCACCGCCATATGGAGTACTCCGTACTTATGTACCCCCAATTTCATAGAACCTCGGCTCCCAACGCTAACCTCCACTACACCCCATTGAGGCGGATGGATTACCTATTCATTCGAGGCTGACATTTCTTGTATCCTGATGAGTTCCCGATTGCTGAGGGCATTTAATGCCCCGCTCCAAATCGCGCCGTTACAGTGAGATCTAGTGCTTATTCGTACATGTCCCAATATTAAAATCCATAGGTTTAGAACGCGGGCATGGCACCTTCGGACGCCAGTTGCATACCTGGTAAGTGTCTCCGCTTGACGTGAATTCAGATCCTGACTTTTGCATATAGTCCAATTTCCAGCCAATAGTGCGGAAGAAGGCTTATGGTTGGAAGACTAGCAACCACGAGCACTTGCCTGACCACTGGAGATTCCCAGCAGAGATAAAGCATATGTTCGCTTTTCCAATATCGGTTACTATCCCTGGGGACTCAGAGTTAAGTCTGTAAGAGGAGATCATGTGTCTCTGGTTTCCTGTTTTAACATGGCGTTTAGGCATCCTATTTGGCTGAGGTGCGGCATTCCTAATTCTACGCATGAGTCGGAGCGTGTCTAAAAGTGCCACAGAGAAAACTGTCCATGCCCTAAGTGCACTCATCCAGAAACAAGACAGCGGTTAATTGACACAAACTCGGTGTGTTGAAACCTTTATTTTCCCAGACAAAGATGCTGACTCCACCTAGATTCCGTTGGATATCAATCCTAGATCTGTAGAAACAAACCCTCAAGAGGGTCTTAAAATAACATGTATGCAATCTATATTACCGCCATTCCATGTTTGGCAATAGCTTACCAAATAAAGGGGAGGAAAATGACCATTTGAGTGTATACAGCTGGGATTGGCTGCGCAACCATAAGCCAACAACACCTTCCTTAAAGTTTCACTTTAGGTCATCTACCCTGCGAAATGCCTTGCATCTGCTAGTACTAAACTTCTTTAGATCAGATGCCAAACTCGTGCCTAATGACCCTGAGTCATTTCCAACTGTTGACTATAGCGAGGTCATGGATTCAGATGATGGAGTACGCCAGTGGACGCGCAAAATTGTTAGTTTATTTAACATGGGTACCTAATCTACGATACCTATATCTGATATTACTTAGCACGTTTATGGCTTTTGCTTTGTTAAAGGTTGCCCGGTCACTCCAGAGGCCACTAAGGAGCTACTGGAACGCATAGCGTTCATCAGACAGACACACTACGGTGAGCAACACGAACCTCTATGCCTAAATAAAACTAAAATTTTTAGGTGGTTTCTGGGATTTTACGTCGAATTTAGAACTCAAAGATATGGCGTATACCACAGAAGGCCTCGGTGTTCACACCGATACTGCCTACTTCACTGATCCTGCCGGTCTACAAATGTTTCATCTCCTTTCTCATACGGGAGGTAAAGGAGGTGAATCTTTACTTGTTGATGGTTTCCATGCTGCTCAGACTTTGTTTCTCGAGAACCCAATTGCGTATCAATTTTTAAATACCCATGTCTTTGGCCACCATTCTAGCGGGAACAAAGACGTTTGCATCAAGTCCAGTAACGAGTTTCCTACCTTTTTACACCGCAACTCCGATAGAGAGCTTTGTCAAGTCCGTTGGAATAATGAGGATCGACGCGCTTCGTATTGTGCAGAAACCCATATACTACGAAAATGGTATGCTGCTGCGAGGGAATGGTCTGCGATTCTGAAAAGAACAACTCTCGAGCGTCGATTCCAGCTAGAGCCGGGAACACCTCTAAGTATGTGGTCCCCGAAAATACTTCTCTATCTTACAGTTATTATTGGCTGCTGACTTATTACTGAACTTTTAGTATTTGATAATTGGAGAATGCTTCATGGAAGAACGGCCTTCTCTGGAGAGAGAAGATTGTGCGGAGGCTATAGTGAGTAACAACTTATTGACCCGTTCTTGCAAGGAAATGTTATTGACCAGTACTCAACTCTAGTCAATCACGATGATTTCATGTCTCGCTATGAGCTTCTCAATAAAGGCCGAGAAGCCGCCGTGATGGAAGTTTAGACTACAGTTATACTGTACTGGCACATAGTACTGGTCAAGATTTGTATTAGTTCTTACTGCATACTCTATACTCTTATTCTTATAAAGCTTGTCTAAATGTTGGGGATTTATTCCAGGACTTGGACATATCATTACCAGAATAGAAGAGATGTGGGAATCACAAGATGGTATCTGATAGGCTATATACTTCTCGTGAAATTTGAAAGGTTCAGGTGGAATAATATTACTTCTAACATTTCAAGTATATCCACTATTGGATATAGTATTTTAAGGTAATGAATTGGTTAGACTGAGCATCGACTCGAGGGTATCTATTGCAAATCGAGGAGCTGTGAGAGGTAATCGTGACCATCGTTTAATAGCCATACACAAACACACCTAACGCCTAATTTTTGAAGGGCCCATGAAAACCCCATAGCTAATCAATGTCGTGCACCATATATGCAAATTGTGGAAACAAGAGATCCAAGTGATGCATAGATGCAAGCAAAATGCGTACATAGCGTGTTTAACACCTGGAATGAAGGTCAGAAAAGTCCGCTTTTGTATAGTGATGAGAAAATCGTACATCTTATATTCGCAAGAACCTTGCGTATAGCGATTTTCATCCGGAGTCTCGAACTTGTACTCTATCTGGATATCAAGATCGCGTTTGTTCTTTTCGTTCGGTCGATTGGTAAGGTGCCCAGAAACACACTCATTTTCTTCGATGGTAATGACTTCCTTGATATAGAAAACCGTTTGCTTCCAATGAGTGTACTTTGCATGGGGCCCAGTGGAAAAGCGAATTTGTTTATGACATGCCGTAAAATCGATATCAAACCAAGCAATAATAGCATGAATGAAGTCGTTTCTTTTGGCAATAAGGTTGAAAGGGGCTCTGAATGCGAGGTCCGCGGGGGTCACTGTGTATAGGTCGAAGGTGATGACGGGGCAGGGGTCAGTAACCAGAGCCTTCAGGTCAACAGTATCGACTAGAGGTTCAGCCAGAGCAATCTCTTTCATAGGCGAGTAATCAAAACCGTATACATTATCCCAAACTACAAAGGGCTTAGCAAATATGGTCTCCTCAATTGGGATGAAATTACTTACAGCCGATTTTTTCATCTTTATATTCGCCATCCTCAATTCCGCCCAGGTATATAGTAGCCTTATCGGGGAAAATTTTCCCATCCGGGACCAGGTAGCGATCACGGGCATATAGGACGGTATCCAACATACTCTCGTACAGTAAAAAGTACCCCATCCATTCAGAGATGATAATATCGACTTTGGGGAAAGGCAGAACAACCTCTTCCATCTTGCCTTGAAGGAGAGTTATTTTGTTACTCATCCCGTTTGCTTCAACAATTTGGCGGGCTTTCTCAATGATCGACGACATATCGACACCAATGACATGTTTGGCCCCGGCACGAACGGCGAACCTGTGTCAAGGCGCGATTGTTAAGATTGATAGGTACACCCAGGATCTGACAAATTTGCCTACATGCTAAGGATCCCCGTCCCACATCCGACGTCAAGAACAATCTTGTCCTTAAAAATATGCCTGTTTTGGTAGATCGCATCACGGTACGACCGGGTACGAACTTCATCTTTCTAAGATGTGTAAACGCATTAATGTGATTCTAGGCACAGGGACTCTTTTGATTTGCACATACAAGCATTTCCTCATGAATACCTAGTGCATGAATGGCTGATTAGTATATTTGTACTTCAAGTTGTACTTCAAAAATACGCGGCGGATGCCAGTTTGAGGGCCGGCGTACCGTGATGATCATAGCTGAAAGAATCACATTAAATCAGTAATCCAATGAGCCATGAGTCAGTAACACTCATACCTAGTAAAATAGCGCACCTCAGCGTGGTCCATCCCGACCATTCTGTCAGCACTGGAGGTCATTGTTGCAGTAGGAGTTGTGTTTGGAGGGCTATCCATGGTGGGGGATGTAACCCACAAAGGAGGAACAAAAGCTAACAGGAGGAATTGTTGCAGTAGACAAGTAAAACGAGAGCGAGACCAAGCTATCCAAAGATTAGGAATAGATATGCTGGAAGAAATATGGGTATCCCTTGACTGAAGTGCTCTTCCAATCCTCCCAGTTGAGCTTTTTTGATAACGGCGATATAATTGGGTCTTGCCGCTAAATCAGAAATAGACTAGCCCAGCCGCAAGGAAAAACTTTGTCCACCACTGGATTTGCCAAGAAGTATCTGGGCTCATAGGTTATACAGACTAAACCTTTTTCAACAACAAGGGCGATTGGTTTAGTGGTATAACGTCTGTTTTGCATCATCGTGAATACAGAAGGTCGGGATTTCGATTATCCCATCGTCCAAGTCTTATTTTTTTGTTTTCCCCACAACGCCTAATCCAAGATCCTCGAACAATTCCTATCAATACTCCTTTCACTACGGAGTAGTTTTGCCCGCTCGCTACAATTTTGACACCTCTGTGCTTTTTCCATGTGATATCGTTCCTTCGTACGGAGTATTCTTGATCAAAAAAGGCCTGGCTGGCTACTCTGGAATTGCCAGCCTCCACCGCCATATGCCCCCTAAACTGTAGCTGCTATAGTGTCAATTTCGTTGACTGGATATCAACGATGAATATTAGGGGGATAAGTTCCCGTTTACAACAAACCCCTTGGGTTTTGGTTTTGTGCTTATGCGTGTATTTTTTTCAAACCGCGGAAGCGTCTCTTGGGGATCGGCTGCCTGATTTTAAAGAATGCTTGCAGGTTCGGAGCTCCGTTATCCCTGTCGCCTGCATTTGCTCATTTTCTTATATGCTTAGGTGTGCACAAAAGAGAACTGCGAAACGGGTCGCTTTTATTTGCGTTTGTCCTGCCATATAATTGCATCCGAGATGGCCGAGTGCTAATCGCTACGTACAGCCCTACATCTTCGACTCCTTCTTTGGGACTGCCCATCTGAATGCGACTATACCTGCCAACATGTTATAACTAACAAGCGGGTCGCACGAGATCCCCCAATGCTTGAGCCGGTACTCCAGTTTCATGGAAAATGGCCGTTTCATCGTATACTTGGAATTCAGGAATTCTTTTCCGTTTTCTTTTCTCTCCTGAATTTCCTGGCACACCAGCAGGGTATGGCGAGAGTTCGAGACTCGGTACCAGAATCATATCCCCTGCGGCCATACTACTTGGGCTTTGGATATTTCGGCCTGGCAAGCTGGGTCTTTAGTATGCTTTTTCACACCCGAGATTTCCCGCTGACTGAAAAGCTCGACTACTTTGCCGCTGGAGCGAGCGTGCTTTATGGGCTATATTTGTCAGTTGTTCGAGTATTCCGTCTCGATCAAGGCCGTCCGCGTTTTAAACCTACCTTACTGCGCTGGTGGACCATCCTGTGCTGCGGACTATATTTGTCTCATATTTCATATCTGACATTTTGGGCATGGGATTATTCGTACAATATGGCCGCCAATGTGGCAATAGGTATTACTCAGAACTTGCTGTGGAGCTGGTTTAGTATACGACGATATAGGAAATATATGAAAGGGTGGACTGCGTGGCCAGGCATGATAGTAGCATGGATCATTCTCGCAATGAGCTTAGAGCTGCTTGATTTCCCTCCTGTGTGGGGTTTGCTTGATGCACACAGCTTGTGGCATTTAGGAACCGTCATTCCTACTGTTTGGTGGTATAGGTAAGTGATGCCCACTGGTCGTTGTTATTCTCATTGCTGATAGCAAGCTTCCTTAGCTTCTTAATAAAGGATGCGCAGGATGATTTGGCAGGTCAGAGACTAAAAGCGTGAGTCATATGTATATACATACATACTCTTTCTTGAAAGGATGGGTCTCTTATCTGCTATGCTAAATACAAGGGATACACTACTGTATGGTACACGTTGGATCTTAGGTGCTCACGTAGTGGGTTCTATGTCGTCATTGCCATGCATGAATACGTAGAATAGCAAACAATACCTCATACATGCGGTCTGGAAAATGGTCTGTTGCATGAGTTGAGACGTATGCGCACGCAACCAAACATCCGACGAAAGCCATGCAAACACCGCAAACATGTACCTTACCATCTTGTGTGTTGGCTGTTCCTGTGCGTGATTGGTTGTTACCCCTGTTGTCACTTGCATGTTTGCCATGTTTGGACTCTTCCGTCCTATGATATCCCCCGCCTCACCCCACGCCGGTGCTTCAGCTGTTTCTGTCGTCAACAGGTCACCAGGCTCCTTCTTAATGGTGCTCCTCACTTGAAAACCCAGCACAGTCATTCAATCAACTTCTTGTCTTTCATTTGCTCTGCTACAAATCATTGTCTCTCCTTAGCTTGCTAGGCCAGCCCTTCAAGCTTCACCATGGCCTCCGTGGATACGAAGAAAGCTATTGTGGAGGCCGCTTCGGCCTACACCAAGCCTGAAGGCAAGACCTTTGAGTATGGCACTGCAGGGGTAAGTTCACACTGAGCAGGCCATTCGTACATTGAATTCTAATAGCTCGCCTTCAATAGTTTCGCATGAGATCGTGAGCTTGGCCCCTTCCATGGTTTCGCTCATCTGCTATCTACTCCTTCGTGATGAATACCCTTTTGCTGACCGGAACTGCTTCTATGTGTATCCAGGGACATGCTCAATACTGTCGTATTTGCTGTTGGGCTCTTGGCAGGCTTACGCTCTAGGAAGCTCAAGAGCCAGACAATTGGAATTATGATCACAGCGAGCCACAACCCCGCATGCGACAATGGAGTGAAACTCATCGATCCTATGGTATGTTTTTTTCACCAGAACTGTACTTAGTCTTGAGTCCATTCTAACGGTGTTTCTGTCTTGATAGGGTGAAATGCTGGCCGTGAGTTAAAAGTGCTTGATAGTCGTGAACCAAAGTGGCTAAGCCGTTGAGATATAGGCTGAATGGGAGAGCTATGCAACCCAATTGGCAAACACCCCCTTGGAAAAGCTGGGAGATATGTATGAATATCTTATCAAGGATATCGAAGTCAATATGGAAAACCCTGCTCGTGTCGTGTTTGCTCGTGACACTCGTGCCTCAGGATCTCGTCTTGTCGGCGTTCTTACATCGGCATTCAAAGCTACCGGTGTCGAATTTATCGATTTTAAGTACCTGACCACTCCGCAGCTTCATTATATTGTGAGGTGCAAGAACACACTTGGAACTCCGTACGAATATGGCGAGCCAACAGAACAGGCCTACTACGAGAAAATAAGCAATGCTTTTAAGACCGTGATGAGAGGGCGAAGTACCAATGGCCCAGTTACTGTCGACTGTGCTAATGGCGTTGGTGGGCCGAAGCTAAGAGAACTTCTCAAATATTTGCCTACAGCTAAAGAAGGTGGTGTGGACATTCAAGTCGTCAACGATAATGTTATTAACCCAGATAGCTTGAATCACGAGGTATTTGTTTTCTTACCTTATATTTTATCTCTTCACTTGGCTAACAACAGTTACCATTCTAGTGCGGAGCTGACTTTGTAAAAACGAAACAACGCGCTCCACCTTCATCCAAGGCCGCACTTTACGATCGTTGCGCTTCTCTGGATGGCGATGCTGACAGATTGGTATACTACTATCTTGATACTGGAAGTATTTTCAAGCTCCTAGACGGAGATCGTATCGCGACGCTGGCTGCCTCATTCATTGGTGAGCTAGCGAGAAATGCTGGTATTGCGAGCAAATTAAGAATTGGTGTTGTTCAGACCGCTTATGCAAACGGTGCAAGCACCGAGTATATTGAAAAGGTTTTAAAACTTCCAGTTATTTGTACGCCTACTGGTGTCAAACATCTTCACCACGCTGCTATGAGGTTTGACGTTGGTGTTTATTTTGAAGCTAATGGCCATGGCACCATCACCTTTTCTGAGCCAGCTTTAAAGATTATCAAAACCACGGAACCTCAATCGCCAGCCCAGCAGTATGCGTTGCAGAGCCTTGTTGCCCTTACCGAACTAATTAACCAGGCGGTCGGAGATGCGCTTTCTGATCTTCTCCTAGTTGAGGTCATTCTCGCCCACAAGACTTGGACCCCGAAAGAATGGATCTCAACTTATACAGATCTCCCCAACCGTCTTGTTCGCATTGAGGTCGCTGATCGATCGATTTTCAAAGCTGTCGATGCAGAACGCAAGCTAGAGTCTCCGGCCGGTCTTCAGCAGCGGATTGACTCTCTTCAGTCACGCTACAATAGAGGTAGGAGTTTTGCTCGTGCTAGCGGAACGGAGGATGCTGTACGCGTGTATGCCGAAGCTGCAAGTAGATCTGAAGCTGACGATTTGGCCACACGTGTTGCTGCCGCTGTCCAGGAGGCTGGCAAGGCTGGCAAAGCATAACTTGAACTTATTTGACATTTTCCTTGCGTCTTTAAGAAATGCATTCTCAAATTGCGGTGACCAAGTCTAACACCAGCTATTGAACAAAAATTTCCTTCCAAATTATCTAAAGGCAATTGGAGAAATCGTGTTCAAAATTTTTTTTCAGGTCCGTTGGTTTTAGGGATTTGAGGATTGAAACCTGGGAGCTTAATGATTCTGCCATGCTTATTATCTAACTGCTAAAAAACAACGAATACCAAAGATCCAGACCCCTGTCATTGCAGTTTAAACTTATGGTTACATTGCTTTGCGACACTACTTCATAGTTTGAGAATTAATGAGCAATGTGACTGAAATATGTAGAATTTCCCCTAGCTGTAACAGACAAAGGAGTTACATAGGCAACTTGGTATATCATTGGGAGAATTATTACCCTTCTTCGCGATCCATTTCATCTCGGCTTCTCTTTGCACCGCCTCTTCTGTTTCGCAGAGTGGCACCTTTCTTCCCCCTATTCTCATGCAAGTCTTTCATTTCAGTAATTGCATGACGTTGAGCTTCACCAACCCTGTCGCTGAGCACCATAACTTCTTCCTTTACAGGGTCATATACATCCAACTTTTTACCCAGTGCAGTCTCAATGCGCTGCCATAGCTCGAAGTCGTATTGGGTAACCAAATTGAATGCACGCCCACTTTTGCCTGCTCGAGCCGTCCGGCCCACGCGGTGGATATACGTTTTGCTATCGGAAGGGAGATCATAGTTCAGAACCATATCCACAGATGGAATATCTAGGCCACGCGCCGCGACGTCGGTGGCTACCAGAATGTTCCGGCTACGGGAACGAAATTTTCCTAGTGCCCCGAGGCGGGCAGATTGCGAGAGCTGGCCATGTATAGGAATAGCACCGAATCCAAGGGAGCGAAGGAGGATAGCAAGACGTTGGGTTTCGTTCACAGTACGTGTGAAGATGATCACAGATTGCCCGGGGTATTCATTAAGGAGATGCACAAGATAAAGATCCTTATACTTGAGGGGTAAAATTAGCAGTTTTTGTAAAAGAGTTGAAACAGTCTGATATTTGTTTGAAGATATTGAAATGCGAAGCGGGTTAGAGAGGGATGCGCGTTGGAGGGATTCGACCTTTGAGCTCATTGTTGCCGAAAACAAGTAGGTACGTCGTTCTTTGGGAAGTACTTTCAAAATCTTGTCAAGTATAGGGCCAAAATCCAGGTCCAGGAGACGGTCAGCCTCGTCCATGACTAGATATTTGAGGCTCCGAAGTGAGAAGCCCTTGGTGTTTTCTAGGTGATCCAAAAGGCGCCCTGGAGTAGCAACGATGATATGAGGCTTTTTTCCAAGAGCAATTGACTGGGAGACCATATCCATTCCTCCAACAATGACAGCGCAGCGGACGGAGATAAGAGAGCCCAGGGCCTCGAATTGCTGGGATATCTGATATGCCAACTCGCGAGTTGGGGCTAAGACAAGACTAAACATTGATTGAGGCTTATCCATAAGAGCTAAAACAGTTAGGATAAACTTCAACGTTAAAATGTGGAAGTTTCTCACCTTGCAAGATAGGCAGCGCAAACGCGGCTGTTTTACCACTGCCTGTCTCCGCCAGCCCAATTAAATCACGTCCCTGTAGTGCTAGGGGAATCGACTCGGCTTGAATTTGTGTCGGAGCCTTGTAGCCCAGTGATTCACAAGCTTCACATAGCGGCTCGATGATCCCTAGCTCTCGGAATGATTTGGCAGCGGTTACCGTTTCGCCGTCTACAGCTTCATGGCCGTTGCTGTCAGCTGACTCTTTGTTGCGGGAAGTGGGTGGAGGTGCCTCTGAGCTGGAAGAGTCATCGCTTGTTCCAGGCTCTGAAGGCGTATGCGACAGTTTTCTTCGTTTTGTAACCGGCATACTGGCGAAATACAATATTCTGTGGTTCACTCCGACGGAGCAAGACAGAAGCGTTGCGATGTAAAATTCTCGGCTGATAATGCCAAAAATAAAGTTTCGTTATCACGGAGATCGGCCTAATGATGATCCTTAGATTAACTTTCTTACCTCAAGGGAAGAAAAGTCCGCAACTACGGAGTACACAGATTTGGATATTACAGCCCGCTGACCTGCGTCGTTTACCTACCTATTTACCCAAGGGGAAATGGCTAAGAGGCGTACGAAAAAGCGTACTCATGCCAACGCAGCTCCACAAAATGGAAACTCTAGCGCCAAAATTGGCCTTGCTTCACAAGTCCGGACACCAAAGAGCATGGTGATTCGGATGGGTGCTGGTGAGGTTGGGCCGAGCGTGAGTCAACTTGTTAAGGATGTCCGATCAATGATGGAGCCAGATACAGCTTCTCGATTAAGGGTGATTGGCTTCCATACCAGTACAAGTCTGCAAATGCTAACACTGCATAGGAACGGAGAGGAAACAAATTAAAGGACTATACTGTAATGACCGGCCCGTTAGGGATCACACACTTATTCCTATTTTCCAAGTCATCCACTGGAAATACAAACCTTCGAATTGCCCTGACGCCACGAGGCCCTACACTCCATTTTCGAGTTGAGAAATACTCCCTATGTAAAGACATCGCCAAATCACAGAAGCACCCCACAATGTCTAGCAAGAGCCACAGGAACCCCCCGCTGCTAGTAATGAACAATTTCACAACCTCGAAACCAGAGGAAGAGTCTACTTCTAAGAAAATACCCAAGCATTTGGAATCTCTTACGACAACAGTCTTCCAGTCCCTGTTCCCGCCCATATCCCCTCAGACTACGCCTTTATCTTCTATTCGCCGCATTATGCTTCTTAATAGAGAACTCTCGACTTCTTCAAATGATATAGACGAGGACTCCTACATATTAAACCTCCGGCATTATGCAATCACCACCAAGCGAGTCGACGTATCAAAAAGAATACGGCGGCTAGACCCACGGGAACAGCGCCGAAAAGACAAGAAGGATAGGAACGTCCCGAATCTAGGGAAGCTCAATGATGTCGCAGATTATTTGCTTGATCCTTCAGCTGCAGGCTATACATCTGCGAGTGAAACTGAAGTCGACACAGACGCTGAAGTTGAAATCATGGAGAACAAAACGAGAAAGGTACTGAACAAAAAAGAGCTGCAGCGCGTGAAGGCAGGCGAAAGGAAGTCGAACCACAAATCCTCCAGCAATGTCGAGAAAAGAGCCGTGAAATTAGTTGAAATCGGCCCGCGCATGCGGTTAAGGCTGATGAAGGTAGAAGAAGGACTATGTGGAGGGCGAGTTATGTGGCATGCTTTGGTGGACAAAACACAAGCGGAGGCCGATGAGTTGGAAAAGACGTGGGAGCAACGGCGCCAGGAAAAAGAGCTTCGTAAAAAGACACAAAAAGAAAATGTCGAAAAGAAGAAAAAGACGAAAGCCAAAGAAGGAGAGACAGAGAAAGACGAGGATAGAATGGATGTTGACGATGATAGTGAGATGTGGGATAGTGACGATTTTAGCGAGGACGAGGGCGATGATGTCAACTGAAAAGATGTTTGGTGTGTCCGGCCAGTACCACCCTCAACGCGGTTGATTCCGACGTCTATCTCGCGCGTGAGAAGCAAAAAGCCCTGCGACCCTTGACTTTTCTCAACTTTGGCGTCCTTCCAGAACTCAGGCATACTTTTAGCTTGCCTCTATATTGGTGGATCGGTTTGTATTATATTACATGATATCTATGGTCCATTCCTTTCTATTCTTCTATTGATCTGTTGTTTATTGATTTCGTTTTGTTTTGGTTTGATACCCATGGCCCTTACAGGCCTCGATGACGCGCTAGTGGGTAAGAATCTCTTCCTCTTCTGCGCGTCAACCCTGATTGTCAAGACAATCGTGCTCAAGCCTTCGGCTGACATGTACGGATACCACAGGCCCTGAGGCTAATGTCAGCGAAAATATTTACGCAGCCCCACTTCGACAGGCTAGTAGCTCTGCTTTGCCAGAGAACGAGACTTTGGGTAATGTAAATGTGCCGCTGATGGCCAGTACCCCTTTTGGTAACGACAAAAATCTCATTTACCTCTTCAATGGGCGTCACTGGGAGTACTTGAACACTTTATTGGACTGTATTCTTAAGCACTCAATACCAAGCCTCGCGGTGTCTGATAACATTCATCAACCGCATCATTTACTAGGAGAAATTCGTAGTAAGGGGAACCATTCACTCTTTGCATTTGATAGCTGCTTACAATCTTTAAGCCCAGCTGATCAGCGCCCGAAGCCGTCTGCTCATTTCCATATGCGAATTACTTACTAAGATATGTGTTGAATCTACGGAAAGGGGCTGTCAATTCCATGTGTTATTGGAGGTTTGTCGGCTTTGGCCTCCACGGCGCCTTAAGGAACATTCCCTTATCAGAATTCTATATTTGTTGAAAAAGGTCAGGGCAAAGGTTTATAGACACGATGACCCGACAATGAAAATCGGCTCCATAAACGTGTTTATGGGCCCATATTTACCATGGACCGACCGTCGTACTAGGTGTCAATTGGATTCTCTCATAGATAACATGGAAGCGACAATGAAGGATCCTTTCTGCATAAATTGCGTCAAAAAGTCCGAATGCTATCACTACAGCCTGGAAAAGAAAGGGTCAAAAAAGGGAGAGAGAAGTTTATGCGGCCTGGCCCACGGTCAATTCTGGTTATATCGCGAAGGGTCTTTCCAAAATGTCGTTGATCAAACGCCCGAGGCTGACGAAGAAGTGTATTATATACCGGGCATCCGGGAATATTTCTCTTCAACTCTCTGTGCTTACATGACTAGCTTTGAAGGAGACAGAATTCAAGAGTTATTCGCTCGCAGAAGAAGGTCATTCTTCCCCTGCATAAAAATGAGATGTGATAGGTTTGGGTTGCCTTTTGGGTTCAGCGAGGATAAAATGTATCTCTAGTAGGCAGGAGACCAGCATTGGGATTCTTGGTAGGATATGAACGAATATTGCCAGTTGACGTGATGAGACCATAGCTTTCATAGAACATACCCATCATCCTGACCTTTTCGGGAGGCTATATAGTAAACAGTTAAAATGGGGGGTGTACGAGATTCAGGCGGATTGTTTACCTCCAATCTTTTCATCAACAAGTCGCCCGACCAACTTCTCTAGTACTTCGGCATCCCCTCCAGTTTTGCCCTGAAAATACGCCTCGACACTCTTCTCCACATACTTTCCAACCATATCAATTTCAACGTTAACTAGATCTCCTTCCTTTTTCTTAGCAGTGACAATTTTCTCTTGTGTGTAAGCAATCAGCATGATTTCAAACCAGCCATCTTCGCCATCAACGACTTTAGTAATCGTCAAGCTGGTGCCGTCTAGGGCGATATAGCCCTTCTCCACGACATATCGTAGTACACTTCTGTCTGTTGGCTGAAGTCTAAATACGAGCGAGTTCCCGTCTGGAGTAATGGAAAGAATGGTGGCGGTAGTATCGACGTGGCCCTGCACGAAATGGCCGCCCATGCGCGTCGAGGCGGTGACGGATCGTTCAAGATTGACAGGAGATCCGGAGATGAGAGAGCCCAAATTTGTACGGCGAAGGGTCTCTGGCGCGACACCAACTTTGAACGAGGACTTATCAAACTCCGTGATGGTCAGGCATGTCCCTACGGAATTTGATACTGGATCAGCGGGGTAGCTCAAGGGGCGCGGGGTTTGCAGTGCGCGGGCTCAGCGAGAGGCGCGCACCATTCACGCAGATGCTATCGCCCAGCTGCGCATCGGTGAGTATTTCTGCACAGTTGGAGATGGTCAGAGACGTTCCACCGCCGCCACTTGCAGTTCCGTCCTGGGGCTCGAGGGCCGTGACCGCTTGGAGCTCATCGTCAGCCAAGTCGCAGGAGCTGGAACGCATCGGCCAAAGGACTTACTGCCAATTGTTTCTACGAGACCAGTGAACATCCTGGGCGAATCTCTCTCGCAATCGGCCTGCTGGAGTGTCTGACAATGGCGTCGAGCGCTCTCTCGGCTCTCGTTCGTTTAAGTTGACGGCGCCGTTGCCCGAAGCCGAACCGTGGAGAAGCTTTCGGGCTGCGCGGCCTAAAGATGCTGCTTAGCGCTCCGCCGGCATTTCGCGCGGCCCTTCAAACCCCCGTTGATTTCGCCGAGCGATGGATGGACATCGCGGATGGCACACCCTACTTCGAGAGCATTTTTTTGCAGAACGACAGCAATCATGGTGGCCTACATTTCTTTGCGGGTGTTTACCAGGAGGACCAGCTACACCCTCCTGAGTAACAGCACAGCCTTGATGCACAGACGGACATATTCAACCCCGGCGAAGCAGCTGGACACGCTGCCCCTGTCGGGTATTCGGGTCGTGGACATGACCAGGGTTCTTGCTGGAGTCAGTTTCTTTCTTAACCAGCATTGGGCTGACCAGGAGCCTCTGGACTGACATTTCTGCGTTCGAAGCCGTATTGTACACAGATTCTCGGCGATCTAGGGTGAGATAAGACTTACCTGGGCCGAGGAAAGAGGCTGGGCCCCGTTGACTGAGGATACTACAGGGCTGAAGTTATAAAGATTGAGCATCCCGTGCGAGGAGACGACACCAGGGCCTGGGGACCTCCGTTCGCCAAATATAAAAAAGGAACAAAGGACGGCCCGGGAGAGAGTGCATATTACCTAGCTGTGAAGATTCCTCTCGAAACTCTTTTCTGTTTGTACATGCTGAACGGGTTTCTTCGCATAGGTTAATCGGAACAAAAAGTCGCTCGCCCTCTCCTTTGCACACCCTCAAGGGACTGAAATAATTCATAAACTGGTCAAAAACGCAGATGTGCTCGTTGAAAATTATATCCCCGGTTCTCTGAAGAAATATCAACTAGACTACGACACACTTAGCACGATAAACCCGCGTCTGATTTACGCCAGCATTACTGGATATGGCCAAACAGGGCCTTATAGCAAACGAGCGGGCTATGATGTGATGGTTGAGGCTGAGATGGGCCTGATGCACATTACTGGGTCCCGAGACGGGCCTCCAGTGAAAGTTGGCGTCGCTGTGACCGATTTAACCACCGGCCTGTATACATCGAACGCCATCATGGCTGCCCTTTTGGCCCGAATGAGGACTGGCAAAGGACAACATATTGACTCTGCCTTATGTGATTGTCAAGTAGCTACGTTGTCTAATCTTGCTAGCTCCGCACTGATCAGCGGCGAAAAGGATTCGGGTAGATGGGGGACTGCCCACCGTAAGTTCTCATAAATGCCGAATTGTCGTAGGGAAACTAACCTCTATAGCATCTATTGTTCCATATCGAGGATATAAGACTAAAGATGGCGATATTTTACTGGGCGGTGGGAACGATAATCTATTTGGCATTCTCTGCGAACAACTTAATCACCCTGAGTGGAAAACAGACCCTCGATTCAGTACTAACAATCAGCGTGTGAAAAACCGTAAGGCAATCGACACCCTAATTGAGGAAACCCTGAAGGAAAAAACAACCCGGCAATGGCTCGAAATTCTCGAAGGTAGTGGTATGCCGTATTCGGCCATAAATGATATTAAAGGAACTCTCAACCACTCTCATGGTAAGCAGTGAACTCCCCTGATTTATTGTTTTATGGCACTAGCTGAATGGTCAGTTCTGGCACGTGGCATGGTACAAGAGGTTGAGCATCCTACATGTGGGCCAATTAAGCTTGTTAATACCCCCGTGAAGTATTCACACGCAACCCCTGGCATCCGAACACCCCCGCCAACTCTTGGGGAGCATACTACCGAAGTCCTCCAAGATTTGGGACTTGGTACAAAGAGCATAGATCAATTACGACGTGACGGTGTTGTCTCATGAACACCGTAGAATGGGGAAGTTGGGATAGACTTTTGTTTCACAATAATACCCTCTATATATCTGCAGACTGGATCATTTGTCGTCTTTTCTCAGTCGACGGCAGGGAATGTCCTGCATATATTTTTCCTAGTCATGATATTGTGTGAGTACTGCTGCTTGTTTGATGCCTCACATAGCTTAAGAGTCAGTTATTTTCAAATATATTGTTATATGGAGGTGCATGATGAATGCCTAACTAAATTATGAGCTCTATTTTAGCATCATAAATCTATATGGGTGTAAAAAGTGTGCCCCATTTATTCAAGCAGCTTTTCTCATATTTCATAAGACATGGCCCTTGAATACTCCATACCCACTCTGCGTTCATTCATGTGCTGAACAGTAGATGTTCAACTCTCAGTAACCTATTTCATCTAATAGTGACATTTTGAATCGATATTCAAACTTTGCGGGGGCCAGAGTACTTAATAGGAAAAGACCACTCCTCAAAGAGCTGCAGGGCAAAAAAGAAGATCAGCTGTTTAGGCTGAACATCTGGTTAATGATGTAGGAACTGCACCATGATGCCATAACGCCGGCCGATTACGCAGTAAATGTATCTTCAGCCCGATGAAGACATAATTCTAAAATTCACTTATATTTCCACAGTCCACTTACCTTTGGCAACATTGGGCAACACTTGAACTTTTCTCATATGAACTAGCGTCTGGCTGTCTCCGAATCCATGTACCTGGACAAAGCACATCGTAGGTACTTTGTTGCTGAGGTCCAAATAAAATAGAGTTAAGTCTGCGATTATTTCATTTTCGCCCCATAATTTGTCGTAAAGGTACCGGTGCGCTACCCGAACGTACATCTGCTGTCTTATGATTTTTAGAGTTAATCGTACGTGATTTCATGGCCCACAACCAAGCACAAGAGTTGGTAGCATTGTTCAGCCGGGATTATGGATAATTTGCCTTAAGATATATCTTATAACTGGCTGGTTAAATCGTGGAGGCTTGAGGGAGGTGCCCGTGATAGGTGAATCGAGAAAGTCGCACCTAGGGCCACGCCTATCGGAACTAGCTTAGGTTAACTCAAGATTCGCGTCCATGCATTAAGACAAAGAATTGAGAGTTCTGTCTGGGCTAAATCTGTGCTTCAGTTTTGTCCTGGTCGGTGGACGGTTGAAACATTGAATGTGCAGAGGTAGGTGGTCATCGGTGTTTCCATTTTAGGAATGGCGGACGTCGAAACTCTGTTTGTAAGGCTAACTACCTCCTCCCTGCACTCCCTCCTCAAGGATCAATTGACGAAAGAGTGCTGGCAACGCCGCCTCTTCAATTGGCTAGACGAAATATCGGTGCAGATACTCCGTACACCTCATGGGCTCTTCAAAAGCTTCTTCTCTTGATGCCACTACCGACCCGATATCAGACTCTAATGATACCCGATTACCATCGAGTCGTACGACCGGGATTGAGTTCCAATCACAGCCATATATACATCAGCCAGACGTGTCCCTAAGCCGGCTCAGCACCCCCACCCCGCTATCCTCCCTGGACTCTGTGTCGAGCTGCTTTACGGCCACTTCCCAATCAGGCGCAGGAGTGACGAAACCCAATACTATACGGCAAACCGAAAATATACCCAGTGGTGCCGATGGAGCAGCGTTACTGCCAGTAACTACGCCTTTATCGAGTAGTTCTGAGCTATCGTCTATTTCTCCCAATTCTCTACTGCAGTCACCCTCCTCCATTGCATCACAGAAATCACTCCTGGCTGTTACGCATGCCACTTCTGGTCCAGCTACAATGTCCGATTCATCCACCACTCAGAAGGCGCCTTTAAAGAAACTAGCACCTTCTCCCGCCACAGAAGTAAACAAAAAGAGTGTTGCAAATCCCGACCCGCAAGTCGTTAAAACACCTCAACGTTGGCGGAAAAGGACGTTGAACCGTGGCAAAAGACGGAGGGCTGGGGAATATGATGACGATGGAGAGAGCATTGTCAAGGCTGGAAACTCAAGCTCAGATGAGTCTGATGAATTTACTCCTCTTACAACTCAGACCAAATCCGGTCGACAGGTTCATAGACCCATGTATCTTCTTCCAGACGATGCCCCTGCTTCGATATCTGGGCAATCGAGAGCACAATCATCTGCTGGAGCATCCCTTGGACAGACACCTCCAAGGAAAAAAAGACGGGTATATAAAAAGGGAAGAGAGGTGAATATCACATGCGAACGCTGCGATCGAGGCTACAGCCCGCAGAGTAACTCGATTGTGTTTTGCGATGATTGCAATGGGGCATGGCATCAGTACTGCCACGACCCCCCAATAAAAGCGGAGGTGATTGCTGTGAAGGAGGCGCAGTGGTTCTGTAGCGAGTGCAAACCTGTCAATATTTCCTCGTCCAACCGTGGGGGTACGGCTGAGCCTCCTGTCAAGGCCATAGGATCAACTGCTACGTCTCACGACTCGCATTCCCCACAGTTGGTTGGAGGGTCTAGTTTCACCCAAGCAGAAAGGTTGCAGTACCTATCGCATCTTTCTCACGCCGCTCTTGTGGAGCTTCTTGCTGGAATAGCCAACTCTGACCCCAATCTACCAATTTTCCCCGTGAATCTGAAAGACCTTCCCTCATCATCTACCATCGCACCACTGCCCATTTCACAGACGTCAAGCAAGACGGTAGAAGATACGCCCCAAGCGCAGTCTTCGGCATCTACACCCGTAACAGCTGCTGCCAGTGCTACTCGGCATGCAGAATACGACTCTGACGAAGAGTATGTTGCCGAGCACCGTCTCTATCCGAAACCAGGAAATGGATTTCGCCTACCTCCTGACTCCTTCGACCTTAATATGTTGCTCGAAGATCCGAATTGTCCGACATTCAGTCATATATTGCACGGTCCAAAAGCCAAAGTCACTGGCATAAGCAGCAAAGTCAGCATTGGCCAAGAAGCTGCCAAGGCTTGAAACTTGAGATGTATGTATTTCATTATTTGATGGGGATTGTTATTGAACCTCATTATCATAAAAGGGCCGCAGTGGTGCCAGGAGTTACGATTAGTATGGTTCTTCAAGCATCACAGGAGTTTATGAGCTAGATTATGTACATACATCCAGCAATGTAGGAGTCGTGGGATAAGATATTAATCACAGTCCGGAGACATCGCTGTATTCGATATTCCCCGCTTTGATACAATTGTGTGGGGTGGAAAAGGAGAATATGAGAAGTTAAAAAAACGAGTAAGAAAAATTATCAAGAATTCAGAAAGGGGTATCGAATACATAATAGATCATATCATCACCAAATGACCAAAGAAAAAAAAAAAAAAACCACAAATGCACTAGGGGAGAAACCTAAATGTTCTCGACGACACGCGCATTCATAGCCTGCTGGAAGCCACTATTTGCGTTGGCATCAAATGGGTTGGAGTAATGGCTTGGACCTTCCCCAGCATTCTCTGCCGTATTAAGGGACTCCTGAAGTTGACCCATGGTCTGGTTTGGAGCGGGCAAGAAGATGACTTTAGAACCAGAAGTCTTGGCCATCTGTTGCATGGTTTCTAGGTAACGGATTTGCATGGCAGGGGCGGAGGACAAGATATCGGCAGCAGCTCTCATGAGCTAGAAGGAAAAATGGTAGTTAATATCAATGGTGGGTATCTGAGTAGAATCCTGACGTTACTTACCTTGGCAGCCTCGACTTCAGCGCGAGCGGCAATGACCTTGCTCTCGCCAATACGCTTGGATTGCGCAGCCATAGATAGAGAGTCCTGGAGATCGTCACTGAAGATGAGGTCTTTGATGAGCATCGATTCCACCATCACACCCCACTCAGTGGCAACGCCTTCGATGATCTCCCCAATGGACTGAGCAATCTCCTCCCTACGCTCGATAACATCCTGCAGCACGCGAGCACCAACGACATGTCGCAAGGTGGTCTGAGTGCGCTCAATAAGCGCCTGCCGGATATCCGTGACGCCGAACGCGGCCTTGTGAGGGGAGATAATGTGGTAGTAAATGACGGAGGTCAAATGCAGTGTAACGTTGTCCTTAGTCATGCAGACCTGGCGCGGCACCTCCACGATCTGGATCTTCACGTCGACCGTCTTCAACCGCTCGCTGAGAACATTGACCTTGACCAGACCCGGGTCCACGGCGCGCTCGAAACGGCCGAATTTGGTGACCAGGCCGACGTTGCCTTGGCTGACGGGTCTGAACGGGTTGGGGCAGCAGATGCAGCATGGAATGGCGCCGAAGCATCCGATGATCTCACCTAGACCGTGGACTGCGCAGTAGCAAGCGAATTGTCAGTGTCTGATGCGAGCGAGAGTTGTAGCTGCTGGTGTCGACTTACTCAGGGTCGAATACCATCCATGGCCGGAGTTGCTGTCAGTAGGGTGCTGGAGCACCTGGGCATAGCTAGGCTGGAGATCCTCGAGACGCGCTGGCTGAACAGCGATGATGCCGGGGGTCTCCGAAGCGGCTTGAGACTTGAAGCCGAGCTGGACGGGCGACTCGCTGCGAAGAGGGGCTTTGGCGCTGTTGGTAGACACGGATGGGCCGTCTGTATTCATATTGGATTATTGATTAGATTAGGCGGTCTGGATGGGAGGGCGTTTTGATCGTGATACTAGAATGAAACGGAAGAGGGGACACTGGTCTTTATAACAGTGATCGCTGAGCAGGTAGCGAGTTTGATGGTAAGTAGTGAACGAGCTAGTGCTGTTTCTCCGCGGCTGGCGGCAGGGATGCCCTCGTGACGGCCGCGTGCTCCACCTCCACAGGGCTTGGGACGCCCAGGCTTTGCGGCTGCGGCTGAGGTCACAGACACCGCGCGAACCTCATATTGAGGACAACTCGACGCGTCGAGCCTGTGCGAGCTGGTGAGTACCCTGTATTGCAGCTAATTTCACTTCTAGACACGCCGTTGCCAGCGAGGAAACACGCTCGTTGACCGTGATCATCCCGCAACCTTTTCCCATCCGCAACCGAGAACGACCCGCGAAGGCAGTGCCGGCGCGATCCGGGCAGTGCTGGGCCACCTTGTTCTGCAGCGAATCTGGATGCGCCGTCTGGTGGAGGAATACAAAATGCCTTGCTCCGCCTCTCGATAGAGTGCCATACGATCCCACAAAACATGAGTCATGATATTGGTTGTTATCGATTTCGAGGTCCAGCTCCCTTCTGCTTATTCAACGAACAGGTAACTCCAATCCTTCACTTGAGGGCTGCACTCTTGGAAGAGCCTTAGTAGAGCCGCTGCGGTGTGCCTGGGGATAAGGTACCTGTCTTCAACTCCCCCTGCAGTGAGCAGAGGCCATGCATGTGAGCATGGCACCAAGTGCTTGTCCATGTCTGTGGATATTGATTGCAACTATCAGTATGCATGGTGTGCTCTTTCAGTGTACGTCATCTATGTACTCCGTACAGCAGTACATATATGCCAGTTCGCTGCCTAGTTCCGCCCGTAGTTTATCCACGGAGAAACAGCATAAGAATTGAGGTGTAAGATTCATCTCCAATCAGGTAATATTTCAACAGCAGAGTCTAGGGCATAAGTACTACATACACTCGGCCACAAGATGCCTGTGGCTCGGCCTTTAATGCAATTACTTTGTTGTTTGCACGGCCTTTGACCGAAATGCGCTTTAATAACCCCCACCGCCGATAACGAACTCCCGACAGGTTTATCGCGTCTTTGACTGTGACCACCCGGTATTTGTCGCGTATTGCCCTGCTCAATCAGCCTAGGCACTTGAGATGCCTGTTTGTCAAGCGAGGCAGCTGTGGCGGGCTCCACTCGCAGACCAATCTCAAGTGTAAGACCTAGCCCCGATGCACTGTTGCTATCTACGGAGTACGAGAGATATGCGGTTACAAAACATACGTATGTCTTCTTTTAATTTCGAGATAAAGGAAATAGGATCTTCGGGATGGCTCCCGTGTCTGCAACTGGGAAAAGCGCACGGATAGTGATGCATGGCATTCGAGCTAACAAGAACGAGCAAAGACGTCTTTGCTTGAAGGCTTGCTTTCTCTCTCTTCTCAGAGGACCCGCAGCTGTGCATCGTATTCGACCTCCTCGTCGCTTGCAGAGCCAGACCTTTACTCTGGTCACCCGTAGCGTCCGTTAGTTAGTTTGCTCGGGCCATCTCGCTTGGACGGCAGTTCGGGAGCAAGACGTTGCTTGTCCGGCCGTTATCCGCGGTTTCGCGGTTTGGCATCAGCTTGGTATTTTTTTTTTTTTTCACGATTTTATTTTAGGAGCGTTCCCAGGCAAAAAGCTAGCCCGCGGGCGCGATCACAACTTTATGCCCGGTGGCGATCATTGGCCCCCCCCACTATCACATGCGCGACAAGCTCGTGATTGTGAGAATTTTTGTCTTGTATCAGAATTTTTCTCTCTATCGCGAAGGATTATCGAGCAGGAATTGGTGAGTTGGCAGGGAAGAGTTTTTTACAGTCACTAAGAGTACACGGTTTGGCTCGCACTGAAGATCTGGAGGGGACAAGAGGATTACAAGCGGTACATAGCAAGAAGCATTATTCTCGACCAACGCTGGGAGAAAGAAGGGAGAGAGAATAGCCGCGAGGAAACAGGAAATACCAGCAAATTCAAAGATGAGAGCCTTGTAGTGGAACTTTTTCCCCGTTATAGACAGTATAAACGTGTTGTAACATCATAATAATAATAATAATAACATGAACAGAAAAGCAAAAAAGAAACCCCGCGATCCCAGTTGCTCCCGAACCCTGCAATCTAAATGTCATTCATTATTATCTGTTGCCAGCAGTACGAGTCTTCCCCCCTGGAAGAGAAAAGAGCCGAGAAATCATTTTTCAGAGGACTTCCCGCTCGTGCGGTGATGTCCGTTCTGGCGTGGCCTGCCATTTCGACTGGCCTCACCGGTCTTCGCCACTCCTGTAGGCACCAAGTAGCCTCGGAGCCACAGGCACGAGTCCGACGTGAGTCTCAGGCCCGTCGAGACGGCAGCCTTGCTGAGAGCTAGGTAGCCACCGTCGCCGACGGCAGTGCGTTCAGAGGAGTAGGTGTTGAGCACGTAGCCCTTGCCGTCCTCGGCGATGCGGAAGGGGGCGGAGGCGTATTCCTTGAAGGTCTCCTTGATGGTCTCGGAGGTGTTGAGCATGACGGGGATGGTGTTGTCGATGCGGTTGAGGCCCTCGTTGCCCAGAGCGTCGGCCTTAGAGACGTAGGGCGCCACGAGGCCGTAGGGCTTCGCGAAGTAGGGGAGCATGGGCTTCGCGAAGTTGGCGTAGCCCTGGTCGGCGAGCTCGAGGGAGCGTTTGCCGTAGGGGTTGGTCTTTAGGTTTTCAATCGAGTCGGAGACGAAGGGATAGGAGGTGAGGTGCTGGGTGAAGGCATTGGGTCAGTATGGAGAGCAGCGGGCGTTTTGATACTGGGGGAGACATACGCTGATGAATTGGGATTGCGGCATGTCGCCGTTCACAACTGGCTCGCCCATGACGTCCTTTTCAGCGTGCGGCATATATGGATAGATAGATGGTGGTGGGTGAGAATGTGGGAGGAGGAATACTCTGTACAGGCAGGAAATATCCAAGTCAGCTCGCAGGACGGGCGATTTGCCAACCAACGCGGGGCCAGCTTACCTGATGCAAACACGCAGAAAGTCACAACACGAGCAACGTGGTCAGCAGGGAAACGGAGAAGCAATTGAACTGGTACTAGACAAGATTTATCACAGGCCACGGAGCAGGGAGGGCAAACTATATAGGGGAGCAGAGGGAGGCAAACAGGCTTCTCGGAGCAGAACCGCTAGTAAATAGACCGGGACGGGGGCACTCGTCCATGCCAGCGACTGGCGCGCTGGCTCGCTGAAGCTTCGTCCAGCTTCCCCCTCGCCGCGACAGCCATTCGAAACTCTGAGCCTGGCCTCGTTCAGCACGAAGGTTTGTGTGCGCGGCGTCTAGATTGCTGCCCGCCCAGCAAATCACAGCGGGCGTCCGCACAACGACCCTTGGCGCACGACGCCGGCATGTGATAGCAGGCACCGGCATTCCTGCACTGCTGCTGCGGTGCGAGGGCTGATACGCAGACCCTGCGGTGTGCGACGCTCTTCCATGGCAGCCAGGAAACTCTACGGCCCTGTTGGGCCTTGCTGGCGGCATTGGATGATGCAATCGCCGCCCGTCCTCTGCAGCCACGCCTGCCGGGCTAGTAGTGTCTGGCGGCTGCTCTGTTTCGACGCTGCGTCCCGTCCTCGCTGACGCTCGCTCTCTGGCTGTTCCTGGCGCGGATGGCAGCGGTGCGGCGGCGAAGTGGCTGTCACTGTTTGCCGTGTTTGCTTGCTGCCCGCCCAAAACGGAATGTGTTGGTTGACATGTGAAGGCCGCTGATGTCATGGCTGCTTAGCTAAGGCGCGCGGGCGGTCTCACTCCGGCCCTGCCAGAGGGAACACCCGCACCGCTCGCTGTCAAGCTACGGGCCTCGCTGCAGGGCGCGGGAAATGCCGTACAGACCAGCATTCTTGTTATTGCCGTGAGCGCCCATATCCACCGCTGCACGTTCCAGACTGCGCTCGCGGTGGTCGGAGCGGGCCCGACGCTGACGGGGCGATCCGCTTTTTGTCTGAAGCTGTGCCTGCGCTGCGACATTTGCTGGGCCCCCTTTGATGCACCACAAGCGCAGGGGTGGAAATTCGACACCGCAACTTCTGGCATGATATCTTTTCCTGATTGCCGGGCTTGGATTGCCTCACCACCTCACCTTGTGCGGCCGCCTAGACTCCGCCCGGCGAGGACCCTTGCTTGGTCATATCAACTGCAACCATGCCCGGGTGCGTTATCTCGCGAGATGATTGCGACATGTTTCTGCATAGATTGTAGGCAGATGCGCACAGATAGTACCGTCCTGCATCTCCCGCTGAAACATCTTTTTTCGTCCGGCCTCTCTGAGCAAATCTGCGACCGAAATTATGCATGTTTGATATCGGCCAGGGATGCTGCTCGGCTGCGGCCCGCGAAATACCGCCACGCCTTGTCTTTCTACATTACTCAGTCATTTGTCTAAATATGGCCTCATTCTGGGAATATGACTGTCGGATTCCATTGGATATCTGGTAGCTACCGGGCGGGACGCCGGAATCTGCGCCATTATTTTAGGACCAATCTGGCCCCGCCCCGATACTGCGAACTCCTGGAATCCTTGCTAGGCCACGGAGTGCCCATCTGATGCCTGCTCTGGGCATCCCACTCCCACACGTGTTTCACGTTTTCATGATCGTTATTGGCAAGAGTTTGCCTATGGATTTAGCGCGCGGTCCCCCTTCGTCCTCCCGGCGCTTTCCTCACAATAATGTCAATTAATTTACAATTGTTTGACGGACGTAATAAGAGGATCTTTACCGTAGGACCTGTACGTCTTGGCTACAGCCTTGTTTTGCTTCGTAGAGTGGTTCAGTTGTGTCGAGTTGGGTAGGAGGCTGACGAGAATGGAGTCCCTAGTGCTGCTAGTTTATGGGCAGCCCAACCCTTCTGGCTGATCATCTTGCCACAAACTCCAGAAGCAAAACCGAAAATACATGGCCACATGTCCGCTGGCTTCGGAGATCGATATCGTCGGGTGGGTAGATAAAGGTCTATGCGTGTCTTATCATAATTGTGCGCGCTTGCCCGCGCCTAGTGTTGGCGCTGTGCTTATCATAACCGCAAACCCACCAGGGGCTACAGACTAGAGACCCGTTTATCTTGCGTATGTGCTGCCTGCCAATACTGTTTCAAGAACAGCTTTTTCACATGTGAACCGCTGTAGCAAATGAGGCTATTCGAGAGAGAATTGGCCACCCAGGCCCCCACCGAGCAACTACACATAAATTGGCGGTTTGCACAATAATGAGCATTACTGTTGCATATATGGGAGCTATGCTGAAGGTTAGTAGGGAGTCATCTGCCATGACTACCCGACAGTGGGCCTGCGGTCAATGCCGGCATGATACGATCAATGGCACTATCTGCCAGGAAAGATATCACTATGAATGTCAGGATGATGAAGTAGGTTAATTGTTGACATTGTTATGGTAGCACATTTCGCCATATATTTTATTTCCATTGCTATCGGCAAAAGCCTTCGGCTTAGAAAAAAGCATACATAACCGTGGTTGGGTGTGGGTGCTGGTCCTTGACCGTTGGACCCAGTTTCATCGAGAGTTTTTCACGATGCACGGAGTGCAAGATAGAATATTAACTTCGTTATCTCATTGCCTGTTATGCATGGTTTTTCCATTTTTTGATCCCTCTCTCACTATGGCATATCTATGCATAAAAGACGCGAAGCACTTATAGCAACCGGGACCATCCCATCAAAAAAGGAAAAGAGATAAAACATTTAGAAACCTAGATAAATCCTCGTTAGCTCTTCATACTAAACAAGTCCACCAATATCATAGGTAGAAAGTTTCGATAGTAGAGACGTACGCAGAGGAGTGAAGAACCATCTGTTCTTTCCACTTGTGTAGCGGTCCTCCAACGCTTTCTTCACCGTCTTCTTGGCCTCTTCTCGCTGCGATACCTCCTTGAATGTATCGTTTGTGACAACACCCTTCAATCCTTCCAGTTCGAGCGTGTAACGGGTGGGCATCAGGTGGTTATAGTTGACGGTCTTGATGAACGGCTTGACCTTGCTGCGCTTGGCTACCTTCTTAGTGCCCATTCTCTTTGTGACTTTCGAAGGGTAGCGCTCAATTCCGGCGACGAGGGCATAGGGGAAAGGGTGGGCTTTGGAACCGTTGTCGTAGGGTTGGATGATCACGACCTGTAAAATTTTTGCCAAAAGTCAGCCATAATTTGCATATTTAACTAAATTTTCCGCCATGAGAGCCCTCGCGTGTCCGGTATCTTCAACTTTGAGATGCGCAAGTCCAATTCTTTGAATCCATAACTCGTCCGATACTCAAAATTCCAAATCGATATCACACAGGCAGGCCCATCGTCCACCCAGGGAATGCGAAAGAAAATTGTTTCGTACCTTTTTGCCGGCATATCGACCTCTGGTGATAATGGCCACACGGCCAACCTTCATGACTATCTCAAAGAGTCAGCATCGCGCCACTCGCCGAATCGCAATTATCTGGCGCGGAGTCCGTGGAACATACACTTCATTTTTCAAAAGTCCTGGCGAATGTCGGCGGGCTCTGGGTAGGCGGGATGTTGGAGAGAGCGTGTGCTGGTCGACTTTTCGGCACGCCTGTTGGGTTCAACCAGTTCAAAAAACGCACCGAAATTGGAGAGTCGGTGTGTTTGTTGTGTGCCGGCTGGTGATTGGCCCGCTTATCGAGGACTGGTCTAGCCCTATTTGGATAGTTGCTCCGCTGTACTGAGCAGGATCACATAAGCAGCATCCTTCAGTCGCCCCGGCAACCTCGTGCTTGTTTACTCACCGCCGGGACCAACCGCCCAATGATGCCGCGCGGTTACGCAGTTGCCATGTCAAGACTGCTGTGACCTGCGCTGCTCCGCTTTGTTTACCACTTCCCGAATTGATATCTACTGACTCCGCATCATGACACTTGCGTGATTCATAGGTACTGGCGTTTTGATTTTATGTCCCTTTGTTGTTAACGATTTTACGATACCTCAAAATATTTCATTTGCGACACGTTATTTTTGGATTCCCACAGCCAAACTATGGCGCCGGGCGAGAGAGAACCCAATTCAGATCGAGAGCTTGTGCTCAAAAGCCACCGGCACCATCATTCCATGTCTGAAGCAAGCCGCCCCCATATCCCGATGTATGTCAGCTCCATTTCGAATCAGCTAGAATTGAGGAGCTTGATGCCTAACCCAACAACTCTACAGGTGGGATAGTGCTGACCCCGAGAGAGCACCGCCGCCGCTTCCGTTAAACCCGGGGTCAAACAGCCCAGCAACAAGAGCCAACATTTCTGCATCTATACAAGCGGCTGCCACCGCGTTGGTAGAAAAGAGCCATGACAGCACGCCCAGCACATACACAGTAAACCCCATGCCGTTGAAGCCTTCGGCGGAGAAATCGCTCATCAAAGGTCAATATCATAAACGAATGCAATCATATCACAATGCCACAACAAATAGCCGTGAATTTGCATCTTATCTCGAGAGAAGATCGCCGGAAAAACCACTTCGTGCGAACGTATATGACCAAGAAGTAAAGACTCCGGAAAAGAATCCACCTCGATCCAGTACGGCAACGCCCCCGGGAAGAGAATCTCCTACCCATCGGCCGGCCAGTCGATATTTGTCCAAGCCAATCCTGGGGGAAAACACACCGCCCTCTGCCACAATGCTTGCGCTTCAAAATATGCAAGTGCCTATTGACATTGATCTTCCCGCGTCAGCCTTGTCAAATACCACCAACAGTGTCGCTAAACAACAGCAGCCGCCGCAGCAAGCCCCACAGAGCATTGAAGCCCTTTCTGCCCAAATAATTAGTTTAACTGGCATTGCTACATCCTTGCAACAAGAAATGGCGCAGCTCAGCCGCAGGAGTAAGGATAATGCGACCGATCTTGTGAGCCTCAAGGCTGCCACCAACGCAAGAGATGAAGACATTCGGAAAAGCTTGAAAGAGCTAGCGACGAATTTGTCTGCCAAATTGCTGGAAGAATCTGGAAGTCGCTCATATATGAATGCTGGGGCAGGCCCCTTTATGATTGAAAACAAAGACGCATCTCCAGGCTCGAGAAAAAGCTACACGTTACCGCGTATTCCAAGTCCAAATAGCTTTGCCATCGCGATGGAAAGAGAGCTTGCAGGCTCACCCGCTATATCCACAGATGGGTCCGCAAGCATCGCACTTCTCGAGAAAGTTTTGAGGGAGATGGCGACGAAAGAAGGGCAGGAGCAGCTGTTGCAACTTGTTGAAGGAATGAAGTCAAATTCTACCGACAAAAGTACAGATGGGCCTATGCTTACAATGTTGGAGGAAATTCTAAATGTTGTGAAGGAAAGCTCTAATAGCCGGGCTCTGGTAAAATCGAAGTCTAGGGGTTCGGTTGATGGGGATTTATCCGACCCTTTTGTAAACACTGACCCAAGGGGCGATTCACCAGAGCCGTCTCCATCCAAAGCAGAAGATATCCTCAACGTTTTAAAGCGGGTCAAGGCCAGCGTGTCGGAAGGTGGGGGAATTACCAATGAAGTCAAGGCGCTTGTTCGAGAACTACGCGGCGAGGTTTTGGGCATGGGCAGGGAGATTGCTCGAAAGCTCGAAGAGGCCGAGACACGCCAACCCGCAAATGACACCGAGTTGGTTGTACCAAGCAAAGAGGAGATTGAACACATTGTCGAAGAGGGCTTGGTTCAGCTACGGAAACAGATGGAACAGCTGATATCCGAAAGCCGTCAAGAACCAGCACCACCGGTCGTAAACTGTGGCTTGAGTAACGAAGAAATTTATTCGGCATGTCAAAAAGCAGTGGAAGAAAGTTCTTTTGCCAATCAACCTCCGCCTGAACCAGCGAAGCCTGGAATTCAGAGAGAAGAAATTCTTGAGGCGGTTAGGGAAGCTTGGGAAACTTACAAGCCTGAAATAGAACTCCAAAATTTTGGGCTCGAAAGAGAAGAAATATTGGAGTGTTTGACGGAGGGGCTCAAAGAATACCAGCCCCAAAAAGAGGCCGTTGAACCGGGCGCCACTTACGAACAAGTTGTGGAGGCCATCAATATTGCTCTTCAAGACTTCAATCCACCACGCGTGGAGCCGGATATATGCTCTATTCGTGACGACCTTGTTAATGCTGTGCGTGAATGTCTGGAGAGCTTCGAGTGGCCAGTTCCTCCAGCAGTTTTCGAAAGAGAAGCACTGTCACGAGAGGATATCTTGATAGCTGTTAAAGAAGCCTTTGAGAGTCGAGAACCCATCGCAAAAGAGCCCGAAATCAGCCGAGAGGATGTCTTTGAAGCTGTTCGAACTGGTTTTCACGACGCGTCTAATTCGGTCGGTGATAACTTCGGCGGTCAAGTAATTGAGCATTTCAATGGAGTAATCACGGAGATGAAAGAAGAGTTTAAAGAGTACTCCGCAGCAAATGGCAGAGACACGGAACAGGTGCTCGATGCCATTAAAGACGGCCTTGAAGTGTTGCGCGGAGAGATTGAATCATATGTTGACCGGGCGGCAGATGTCACTGGCAAAGACGAAATAATTGACACAGTGAAGGACGGATTTCGACTTCTACAAGGCGACTTAGAAAAGACAATCGCAGAATCTTCAGCGGGTCGACCAACCGACACTGTCGAGTTATTGGATGCTATGGAAAAGGAATTCGAACACCTCCGCCAGACACTTAGCGGCCTTCTTATCCGAAGTAATGTTTCCAGTGAAAAAGATGAGATTCTTGATGCGATTCGTGATATCACAGAAGGGGATCATTTCAAGAAAGACAATCCTGAGCTAACAAATACAATCCAAGAGGAATTTGGGCACTTGCGAGACACTCTCAGCATGGCTATCGTGAGGGCAGATCCAACAACGGAGAAGGATGAGATCATATCTGCCATGAAGGAAAGCCTCGAGACTTTGCTTGGTGAATACACCCAGAAGAAAGACAATGAGAGCATCCTATCTAACACGAGCGAGCTCCTCGACGCGTTCCATGACGGAGTTGATGCCCTTCGGTCTGATATGGACAAGATATTGAACAAAACTTCAGACACCAGCTTCAATGATGAACTGTTCGAGACACTTAAAGACGGATTGTCAAACATTAGGGCGGAAATTGAGGAGCTCCGTGAGTTCCAGAAGGAAGAAAATGAAAGCAATGCTGCACGAGGCAAGGAGTTGATGCTGAAGAAAGAGTCGTCAATTGGCGCCGATATTGAGAGCCTCAAGGCATTGGTTATTCAGTTGCAAATTAAAGTGGACTCCATCGACCAAACGCCTAAAACCCCTGAAATAGATCCAAACATCGCCAAAAAAGAGGATTTGACAGAAATGCTCGACGCTGTCAAAGAGATGCAGGGCCTTGTTTCGGAAATTGGTTCTCGTGAAAATCCAATGGATGGCGCAGCAATGAAAGAAGATGTTGAAGCTGTCGGATTGCTTGTTGACAATATCAAATTGCGCCTAGACGAGATGTCTACCTCAACAAACGCTAGTTTTGTCACTGCTGAACGTGTGGAAGGCTTGGAAGTCCTTACAAAGGAACTTAAGGAGCTAATCAGCGGATTTGTCACGCACGTGGAAAAAGAAGCACCTACAAAGGCCGAAGTCACCAATCTAGAGACCGTTTTGAAAGACATCTGGACAGTCGTAGAAGAAATTAAGAGCTCATCATCAAAGGAGCCCGAGGATGACTCTGCAAAAATCAACAAGGAGGACTTCCAGAATCTGGAAACCCTGATGTTCGAGATTAAAGCCCAGCTAGATGACTTCGTCCTTCCAGATGTGGAGACACTACCCACTAAAGATGAGCTCAGTCTACTCACGTCCTTAGTAAATGAGTTCAAAGAAAAGGTAGAGGCTGAAAATCAAATGACAGCGCAAGCGTTTGAGGCCCGCAAAGTAGAGCACGGAGGTATTGCTGAGAAAATTGAAGACGCAAAGGCTTTGATCAGTGGACTCCGCGACGAGATTAGGGAAAAGCTCGCTGAAAGTGACCAGAGTTTTAGTGATATTAAAACGATGGTCTTGGGCTTCAACGATGCGGCTGAGGAGTTGGCTAAAGCAGAAACAATTAAAGAGCTTTCCGACCTTGTGACTCGTGAATTTGAACGGTCTCATGGGGACCGTGAAGCAGTCAAAATGGAATGGGAGGAAAAGCACAGTGAATTGCTGGCGAAGCAGGAAGACGGCAAGGGTGCTATCCTCTCAGACCTGGGCGCGAAACTCGACGAAAAATTTGCTGAAGTTATTGCGAAATATGACGATGCTCAAACTTCCTTAGAAGATAAATTTTCTTCCACCGAGGAAAGGGACGTGCAGGCGCTTGAGTCACTCACTGGCACAAAGAACCTTGTCGAAGATATCAAGGCTGTCATAGATGGCTTGGGAACCACTTTGACGGAAGCATGCGACAGGATGAGTGACGACGCAAAAACATTTTTCGAACGAGTGGATCAGTCGTTTTCAAAAGTTGACGAATTGCACTCTGATGTAAAGATGCAGCATGAAGATATAAAGAGCCAGTTTGAACAAGCCTTCGCAGCAACTGATCGATTGGAGCGCCATGCCGCAGATTCTCACCCCGAGCTTCTGAGCTCTCTCAAAGGAATATTAGATATCGTTGGCCAGCACTACGAGCATTCTCAAAAAGCGACCGCAGAGATCAAGACTGATCTTTCAACAATACCTCAGGCAATTACTCCGCTTTTGCCCATGCTGGCATTGCCAGCTCCAGAGGAACCTAAAGAAGAGCCAATGTACGAGAAATATGACGACACCACGGTGCAAGAGAAGTTGGATACACTCCTTTCCAAAGAAAATCCGCAATGTGAGAAGTACAATGATTCACAAATCCAAGAGAAGTTGGATGCGCTGCTCCTGAAGGATATCCCAGAACCGGAGAGGTATGACGATGGTCCAGTACATGCGAAACTGGATGAAATTCTCGGCAAGGAGCTTCCACAATGCGAAAAGTATGACGATTCACAAGTTCAAGAAAAACTAGATGCACTTATTCTTAAGGACTTTCCAGAAGTGGAGAAGTACGACGATACGCAGGTACATGAGAAGTTGGATGCCATTCTCGCAAAAGAGCAGCCACAGGCAGAGGTGTACGATGACTCGAAGGTACATGACAAACTTGACACGCTGTTAAAGGAATCGAACGCAACAACCGAATCTATTGCGAGAATCGACAAGCTCGATGAAATTCACGAGCGTCTCACAAGCATGGCAAAGGAGGTCGGCGAATTAATGGCGACGCAGTCAAAGATCATTACCGAGGAGCACGAGAGCAAGAAGAAGGAGGCAATAGAAACGGCAATCGCTTTGGAAAAGAGATTGGCCCAAAAGGAGAAAGTCGAGGCCGAGGTTGTCACACTTAATGAAGAGAAAGAAATCCTCCTCGAGTCGATGAGACTGCTTAGAAAAGACAACGATGAACTTTCGAAAGAGAACGTCAGACTGGCCAAAGAAGTAGCAGGCCTAGAGACAGCCTTGCGCATCCGCCGTGAAGAAGTTCAGCTTATGGAGAGTCGCGCCGAAGATCTCGAACGTAGAATCGTTGAAGGCGTTTTGGATCATGCTCGAAGCCAACTCCTTGGTCGATCTATACCTCTTGATATGGCGAACATGAAACGCGTTCCAAGCTCTGCGAGTACAGTGACCCGGCGCAGTACTGCTAGTACGTCCACGAAAGACAGTGGGATTCTAGGAAGTGGTGTCAATGTAGCGCTGAAACGACGACCGCCTTTGAGATCGAAAGCCTCATCCACCTTATCCTCGAGTTCGGGGAACGAGAGGAGGATCCTCAGTCTCAATCATGTCTCAGGAAATCGTGGACCTAAAGACCGACAGTCTTTGCCACAAACTAGCAGTGGTGGCCTGTCTAATCTCAAGAGAAGTCATTCTGTTAAATCCACCTTTCCATTTCGCAAAGCCTCTTGGGATACAACAAGTTTCATGGCAAATAAAGAAAATGAAGTTGTAAAGGAAGAGGATGAGACATCTGTTGCTGATGAAAGTGATACTGGAACAGAGAGAAGAACGAGCTATTCAAGTATCCGCGAGGATGATCTGTCCTCAATAAATGGCAGTATTTTCTCAGCTGATCGAAAGATTAGCTGCAGCTCGACCAACGCTCTCGTTTCAGCGCAACAAGGGGCGTTCGTTGAGGAAGCAAATAGCGGTGATAAAATAGATTCAAAAGGGGATACAATCGAAGACGAGGGTGAAGAGCAAAGCGTGCTAGAGCCCGATTCTGGAGATGAAGATGGTGTCGATGGGCTGGCGGAGGTGAACGAGAATGAACTAGTTCGATATGCCCAGGGTACTGATAGCGGTATCGGGGCGGACCTAGCAGAAAATGGGGCGAAGGAGTCGGTTACTGCGTAGGCTATGACTGTTCTCCCGGCGCCCCGTGTGAGGGCTGATAGTTTCCTTTGTGATTTTGTATGTTTTTGACCAGTGGTTTTGACAGCGATTGCTTCTACTGTGCTTTTTGTGTGCTGCTGGATTCACTCCAGCAGGTAATTACCAGTTGAAGTTTTTGAGCGAGGTGTTCGTATGCACGCGTGTTTGATGATACCACTGTCGTTGACCGACGATTGTTGTCATTAGAATGATTATATAATGAAGCTCTTTCGTCCGCTTATGTCATCTACATCCTGGCTAGACCGTTTCAGGGGCGTTGGGCTGCGGGAGCTAATCCTAGAGAGGCTAGATTCTCCCCAACAATCCTCCGCGGGCGGTCAACGGCTCCACCTGACGCGATTGGCCGACGTCACGCGGCAGTACTGCTCAGAGGCACAGGTCGTGCGACTTGATCCTCCTTCCAACGCGATGCTGGCCCGCTGAATTGCCTTTGCTCTGCTTCTCGCCTTGAGGCCATGACCGGCTTCCGCACTTCGTCCTAGGGTGCGAGCGCTTGGTCTTTATTTGCTCCTTATTTCGCTTCGCGTCCACTCTCTCCTATCACCCCAGGGTCTGGCTTGCGCGCGAACTACCATGTTGGACCCCATCCCTCCGCCGCCAGAATGGCTTCAAGATGCTGTCCGCCCCTTCTCTGAATACGTTGCTTTACCCTCTTTGCCATATCATATTCATGAAGTTATTGGTGCTTTTGTTTTCTACCAACTTGTCCAGTCCGTCATTTCACCCATGCTGTCCTCATGGCTTTTCCCGACTATATATCCCAAGTTCCCGCGACGAACCAAGTTAAACTGGGATGTTCATGTTGTCTCGCTTGTTCAGAGTACTCTGATAAATTCTGTTGCTATCTGGGTGTTGTTTGTGGATAAAGAAAGGAAGAACATGAATACAGCCGAAAAGGTATTCGGCTACAACAGCAGCTGTACAATGATCCAGGCCCTTGCTACAGGGTATTTCCTCTGGGATCTGATAGTCAGCACTCTCCATATTGATATATTCGGAATCGGGTTATTCTTTCATGCCGTTAGCGCTCTATGCGTCTTCAGCTTGGGATTCGTAAGCGCCACCCCTTTTGTCTTATCCATCCACAAAGGCTTGCTAACTCCCCCTTGTGATTCATCCAGCGACCTTTTGTGAATTTCTATAGCCCGATATTTATTCTTTACGAACTTTCAAGTCCGTTTCTCAATTTTCACTGGTTCTTCGACAAAGTCAACATGACTGGAAGTAGGGCTCAGTGGTACAATGGCATAATACTTCTCGCTGTATTTTTTAGTTGTCGTTTGGTATGGGGAACATACCAGTCAGTACGGGTCTTCACGGATATTTTCAAGGCACTTAGTCAGTCTCGTGGTTCCGAAGATCTTCGAACTCCATTCGACATCTACACAATGGTTTTCCAGGGACGGAATAATACGATTTGCATCGATGAGGCTTGCGTGAAAGCCAGCAATGAAATATCCAAATTTGCGCATCATCAGGAAGATGGCATTCCACTTTGGCTTGTGCTTCTATACCTCGGCAGCAACCTCATCCTTAACTCTTTGAACTTCTTTTGGTTTTCAAAGATGATTGATACCGTCATGAAGAGGTTCAGGGCGCCCGCGGAGGGTAAGGTGAAACAGGAAATTATTCCAAAAGTTGTTGAAAAAGAGGCTGAAGCAATGGTGCTTGAAGCGGCTGCTACTTTGGAAGAGGAGGAAAGAGTATTTATTAATGGTGGTATGAAGGACGAGGATGTTGATGACCGCAAGCCCATGGCAGCTCCTTCTTCAGCGGCTCAATATAAAGGCCCTGGGACCCGAAGACGAAAGGCCTAATATTCTATGAATTTATGTACCTGTTGGGAGACTTTTGCGTAAACGTTCTGTTTGAGCCCTTCCCTTATTTTGCGTTTTTCTCCATCGCTTTAATTGTGCGATCTCTGGTGGCTGGTCTGTTACTCTCGAAATGTAGATATAATGACTCGTGATTGATATTATCAAGTTAGATGTTAGATGTGAACCTCTCGGATCTATTGTAGTTCTTGTTACTGTAATTGTAGGCGACTATTCTTTTGCACTAAACCCTACACTTCGAATCACTGCCGAAACATATTATTTATTTGACGACCTATAACTATAGTGTTTTAGGATTAACGAGAAAAATCCTTGAAAAGAAGTGTATAAAATCTAGAACTGTTGCACAACACCAAGATTCCTTAACTCGCCCACCCCGAATACCTGATATGACCATAGACGCCTTTTGAACATGAACAACATCTCCTTTTCACCCCATTCGTACTCTCACCTTCCCACGTGGGTGGGCCTAGATAGCATATATCGAACAGCTTCCTTCGCGATGGGTGTGTCCCAAGCGCTGCCCGACCCTCCTCTCCTAAACTCAGGGGCATCAGGATCCGTACGACCCGCCTTCGCAGATTCTCCCAGAATAATTTCCAGATCACGTCTTTGGCTAAGGAACCATCGCTTGATGAAATGCACGGGGTCCTTACTCAGGTTAATAAAGAAAGAATGCTTGGCCTTGGAGTGGTGAAGGGCCTGGATTACGAGGGCAAGCTGGTCGTCTAGCTTAGAGACTTGTCGGAGCATCGATGGAAACTCCGTTGCTGCAGTGAGTCGAACCATTCTTCGACGCATTACATCATCAACAGCAAGGCGAATGTCATAGATTGCAGGAACGGGATTATCATGGAATTCTTTGTCGACGCGAATTGTGAAGGGAATTTTGATAGGAGGAAGGGGGGTGCAGTGTGGTCCAATGAGTTCGGGGATTGCGGGGAAGTAGATCTTGTCTCTTCCAAAAACCTGGAGCTGAGAATTAGATGACTATCTTCGGACCAATTGATACGTACTATATGTATGGCGTGCGTTATACATACCGCTCTTAGACGTTCGTTGCACGCGACAGCTTGTTTCTCTTCAATCTCCTGGAGACCGGCGGCTTTAATGTATTCCCAAAGCCCGATAATGATACCAGCACGGGATTCCTCTTCCACGTCAAGTATCGATGCTAGGTCCTTACTCAACAGATACCGTTCTGGATTCTCGTCTCTTGTCATTGTTATAAAACCGTTGATGTTGACCTCAGCTGCTCGTGAAAACTGTAACGAGTCGAAATCGGAGACGGGAGACGGGTTTATTGGGTTTGGCAGTAAAGGTGGCTTGTTCCAGACAATTGTAGCCAAATCCGCTACTCCAGGCTCGGAGGGTTTTTCGAACTCAACTGTTATGGTTTTGAAAAAATGCGACAGTCTTTTTCTAACTGCAAAACTGGACCTTGTGCTATTGGTTTGTTTCTGCGGCGGCTTCTCTTCCTCCATCGCATCTGAATCTTTCTCTAGATCTCCAGTAGTTTCATCATCTGGGCTAGTAAAGTCTGACATGTCCCCGAGAAAGCGTCCTTCAATTTTCACTTTATAGCGGCCAGTACCGATTCTTGGTGGAACATCAGGATTGTCCTCAATCTGTTGCCAGGGCTGCTGCTCAACCGTATTTGACACCCACAGCCTCATCGTGCGATATCTTCTTATATTCCTATTCACAGAGTCCTGAATATCGAGTCTTTTCCTCATGATCGCAGAATCGAGCCTTCTCTCGATCTCCTGTAGCCGCTTATATTGCTGAACTCCATCACCAATGGCAACATCTTCAATAGCGTCAGGTAGGCATTTATCGGTCGGCTTGCGACTCCGACGGTTCGAAGAATCTGGATGCAGGGGGACGTGTCGCTGCTGCGCGGCGAGAACCTGTGGGTTGGGGATACTGTGCTGTGGCACTGGCACCGGCATCATTCCTATGGACGCGAAGGAAGGTCAGCACCGACTGAAGGACTTGAATCCGCCAGAATGCAGTGATTGTAGAAATCCAAGCTTCAGTTTTAGAGGGCGGATGCTACAGACCAGGGACCCCAACGACTCTTCGCGGAGTACTGGGTTGGCGGTGATGAATAGGCTGTGGGTAAGAACGATAGTTGGGCTGCATTGGGGCGTGCATCTTGGCGATAGCCGGGGCGGCAATTAGACCAAAGAGACGAGCGGTCAGCAGTGAGCTCGCGAACTGCAAAGCGGTGGATGCGTCGCGACAGGATCAGATTGTTGTCGTGAAACCGCGCCAGCGAACAAAGCTGCGCGGAAGGGTTTGGCTTTGCTAGCCCAGTCGATTCTGGGATGCCCACACGCGCTAAACTACATACGGACAGAACTTCACGTGATAGATCTATGGGGTCGGTTTCTTGGCGCTAATGTATATATTACATAATCGCTGCAGGCTACTCCAGCAGCGACGCCTGGTTCGTATACAGGACGTCCACTACGCTGTTGAGCTTGTCGATTGTCTCCAGGGCAGCATCGTAGCCCTGGTCCCTCTCCGCTTCGTCGAAAACAATCAAACAACCCGCACCCTGGTCCAATACGCCAATAATCACCTTGTCAAGGATCATCTGCGAGAGCTTCTTCTCGACTTGTTGCGTATCCAGGCCAACCATCTTCGCAACATGATCAATCTCTACTCTGCTAAAAGGTTCAATCACTTTAATCAAATTTTGTTCGAGCATGGCGTCGTAGAGCCTCCGAAGGTGGTTTCTGATAAAAATATCACTTCCCAGCTCATATCGGTAGTCCGTCAGCGTCCTTTCATACTCCTCTAATGATCGATTTGAATGAGCCTTAGCGACTGCCTTCATAGCTTCTAGACTTGTCCCGGCATATCGAATAGCATGTTTTGAGGCCAGAAGCGTATTCACGTCGTTTGCAGAATTCAGCATGATTTTGCAAAGAAGCATGTACTGCAACGCAGAAGTGGCCTTGCTTTCCTCTTCCAGTGAGTTATAGCCGTCAAGTGCTTCGATAAAGTAGGAATACGCGGTGTTGAAGTCTTTATCTTCTGCATGAAGCATACCACTTTGCATATCCAAACCAGCTTGTAGTAATGGTGGTGTATAAACTGACGCTGCGGAGGTGCGGGCCGATGTTAGGGCAGCCCGAGCTTTTGGCTGATTACCGAGCGCGTGATAGACACGCGATTCTAGGAGCTGTACCTCAACCAACACGAGCTTATCATCGAGACGTTTAAGTTCGCGGAGGAGTGAATTGATTAAAGTAAGTGCATCATAATAAGACTGCTTTTGCATATATATTGAAACAAGCCTTGTTTCGAGGTTTTGGCGCAAAAAAGATCGTCGTTCTGATACAGCCCAGTCTATGCATGATTTAATAACCGAGATCTGAATGTCAAGGGTATTTGGTATCGCAGCGAAGAAGTCGAGAAGTTGTCGGACTGTATAAGTTAGACAATTGCAATTTAGAGCACATATATTCTAAAAAGAAGCATACCAAGTTTTGCCGATTTTGCCTTTGCAAAAGAAGAGAAGGAGGATCTGCTGGTCTTCAAGAGTTCAGCAAGTTCATTGGGTCTCCTCTGGTCGCGATATAGCTCGCCTAGTCCAACTAGGGCAGATTCGTAATCTCTAGATGAAGCATCCGTCGAGCCCGGCCCTGATGAAAGGATTTTGTGAAAGATAGCCTCTGCTTTTGGCGGATCTGTCTTGGACAAGGCAGCGGCCTCTTTCAGAAGGCTAGCATTTTGTGAGTCGTTAGGAGCCATCCCAATCCAGTACCCTATTTTAACAACGTTTGAGTAATAAGCAAAGCAGTTAAATAGAAAAAGCAGAGAGAGGCAAGATATGCTGGCGGTTGAATGCGAAAGAAGAGCTCTGATGTTGCTCCAGCTAGACCACAGCCAAGCAAGTCAAGCTCAATACGGAAGAATAATAATCCGGTATGATAAAAAGCCCGCCTCAACTCTTATTAAAAATAATAAAATACCCTGCGAGCTACTTCACAAGCTATTAACTGCGGACAATATGGTCGGTAACTTAGGCCTTCATATACTTTCAACTGCTAGTGCTGACAAGGTAGTAGAAAATAAAAGCTCTTTCACGGTCTGCTGCTTCGCAGCAGACTCCGGGAACGGGCACGACAAGACTTGCACGAAACCTCGATCCCTCTCAGCATCCCTTTGAAAGAGCACGAGAATACACCAGGGCTTTGAATGCCACCAAATTGGAAAGGATGTTTGCTGCGCCATTTATTGCGCAGCTTGGAAATGGTCACGTTGACGGAGTATATTGTATGGCAAAAGATCCAAATTCGCTTGAGCGTCTTGCGAGTGGAAGCGGTGATGGTGTGGTTAAAGTCTGGGATCTAGAGAATCGCAATGAAGTCTGGCAGGCTCAAGGGCATGAAAATGTTGTTAAGAGCGTTTGTTGGACTTCTGACAAGAAGCTGCTATCATGTGCCGCTGATAAAACCGTCAAACTTTTTGACCCTTATAATACAGCATCCGACACACCTCCTTTAGCAACATACCTTGGCCAGGGAGCTTTTACCGGGTTGTCCCAGCATGAGACACATCCTTCTTTTGCTGCTTCGTCATCGATCATTTCCATTTATGATCTTTCTCGGCCGTCTTCTACGCCATCCCAAACACTCCACTGGCCAACAAGCATCGATACGATTACCTCACTGGCATTTAATCGCACAGAAACGTCAATTTTAGCATCTGCTGCAACGGATCGATCTCTTATAATGTATGACCTACGCACATCCTCGCCTCTTACAAAAGTGGTTCTTAATCTTGCCTCAAATGCAATTGCCTGGAATCCGATGGAGGCATTCAATTTCGCTGTTGCTAATGAAGATCACAATGTGTATATATTTGACATGCGAAAAATGGATCGTGCTCTGAATATTTTGAAGGATCACGTTGCAGCTGTTATGGATGTCGAGTTTAGCCCAACCGGTGAAGAACTTGTCACGGCATCATATGATCGTACTGTTAGATTATGGAACCGTTCCAATGGGCACTCTAGAGATATCTACCATACGAAACGAATGCAGAGGTACGGTTTCCTTAGACACAGCGGATTTTAACAAACTAACATGTTGTGTAGGGTGTTCTCCGTGAAATTTACACCAGATAGCAAATACGTGTTATCCGGGTCGGATGACGGCAATATTCGTCTCTGGCGTGCGGAAGCCTCCTCCAGAAGTGGAATCAAAAGCGCACGTCAACGCCAGAAACTCCAATATGACGAAGCCCTTAAACAAAGATATGCCCACATGCCGGAGATCAGACGCATTAAGCGCCATAGACATCTTCCCAAAGCTGTAAAGAAAGCCGGGGAGATTAAAAATGAGGAGCTCAATGCTATCAAGAGGAGGCAAGAGAATATACGGAAGAATAGTAAAAAGGGGTCATTGCCTGCACGACGAAGCGAACGAGAGAAGATGGTGCTTGCGAAAGAAAAATAATTCATAAATACTAATACAGATTCACGCAAACCCCTATTTATGCTACCCGTTCCCTTTGTCCTGTACCACCCATGGATCAGCATTACCAAAGGAACAAACACCAGGGATACCCATTTCTGACGAATGACCCCTGGATATTGATTGCAATCAGGTTAATGATTATTTCTTTAAGACATTGCCGAAGTGTCAGCAGCCTGGATCATTACGAAAGTTTCAACGCCTCCTTTTTTTCGTCCGCCGAATATCCTGCTTTTTGGACTGCTTTGTCAATCCCGCTCAGACATCTAGCGAGTTTCTGGATTGACGCTGGAAGGACCGTATACCAGCTAACCAAAGATGCATAAGCTGGCATCCGGATAAGCCCACCGTTTCCACTATCAATAACAGACACAATTTTCTGGGCGACTTGAACAGGTTCTAAGACGGGTGCAAAAACTTTGTTCGGGGTTTTAATCCGTTCAAATAATTGAGTTGCTATTTGTCCCGTCTCCACAAGTAGCATCTTCACTTTCACATTTGCTCCGGATAACGCGAGCTCTGCCTCTACAGTTTTGTGAACGGCAGTGATAGCAGCCTTGGTAGCTGTATAATCCGACAGACCAGCTGCCGTAAGGTACGCTAGAACTGAGCTAACAGTCACGATTGTGCCGCCATTAGGGGACTCTTGCATGCCGGGAAGAAAGGCTTGCAAGGTATGGAAAAAAGAGCTGAGGTTTGCGTTGATAGTTTTTTGAATAGCGTTACTAGAGAGGGAAAGAAGAGGAAGGCCATTGATGGATGCAGCGACGCAATTGATGAGAATAGTTGGCGTTCCGAGCTTCACGCAAGTTAGTAACATATTATTGCAACAGACTTATTAGCCTGTAGCTGGGTAAATAGATGAATGGATTGATCGCGGAACGCACATCATTGTTTATCCTCCTAGCTACCTCTTCCACCTGGGCCTCGTCGCCTACATTGCATCGATAATATTCCACACTGGGCATTTCCTCAAATCCAAGGCCGTCTTTACCCTCTCTGTCTGGTGTTTTCTCATCCAGAACCGCAACACTCACACCCCTCATTCCATATATCTTCGCAATCAGCAATCCCACCCCGCTGGCGCCGCCGGTAATAACCACCACCTCCTCTTCTAGATCCACAGTGCGCGGCAGTCCATACGCAATGCGTCTATTCACCATTGCGAGGAGGACGACTAGCGAGAGGAGGGAGGCATATGCGACCGTGGTGATGAATGCAGGATGAGAGTACGGGGTGGCTTGTGCGCGGAGACATAGCGGAATAAGCCATGCGATGAACGGGTGGAGGAACGTCTTATGGAGAGCGCGCAGGAAAAGGTCAAGGCTGACGTGCTCGGTCCAGTGTAAGTCGTGTGGTTGTCGGTATGATGTAGGCGAAGACATTGTGAGTGCTCGACTGGGGATATGTGAAAGCTGTTGAGTGAGATCACGGAGTCATTACTCCGTGGTATTTATCCTGTACTCCGTACCCTGCCCAGAGAACGCCTGTTCTGACTCAGGGGCTTATTCTGACGCCGTCTGCGATTCAGAGGCCACGGTTTGACTTTGCACGGGAAGCTCTTCCAGCTCGTAGTTTGTTACACTGTGGTGGTGTTTCCCCAAAGCCTAAACTTTAGCCTCTTACATAGCTCCTTTTTATATCAACTCCAGGAACGCCCTTTACCTTCCCAGGATGGTAATACATATCGCGAAGCCCGCTTGCTGTCTATCGCCATAATACCTTACGCTTACTAAGTCTTGCATAGCCTTTAACTCTCCCAGTCCTTATCTAATGGTAGTGCACCGCAGGCCACTGCATTGCTAAGCTGTAGGACGTGCCTGACGTTCCAGCCATCTAACCAGTTCTTCTATATAATCAGCCATATATGTAAGCTTCATTTACTAATAATGGAAGAGGCAACTCTGCGAAAATTCAAAGACTAGTTTAAGTGGTTGCTTTAAGTAGAGGCATTATTCGCCGAAGCAGCACAAATGGTCATGTAATGAATGAGTCCTACAAGTGTCCAAGCAACCAAAGGGTTCAGCTTCTGGCCCAAGTAGGGATAGACAACAGCCGAAAGAAGAACTATACGCCATATCAGGCAGAAGGCGCTGTAGAGACCGTTATGGCCCACGCCCCAACAACCAAATCTGCAATCAGAGCATGTTCCAGAGCACTCTTGCAACAGTTGGCAAATCCACGAATGTTGTTATGAATGATACCGAAGGGCACTGACTTAAAGTCAGTAATGTGCAAAGGTTGTTTCTTCATAGCTACGAAGCTGTGGATGGAAATATATACATACATCCTGGGAGTTTTCATTGTAGGGTACGCCCGCAACTTTGCAGCAATATGTAATGTACGGTGTTCACCGCATAAAATGTGGGTAGTTGACTTCTCAATTGTCTCGTCCATTGCCGTGCGGCATAGCGTGGGACCTCTACTGCGCCGTACTGTATGTAGTTAAGCACGGTTCTGAAGAGATGGTCCGTGAGCCGATATCAACCAAGCCTTCAGCTGTAAGATTCCAGGCGAGGTAACGAGCAAATAAGTCGCACGAAAGTATAGAGCCATGCCATGCTGCTGTTGCTTTTGTGTTTGGCGTCTCGCGTAGTTACCCGTGCATAGCAAATTAAGGGGGAAGCAAAATAAATTAATGACTTCCAGACCACCCGGACCTGCTCATACTTTGCGAAAAATCCCTAGGAACCTCCCAACCATGAATTCTGCACGCTCTAATGTACGCCTCCACAGCTTCACCCACTCCGTACTCTTTGACTGTTCCATCCTTCGCGTTCTGACAATGTTGTAGCCGAGCAGGCCTCGGATCAGTGGTGCACATTGCCATGCGAACCTGAAGTAGCACACTCTCAATGCTAGATACCGCAGACCAGCCCGAGTTCGTAAGTAGTTCCATGCACAGTGCCCCACCGGCCGTAACGTGGCCGCCCCCGCCATGAAGGAAATTCAGAAACCGGGGACGAATGACACGAATAAACGGCGGAGAGATGGGGTAGTCCTTGAAGAAACGAAGCTCAAGCACAACACTAGTCAGCCCCGCCTGTTTCAAGTCAGATGCTAGCGGAAGGTCGGCATCAAAAGAATGGAATTCAGCTATCCATTGATAAACTGTAGTAATGAGATTAGGATCGATATACCATCCCAATTCGTGTAGGGGACTGTTTTCTTGCAACTGAAGTGTCGTCTTTAAATCTCTTTGCAGGGCCTTGGTGGCTGCGGGAGTAGCATTTACAGGGGGTCCCAGCAATGATAGAGTGGTGTTGATCAGAGTCCCAGGAATGAAGTCGGTTTTGACTTGTTGTGGGGTTTTTGAAGCATGATGTTCTCCAGTTGTATTTGCTGAACCTAGAATGCCGACATTGTCACTGTCGCTTTCGTCGCTTGTCCAGCCATCTTGATCCTTCGTTGCTTGTAGAGTGTTAGGTTGTCCTGTCGGCCCCATTACATCCACCGTAGGCTGTCCCTTTTTGCCCAATGCTAGTCCAATTGAGCCTGCGCCATTTCCAAGTGAAATGGAAGAAGCGGTGCCCGTTGTTAATTCTGTACGACGTTGACGACTAAAAGCACTCATTGGTATCATAATTGGCTTTAAATCGGGGCCAATGGCGGTAAATGATGGATCTTGTTGATAGTAATATCCCGGGGATTGAGATTTTTCACCTGATACCAGTTTACTAGTTTTAATAGTTTGTTTGCACCGGACAAAAAGGTACCTTGTCTGTATCCACTCTAGTTGCTTAACAACCAAATGCGGCGAAGAACACACAAATTTTTTTGGGGCGTTGACAACCTCGTTGAGAGATATCACACTTCCAATCTCTAACTTACTTTGAGGCCATGCGCTTCTCGGATGAGTGCCAGCATAGCTTGTTGCCGTAAAAAACTTCGTACTCATGTAAACGCCGTCTCCAAATGCTCGACCATGCAATTTTTCATTATAGTGCAATCCTTCTCTTAGTATCCCGTGCCAATTATACAGGGGGCTGCCATGCCAAGCAAATATCGTTGGGTATGCTGGGTTATTGTTCGAATTTGCTACAGACTGTATGAATCGTTGCTCTTTGTCAGGCGCTCCCTGTGCAAATCGGAATTGCATATATCCACTTAGACCGGACACTCGATGGCGAATGGAGTCGCGGGAATTGGGGTCCGATGGCGTTTCTATCTTATCCTGAATTATACAAGAGCGATTAGAAGATACGATCCAACGTAGGACATCAAGTGCCGGTTTAGAAATTCTGTCCTTCCAATTACTAAGACTTGGTTGAGAGGTGCCGGTGGTTGTGCTCAGATATGCCTTCATATCATCAATTGGCGGGAGGGTGTCAAGGAGAAAGCATAACGCAGCCCGTCGACGGCCATCGTCGAGATCGTCAAAATTAGTATCATAAACAACAAAGCTAATATCATGTTCCTCAGATCCACCAAGAACGTCTTGGCTGTTTTGGTTCGAATATTCTGATATTTTTGGTTGAGTTGAAAACGGACGGCCAAGTTGAACTGTCGGCCAATAGGAGACATCCTGGACACGGCAATGAAGCCGAGTTTTTTCCCCGGAATACTCAGTAATAACAATCCAAGTGCCAGCTGGAAGACACAGGACGTCAGAACAAGGGGGAAATGTTAATTTCATAGTACGGCGATTAAGACTGGCATCAATCGTTTGCCACGGCTCGTTGGTTGAAGCGGTAGTGCTAAGATGTGCAAATCGTCTCGATAAGATAGGGGTTATGAGTTTGGAAGGAACCAAAAAGCCGAGGCCGATGGGGAAATCACATAGCCGACTTCCCTTAGCACTGCAGTACGTAAAACTAACGAGAAGATCAACAACATCAGGCTGAGAGAGAATCTCCCACTCTAGGCTAGGACCAAAACCAAGGGCCATGTACTGATAGAGGCACAGGTGTTTGGAGCACACATATGGTTTCAAGGCCTCAAACGAAGCATTGGTCTTGCAATGGCATACAAGACAAAACTCTGTGCATCTCACGAAGTGTCGAAGCGCAAATTGCATGGCAATCAAAGGAAATGAAATTTTGGTTCCACTGTTTTCCGATAGGTGATCAGCCGTAACAAATTGGGGGAGAACATCTGATAAGCCTCTCGCATCCTGCATATAGTGCCTAGCATCCTCTGGATGACCATAGCGTGCCGCTTTTCCTTGAGTATCATTGAATAACAGCTCTGCCCCCTCCCACGATAAACCAAACGTAAATCGATAGCGGAGAACCTTGACAAATCGTTCATTCATAAGTGAATTAAGAGGGCCGCTGATAAAGGAGCGAACTATTCTTTTAGATTTTGTACTGGTGCCCGAGCCCTTACTAGAACCCTCCAAAGACACATTTGATAGCGCACAGTTTTCACTCAAAGCTTCAAGAGCGCTTTCAAACGTGGGTTTGTAAGAGTTGCATAGATCAACAGTAAAGCCGAGCGATGTTTTTCCAAAGTCGATATCCTCGTGTAAAATCTCCTCAAAGGATTGATAGCTTCCACCGTAGCGAATGAGACATACTAGATACTGGCGCCCATCAACTCTCCAAGCCTTCATCGCTTCTTCTGATATTTCTAGACGAGAAATACGGCAAGAAATGCAAATAATCGGAGCTGTTTGATTCCCAAGGTAGCCCACTCTAAAACCGGCTAATTTTGCGGCTTCGAGGTCACATGCAAGTTGATGCAACAATGCTGGATTATTGCAGGAATCCAGCCCCAAGGCTTTAATGAAACCCCTGGCGGGACGAGGGAGAGAGGAAGAAGCGGGTGGCCAATCTTCAAAACATTCTTCTAAGCTGTCTATATCAGCTATTTCGCTGTCACTTTCTCCTTCTGGCGTAGGTCTAGCATCGTCAGATAATAAAGAATTGTTTTCTGTATGAAGTGATAAAGCTTTATTTAAGCTGTTTGACAAATGTAGTAGGACATCAGCTACTCGCAGCCCCCGGAGACGAGGCTGAGCCTTTTCCAAACACGCCGCAACGCGAGGAATATCATCAGATGTGGTGTATACGAAACAATCATGTTTTTCAGGATAATCAGAGACATCTAGATATGGCGTATCAGGGACACAGCTAGAAATTACACATCGGGTAGCAGTAGTTACCGGGTATCAAGCACTGAATATCAACAGGCTTTTCAGGGTTTTCGGCAAAGGTGAAGGTGCAAGAAAAGACACCGTCATCCTCACCCGGGCCAATATGCGAAAAGCCAGAATATGCTGCAGAATTTATCGCCGTTTCCAGATCGCGAACGAAGTCCTTTCTCGGCATGTTTATCGAGCGCTGGGGGAGGGAGACGATAAAGCCTACGGGCTCCGGCTACTCGAAAGCAAGAATGGATGGAGGGGAAAGTATGAGAAAACGGAGCAGAACAGCTACCCGGTTTAGTGATGGGGCAGTCGATAGGCCTTGTGTGTTCTTAGAAGTGTTGTCTGGGTGCTCAGCCATGGAAGACTAGGATCGGCCGTGTTTGAGGTTCTTGGGGGCACCGCAGTGGTAGGCAGCAAAGAAAGCACCGACTGGAAGGAGAGTGAAGACTTTCTGGGGGCTCTCCCAAAAACAGCCATGGAATCGTCTGCCTTGGTTCTGGCTGACGTGTTGAGGCGGCGGAACCTCCAGGCAGGAAAGTTAGCCTATGTAACCAGGCTTTGTTGCCGGAGGGCGTCGGGCGTAGAGACGCCAGCAACAACGCGTCGTCCCAGCCCCCTCCTTTGCGTCCTGCATTGCTGGTATGTTCCGGTATATCTCCCAGCAGCCAGACACGTTGTTCACTGTTTGCTGATGTTGCTTAAGTAGCTAGTTGCATATAGCGCTGCCACCAACAAGCTTTAGGTTTCGACGGGGCCAAACTCTGTTGCGGTCTCTGACATCGCGTAACTACATCACTGATACGTTCTGTCCACACTCTCACCTGCACTGATATATGCCACGCATTGATCGGAAGCTCGACTTCGACTCGTCGATTAGGAGCTCGGTGGTCGTCTTCGGTACGACCCGCGATGCTTGCAATTGTTGATTGTCAATGGCTCAAACTACGCTTACACACAGATCCATGGGCGCCTCCAGAGAACCTGAACGCCCAAAGTCACAACTGCATTCTTCGCTCAATCATTTTGCCGATTCTGCCTTTGACCCCGTTGATTTCCTGAACGACTCTCTCCCTCCCTTAGCACGGTTATCTGATGCTTCAAAGGATTCCCGTGCCGTCTCGATAGCCGATCTTTCGTCCCACACACAATCACTACTTTCTCAATTAAGTGCGCAGAGTGCTCGGCTATCGAGCACCCTAACCCAACTCACAGATGAGATCCTGAGGAGTAGTGGCCGCTTAGCGTATGAGGTAGAAGTGTTGCGCGGAGAGACTATCGGACTCTCAGACACGCTCACTGGTGTATTACAAGAAGATATCGAACAACTCATCCCTGGGGGATTGCCCAAACAGTCAAATGCCAAGGAGCAGGAAGAGGGTGAGCCTGTGGAAGAATCTACAGACTCAAATAGCGAACCTCAATTAGAAAGCACCGAGCATGTTCCAGATTATATTCGTGACCTACGAACGCTATGTCATGTTAGATCGAAGCTTGAAGATGTGATTCATGTATTTGGGGAAGCGATGGAATGGCCAATACCTCCCTCAGAAGTATCAATCGCCTCTTCTTTTATATCCGTTTCCGCTCCTGAACCTGGTGCTCAAAATCACAGCCGCGAAGAGAAAGGGCGCGAGGTAGCCCAAAGGTTGAAAAATGAGGTCATGGAGCTTCTGGAAAGCAATGGTGGAGGCGAAGCTGGACTTCGAGAGGCTACATTACGCGTAGAATCCTTGCGTCAGCTGGCTGTTGTGTGGAAAGGCACCGTCGAAGAAAAGGCACGTAACAAATTTGTTGATAGCCTGGCGAAGGTAGTGGAAGACCGACGGAAGCTTCTTGAGGGCCAGGCAAGGGCTCGAGATAGTAAAGGATCTCGACAAAGAGGAGAACCCCCTGCGACTCTAAGCAGACAACCGTCAGATTTTGGTAAAGGGTCGAATCAAGAGAGTAGCGGTGGTGGTTTATTTCGAAACCTGCAGCGTTTAAGGGATGAGATATACCTAGACTAAATACTTCAAAATTTGCTACCCATAAATTTTTCTGAAAGGCATGTATTTTGGTGACCTAGTGGCGGTTAGGCAAGCATATCTTGACCGTACAGAATACACACAGCGACCAGTAGCCCTGAGGCAGGGCTCGAGATTGAAACATCGATAAACTATCGTCTCGAGTTCATGGGCGCTGGGTTAAACAGTTATCTAAACTCCACCAGATAATGCTAGAACTGTTCAACCTCCAAGCCAGAAGTATAGTACATCTTCTCATTATCTCACCGGAAGATTCCTCACTTCTTCGTCCCCAACGTCTCTCTTACAATTCTTAGGATTGCAGTGACATCCTCATTCGTCAGCCTTTCCTCTCTATCTTCGATGACGGTGTCTAAAAGCGCCAGCGCCCCATAATCCGCATCATCTGCATCGCCCATTTCCACTTCATCCGCCTCTCCAGCGGTGACGTCCCCGTTTGCAAAGCCATCATGTGCCACTTCACCATCGCCTACGGCAGCTGTATCAAGGCCAACTCCAAGGTTTATGATGGTTAATACCTCTCCTTTCGTAAGACCAAAGGGCTTCAAGTCCTTTATCAAGTTTCGCAAGGCGATATCGAGGTCAGTAGGTTCGGCATCAAGCGAGCTAGGTTGGGAAGCATCGGAGTCGGATTTTGGAGTAAAGCTAGGGTATTTGAGAAGATGTGGCGAAAGGCGTGTCACGTAGTTATGCAGCTAGAGAACGTCATATCACATTAGATATATCCCTTGCCATCTCGAATAACGAACGAAATACGAGGCCATGGAAAAAACCAAGTCAATTTTATAGGCGGAGTGCCTAAAATCCAGATAAAGACCAACCCTCCCTAAGTCACCAAAGGTGCTATTGTCTTCCATTGTTCATCTCCAAAGCGTATACAAAACTCACTTCTTTAATGACAGTATTGTGATCCCTAAGATCTGGGCGGGGAGTGAAGTTGCGCGCATTGGGCGGAGGTTGCGGAGATCGATGGGGTGGGTTTAAGGTGAAATGCGCAAGCACTTCGACGTTGGTTAGTATCGCTGATTGCGGTTCGAGAATCTAGAGAATCTGGATTAGTATACAAGGCCTTAGCCGAGTTCCAAGCGAAGGGGGGCTTACCTTCATGTCGATTTTATGACGGGGCAGGAACTGTCGGAGGCATACCTATCGATGTACTCCGTACGAGGGGTAGGTTGAAAAAACAAAGTTAACAAAGGACGAGTAGTTGTTCTACGTAGGTATCTTAACGACAAATGAACTTTGGGCCTATATGGACTTGATTGGGTCGTTGACATGCGAGAAACGCTTCAAAGTATTAAATATAATGACATTTTTTGGTTACTTTATGGTAGAACCTATTCAAACAAATTACGACCCCAAGCGCCCCAACCCCAAACAGCAAAAAGTCACAAAAATATCTCCAAATGCTCCAAGAAAGAATCAAAGACAAAGGCAAAAATAGCGTAATATCATACAAGAAATTCCAAGTCAAGCTTCATGGGTTCATGCCTTGCTCTTCTTCTTCTTCTTTTTCTCGCTTTTCGACTCTCCGACATCTTCATCTTCTTCTCGCTTGCGCTTCTTGCCGGCATCTTTCTCAGCGGCTTTGGCGGCCTTTTTAGCTTCCTTTTTCGCCTTCTTCAAGTCTTTCTTGCTCACTGCAGTCGGGTTTCCATCCTCATCAAAATTGATTTCGCCGCGCTCGAGTTTTCTCTGATACCTCTTGACACTAAGGCCTGCCTTTGCAGCCAGCTCTTCGACATTGGCCTTATCTGATTTCTTGTGTTTCGATTCCTTTTTCTCTTTTTTAAACTTTTTGGGCTTTTCTTCCTCGCTCTCCGATTCGTCAGAATCAACAGCGCCATTGACTTCCGCCTCCGATTCAGACTCCGATTCAGATTTTGATACAACATCCTTCATTTCAGCGTCCTTGATTTCCTTTACAAGCTTCTTCTCTTTTTTCGATTTCTTGCTAGGTCTTTCTGCTGCAGCAACTTCATCACCAGCCATACCATCAGCATCGGGGTTGTATTTCCTAGCTTCCTTGATCTCCCATTTTTTCGGTTGGTCAATCGAAATACCATTTGGATCCACAGCAACGCCCCTTGGTTTGAGTGGTTTGCCTTCTAAGGCTGCCAGCCTTTTCTCAAGATAATATCTCGATTGCATACCGAGGGCAGATCTCTCTTCTTCCGTTGGCTCATTGCCATCGGCATCCTTCTCCCACTCAGCAAGAGCATCCACACGTAGACCAAGAGCAGCCTTAGCGGCCAATATACGGGCCATTTTGCCCTTGTTCTTACCAGTAGCTTGGCCAATTAGGGAGGCATGGTAGATCAGACCATATTTTGGGGTGTCGTGTTTCGTTTTCAGAGCTCTAAACAACGCTTTCTCAGCTCCAAGAATCTGAATCGTACTGGCAGGGCTCTTCGACAGATTAACCAAACTTCCAGCATGAGCAATGAGTCTCGCGCCAACCAGTTCACCAACCAAAGTAGTAAGATTAGGGGCGATTGCATTCATACGAGCTGACAGATAGCTCGCTAGTTGTTGACGGTATTCTGCGAAACCAACCACTTGCTCCGCTAGGGCATGAATATTGTCCAGATCCTCATCGCTAATTTCAGTACCCATTGATCTGTTCGCCGCGGCTTTAACAGCAGCTTCAATTTCCTCGGGGAGAATTTCACTCAAATCTGTCGAGTCAGAATTTGAACGCATGCCCATCTTTAAAACAACCTTTGCGTATGCCATGTTGTCATTTAAGATTTTGGCCATTTCCGGGAAATGCCACCCGTACCATTCCTTTACTCGCATCGCATATGTATTCAGCTCCTTGTCAAGGTCGTCCAATAAAGCAATTGCCTGGACAATCATCGTATCAATCTTATCGGGTGAAAATTTCAGTTTATGTCTTGCAAGAGAATGGGAGAGACCAAGCGCCATTGTGGACATATCATTTGGCAAAAGTCCTGGAATAAGAGTGGGAAGGTGTGCTCGGATGGCACGGTAGAGATCGGCTGTTGTGGAATCGGCAATGGCTTGTATTGAGATACCCGGAAGTTTTCCAATTGCATTTCCTAGAAACAACAGAAAGAAACGTGTAAGTAAAGCTGGTACGCTGCAGATGAAGGCATTGCGTAATATGAGAACATACCAAGCTTCGGGTCAGCAACGGCCAAGGAGACCTTCTTTTCGTCTTTGATAGTTTCTAGAAGACTAGCTAGTCGAGGTGTGACCTTTCCTTCCATTAAAGAAGCAACTTCTTCCAGAGCTGTCGCTGCGCTATCAAACTTCTGGAAGTTCTTCAATTTCATTCTATAGCATAGTGGTTAGCCATATTGTGCCAGGCAAACAAGATCGGAGAAGGTGGCACTTACAAATTTGAGACACCTTCCGCTGTCTGTGTCTCAGCTTCCAAGTCATCTCGCTTGAGTAACTTCTTGTCCTTCGCCTTGAGCAGAGCATAGCCCGCGCTGGTCTCCGTGAGAATGAAAAGCGTCATCTTTGCGGCTCAAGCGGGACAGTCGGCACCGCCTTCCGCTTTAGAATAACACACCGGATAGGAAGGCAGCTGTTTTGGTCGAATGTCTGCTGTGTTGCGCTTTGCTGTGTTGTGTCCGTGTTGTCGTGTGTTCGCAGCTTGCTCTTGTTGCTGGTTTTTTTCTTTCTTCGAAATTTTGGATTTTTGCTGCTGTATTATGTAATCGCGCACACTCAAAAAACGCTGGCGATGACCGTACAGTACGTCAACATTACGTCGGTCTTATTGGACTAGCGAGAGCTTGGCTGCATTATGTAATACAGCAACGGACTGGCCGCTTTACTGCGCCGGGCAACGCTGATGACCAGCTTCAATGGAAACGAGTCGCTGCAGCAGCTATGAATGGTGCATCGCAACCGAACTCTCGATAGCATATCGGAAAATTAGTTGAATCGTGATGGAGGGTCTCTATTTCAATGTGGATGGAGGGTGAGCCCAGACTACAACGTTGGTTCACCTACTCGCTCTGACCTTGTGCATAGATACGTGGAGGGCATCGTTCGAGGTTACCGCAATAATCTCCTCAACCAACAGAGTTATGGCAACTTAACGCAATGCGACACAATTGATGGTATATAACTCTACTGCCGTTCTACTATAGCCCCCGTTATCTAACCATCTTTAACCTAGATGTCAAACTTCAACTTGGCCCTGCATATGGCGACTTCCTTGCCTCTCTTCCTCCGAACCCCTCAACCTCCTCCCTCGCCAGCAAAACGACAGAAAAAATGGTCGCTGAGTTTCGCTACTTACAAGCTCAAGCCAACGGATCTACAGCCAAGTTCATGGAATACTTGACTTACGGATATATGATCGATAATGTTGCTCTTCTCATAACAGGAACTCTGCATGAACGAGACACGAGAGAATTACTTGAAAGATGTCACCCGCTTGGGTGGTTTGAAACGATGCCTGTTCTTTGCGTCGCAACAAACATGGAGGAGTTATATAACTCCGTTCTTGTCGAGACCCCTTTAGCGCCCTATTTTAAAGGGAGCCTGAGTCATCAAGACCTTGATGAGTTAAATATCGAGATTGTGAGGAACATGCTATATAAAAATTACCTAGAAGATTTCTATCGGTTTGTAAATACGGAACCCGATCTCAAAGATTCCCCGACGTCAGAGGCTATGTCGGAAATATTGGAGTTTGAGGCTGATCGTCGAGCTATTAATATCACCCTCAACTCCTTCGGCACCGAGCTCTCGAAAAATGAAAGGAAGAAACTGTACCCTGAGTTTGGAAAATTGTATCCCGAAGGATCCTACATGCTTTCACGAGCAGAAGATGTAGAAGGAGTCGCCCTTGCGGTCAGTGGTGTTGGTGATTATAAAGCCTTTTTTGATGCTGTTGGGTTGAACCAAGCCGGAAATAACAGTCTTGGAAATATGGCTGGTGGTGCGGGAAGCGATGGAAAGAGCTTGGAAGATATGTTCTACCATAAAGAAATGGAGCTCTCGAAACTCGTATTTACCCGTCAGTTCACGCCAGCGGTAGTATATGCTTGGGTAAAACTAAGAGAGCAGGTTGGTTTTCGCCGCTTGCAACGACACCAGGTTTGAGATTTTGCTGACCTTTCATAGGAAATCCGAAACATCACATGGATCGCCGAATGCATTGCTCAGAATCAGAAAGAAAGGATAGGAAACTATATCAGTGTCTTTTAGATACTATATTTCAGCGTATTTTCTAGTGATATATTACATGTTTGGGAAATAATTCTAGGTATATCAGCGCCTTCTGGCTTCATCTGTTTTAGTGTTAATTCTTTTTGGTGTTCAATGTTTTTTTACTCGAGACACTATCTGTAGAGTAGATACTACTGTCAGCCTTACAGCACTTTTTCAAAACTTTTGGTTGCTTTTGATCGGAACATACTGAACCCGAGTTTATTTGTGTACCGAGTGATATCAAATGGGGTTGGTTTATGTGGGTTATTTAAATAGCACTATACACAACAAGCTTCTTGAACAAGGCTGGAAAAATCTTTTGGGTCACACTTTGCTGATGGCAAGTTCTAAAAGTTCGCTCCCAGCAAAATCTTGCGGGACGATAGAATTATTATATACAAAATCGGCCTCAAAAAGGTGGACACCCAATATGCAGGTATGCCTATGTATATATGTACAAAGTTTGTCGGCAAATATCCGTAGCATATATCAACAGAGTTGTCGGCGTATATTGTACCTTCCAGGGAATCAAATTAACATTGAATGACATAAAAATGTCTCCATACAGGACGGAGTTTAGTTGTGTTCTAAGAAACAATCTAAAACAGGATATCCAAAATATTTTGCCAAGTTTATCATTGTACATACGTACGTATGAAGGAAAAAAAGGCACATTAATGAAAGTCGAGTCGAAGAGTGCTGTATAAAGAAGGGAAACAAGAAATATAGCGGTCCGACCACCTCCATCCAGCACTTGGTTAAAAACATGGTCTCTTTTATCTCCCGGCATTTTTTTCTCGATCAACTCATCTGAAGAAACAAAACAGCTCACCTCCCTGTCTAACTGCATTTATGATGCATCAGGGCAAGCACGCAAAAGTAAGTGCAAGTAAAAGAACGACAAATCGGGGAATTTACGAGAAATAGTTCCATGTAAACAACATGACGTGAAAAACAAATTGCAAACATGTAATGAGATTGCGATTAACGTTAGACTTGGGGCGGAGGGCCTCAAGGTCACAGACATCATTATGTTTGCTGAAGGTATTGCATCGGGAATAAGCAAACTGTAAAACATGCGGGTTGGGTTTATTTCTGAAGCGAGTGAACGGATGTTTGAAGAGTGGCGACACTTGCTCAGTCATATTGAAAGAGAACACTAATGCTTTCTCCATGGTGAACACGACGAATAGCCTACAATTAAGAGCAAGGTTAGCTCCTGAATAGATATATTGCTGTAGCGAAGGGAAAGTTAGGAGTACCTCGGCAAATACATGGCCGACTTCCAACACTTCTAGCTTTGGGCAGCGCTTTAGATGGTCATCCTGATCAACGGTGTTGGTAACAACGACCTTGTCGAGAGCACTTGCATTTATTCTGTCAATCGCGTCACCGCTAAGAATGCCGTGTGTGACGAGAGCATAGACTTTCGATGCACCTTCTTTCTTCAGCAGTTTAGCGGCGCGGGTAATGGTATTAGACGTATCAGCAAGATCATCAATTAAGATGCATGTACGGTCCTTCACATCACCAACTAGCATCATGGTAGCGTTTTGTCTGTCTGTGATCTTGGTGGGACGACGTTCCTTTGCGCAGAAACCTGTTAGTCTGATCAAGCAACAGCGAGACACGTCAGACCAAAGATACCTTGTGGATCAATGCAAATTCCATCCCCAGTGAATCCGCAATCGCTGTAGCTCTCTTAGCACCACCGGCATCGGGACTCACGATGATACAGCTTTTGTACTTGAGGATGTTCTCCTGGATGTATTTCTTAAGCAATGGGCGACCGTAAAGGTTATCGACGGGAATATCAAAAAAGCCTTGATACTGAGGATCATGTAAATCCATTGTGATAATGTGGTCAGCACCAGCACAAGTAAGTAGATCAGCCACAAGCGTTCCAGCTTGGGCTACCCATTGTCGGTATCCCGGGCGGGGTTGGAAAGAGCCCATTTTCGAATGGTTCGATACAATACTCGCGGCATCTTCTTGTGAGCCGGCACCGCTCATATGAGCCGAAGTTCGATTGCTTTTCATGACTGCTTCAAATCTGACAGAATCTAGCGTGTCGCTGCGCTTAGGAACGCCATTGACGTAATGGGAGATCCTTGCTTTTTGCGGGCTCGAATTATTAGAGCCATCTCGGTCTTCAAGCTGCGCCATGGCAAGACCTTTCTGTAGTCCATCAATACCATTTGTGAGGCCGAGGCTGTCAGACTTCCCGGGGTGCGGGGTCGGAGGGGTGCTTTCGAAGGTATAGGGAGCTTGAGAATCGGTTCTGGCGAGAGAGGACTTCACAAGTGGAGCTCCGGCTTTGTTGTATGGAATATCACTCTGGCGGGAGTATGGGAAAAGTGGGAGCACGGCGGTGACTCGCTTTGCCGAGGCCGTTTTGCAAGCTGATATGGTAATCAGAAGCTCCATGAGGTGGTCGTTGACCTTTCCTCCGCCGGATTGAATGATATATACATCTTTTCCACGGACGGATTCGTATATCTCCACCCGAGTTTCCCCAACGGAGAATTTGGAGAGCAAGACGTCAGCTGCAGGGATCCCGAGCTGGTCGCAGATCGTCTTATTGAGATGTGGGTGCGAGGTACCGCCCAAAACAACAATATTTCGAACCATCTAGATGGAATAGTTGTCTGAGACGAGCGAAAATACCCTGGAAGACAGAGGAAAATACGATCAAGTGATGTTGAACGATGGCAATTACTGACTACTTTGGCAAGTCGTGAGATAACCCAGAATGGTCGACAGCTGAAGGCTAAGTCGGGTTCAGAATCAAGGAAACAGACAGACGGGATGGTAGTATCAGAATAACAAAAGTCTCATCTCATCGCTGGGAGTAACGGCGAGAGATGAAGGCAGGCAAAAGAGGAGGGGCCATGGTGAGTAAATTAGAATTTTGGTGGGTTTGCTTGGACTGCGCGATCAAGAAAAAAGCGAAGAGTTTTAAATAGAGTTGACCGGCGGCTGATTGGGTGATCCGGGTTATCGTCGCGCCGACAGTCAGATAATACGTCCTAGGCCGCACCGGGACTAGCGCGATAGCTAGAGCCTCGACGGCAAAGTTGAGCAGTGGATGAACGGCCGAATTGTCAATGCTCCATGATATCCATTGCTTCACCGTTGGTAATAGTACATGTACTTGAAAACATTATCATCAAAGAAGTATGCAAATTCATCATCACATTCGTCAAGACGGAGAAAGCAGAGCTATGGCGGTTAACTAGTCTCCAGTATCTACTTCCCTACGAACAGTTAGTACCTAGTGTGTCGCACAGTTGGGGGAAAGACGGCTCACAAATCAAGCTGCACGCCATTGCTAACTCCATAATCTTCCAGCGTCAACTGGTCCTTGAACGGCCGCTCTCCTTGCCGCTTTAAAAGAATTTCGTGCGGTTCACGGCCTATTCGGGCAGCGACTTGGGCTTTGAAGAGACCTAAAAAAGAGTGTGTTAGTAAATGTGGAAATAAAATGTAAAATAGGACAACGCGTCTGAACCCCGATGACAATCAACTCAAGTGGTAGCCTTACGGATTGGGTCAGAGGCAAGGCAAGGAATCGCTGCCTTGGTGCCTAGTCTGTCATTAACATGAACGACGATCATGGGTTCTGATGGGGCGGCAGGCTTCTTCTCCTTCTTCTCTTTCGGTTGTGGTTCTTTCTTTTCATCGCGGTCCCTACTCCGATCTCTCACCCTTTCCAAATCGCGATCTTTGTCTCGTGGTCTTCGATCGCGGTCAGCATCGCGGTCTCTCTCCCTGCCATTGTCGCGTAAACCGTCACGGTCCCGGTTTCGATCGCGCGGAGGTGACCTTCTCGATCGGTACCCGCGCTCTAGGCCCCTTTCGGGTTCCCGGGCTGAGTCGTCATCGCGGCGAGGTTTTTCCTTCCATCGAAACCCGCCTTGCTTCTTGCGTCCTCTGTCCCTGTTTATATCTTGATTATTGTGGTCATTGTATCTGCGATGAGGTGATTGACTGCGACTCCTGGCTCTTCTATCTTCTCGACGGGGGGACGGACAACGATCAATAGATCGGGGCATCGAAGATGAAAGGGGGTGGGGGCGGGAGCCGTAGCAAAAGTGAAAGCATAAGAAGATATCGGGGGGCGGGCGTGGTCACGCGGATTTGTAAATGAAATGCCTTGGGTAACGAGGTTGGGCAGCTATGGAGTGGGGAAGCCAACGCCAACAGAGACCTGGAGAATGCGTGGAGGGCGCACGTGTACCTCAGCGTGGGAAAGGAGCGGCAGTTCGCGTCAGCAGAAAGTTTCCAGGGCGCGGAACAACAGGCCAAAGAGATGCAACCAAAGCAGCCCAGCTCGATGATGAATAATGCCGGACCTCGCTCTGGATTACCTAATCCCGCTTCTACCTTGCTTTGTCAGCCGTTTACTAATACCCGATTCAGTAGCCGGCTATATCCGCCCAGCTTCGACCCCAACCTGCGCCTTTACTACTTAAATGAATCGTGTCCACCGACCTCAGCGTTCTGAAGCAGGCCGTCCACTAGTGCATTGATCAGCTATGAATGAGCCCAATAGGATAACATATCTATAATTTTGCGACCCAAAATTAACACTCTAACAACTACCCGCGCCACCCCCCCTTTTACTGTCCCCAGTACAGCATAGAATCTGATGATGGGAAAAGTTATATCAAGTCATAATCCATGGAAAAGGCCTTTTCTATTATGAGAGAGAGTAAGTGACAAACAGAAGAAGTCCGTTTGTGGTTATTTCAACACCGTCAACCAGCCAGGTTTTTTGAGAGATTGTCTCGGTTGCGATTAGGTGGTGATTCAAACATCTCTCTGGCAGTCTTGCCAAATTCTTGAAGCTCCGGGTGGTCTTCAAGCCGTATAACGCAGGGTCCTCCTCGGGGAATAGGATCCACCCTTCTCTCATATCGGTCGCGATATATATTCAAGTCTCTAAAGGCGGTATAGCCGTCAATTTTTCTGGCTCCAGGTTCGCATTGAAATGGAAGCCGAAGTTTTGACTGTTCCTTGTTTCCAGGGTAGCCAGCTCGGCTGAATGCGTCAAGCTGGTGCTTGGCGAGCTGGAATAAAGCGGATGAGTATTGAGGATGGATATACGCTGCGTTGCACTAAAATCGTTTCCAACCGGAGTTAGTATACACAGATGAATTCATCTGCTCCTATACGGAGTAATGTTCAGATAAAATAGCTCCTATGAAGTACGGAGTATGGAGTACTCTAGCTAGCCAGAATGAACTTTGGCTCACCTGCCTAGTCCCTTCATTCGGCCCTCGATCAAATACAACGACACCCCCAAAGATGTGTGTTTCTGCCCAATAGCCAACGACGTCCAAAACACCACGGGAGTAACGGCCAGACACAGTATAGCACATGGTAGACAGGGATACACTATTAGCAGGGCAAAACTGCTTCTGATTAACATCAATAGTGTGGGGTTCACCATTAGGGTGGAACTTGTGGAACAGATTTCCAGCCATTTCATGAATTATGATTACAACCAGTTCCAGCAAGTGCATATTAAAGAATGATGAGAAAACCTTTGAGTCTTGAAACTGCTGAGCAACCTATCATGTCTATTAGTAAACCCACAGCGGTGTAACATCGGGACTCAAACCTTTGTATTCAAGTTCAGATTATCAAGTATCTCAGTGCAGTTACAGAAATTCTGAGCAAGCAGCTTCGCTTTTTGTGAAGGCCTAGAATGTGATAATAGGTCAAACCGATGCGTTATTGTGAGTTCGTATGTTTCGCTGATGGGAAGGCCATCAATGACCTGCGCAAAAACGTCCCTTGTAATAGAAGTTTGCAAAACAGCAGAGAGAACACATTTCAAAATCTCGGCCCTCTTCTGCTCGATATCATCAATATGAATCATACTTAATTCGCTGAGGAACACTATGGTGTAATATGGGGAATGCGTAGGAGGGTGGTGTTCAGCACGAACTGCCTAATGATCTATGGAAAGAAAGCCTTGGCGAAGACCGTTCACAAATCTTCGGGGAGGGGAATTAATTATCCAAGAACATCCATCCACTTCCTCGCAATTTCTATTCCCTCTGCTAAAGTCCCGACCCTAGCATCAATCGCGTACCCCTCCTGCTCCAGTCGCCGCGTCTCTGCAAACAAAGTCCTAAGAGGCACCGTAAAGCACTCAATGAACTCGCTTTCTTCCAGTTGCGGCTTGGGGTTCAAGTTATCAGCTAAGGACATGTCCACACGCACATGTACCATGTTGAGATTTGTATTACAAAAGCCAGGGTCTAGTCGTTAGTTGGTCAGTTAAAATTAGCCTCCTACTTTTCAAAGAGTTTTGTCGGGCCCTGGAAAGACACGAAGACTCTTGGAAAACGCTCCCCCGTGTACTCCGTACATACCATTCCACATGATTGGGCTTCTCTGCTCTGCAATCCCAACATATCCAGTCTCCTCTTTTAGTTCTCTAACCGCGCATTCTTCTGGCGTCTCTCCCGCGTCAATAAGACCGGCAGGGACTTCGATAGCTATCTTATCGACAGGTGGACGGTACTGTTTTTGAAGCAAAATTTCTGGGCCAGTCGGTTTTTGGAGAATAGCAACAATGCCTACGCCATCAATTGGACAATCTTTGGGCCGTGTCTATAAGAAATTTAGATTCAGCCTCTTAGTAGCGAGGGTAAATAATGGGGAAATTTGGCAGTACCTGTCTTTCAGCACTCTCCCATGTCCGTTTCTTGCCCTCAGGATCCTGATAAGTGCATTTCATAAGCCGAATCCAACGCGCTTGAGCGGGGTCCTATCGGTAACAGAGGCTTCCCAAAAATGGGCAAGCCAAAATCAGCAACTTTATGATCATGTATATATTGAAAAGGGGTATATATTCCTCTCAAAAATCCAGAGCGCAAACAAGAAGAGAATTGCGAAGAGTCGCGTTCTCCATGGGCGGAATGGCTTCCCGAAGGAGTGCAACCCACAGGCTATGTGGTATTTGCAGAGGAAAACAGTATGTCCCAGGAATAGTTTAAGGAGATATGATATTTGATGTCTTACCAAAGGCTCCATAGAGAGAATTTTCTCTTTTTTCACATTCTCTGGTCTGGCTGACATGGTGGTCGATTTACTAGTGGGGTATGTTGCGTTCTGGATGGCTACAGGAAAGCAATGTCCTGATCAGCGATATGTCGTTAAATACTATTGAATCCACAAGGAATAATCCGATTGTCAAATAGCTGGACTGGAAGAGAACATACGGCGAATCCTGTCCTAGGCGGAATGTACCTACAGATTGCTTGTCTGTCCAAGCAGAAAATATTACTAGGGGTGCTTTTAGGCTAAAATTAGGAAACTACGTCACCAAAAATTCCCCGCAATCATTACAGTCAATGCCGAGAACAGTACCATCACTTTTTTTGCCTACTAAGTGGTAGGACGATATGTATTTATTATAATTTCAGTCTGTGTTTAAATTGTGTATGCTATGGTTCGAAGGCAGAGTGGTTGGTTCGGCAGTGTATTCTTGGACGAGCCGACTGTCCTCGTTTTCTGAGAGTAGCGCTTCATCATGACGGCTGTTTGGTTCCTCACGCGCTGATTCACCAAAGAATACACTGTCAATAGTCTCAAATGGTGGCGGCACCAACTGGTTTCCTCGCAAGAAAAATTCCAGCCCGTTCAGAACAGAAAGTATTTTCCCATCATTAGTTCGCAGTAGATGTTTTGGCGGCTTGTTTACATCCTGCAGACTCGAGGCACGGGGCGGAACTGTATATTTTGTTTTAAAGGCAAAATCAAAAAGAGGATAAGACGTGATTTCAGGGAGATTCTGTCGGCTAATAAGTAGCCACAGAAACACGGCCCAAATAAAGGAGAGCACGACAGATTCCAAAACCAGAAATGCAATGAACATAGAAGTGTTCAGCTTGATTCTAGTATAAGGGGTGGCAATTGCTGCTTTAGTATAGAATTCTAGAGGCAAAGACGGTGTTATTTCCTGGGCTGATAGCTCGACATTGCCGAAGTTGTTCGGATTGAATTTCCAAAGGGGGAAAGTTAGAATGCTCTGAAAGGTCTGATACAGTTCACGAGACCAATACTGATTGCTAAGTTGCTGCTGACCGCTCCAAAAATGCCCTGCGATAGATGATGACGGGGGTATTGCCGCCATATTGAAATCAAGGAGCCAACTTAGTGCAGCTTTTAAGCCAATGAGATCAATACCAGTAGTTAAGATTGGATCGCGAAGTTCAGAGACAGATACAATGCTATAGTTTGACCGTGATGCTGCAATGTTTGCTGTACAGCTATAAATCGTAAATGTCGTTTTTAAGTTAGGTAGATTTGTTCCATTGCATTGGCCATCTTGGATACCTCTAGGGCATACATATAAAGCTAACAGTTGTTTAGCTGTGTGTTTTATGGGGGTATTTGAGCGATATTTACCTGCTATCACTGATCCGTTGACTTTGCGACTATGTGCCAAACATAGCTTTATCCCAATCAAGGATGACTGGTCGCCAAACATAGTGCAATCATCATATAGAAAGGACTCACCTTCGTCTATGTTTCGCCTGAATTCAATTTGGGTCGAGGGCACATTGTATATTTGTATCACAGAATGTGATGGGTGATCAGTAGGCGGCCACGGGGTCGTCATAACGAGACCACCGCTTAAGAGGTACGAGTCGCATCCATCCTCTTTGCAAGAAATTGGCGGTATTATAACGGAATGCATCGGATTGACAACTAAATTGTAGGCCGTAGACAGTGTGGTATATGATATGATCCGATATGGATACTCTGGAGTAAGATTTTGGAGCTTTTGCAGGTAAGGTTCGACAAATGAACCATTGAACTGGCCTACACCAGCCGTGACATTATAAGAATATAGAGCGTCATAACCAGTCGCCAAGGAAGTATTTGCTACATTTGATCTTAGCAGAAATATACTCGATATAGCGAGGAGAAATCTCACCGAAAAGGAGGACTCCAGATAACCAAACAGCCGCCGTTAGAAAGAGTCTGGATTAAAACGCAGTTAGCTCCGTAGCTGAAAGCGTATTGACTCCAAATCTTGAAAGATTCGACGCATGGCAGTACCTCAGTGCAGGCCATAGCCTATCAAGAATTCTCGCCCCTTTTGCGAAGACGATTTGTGTAGCTCCCCAAGCCCCAGTTGTTGGAGTTAGTCCAAGAAGGCTTAAGAAATAGAGACCCCCATTTCTCCCAGTCAGGGCCCATTGTATCAACTCAAAGGCTTTTGCAAGAGCAATTGTTGAGCAGGTTGATAGAAGACCCTGCGAAGTACGAAGCCATGTAAGCGTCGAGCTCGTCGAGAATTTTGCTTGTGCAATCCAAGCAGTAATACTGAACAAGGCTGTTGACAATAGGCACCACAAAAGCAGAAGAGTTAGAGGGGAGTGTCCGATATTTTTAAACCATGCTTTTATTTTCTTTGGGGTATTTGGCTTAGTGTTATTTTTCTGAGAATCTTCCTTCATAGTGTCGTCAGCATTCGTCGGAAGAGCGTCTGCCTCCTGTTCCATAGGAACATAGTTTGCCATTATCTGAAAAATTCATGTCAGTTGGGCCACGCGGGAGCCCAAAGAACAGTTCTTTACCTGGTTAGGGTAAAGAGAAAGTCACTTCAATGTACTCCGTACAGACCGAGCAGTGAAAGCATCGTATCAATCAGGCTGGCATGGAGCTTCCAAAAATAAAAAAGAAAAGAAAAGAAAAAGAAGACAGCGAAATCAAAAAACAAGAAATCTCGCACGAGGCTGCTGCGACCTCAATAAATTATTTTTCATCCAATCATCTTGAAGCTGGCCCGCTGCATTTTAAATTTGGCGAGCAGTTTAGCCCTCATGACTTCGGATGCCCATGTCGCACCGGGAACGGCAAGACGGCCGGACACTCGAGCCTTCAGGCTTGCAAACCAGCCGGAGCTGCTGGGAATCAGCCAGGGATCTGGGCTGCATTGACGCCCAATCATTGGCCAATTCAATTCAACGGATGGCAGCTATTTCTGCAACGCTAGGCTGGCGCAAAACGCTGGTATATCAGTGGGTGGAAATCGGTATTCAAAAATAAGCTTGGGGGGGCCAAAAGGGAACGTCTGAAAAAGAATAGACAGAAGATACCCCATAGTGGGTTGATTTCTTCTTATTGGAGAAAGATTTAAATAGCCCTGTCACTCTTGAGAGCGTTGAATTTTCTGGCTGGAAACTACTTTCTTAGAATCAGTTCGTTGCATGTTGATCTTACATGCTGTCTGCATATCAATACCTCTTCGATCCTGATTGTCAGTTTCTTTAAAAAATATAATTTACCGATTTGCCTTTGGTTCCCAAAATCCTGTTTGAAAGGACTATGATCTTTTAAAAGAATTCAAAGGCGGGGAAGGTGTTAGGCTACTCGCGTAGGGTGGCTGTATGGAGCCGCAAGATAATTCCTTTTCCCGCGGACAGCGCTTGTCAATGTTCACAAACATATAAGGTCTTGCTTTTCTCAACCACATTCCTTAGCCTCGACAGATCTGATAATCTATAAATTTTACCCTAATACAAAGAAGAAAATGATTCTCTTCAGCTGTATTAGTGTACTTGTTGCTGCCAGTCTCGGGGCAAGTAGGTGATGAAAGACTCGTCTGGGAACTAGGCCTGTTAATAACTCTCTTCATTGTAGCGCAGAAAACCGGCCATGATACAGTGGCGTACAAAGCGTTTGCAGCACGCCAGGCCCTCCAGCGATGCACGCCATCTTGCAGTGTGAAGGTCGGAGTCCAGCACGAATACAGGTGGTTCCCTATGCCAATTTCAACTACTATCGTGGCGGCCACAATTGTAAAAATCGTCAACACGGTTAAAGGCACGACTCGAACGTCCACCATATATAATAGTCTGCCGAGCGGATACACACTCCCGCCCACAAATTCGGACGGGAAACAAGTGTCAACTCTGACATACACTCAGCAAGGGTTAGCTAAGACAACGGTCCTGTAAGTCCAGCGTCTTTGTTCACCTTGCGCCCGCTTCTGCTGACGAAGTGATCAGTACATTTCCCACAAGCTTCGTATCCTGGCCGGATGGATATACCTGGAGCGGCACGCTGCAAACCAAATCCAACAACAAGGAGACATGCGTGACGGCATCGACGCCCGTATACGTCCCCTTTTCATCGTTTCCTCAGCCTCAAGCGACCGAAACGCTGAGCCACCCGGCAGGCCCGGACCCGAACGGCCTTCTTTTCAAGATGAAGTCAGTCGTCGCGGGGTTTGACGCGTACAAGAAGGAATTCAAGGACCAAGCCGCGCTGCAGACGTGTTCGATCACACCCTGGCCGGCGCCTCTGGTGGTGGAGCCCACAGCACAGTTTCTCAGCGAGACTTCGACCTCGTTTGAAGGAGACCAAGCTACATCGTATGTTGACTGCTCCCCGCGAAGCGTAGACACGACGATGCTAATCATTTGCAAAGGTCTTCTCACAGCGCCACCCCGCCCAAAGTCACACCTTCTGCAGCGTCGTTGTCAGGGTCCCCATATTCCATGCTCTTGCACCTTGGTATTACTGCGGCGGTGAGCATCGCGGCGTATATGTAGGCCCGCGCAGTGGGTAAAATTGGAGAAGCTCGCAGGGGGGTCATTCGCTCGACGTGTCAGTACTCCATAGAGTAGTCCGTATTTGCAGTTGCCCGAAAATACTCCGTTGTCCGCCATCGCTCCCACTTCCCTTGTTGTGGGCGCACAGGGGTGCGGTTAGGCGAGCGGCCCGTGCTAGAGTTCATGGCTTCCGCAACCTAAAGCCCCGGAATAGCAGGGTCCAACCCTAATCTGGTCTTGCTCGTCGTGCCATCAAAAGACAGCTTCCAACTCCTTTTCCTGAAGGCCGCGATTGATTCTATGAGGTCTTATACATATGGCGCCGGCCACCTTTCATGTCCTTTAATAACTAATTCACTATAACGCCTTGCAACCAACCTAAATAGATTTCAACAGCTTGACATCACGTTCTACGATCTCATCCCTGTAGCTGGAAACAGACGATGATGAGGGAAAGGATTTGGAGCGTGACTATGTAGATGAAAAGTCTATTATCTGTTTCGGGTGACTAGCTATGATTGCTATCGAAGAACGACCAAACGACCCCATTCCTCTCCACAGCGGTTTAGTGAGTAACGAATTGAAGAATTTGACGCCGAGAAAAGAACCGTATCGCCTATCGCAGAAGTAAACTAGATGGAGAATCGCTGTCATAGCTGCCGTGTCTTTTCGTGACTGATAACAAAGGAAAAAGAGATGGAACACCTGGTGGAAAGTGTCTTCTCGAATGTCGTTTAAAGAGCCTCGATTTCAGCAAGGCACTTTTCGAATTCAGACCAGTTTTTCATAACAACCTTGCATCCCAAATCGGTAAGGACACCAGCCATCTCGGTCTGCTTCGCGGCTCCGTGGTAGCTGCCAACGTACGCAATGACTGGGATTCCAGCGCGAATGGCACTCAAAGCACCGCTCTTGCTGTCCTCAATAGCAACACACTCAGTCGGCTCCTTCTTCAACACCTTCATGGCATGCAAGTAAATAGCTGGATCAGGCTTGGTGGTGGGCTTCTCGAGGGAAGTTGCAGCACTGAAAACGTGGTCCTTGTCGAAAAAACGCTCCTGGTTGACCTTCTGGATGGAGGCGCGGACACGGCGGAGGGCAGAGGAAGAAACAACAGCGAGGCCGTACTTGCCAGACTTCTCAAGTTTCTCGAGCTCTTCGGTAGCTCCAACACAGGGCTGAGCCTTCTCAACGAGTTTGGCAATGACACGGTTTTCCTCCTCCTTGACATAGGCTTCGAGTTCCTCGGGGGCCATGGTGAAGTTGAACTTGGCTTGCAAGGAGACCATCATACCGCGGAAGTTCTGTCCAACAAAGTCGACGATGAGCTGCTCGCCAGTGTAGCGGTGGTTGATGTTGTTCTTCGCGAGGATCTCATTGGAGATATCGGCACAGGCCTCGAAGGCCAAGTCTTCAGACAGGACAAGAGTATTGTCACAGTCGAAAAGGATCTCAGTGATCTGGTGACAGAAGAAAAAGCGTCAGCTTAACGAGTCTCCTTGAGCAATTGCTAGGATTGACTGCTGGCTCGTGTCATTTCACAGACAGAGACTGAGCAAAAGCCAGCTGGCAAAGAGATGGTTGCAATGAAGCACAAACCTTAGGCATTGTGAATGATGGAGAGCTGGTTAGAACGTTCTGGGTTGTGCAGATGGATGATAATGGAGGATGATGAGCGGCAAGCAGAGCAGAAGCAGGTGGTTGATGAAGGAAGAGGAAGAAGAAGGCAAGGGGGCCAGCGAAGTGAGGTGAGGGATAATTCTGGAGAAGGTTTCCGGCAGAAGATAAACAAAGAGGGAGGAAAGTTACGTGAGTTGGAGGGGCAGCAGGCACCGTCACTTGGAGGGGGAGGGGCAGTTCTCAGCAGCAGCAGTATCACCAGCCTGTGCAGCAGCCGTGCATGCGCTGCTTGTGTCTGCCCTTCTTAACATCACTCCTAGCCGGTTAATGCCTGCAGGATTCCTGCGCGAGAAGCAGGGATTGTAGGCCAGCGAGTCTCCCGTTCTGCGAAGCGTCTCCGCTCTCCAGCGCCCCAGGCCAATCCACGCCCGGTTTCGTCGCCCTGGCCCCGTTGCCGCTGACGCGATGCCAGTCTGTGGACCAGGTGTTGGCTGCGGATAAGCTGGCACTCGCCCACGGTGTCAAACCCAGGTCCACATCGCGCGATGCTAGCCGGGGACATGCTTCATCCGCCAGTTCAGTGGACCGCCGTGCCCCTCTCCAAGCAAAATTCAACGTCAACTCGACGGCGACGACGCCGGCCGACGACGAAAGCCACCGTGCTATCGAGGCTCAGAGACGCTGAGCCTGTCAGTTTGGCCCCAGTGGACTGCACGCCGGACAGAGAGCCGCCACCGGCTCATCCCGCTGTGCGCGCAACGAGCGCTGCTGAGAGCGGGCTGCTCGCAGATCCCCAACACGTGTGACGCGCCATTCGCACCAAACCAGGGCGTGCGGTTTCGGGCTCCCAGGTTGGTCGCTGGCCATGGCGGCGCCCATTTCGATTACGGACATTGAGTTCCCGTCCCAGAGCCAGAGCCTGTCGCACATCTTGTCAGACCTTCGAAGATCAACCCTGTCCATCACGAACAGGCTAAAGTCCGTTGAAACAGATTCAAGATTCGTCCAAGAAGTGGCCGGCCACTATGGTCTGCCATTGGTCGCCAACGAGCGTTGTGGAAGCTGGTATATTCCAACCCAGCACAAGTCCGGCAGTGCATATTTCAAGAGCACCGATGGCCATGCAGGGCAGTGGGATTTCAGCCTCCGCCGGCTAAATCTACAGGTTTTGGACATTCTTAATGAACATGGGGGGTGGGTGCGCTGGTGAATCACGGTAGATGGAAGCAGCTAAACATCTCACAGATGTATCATCGTGGATTCGACCAGAAGGGGGAAATGTACGAAATTTAGGTCGTGTATTGCGCTCAGCATTGCTAACAATTGCCTTAGCAATGCCAGATGCCCTCTCGAAGACAGCTCCCATTTGGGCTGCTGTCATGAACAGAACCCTGTTTCCCGAGGAAATCGCATACCGCGATGTTCAGTTTCCCCCAAACTTTCTTGGTGCGTCTGAAGAATCGCAAATCCAAAGCCGGATTGATGGTTTTGTAGATCAGTTCAAGGTAAGCCTCCCAATTCCACGTACAGCTAAGGCAGTCTAACCTCCTTTCTAGAATTTGCAGCTTGACCTATGTAGCCTAAAACATAGAATGGGAAAACCCGCACGCATTGCATGGGCTACCAGGGATTACTATTATCCCGATTACTCAGACCGCAATAATTTCCATCTAATAGTTCTATGCTCGGCCTCGAGACGCGTGCGAGGCGCTGAGATGTCGGAAGGTGGGTATATCCAAGGAGCCGGAGATGACAGCGAAGGGTGGGCTTGCGGGCTCACGCCAGACCTCTTTTGGAAGCATAAAGGCATTTTGATGGATTCAAGAGAGGAAGATTTACCTGAAATAATTCGTGACTTAACTGAGAAACACCGTCAAACACCCTCATCTGAGGAAACAACCCTTATCGCGCCTACAGGAAACATTTTTGTTGGTAATCGAAAAATTTTGGACAAAAGAACTCGTGCTGTCGGCCTAATAATCGATTGTCATGGGGATCCAACCGTTTCACAGAACACACAATTCAATCTTGGATGCCACACAGGGAAGATTGGGAGCCGCGATTTACGAAAAGTTTTGGATAAAATTGAGGAATTTGTTTCCATTAACCTGAACAAAGACTCGTCTCAAAATTTAACTATAGTCTGTGACACTGGGAAAGATTTATCTGTTGGTGTAGCTCTTATGGTACTTTGCCTATTCTTTGGTGAAAATGGTAGGCACCTCACTTTCCGATATCCGTGACATTTTCCGGTATATATTCGCTGACGAGTTTAGGAGTCTACGCCCGCCAAAAGCGACAGGAACCCATAACTAAACAATATATCCGCCAACGGCTGGCATGGATAGTGTCGTCAAAACATGATGTAAACCCATCACGGTCAACCTTGCAGTCGATAAATTGGTATCTCATGGAACGGCGAGACTGAACTGCAATGGATCGATGCAAAGGCTGAAATCAGACAAAATTTCATATTCCTAACAGTGGCATGGGTATCTTCACATGATTTTACTCGTTTTCAACTGCCTGGACAATCGCCCCATCGGCGCCCATCTCCAAATCGTCAAGAGTTGTCATATCCTCGTCGGCAAGCCTGAAGTCATAGATATTTGCATTGGCCCTGATTCTCTCCGGATTGTCACTCTTTGGAAGAGGGACCCAATTCTTTTGCAGAGAATATCTCAGCAGAATCTGGGCTGTGGTCCTGCCATACTTATTCGCTAGATCTACTAAAACTGGCGCATTTCCTTTATAGTTTCGCACTAAGGGGCAGTAAGCCTCGATGACGATCCCGTGTTTTTTGCAATATGCATCAACAACTCGTTGTTGGCACCATGGATGCAGCTGAAAGAGGATATTGCGGTCAGAAAAAACCCTCAATGAACTGGGGAATTAAGCAATATGCTTGCCTCTATTTGGTTGACATGTGGCGGCCATATCTTCGCATACTGCTTCATCTCTTCAATATGCTTGGCCCCATAGTTGCTTACGCCGATACTGCGCGTCTTGCCTTCTTCCAGTAATTTTTCTAGGGCAAGCCACATCTCCTTCCGACCCGTCGCGCCAGCGCTCGCCGAATGAATGAGGAATAAATCAACATATCCATCCTCCCCACCAATTTTCCGCACACTATCCAATACTTTGTCATATGTCGCTTTCGAAGACCCCGCCGGCGTCATTATCTTCGTAGTCACGAAGATATCCCCCCTTTCGAGACCCGACGCGCGGATCGCATCGCCCACCTCTTGCTCATTAGCGTAAAATTGAGCTGTGTCGATGTGACGATATCCAGCTTCAAGCGCGGCTAGGCAGGAGTTTTCGCAAACGCTGGTAGGAGATTTGTAGACACCGAAACCAAGACGGGGGATTTTGACAGAAGATTTGGGGAGTGGGAGGACGTCAGTAATCGCGTATCCTGGCCTCATGTTGAGTTTTGCAAGGACGGGGTCACGGGGATGTTTCCGGGGGAAGCTGTTCGTTTGACAAGGTAGCAGGTGGGGTAGTCGACTCAACAGTAGTTATTTACCACTCCGTGCTCTGTGGAGCTTCGAGACAAGTCAGCGCAATTCGTGCTCTTTAATTCCGGACAGCAAGAATGTAAAATAGTGATTATTCCCTTTTTTTAAACAGTCCAATGGGTTGCGGAATTGGGTTGTGGCAAGTGACGTCTTTTCTGGCTCAGATTACGAAATCCACTCCCAATTGCATCATCACAATAAACAAACGCAAACGACCTCTGAGCCTAGCAGCATTATGCCAAAAATCATGCATCCTAGCAATATACTGAATTGAATCATACCCAACAGAAAATTACTGCTACTTGAGATGTCGGTTATCAAGGAAAATCATTTCCACTCTTCTTTGTGGTGTTGTGTGGGAGTACTGGTCTTTCAGTACTGGTCTTTCGGCCAAGTGGATGACCATATTTCGGATATGATAATAAAAAACTAATATACAGTCTCTTTCTTCAGTTGTTACAATGATCATCTATACTACTGCACAGGGAATCATCATTTGTTTTATACAAAAATTCTGATTTTTCCAACCGTTAAGGAGGGCTATTGGTATTTTCTTAACATTATGCCAGGTATGTTACCTTGGCTTCAGCTTACAGGCCGTCAAAGACCCTATGGCAAGTACAGAGTGGAAGACCGACTTGACCATTTTCTGCTAGTAAGCTACCAACCCTGTTTTTCAAAATCAGACAGCAACTGGAGGATCCTATCTTTTTCTCCTTGGCTGCCAAATATTGCCGGAACTGCAGTTCTGCACAAATCAACAATCGAGGAGCGATCAAGTTGAAAGTGCTCAGCCGCCAATAGATATTCATTAGACAGTGGGCTACCAAAAAAGGCAACATCATCCGTCTTTTGAAGTATTAGTCTTCTCGCCATCCTGTTTGCTTGAAAAACAAAAGGACTTACACAGAGAATCACTGGACAATCTTGATGCCTCCAATATCCAAAATGGTGATCGGGGAAACTCCCTTGAATGAGTTTTGCGTGGACGTTGCAAGACAGGCATAACTCCAGGGCCAGTCTACGTCGGGCAATCTCTTCCTTGAATTCATTGGGAACATTGATCACATGGCCCAACCTTTCGGGTTGAAAAGAGAGTAACGTCTCTAGCTCGGCCGGGCACGATGAGCTTGCTGTTTCTGCAAAATGCAGTGTCACATAGAGCCCATGCTCCTTTGCCCTGGCAAAAGCATCCTTGAATATGGACACATCTCCACGAGATGGGTCTCCGCTCAATTCTACAGCAACAACCCCACGGTGCTTGTACTTGACGGCCAAGTCCACGACTTCAAGAGCGTTTGCAGCCGATTTAGTCCTGTCAATAGAGAGGATCAAGTATGTTGACATTTGATCATTCTCGAATTCATCGATCACGTCGAGAACTGTCGACACATAATCATTTTTTGAAACTCCATGACGTTGGCTCTCGCGCGGTGTGGTTCGCAGCTCCAGATATCGGACTCCATCTTCTTGAAAGTCCTGCAAGACGCGACGTGTAGAGTATCGCAGCCCTTCTATGTCACTGCAAAGATGATATATCAAGTTTGAAAACATTGGAAAGAACCTGCTCGTAAGCAGTTGAGTCAGCTCGCCGAGTCACTATCGACTCTCCGATGTGAAAAAAAAATTTTGTACTTGCGTTTCAAGGTCAAAATCAACTTTGCCTTTTGGCATGACCTCCATTGGGTTTGGAATTGTACAGTTGATGTCCGACTCCTTTGCCCTGACCCAAAGCTCCTGCAGACATTCTCGGGATATACTGCCGCTCAGATGAGCGTGTAGCTAAAGGAAGGTGATTAACATTATGTTAGCAAGTTCCAGCATTGCGTATTAAAGCCCTGCAGGAACTAACTTCGATTTTTGGAAGTGCTTTTGTAAAAGCCAGGTCTACTGGCTGTTTCGACAACTGTACCATCTTCGTTTATATGCTTGCATGCTCGATCTTACGAGTTAAGGGGTAAAATAAACTCGATTTTCTCAAGCTCCCAGTAAGCACGGAGTAGTTGCTACATATGTGATTTACCCCGCACTTCTGGGTTGCTACGGAGATCGCCTACAGTCCGTTTCAAGGGGCCATTTGGCTCACACAGAGGTCGGTGAAGGGTCGACAGAGCCCAGAGAACTTTACATAAAGGGGAGTAACATATTTAGTATTGCTGAGCAGAGGGTATCTTTTTTTAAGTAGTACAAAATTTCTCATCCATAATCGTACAGCATTTTTTCCAAAGGTCTTCAAGGAACGATTACAACGAACTGTGCCATCTAATTCTCTCCCTTTTGAGGATCTTCACCACGCCCAGGGGCAGAGTCTTATCTTCTACTCCCGCGAGGCCACCGTATTTTTCCAGCATTCCAGGATGATACAGCTCCACAATACCTTTAGAATATGACGACAACCTATACCAATCACTGGACAGGCTTTTATTCGATTCGTTTGTTGAGATCACATTCTGTAGCTCCGGAGTAAAGGCAGCAGGAACCTCGCTTGGCTGCTCCAGGAGCACCTCGTACGCCTTCTTCATCAGATAGCTTGTGGTTTCACTGTATCGGAAAAATTCTTCCAATGGCATGAACTCTGTGGTGGAGGACGGCGAACTGGCTGATGAGCTGGAGCCCGCTAATACTACAGAGGTTTGATTAGGGCCCTGTTTCTCATATTTTTCCTTCGCCGTCGCATATTCTTTTTGTTCCGCAATAAATGCGGAGCGTAATATTCTCTCAGGCGTGGTCTTAATCCCTTCTCGCATCGCTATGAGGGAAACAAACGGGTTGGTCAATGACAAACCACCGTATTCCTCAGGAAGGTAGAAGAAGCCATCTGGGAGGCCTGTTATTCCAAACTTCTTCTCAATTTCCTGGCGAAGATGATTTGAGACGCCGCCTGTTGCGGTATTCTCGGCAAATAATTCCTTTTCGATGCGTCTCAAAGTTGACAAGACCATTTCGAGATGCGGACGACCAAGACAGAGTGCCGGTTTTCCGAAGTTGTTGCTCATAAACCGTGCCATATATGTGTTCCATGCTTGAACCCAGCTGAAAACACTTTTACACGCTGAAAGTTGTCGCCTTAACTCCTGAATATGTTCGTCGATCTGGCTCTGGTCGACCTCAAATCTTCCCGTGGTCTCATTAAGCTTGAGAAACCCCCACTTTATTGATCCGTTTGGCAAAATAATTGGTTCGGATTTGGAGGAGACAGACGAATTATCACCTCCAATGCCGCTCGACTTAGAATCGCCGTCATCGTTTGTTGGAGACATCAGCTTTTTACCAAACAATCGCGCCATCCCACTTTTTTCTTCATTAATATTCAAACCCATCACACTGCAGAACTCGGTAACAGCCTTCCATGCTTTGATGCAAGTTGATTCTTGTCCCCAAAACCAAAAGTCGTCGTGTAGACGATAGAGAAGCAATCCATCGGCGTTCTGGTTGACAGAGAAGTCGAGGCAGAAAAGCAAAACCTCTCCGAGGCAGTCACTTATAGAGTGGCTGAGTGAAACTCCATTTTGCCGCACCCGTATGGGCGCATCGTCGCCATCTTGCACAAACCTCAAGGGGGCCTCGAGGAAACGCCTGAAAAAATCTATCCATATTTGAGGAACATGGAAGAACTCGAGGATAGACAAGAGAGTTGTGTGGGGTAGGGATGGCCCAAACCACCGAAAGTCCGATTGGACAATAGTAATTTCTCCATGTAGTGCTTTGTGAAGCCAGATTTCCGCCATGACGAGATGGAGGAGCGAGTGTTTGAGATCAGCAAAGGTTTTCTTCTTTTCTTCCTCCGGATCTGCATCGGTGTTGTATACCACCATCGAGTCAGTATCTGTAGGGAGTTGACACATGAAGTACTTCTCCAGAAAATCGCTCTTTCTAGCCCCAACAATATTGTACTCGTCTCGACCTTCTCTACCATTTTCGTACAAGAAATATTTTCGCCTCTCAATATCCTGCTTTGGGATTCTTGCGGATTGTGCTTTCCAGGCATGCGAATTGAAAAGCGACATGAAAAGTTCTTTGAATTGAATGCTCCATTTGACACCAATGTAGTGTAAGAACATGGCATCCAAGATATCCTCATCCATGTAAGCTCGGTATTTGCCATTTAGGTGCCGCCTCATCTCCACAGGAATTGGACTGGAGCTCCACGACCAGTTATCCAGCTGTGCCATCCGAACATTCAGCACATCCGCAACTTCTTGCGCAACGGCGTCATTGACGAGGAACTCTCTAAGGATAGCCACCTTGTCAGTAGACAAAATGTCTTTACTGATCACCCCGCCGATGATCCACTTTAAAGAGCTGAGAGTAAAGTGATCATCTTTTGTTAGAAACTGTTTGCTAGATAGCTGGATCCTTTTACGGAAATCTTTGAGTGCTTGCTCAGATAAGCTGGATTGGTGGAATAGGTTCGTAAGATAGCTCTTGATTTTTTCACTATCCACCTGCCGGCGCTCAAACACCAACTTTTCCCACTGTGTACGCTGTTCCTGCACCTCCTTGCGTTCAAGTTGTTTGTAGGATGCACCTAGATCTTTACCATCAGGGACTTCGGGTACAGGGTTACGAGGGTTGTTTAGCCACTCCGTCACCAGCCGATTGAAGAACAGGGCATGTTCATGTTTAGCGCTGATGAACTCGAGCTGCTTGCGGAGCTCTTCCTCGGACTGCCTTAGTCTGGCATCAGATATTGAAGAGTCGTATTTACGTTGAACGAGCTCTCGACGAATATTATAGTATACATGTCGAGCCGAGACCCGTTGCCCATCAGATCTAATGACGGCGTCATCTGCGTCGGTTGTGTCTAGACCATCGTCTGGAAACCCTTTGACACGAGCCACGCCCTCTAGGAGAATTCTGACTTTATCTTCGAGAGTTTGCTGATTTGCGGCTTCATCGTATATTGCTTTCTTGCGAGATTCAAAGAGTGTCTGCTTTTTAGAAAGCTCCTTGAGCTTCGTGTCGGTAATCGACTTAAGGGTGGCGGGCAGAGCGTCATTAGCTGCTAAAGTCATCGTGTGTATGGACTGCTTGTCACTTGGAGTCTTCGAGGAGGAATAAGGCTGCTTTGAAGATGGGGACTGAAGATATGTATTGATTGCGCGAAATTGGTGAGTTGAACTGCGTGGAAGGCTGCTCGAAGCTATGCGGAGACAGAGACCGTATCCAAATCGCATTTCGGCGGCTTCACCTCGTCAGGCTCTTTATACACATACTTCGGCGGAGAGCGGTTTCCTGTCCAGCTGCCCGACACCCAAGATGGGACCAGAGAAAGGCTGGCGGTGATCGTTTCGAGCTGTGCGACTTCAAGAGGACCTTACCCGATTTGGCCTCCGCCTATGTTCCTTTGATCGGGCTCTTCCAAGTTCCAGCAGTGTGTGGATTAGTTAACAATGACCATGCAAAATTGCATTGAAAGCTAAAGAAAATCGATACCAGAGATTTTCTGCCAGTATGAAACATTCACCTCCAGGCACCCAACGCATCAACCAGGCAGAAACGATGTTTGCAGGGGTTGACATCATTCGATAGTTATTTCTCGGAGGCCGCATTAGTTACACGACCTTCCATTGGCGGTGCAGCTACCCTTAGGTTCAGGACAGCTTTCACATATCAGCGGCATGGCTACCCATAGCTGTTCGCGCAGTCGTATGGGTGTAGCCATCAGATCCATTTCAATGATGGTCCAGCCGCCAGGCCGTCACGCGTCTTCTATCCGTGGTACAATCGCGGCGTTGTGAGGAGGGCCAAAACACATCGTCATCCAGGACGGTGGCAGATACCACTTATGCCAGAAACCGAAGCGTGAGAATCGGCAGCGGGCAGGGCAGGGCCTTTGAGTATTATGGCACGGTCTCGACGCCGTTCAGTGGCCGTACAGCTCCTGTTCACTGTACGGACGGGGCGTAAGGCAGCAGGGCCCAAAGCGGACTAGTTAGCGCTGCGAGCCACTCTGTTTCAGGACCCGACCCACAGCGGGAACAACCTCCACACTCGCTATCCCAACCACAAGCAAGCAACACATCGCACAGTCCTTGCGCAGCCTGGCGGACAGCACACCCAGGTCGGCCAGCAGCCAGCCGCCAGCCAGACAGCACAGTGGACTGAGCCTGTGATGATATGCTCTCAAACACGGCGCCCAGTCAGAGCAATTGGCTGAAGTGGTAGCCACGAGCCGCCGCGCTACTTCTACGGAGCCCCCTTGCCCCGCATCCTACCGGCCACCGGCAGCAGCTTTGAGGCTATCGTTCCTTGGACGGCAAAAATCGGCCGAAATACGATGCCGTGGGAGGATAGAGATCGAGGTCTCGATGCATGACCTAGTTATTATCATTTAACGCCATTCCGCAAGAAAAAGGGCCCAGCGAAGGCATCGCAATCGCGACGGGAAATTGGGTCAAGGCATAGGAGCGGGGCCGCCAAAACACCCCTCGGATCTTACAGATGATCGTACTACGCGGGCCAAGTTCTCGGTCCAGACATGTAAGGAACAGTACTACTCCGTACGTTCCATAGCCTGCACCAGCCCGGCTGCCTGCAAGCTCCACCAAGACTATTAGTCAACTAGTGGGCCAAGTCGGAAGTTTTCTTGACGACCCACGAACCTGATGATCATTTGTTAAATTATGTTTCCAGCGTCTTCCCTAAAAGAGTCAAGAAAGTCAAGCCCCTAAATGTTTCGTCTGATGGAGGAGCTCCTGGGTTCGCCACAGCGGGTGGGGAAAACGGGAACCGGCAAGTTTTCTCCAAGAAACGTCCTTCTGTTAATATTATTTTCATTAGTTTACGGCTTGCCTTTGGACAGCTCAATTCTGCTACCAAATTTCGGCCGCGGAGATTAACCTTATACTCCGTACAGATGAAGTATGTTTGGGAATAGCCCGCTCGCTAAAGCCTTCGATCTTCTTCTCCGCTCCAAGCTACGGTTCTGGTTTTCCGTGCGCCTGGAAAGCCATACTCCGTACGGTATTTCGTTTCATTCTCTCTAGTCTCCGACTACCATTGGTTTGGTTCGGGATATTATTTTTCCCTCGATGATGGTGTGTTTTGGGCAATTATGCCCGGTGCTTCAAAAAAAATCCCATCTGGTCTTGGGTGTACGATCAGCACACAGACAACACAAGGATAGCTGATATCTGCAGACTTGGCATAAAAATTTCGAAGGCCGGCCTCCAATAATGGCCGTCTAGAAATGCGTTGATAAATATCTTCATGTCGCGTCAGCAGCGGCAATAATAAGTGCGACATGAAGACAAATATAAATAAGGGACTTCGAGAGCCTGAACCGTGATCTTGTGCAGATTGAGCCAGAAACGGACCATCGCAGTGTACTTGGCCAAATTACTTCTGATACGAAGTACGGGGCGAAATTAGAAACGCTTCACCCTTATCCCCACTTCCGCGCGGCAACTTGGATAATTCACCAACCATAATACGCGCTTGAAAATTACTGGTTCTTGAACTCCATAACCCGTGGCATGCTACGTCTGCGGTACGGTCTTGCGTGGGCTGTCTACATTAGACGTGGGTGGAGTTGAGAAAGTGGGCATGTGAGAATAGGGGCCCAGGGCCTTGTTTGGCTTGTTATTATAAAAGCTATCCCCCCGGGACCAAGCCAAATAACCCCCTCAGAGCATTTTCTCAGTCGTTCCTTACCATATACATTCGTTTAAATTCATAGTTCCAACTATGGCTCCACTCCTTTCAATTGCTGCTGCCCTCGCCATACCGGCTGTAGCGATGGCAGCAGCTATCGCTCAACTCCCCGAGGGTGATTCTAGAATTGTCGGCGGCGTCGAGGCTGGTGATGGCGATTTCCCTTCTCTCGTTCATTTTACTGTAAGCGGCACGAAGCAATGCGGAGGAGCCTTGATCAATGCAAAGACTGTCCTTACAGCGGCTCATTGTATTCACGCGTATGATACCGATGTTATAGTCCGGGCGGGGTCTAATGTATGTCATTTCGCCTTCATTCTGGAAGTTATACTCACATTTTCATAGTTGTGGAATTCAGGTGGCATTCAAGTGGGCGTTGAAAAAATTATACTTCACCCTGAATACGCTCCTCAGCCTAGACACGACAATGATTTTGCTATTTTACACTTGAATGCATCAATCCGAGCAAGCAGCAAAATTGGTTATGCTAAAATAGAACAAAAAGGATCAGATGTTACTGCAGGCACAAATGTTACAGTTGCGGGATGGTATGTGCTTATCTCTGTTTGTTTAAAGAATGGTGCTTATTCTAAAATCAGGGGACAGTTAAAGCATAAAGGAGAGCACGTTGATAAACTAAGAAAGACTATGGTCAAAGTCGTCTCCCGCCAGGAGTGTAAAGCCTTGTATGCGAAAACTTCTCACACTATTACTGAAAACATGATCTGCGCCAAAGATGAGGGCAAAGATGCCTGCGGTGGAGACAGCGGCGGTCCTCTTTTCATCACCGGAACGAATACCGTTGTCGGCGTGGTATCGTGGGGAATTGGGTGCGCCAACAGCTCATACGCCGGAGTATATTCCAGAGTTGGCGTTATGGTTGATTTCCTCCTTGCAAATTTAGCACCTGGCTCGGATAAACCCATTCAAGTCCCTGGACAGTCACCAGCGCCATCGTCAAGTCAACCGCCAGTCCAGACGCCAACCCCATCGCCATCTCCTCCACCAGTTCAATCCCCTGCTCCATCATCAAACCGTCCACCAGTTCAATCTCCGCTCCCATCGGCGAGTCGCCCACCGGTTCAATCTCCGCTCCCATCGGCAAGCCGCCCTCCAGTTCAGACGCTAACCCCAATGCCAACTCCATCGCAAAATCCAGAACAGGCCCCTATCCCAGTGTCAAAGCCACCATCACAGACGAAGGTCTGCAGACCTCGTAAACATCGTCGCCGATCATGAACGTTTTTTTTTTCCCTTTCTCTCATGGAAACTTGTCTTGGGCATCAAAAATGGTATTGATGACTTTTGATAGCTTTTTCTTGTAATTATATTTCTTTATTGAATCATTTAAGCGGGGCATTTCTGGGTTACAATAATCCCAAGCAACACCACGGTCTGTGGGGGTTTGCTCTCAGCTTTAGAGATCTTGAATTCAAGCTCGATATGTCTCATACAGCACCAGCACCGGCGAGGGCAAACCCAGTCTCAGAGCCCCAAGGCTTAGCAATGAAAGCAGCGTAGCGCGTTTCCAAATTCATGACGAGTTACTGCTGGGAATTATTGTTGGAGGTTGATGCTACGCGCAGTGCACGAACCCATGCGAAAGAGCGGAGTTTCTTCAATGACACAGCGTTCGTGTTTAATTAAAAGCCGTGGCCTAGCCCCGCATAGTTCTGCTAGCACATACGACCTGGCTCGACCTTGAAGGAACAGGCTACCAGCTAGTACCATCACACAGCCTCGGCAGGACATGCAGTGTCTTGACAAAATATTTTATCTTTCCTCTGCCTTCGCCTCAAGTGCAGCATCATCCCCAAATAGTCCCATAGGAGAGGATGTCTGTGTGTGTGTGTGTGTATTATTTTTCGTAGACTGTTATGGCTGGCCGCGACGCGACTCAGCCACTAATTGGACCTTCTACCGCTGTGTGGTGCCAGGGGGTCAGAACGGGGCCCCTGCAACACCAAGCATGTTGTGGGAACGTTTTCATTACTCCGTACTCATGGGAAGAAATACGTGTTTTTCGAGGTCCGAGCTAGATTGACGGAGCCCTCCGTGCCGATGAGGATGATGTACAGATGCTCGCTAGCGGCCATCGCCGATTGGATCCCACCCTAAACAAGCGTGCGGATAATGCTACCTTGCGTGCTCTCCAGCGCTAAAAACCGGTACGAGTAATCCGCTCAAAACAGTATTTTTGGGCGTGGAGCATCTATAGACGATAGTGTACAGAGTGGGATACAGCACTGTCGATAAAATAAGGGGCCGTGTCCAGTGTTGTACTGGCCATCTCCATCTCAACACCCCCAAAATCAGTCATGATTCCACCGCCCAAATTTCACATAATCGTCATATAACCCTTTGAACACCGCCCTTGACGATGAATCCATGCTCGCATTCATTGCTCGCAAGGTTGTCTTCGACATGACATCTAGAACGGCATACCACCCTGGCATCAGGACCGCTTTCATGTCAGGCGTTAGGTGGCCACGTAATTGCAACCCTGCATATTCTATGATGAGATACTGGAGGTGTTGGCTGACGAGGCTCTTTACTTTCTTCGTGTTGTCACTCAAGCCTTGACTAAAGCCTCCACGGTGATTTTCAACCGCCGACACCGTTGGGTCGCAGAGCGACGTCAGCAAGCGTGTATATTGGCCAGCATGTTCGGCGGTCAGGGGCGTTGGGCCCCTGCTTCCAAGCCATGGGGGCAATGTGGACAGGAAGCGTGACTGCTTCATCGATCGGGAATCGCCCGAGAAGAGGCATCGCAATAGTTGTTGCAAGACCGGGAGGACGAGGTGAAGCCTCCCGCTCATCTTCTTACGGTATAGTCCAAAAATTGTCCCTAGCAGACGACATGTACGTGTGTATACAGCTCCCGCATCGCAGCGTGCGATCTGGGGGCCCGCTGGCGACGCAATAATAGCAAAAGTGGCGATGATATTGTCAACGTTCCATTGGGATACTGAACGGGCTTGCGTGCGTAGTATTATATCAAGACATTCCGACGCGAGACTGAAGGCCTCAATCGACGTACATTTTGTCAGAACCTCGGTGATTTCGGTGAAAGTTGCGGTTAATTCAAGAGATTCCGAACTTTCTCTATCTTCAATCGGATCTAGCAAGGCTAGAGCCATGCCAATCAACAGTAACCGATAGGCCAAGTGCTCCCCTGAAGAAATTGAGATTCGCGAGTCACGGATGAAGCCAACCAGAGCTTCTTTTGGTAAAGATGACAACTGGGCGTAAATTGTATGAGCAGACAATTTCTGGTCTCTTGTTTGGAGTTGATGTATTTTGAGGAACGGAGCGTAACTGAGGAGGCTGGTGGTGACCTCCGATTCCGTGGTTTCATATGACATCTTTTGCCGTTTAACAGAATTTCTAATACTTTCAGCACAGCTGGAGACACTTAAATATTTGTCAAGCTTCTGGAAATACCGCAAAGCTTTTTTATCTTTCCGTATCAGATCTTCTAAAGTTTTTGAAATTTCCAAGATCCCGACCACAAGATGCGGTCTGGACGGCTCCTTTTTTAATTCTCGTGATAAAGTCTTGAGATCTGAAACGAATTTCTTAAAGGTTTTTGCTCGCAACGTTTGGATGTGTTTTCGTTTCCTATCATCAAAATCCGTCTGGTGTTTGTGGAGCAGATTTAGGGACAAGAACAACAAATAATGCTCCGCCGTATCGAGATTGATAGTCGCCATCTTCCCACCTATCTCAGAAACCACGGCAAATGTCTCTTCGCCAAATGCATCCAACTCTCCTGACGGAGTCAACATCTTTGAGACCACCGCACAGTGTAGCTGATCAAAAGCACGGAAGAAATCCGACTCGGCCCGAACATCTTGAGTAGATACAGATGCCGCCAACTTCCAAAGATTTTTACTATCGCTCGTGATTTTGGCAGGCGATTTTGGTGCAGCAACCAACTTCGCCATGAGAGAAACAATGTCAACCTTCGTTTCCGGCCTGGGAGCTTCCATGAGAATTTGCTCAAGGAGATCCAGTAAACTGCCTCTTTGGTGGCGCGGCATCAATTTAACGGGGATATTTAAAAGGCTTTTCACAAGAAACTCACGGTTTTTCTTGCCCTCCTTTAGTTGCTCGGACAAAACGAAAGTCAAGTCGTACACAACATTCGACGAAGTGTAAAGAAAATCGTAGGATACAAAGTCGTGCCAAAGGTTTGGTAGCTGTGGACATGAATCTTCAAGAGTTTCATTGCGCACAACCTCTTTTGATTGCGTTGCTTCAGTTGGATAGGCTGCAGATAGAAATACCAAAAAAAGCTTTCGTCGGGATTCCGCTGATAGAAGACCCAAAGCTTTGTTGTTTGATAATAACGTTGCTAGGCACCCAATTGCTACAGTTTGGTGGGAAATAAGAGTTTCAATGCGACCGTTCCAGCCTACACCCGCAAATTCCGGAGAGTTTCTGAGCAGGACACAAAGTATTGAAGCGATTTTATCCAGATACTGCGTAGCAGCGGCTTCTTCTAGCTCTTCAGCAAAGCAAGTGGCGAATTTACAGCTCCAAAAGGCTTCTTGGCATTGTGCATTGTTGGTCGAGGCCGAAGTCTTCTTGCGAAATCGTTCAATAGTTTCCAGAGCGGTAGGCAGCATAGATGAGGTAACAGTTTCAGGAAGGGTGCTATTTGGGGCGCCGGAGGCATCAATAAAATTCCGAGAAATTCTCCATAAGCGCCATTTCCAAAGAGCGCCAGAAGAGGACTTGATAAAGGCTATCAAAGTCTCTAAAACATTCCCACAAGAAAGGCCTGATTGCAGTTTTCTGTCCTTCTCTGATCCAACCATCAGCATCGAGTCCAAAACCACAACATCGGCATACGCCGTTGGTATATCATCGGAGTTGGACAAAGCCGAGACGACCCTCTCGATCTGAGACTCGACGCGTGCAGAGGCATAGTTAACAGAGAGTAACTCTCCATACGCTCGAGAGATGTCATCATCTTCCCAGACGGAAAAAGGAGGCAAATCGGCGCACTCTGAACGACGTTTGTCTAAGAGTTTAAGTTGACTACTCCAAATTTGAAGGAATGCATCTCCATCTCTCGCCGCGAAGAAGCCCTTTAGTAAAGGTAGAACAACACCGTTCTTCATCAACGTATACGTAACGTCGAAAGTCTGCTGGGGAGACTGGCAGACCGAAGTGAGACAAGTCACCAGGGAATCCAGAAGGGGTTTTGATTCACTGAGTCCTGAATTGGGCAGGAAAACATCAACGCCAAGTTGAATCACCTGTGAGACCAATTTCCATGGTATTTCACTCCTGCTGCTCTGAAGCAGCCCGGAAAATCGCACAGTGTATCGCACGAGTGTACCGAGAGACAAGGTAAATGCCCGATCAATAGCAACCTGGAATAGACACTGTAGTATAGCCGGGTCAGATTTTTTCCGGGAGTCTGTATACAAATCAAACCCAGCGCGCGCAGAGAGAACCACGAATAGGGTCTCCAGCCATGCTGCCTCCTTCATCTGACGTTTGAACGTGTCTCGCGGCAGAGCACGGGTAGATATCTCAAGTAGAATCGACAGAAGGCTAGGGGCTATGTTTGCATCATCCCCTAACCGGGAAGCAAGTCCCTTCGAAATAGTGTCAATGGTATCTGGGGAAACCCGGTCGTCTTGAGCGTTTTGATTGTTGGTGGGAGTTGAAAAGAAGAGCTCTCGGAGAGGCAAGGTAACATGTAGTACAACCAATCTTTCGATAGCTTGCACAAGGGGATGCCTGGTCCTCGTTTCATCCTGAGTTGATGCGTTATTTAGGAGCAGCTGCAGAGCAGGTCCCAAGACTCTTGAACAAAAAAGACCCTGTAAGACATTAATATAAACTCAAAAAGCCACATCCTGCCAAAAATAAGGGGGAGGGAGCCACAAACATTACTCAAGCTCACAGATCCGTCCAAGCTCTCAGACCTCAGGTTCCAGATTTCCACCACAGCGGACAAGCCAACAAATGACCGCTCGGTCATGTGCCCCGTCGCCGCGGCACTCTGCAAGGCCTGGCGGAGAATATTCGCCGCAGTCGCTGGATCTCCCCGTAAGACCAGCTTCAGCTGTGCCTTGAGTGCAGCCTGCGCAGCCGGGACCCTGTCTGCCAGCTCGACGAGGTGCTTCACCGCCGCGATCACCGACATGAACGTGTCCGCGGGGGAGTTGGGCGCCGTGGACGAGCGTTGCGGGCCGCCGTCGGCGGCATCATCTTCCGTTCTCTTTCGCTTTTTACCGCTTTTGGCATGCTTTTTGCCGGCCGAGCCATCATCTCGCGGGGCATCCGATGTCGAAGGTGGTGATGATATCAGCTCCCGTAGTTCCTCCAAGGACGTCTGCAAGACGAGCAGAAACTTGTTCTCGGTCAGGAGTATCGCCACCGTTCTGGCGGGGATTCTGTCCAGCAGCAGATGGAAAAGTGTCCACGTAAGATTCTCGAGCCGGTAATTCGACGTCGTCTTGCTCGCTGGCACCGTTAATTTTTTCAGCAGCCACCGCAGCACCCATTCCTCCTTTGGTGCCGCGGCAGGAAGCACTCCGGGAGCACTCTTAGCTCCCTCACTCTCAATCTGCAGGATAGTGTCTAGATCAACCCCAATGATCCGCGCCGCCTCTCTGACGTGGTCCTGCGGCGAACCATAGCTGCTCTTCTCCAGCTGCACCAGAGCTTCGTAGGACTTGGGAACCTAGCAAAAACACACACGCACAATCAGCGCCATTCAATAAAAGCGCAAGTAAGGCATCTTACCTCTGCTAGAACAGCCATGCTGGCAAAATAGCGCAGCCCCCGAAAGCTTCGCAGCCGTCAAACCAATTCCACTCTCTCTCTCTAGAAAAATAAACTTGACGATTACCAGCGCCGCCGGGCCGTTATTTTTCCGGGTTAACTATGTAGTTATTTGCGGACCGCCCGGGAAGCACCACAACCGGTCTTTCCCAGCACCAACCAGCCCAACATCGAGACCCGGCGGCCCCAAGGCGGAAGATCCGATATCAAACCCCAGATCCTTAGACACCAGGTACAATACACTACCCCCTCGAGCCATTGAGGAGCCAAGGAATGATTTGCCCTACTGACAATTGAACCAAACGCCCACACAGCAAAAACACACACAAAAACAACCATGGCAGACTCCAAAGACGCCGCCGCAGCGCCCGTCGTGCCCGTCCCGCAATCCACGCGGCCCGTCAGCGAAGCGCTCCTCAACGACAAGGTGTGAATACACTCTCCCCCCACCCCCCCCCCACGGAACACACCAGCACCCAATACTAACACACCTCCCCCTCCCCCCCGCCACAGTGGGACCGCGCCGTATCCTCACTCCTCATCCGCTCGACGCTCGGGCTCTCGTTCGGCGTGATCTTCTCGGTGCTGCTGTTCAAGCGGCGCGCGTGGCCGGCGTGGGTCGGGCTGGGTTTTGGCGCCGGTAGGGCGTGGGAGGAGGCTGATGGTATGACTCCTTTAGTCCTTGTGGTGGGTAGGTAGGGTATGTATGTGTATACTGATTGATTATGTGGGGTAGCGTCGTTCCGCCGGGGAGATAAGGTCTGGGGCAAGGAGCGGAAGTCGTGAAGAAGGGGAGGGTAATATTGGGGTTCGAGGATGGACGTACGTACATACATAAACATACGCATGCGCTTTCAAGGGGAAATAAATGGGGGGGGGGGGAGACTACGAGGGAGTTCTGTATAGCAAAAAAAAAGCCTTGAGAAACGGAAGAGAGGAGGAGAGGAAAACGCAAAATATGCTGTATTAACATTTCTACGCGTGCGGCTGGTTTTATAGAAAGGGCCCAGGGGGGATCTATGTGTGTGTGTATCTCCCTCTCGCCCTTGGTTTTTGTTGGTTGGAAAGCAATTTAGATCGAGTCCATGATATATTGAGGGAAAACTTGTTGTGTATTTTTTCTTGCTTGCTCTTGCACTTCTGCGCTATTGGTACTTGCAACGAATAAAAAAAAAAGTCTTGCATTATACACACATGAAAAGAAAAGAGCAGGACAGTAATAGCAAGATCTGGTTAGAGTGCTGCTGGGCAGACTGGGGTCAAAAAACAAACTATTAACCATGCACCATCGGAAAAGCCTCGGATATGATGTTCGGCAATTAAATTCAGAAAAAAAAAAAAAGAAAGAAAAGAAAAAAGGCCTCCAGGGACTATTTCTTTCTATCACGGGGAAGGAAAAAAGAAAAAGAAAAAAAAAAATAAAAATAAAAGGTACAGAAAAACAAAAAAAACGCCCTGAGAAGAGAGTAGCAGGTAGTTTAGTGATTATCTACAAAAGAGTAATAATGTCACTATTTACAGACAGAAAAATCCACGTGTTTTGAATGCAATAAAAAAAAGGAAGTAACATGAAAAATAAAAAGGAGAAGAAGATTTCAGATACACACACACAATAATCACATCAAAAGAAAAATACAATTTTTCTAGCGATCAACGCGGGTATGAGGCGGGAAAAGTTTGCGGGGGGGGGGGGGGGGGGGGGGGGGGGGGGCACACTACCCCCCGCGCGGGTTTGGGGGGGGGGGGGGGGGGGGATAAAAAAAAAGAAAAAAAAAAAAAAAAAAAAAAAAAAAAAAAAAAAAAAAAAAAAAAAAAAAAAAAAAAAAAAAAAAAAAAAAAAAAAAAAAAAAAAAAAAAAAAAAAAAAAAAAAAAAAGAAGAGAGTGCGAGGAGGGGGAGGGGGGGGGGGGGGGGGGGGGGGGGGGGGGGGGGGGGGGGGGGGGGGGGGGGGGGGGGGGGGGGGGGGGGGGGGGGGGGGGGGAGTGGCACATCATCACCTGCCAGCGTATTGGATGGGCGGCGGGGGGGTATCATAAGAAGAGAAAAAAAAAAGAAAGAATTATGCATTTAGATGGCGGATGGTGGCGAGAACCAAGGAGAGAGCCGGATAAAAATATAAAAACCAGGCAAAGCAACTTTTTTTCTTTTTTATTTTCTTGTTCAATCCGTGGTCCTATTATCCCGCGAGCCCAAGACCGCACCATTCGTTACCGTCGCCGTGGTGGCCGGAGTCGCCGTTGCCGGCGGTTCCTCCAGAATCGATTGCGGCGGCGGCGCCGCAATGCCATTTGCCGTCGTCGTTGTTGTTGTCGTCATAGTATTCTTCGTCGTGGTAGGCGACTTCTTCGCGGTGGTGGTGGCGGCGGCGGCTTCGGGCGGGCGCGTGGGCTCGAGCGAGATGCCGTTGTGGCCGTCGTGGGTGAGGCAGCCGATGCACTTGCAGTTGATATCGCATTGGCAGGTGCCGACGGCGTTGTAGCAGCGGGACGGGGCGGGGATGCCGACGGGGTACTCGAGGGTGTAGTAGGCGGCAGGCTGCATGACGGCCTCGTGCGACTGGTCGTACAGCACGGGGCTGGGGAGGGAGAAATCGTGGGCGAAGGACGAGGCGGCGGCGGTGGTGGACTGGTAGCGGTAATTAGGATTATTGGTGCCGTTGGTGTGAGTGTTGTTGCTGTGGTTGTTGGTGGCGGCGGTGTTGGTGCTGGAGGAGGCGTCTTGCGCGGCAGCGGCTGCAGCGGCCGCCGCGCTTTGGTCGTAGAGGTTCTGGTGGAATTTGTAGGCGTCAAAAGGCGGCGAGAAGCCGTGCGTGTTATACTGCGAGGTCTGCTGGTTGGCGTCGTCCTCGTTCTCGAAGGCCATCATGTATCCCATCTCCTGGATGTACTGGCGGGTGGTATCATTGAACGGGTGCGAGGCGCAGCCCAGGCACTGGCAGCCATCGCCGCAGCCGCAGTTGTGGCGGGACTGCGGCTCCAGCCCGCTGTAATCAGCAGTAAAGATATTGGGGATGTGCGACGGCAGCACGGATTGTCCGATGTCGTTCGTCGTAAAATGCGTGCCGGCGTACGACGGCGGGCCGGGTAACGAGACCGGGATAGCTGCCAGGCTGGGATTCTGGGGCAAGATGCCGTTGGCATACTCGGCCTTGACATGCACAGAGGGCGGGCGGTCGAGGGCGGAGAACTGGCGTTCAAAGGGCAGATAGGGATACGGCGACTGGGGATAGGCATAGGCAAAGGGCGAGGAGGCCTTAGGCTGCTGCTGCTGCGTCGAGTTCCGCTCGGCGGTGCGGGTAGTATCGCAGCAGGGCGCGGGGCAGCGGGCAGTGGGCGAGGCGGGCACGCTGGCGGGCTGGCTGAAGGGGGCCATGGCCGGGGCCGGGGGATTCGGGGCCACCAGGGCGCCATTCGGCGGGCGCAAGGCCAGGTCAGGACGGCTGCTGGACAGCGCGGCGGGACGCGGATAGGGCTGCTCGGGCGGCACGGCGGCGAGACGGAAGACGGCAGCGGCGGCGGGAGGCTCGCGGGCGGGCTGGTCGGGGGCATCGGCGAGAGCAGCGAGGCCTTTGGCAACGAGCTCGGAGGTAGTCTGCAGGCTGTTCTGGCGGCGCGTCCGCTTCTGCACACGGCTGGGCGTGGGGCCGGTGGACGGCGGCGCGGACAGCGACGGGCTGGCCTTGGGCGACAGCTGCTGGGCGGGCGACTGGCCGGGCTCGGTGCCGGCCATGGGGACTTTATACAGCGGCCGGCAGAGGCACGTCGAGCCTGCGGGCGAGCGGACGTCAGACAGATGGACAAACAAGCAGCGGGATTGCAGCAGGGACAAGAAAAGTCTCAATTGTGCTCACCTTTGGGGATGCGGACCATGAAGGCATAGATCTTCTGGCAGCTACAGGTGCCCTTGGGATGCGGGCATTTGGCGAGCGGACGGCCGGCCTTGGGCACCTTCATCATCAGACGGTCGAAGTGCTGGCATTTGGACGAGCGATGGCCTCTGATGCACGGCTCGCTGGGGGCCAGGCCGGGTCAGTTATATATATATATATACTCACGCGCGCGCAGGGGAGCGAGGGCACACATACCAGGACCATTTGGCGCCCTCTTCGTCGAGAGGCATGGTGGGCGGGGGGTGTGGTGGACGGGGAGTGGCAGTGGGCGTGGGAGTGGGAGTGGGAGAGCGGCAGAGAGGCAGACAGGCAGGCAGCGTCAAGCCCCGCCAGCGCGAGATGGGAGGAAGAAGGCGACGGACGGCGAGGAGGGAAGACGCCGGCGGGCTCAGCAGGCGGGCGACGGGCGGATTCGCCACTGAAGGAGCAGGCGGTGAGGGGGGGAGGGGGGGGGGGGGGGGGGGGGGGGGGGGAGAGAAAGGGCCGCCAGTCGGAGGCGGGGAAAATTTGGTAGCCTCTTGAGCGCCCGGCGGAGGTGGATAGTTATAATTCTGTGGGGGAGGAGGGGGGAATGTCTGCTGGGGAGGAGGAGGGTAGGCTATGGGATG